TTCTTTCTCCCTTTTCTTTCTCTTTGGCTTCTCCTTCTCTTCCCTTCTGCATTCTCCTTCTCCTTTCTCCCTCTTCCTCCCTTCTTCCTGCTCATTCTTCTTTCTTCTTTTCCTTGAGCTTGTCCTTCAAGCTGGGTTTGTCTTTCAAACTTGTCCTTCAAGCCCAACTTGGGTTTTTTGAACATTTCACTGCTTACGCCAAGAATGGGTGCTTCGGCAGCAGCAACCTCATTGGTGTCAAGGGCAACATTGTCTTTCAAAACTGCTGCTGCTGCTGCTGTGGCCACAAGAGTCACAAGTACTCCGTTCACTTTCATTTTTGGATAAAGAGAGAAAAACTACAATGAAACTGGCTGCGAACCATTATATATTCCGCCCGGGCTGAAAGTAGTCTGCCTGGAAAAAAAAAATCAACTTTTGTGCTATGCTTCGTTTGGGAGCATTTCGTACTGGGCGTGATTTTTGCTCTGCCTGGCTTTGCGCGCAAACACCGCCCAAATCAGCCGCTTCAACCGTAACCCGCGCCCTCTCTTGATTTGGTCGAATTCTGCTCGGCTCGATTCTTTCAAACTGAAATCTGATATGCCGATTTCATCTTCTGGAATGCTGTACTTGTCGACCTTGGGAGGCTTCCAATTCTTCAACAATGACGAATTCACCACAACACTAATGGAACTGCAGGCCATAGCGGCGGCCGCTGCCCCAGGTGGAAGCATCAAGTTGAGCGGTAAGAAACAGCCCATGGCAAAGGGAAGCATGGCCATGTTGTAGACTGTAGCGCAGACAAAATTCCACTTGATTTTGCGGAATGTGGCGCTGGACACTTGGAGCGCCGTGATCACCCCGGCCAAATCGTTAGCTTGCTCCAGTGACTGGCTCATGAGCACCACTTCGGCCGAGTCGATAGCAATATCTGTTCCGGTGCTAATGGCCATGCCAATATCTGCCTGTACTAACGCTGGCGCGTCATTGATACCGTCGCCAACAAAGGCTATGGATATGTTGGAAGACCCACCAAACTTCTCCCTCAAGTTGGAAATCACCTCGCCCTTGTTGATGGGTGTGACCTCGCTGAATATATTTCCCTTGGGCACTCCAAGCTGTTGTCCCACCATATGCGCAGCCTCTTTATTGTCACCCGTGACAATACCCACCTGATAGCCTTGTGCATACCGCAAATAGTCAAGCACTTTCCGGGCATTAGGCTTGATCGAATCCATAAGCTCAAGGTAGCCGCAATACTCACCGTCAATTACCACGTGCGACACCGACAGCACAGAATCTTTCAAGTCTGTGTCTAGCATATCTGCCAATACCAACCGAGCACCGGGGTAGTCGCGGACAACCATTCTGCTGTTACCAATGGCAACGTCGTACGTCACATTGTCCAACGTGATTTGTGCTTGAACTCCCATACCTGTATTCACTTTGAAATTCTTAACAAGTGCTTGGAAAGTGTCGTCTTCAAAATGCAATCCCAAGTTCAGCTTAGCTTCTCGGGTTATAGCACGGCCCACAGGATGCTCGGAATGGACCTCCAAGGCTCCAATCAAATGCCACCACTGTGCTGTCTTGAGATTATTGCTCTTGCAAATTTGCCGAGACCTTGACACGCTCATCTCGCCCGACGTCAACGTTCCCGTCTTGTCAAACAAAATGACGTTGATTTTACTGGCTTTTTCCAAAATGTCTCCCCCTTTGATCAATGCTCCGTGGGTAGCTCCAACACCGGTTCCTACCATCACGGCAGTGGGCGCAGCAAGGCCCAAAGCACAAGGACAAGCAACCACAACAACAGAAATAGAAAGCTTGATACACATGAAAAAATTTCCGTTTTGCTCCTTCTGGAAAATTTTCGGAAGTTTGTCGGCAAAAAACGCCAGACAGAGCGCCCAGAAAGAAAATGTAATCAACGCCAACAATAACACCCCAATGACGAACCGGGCAGCAATGTAATCCGCAAACCGTTGAACTGGAGCTTTTTTGACCTGCGATTCCTTCACAACGTCAATTATCTGATGCAACTGTGAATTTTTGCCAGCAGCGGTAACACGAATGTAAATGACCCAGGGTCCATTAATGGATCCTCCAATTACAGAGCTTACCAACCTTTTTGAAAACCGGTTCGGATTCTCCTGTAATGATTGACTCGTCGATTTCTGTCTCGCACAAACACTAACTTGCCCATCTGCTTGGTACTTTCCCACCAGGCGCAACTATAGCAATATCGTCCAGTTTCCATCCAAGTCAATAGAAATCATTCGCGTTGGGAGCTCTTTCAATACTTCATCCTTTCCTTCATTTTTTTGGGCATCCAGCATTTCCTGGAACCCTTGGACATCCGTGATGATCTGGCATGTAGTGGGAGTCAAAGACACAAGCCTGGACAAAGCAGTGGAGGTGGCACCTTTAGCTTTGTTTTCAATCCATTTGCCAAAAGAAACAAACGCAAGGAGCATGGCTTCTGTCTCAAAAAGAACCTTTGGTGGTCCGTCGGTTTGACCAGTCCAAACACTGAGACCCATGGAATAGATAGAGAATAGATAGGAAATTAATGTTGAGACACACACGAGAACATCCATGTTAGCATTACGGCCTTTATTGCGCAAGAAGAAGGCAAAGCGCTTGAAGAACACTGCTCCAAGATTAAACAAAATGTGCGTGCTCAAGGCCAATTCAAGCACAGATACCAAATAAAGGCCATGGAAGATCAAATGGGTTTTCCAAAAAGGCATTTTCTCCGAGAAACCGAGGATGCAAAGGGGTACACCAAAGAGAAGTGTACCGAAAAACGTTGAGCGCCAAAACTCGATATCCTTGGCTTTAGTCAACAATTTAAGTTGCGAGCTCAAGTACTGGTCAACAGAGTTGAGGATGACAAACTGAATATTGCTGTCTATAGAGTTCAATGCATCCACCACACCCCGAACACCTGTGATATTTGTAGCAAGTGTGATTTTGAGCTCATCGATAAGCTGTTCAGGCGAGACATTGGGTGTTTCGGGAGCGTCTTCGGTGACACTCTTAAAATCTAGCAGAAACGCCAGAATGCCAGGAAACCCATTGAGTACTGCTTCGATGTTGTATTGCAAGACCGATAAGTCGGTAGATTCGCCAATGCCGTATATCTGGAATATTATTTCTTCCACGGTATTTTCACGGGAAGATTGGATTTTTGGGTCTGACGACAAGAGAGTGGCATCGAAGCCACAGTCTTCGATCGCCTGCTGGATTTCCAGCGGCAGAAGAGAGAGAAGATGTTCCACTAGAGCATCTTCCGTCAAAAGGGATACACCCACCGATTTGACACCTTCTAGCAGCTCCAACCTCTGTGTAATGGACGCGGAGCACGAGCCACACGTCATGCCCTTGATTTGGAAACGAGACTCTAGCACGGACTCAGGGGCGGAGGATTTCACCAAAACTGCGTCAAAGCCGCAATCCTCCACGGCAGAAAGAATGGCCGACACGGGAGTTTCCTGCGAGTGCACAACTTTGCCCTCGTTTGTAAGCAACGACACGGACACACTCAGCACGCCAGGAACTGCCTCTAGGGCCTCTGTCACGCTGGACGAGCATGCGGCACATGTCATTCCCGATATGCTGATTGTGGTGGTGACATTTGTTGCGAGAGCAGCGGAAGTGGCGGAAACCACTGCGGCATCGAAACCGCACTCTTCCACGGCCTGTATTAGCTGCTGTGGGGTCACGGGCGGCGTGAAGTCGACTTTCGCCTCATTAGTAATGAGAGAAACCGACACCCGCTGGACCTGGTCTATGGCCTCGAGGGCTTCGGTGATGGAGGCCGAGCACGCAGCACAGGTCATGCCGCTGATTGCTAGCGTAGCCGTAGACATGTGGAACGAGAAAAAAAATCTAGAAATTAAGGAATTAACGGCTCAGAAAGGCGGGTGGAAGGCAGATGTGTGAAGGTGGAGGGAGGTGAGATTTTATCTTTTTCATCAAGTGGCGGGTGCAGGGACGTCTGAGTATCTGCAGGTCCAGCATCTGGGGATGAGATGGGGACAGCAGAAGAGAAGACAAAGAACGGCGGAGAGACGGAAAAATCTATGGATGATACGAGATAGAGACGGTAAAGTTTCCTTTTCATTCTCGTGTCGCTTATGTTCCTCTTTTTGCTTGACCAATGGTCTGACCATAGTGCCCTTTTGAGGCCGGTGCAGGAAGCCGCCGTGCGGATATATCATGTCCCGGAAAGACACGATTGGGCTCATTGGCAGGTCTTCCCTGCCGGAAATGTATATCTTGGCTTTCTTGACAGAAAAAAAGAAAAGGGCTAAATAGCCTATATTGAGAAGAGGAAAGAGCGAAACAAAAAAACATTTTGGCTCTGCTTTGTTATGTATGATAAGCTGGTCTAAGTGCATTGTTAGATTCGCGGAGAGCATTTAGTTGAGTATTTTTTGTGGAATCCATACCATCTTTGACACGAACACCATGCACTCTCAAGATGACTTAGCTGAGGGATTTTCTTGGGTGTCTCAGTCTGTTTGACAAGGTTATGGCTGGTATCTAAGTCGGGCTGTCTATTGCTGAGCGTTTATTACGATTGTATTTTCTTACCATTATTGAAAGTGGTTGGACTAACCTTCCAAGAGTTGTTATATTGTTGAAAATGGTTGACCGTCAAGAAATATGTGCCTCACTTTAGTCGTTTGTAGTTCACAGTGGTTACTCTGGGTGGATCTCCCGAGGCTCTAGTTCTGACTTGGCTTTGGGTGACTCTTTTTTTTGCTTAGGGGCCAGCCCGTGGTACTTGTGCAGCAATTGCTTCCATGCTTGTTTCCTGTCAAGCAAATTGCCCTTTTCGTCCTTGTAAGACAACTTGACTTGGGGTCTGTAGTCTGAAAGCCGGTCGGGTTTCTTCTCGTACCGAGAGTACTTTGAATGTGGATTCACATCACTGACAAGCCCCTTCTCGATTAATCTCTGGTTGAGAATCCGGTCAAAAGTGTTTTCCTTTTCTTTCGCAGGCAAACCTTTGTACCCCGAGTCTTTTTCGAGCTCTTCTCGTAACGTTCGTTCCTCGATGGAGATTTGAAGCTTCATGAGCTGTGCTTCTTTACGAGCCTCGCGTAATTTCTTCTCCACTTGCTTTTGTTCCTCGTTGGTATCGGGAACAAAATTACTTTTTCGGAGATATTGAAGCGTCGCCAGAAGACTGTTGAGCGGTGCTTGAGTTTTTGCTTCAGATCGAACGTCATCCGACTCTCTTTGGCCAAGTTCGTTATCTGCCAGCTTCTCCACTTGTACTTCATCGATTTTTTCCACACCAGATACAAGTTCACGTGGTTGGTGGTCTTCATTCTCCACCTCCTCTTTCCCTTCGACTTTCTCGACTTCTTCCTCGATTTCTTTCCCATTCCCTTTCTCCCCCCTTGCGTCCTTTTCAGCCAGTAGCGTGTCTAGAAAGTCCTTCGTGCTGTCGTAAACTATTCCATCGATCTTATCGACCGTATCTAGTCTCAGATGCAAGCTCACTTCATGGGCAATTTCTTCTGCTGACATTAGTTTTCTTCGCTTCACCTTTTTGTCCCTGGATGCAGCAAGAATGGCTTCGAGTTCTTCTGCATCTTCCTGTTCCTCTTCAAGTAGCGTTTGCGTCACCATAGGCTCGGTGACTTTGACGGTGTCATCTATGGCTTTCCTCTTCTGTTTGGGTTTTTTCATTTTGAGTTTTTTCATTTTCACAGGGCCCGTTTTATCTTCAGCTGGCTCATCTTGGAACAACGGGGCTGACACACTATGGATTGGCATTGGTGGGGAATCTGGCTTTTCCGAAATATCAATACTAGTTCCTCGAATAACAACAGGTCCCGCACTTTCCATATCGTCATCCAGCTCGAAGGACACTTTTGCACCAAAGCGCAAACGGTCGATCTTTTTGCGTTCCGTCTCATCCTGTTTCTGCTTGCTCACTTTGGCCAACTTCTCGTTGGACAAGACATCATTACCTTCTCCAAGCAAGTCCTGGTCTTCCAACGTAAAGACATCGCCATCTGCCACCTCTGCCAAAACTTTGGCATCGTGTGCCACTTCCATTTGCGGCTCGTCATCGTCTTGGGCCGCAATCGTTTCGGGCATTTTTGTGCTCCTTTTGCCTTTCCCCAATCCTTCTAGCCAGGCGTCCGTATCCACCTCTTTATATAAGTCTGCCAGTACTTGGGATGCAGAAAATCTATTGGCAGCAGATTTAGTATTCGATGGAGTGGCATTTTTCCTTTTTGGTGGCGCATCTTCAAGTTGTCGAAGACCAAGTGATGCCCTTAGCTTATTAGTCTGCTCTATCGTAAGTTCTGAAGAGTCCCTTTCCGGACTTTTCTCTTCTCTTTCTTCAGAAACGGGAATAAGAGGAAGGCCAAGCTGGGCCCGTAGTTTATTTGTTTCTGCAATGCTTAACTCTATTTCTGCCGCCATGTCTTGTCTATGTAGCTTAGACTAAGAATGCGCATCGTGAAAACCTGGGGCACTTTTTCCTGCAGAATATCTGTGCTTGTGTTTACTGTTTGTATATTCATCCGTCGTTTGGAATCCACGCTATATTGCAATGGCAGAGATGGAATTGGCGCCATCATTACGCGTTGTGGCAGTTAAAGGCACTTCTGCTCGAAGTCCCGCTCATTTTGCCCTCAAAGATAACGTTTTAGCTTACACTGCAGGCGGAGGCATAGTCGTAAGCCATTTGGACACTAACGCCCAAATCCAGAGCCAAAGAATATACGTGGCGAACTCCGTGGTTGATGGAGGCAGCACAAACAGTCTAAGCCAGACATTTTTCGATCTTTCGCGAGAGCAGGACCAGAAAAGGGACGCCTATGGCTTTCCTATAAGCCCAATTCCAGTGACATACGACGGAAGCGGTAAGGACGGAAACGAGCCATTGAAAACACGGTCTTCTTTTGAATCCTCAGAAAGCCCACTGGGCCTGTCCAGCGCCAAGATGAAAGATAAAGTGAGAGCAGTAAGCTGCTTGGCTCTCTCGCCCAATAAGAAACTCTTGGCTGTTGGAGAATCGGGCTACCGTCCCAGAATCTTGTTGTATTCTTTGGCTCCAGATGCTACAGGCCTGCCTTTTGCTGTGATCCACGAGCACAACTTTGGTGTGCGGCATTTGGCCTTTTCCCCAGATCTGAAGTACTTTTGCTCACTAGGAAACATTTCCGATGGGTTTCTTCACGTATGGAAATACTCAGCGAATGCCATCTCTCTTAAAGCAGGAAATAAATGCTCTTCTGTGATTAATGATCTTATTTGGCATGATAATGGATCTGAATATGGACAAATTATTGCCTTGGGTCTACGTTTCCTCAAATGTTGGACATACGAACCTTCAGAGAGCAATGGGTCCAAGATTTCCGTTCTTAAAGGCCGTCCCACAGTTCTTGGGAAGTATTTGCCCTTAAATTTTAAGGAAGCGTCTCTGGTGAATACTGATGAGATTCTCTTGACCGATGGAAACATTTTGTTTGTGTACTCCCCCGAGGCATCCACGCTAGTTCCAGTTCTATACCAGCCTTCGGGGCTCAACGGACTTCTGATCAACTTTTCAAGTCAGAAAGTTTATTATTTCGATGACTCTTCGGAATTTCACACTTTGCACTTGAGCGATTTGAAAGTCATCGCAGACCCACAACTACCTAGCTCACCCACAAGGTCTCCAGGCGAACTATCAAGGAATTTACTTAATCTATCCGTCACTGCTGATCTGGGTCCCTCTAAGGTGATTAAAGCATTTACATATGACGACGAAAATTTGTTGTATCTAACCAACCATGAAACCATCTGCATATTCAACAAGCAAAAAGAGACTTCACATTCTGCAATCGGAGCCCCAAATAAAGCACTTACAGGAATGAAAAGATCCACATCGGGAGACATCCTTGTCTTTTCAAAGGATGGTGACGTTTCTCTTCTTTTGCCTGACAACACATTTCAAAATTTGTTCAATCATACATTACCGAAAGTCGAAACTATAGCCAATGAACTTACAGCTGTTGAATACTTCAAAGACTACTTGTTTATCGGGGATAAGTTTGGGCAGTTGACCATTTGCGACCGAACGGATAATTCCTGGAAGACTGTTTTTCAACTCAAAGCTCACGCCTCTACAATAAACCATCTTGCATCTTTTGAGGTGGGCAAGTACATTGGTCTTTGCAGTATCTCGCGAGACCGAATGATCCAACTTTTCGTTTGCAATGAAGGTTCGTGGTCCTTGCTACAGACCTTACCTACTCATAATGGAAATCTCCTTGATGTGCGAATACTGGCTTCAAATCTATTCGTGTGCTCTGCTGACAGGACAGTTTCCATTCATGAACTCAAAGAAGTGCCAGATCAATCCGGCCAAGAAACGATTTCAGTTACTCAAAAAAGAATCTTGATTTTGAAAAGTACTCCACTTGCTATGAGCTTAAGCTCTTCTGAGCTTTATGTTTCCACAAATGACAAGAGCATCATTGTTTATGATTTGAGCTCTCTAGAACAAAAGAGAGTGCTCAAACCCTATACCGATAAACACAATGAGTCATTAAACGCAGAGGATTTCTTACTCTTGCCGAAAACTTTGATCGCTATTGCATCGTCTGACCGCTCACTTCGTTTGTTCAATTCTGTATCGGGAAAACATGTTTCGGTGGGCTGGGGCCATTCGGAACCAATTCTAGGTTTAATAGAGAGAGACGATTCCATTTTGTCTTTGGGAGCTGATGGATGTCTATTTGAATGGATCATTGATTCGAACTCGAACGAAACTCTTGGAACACATCTCGACTCCCCATCTAAAGACACCACTCCAGAAGCTTCGCCTCTATATGGTAAAGTTGCAAGGAAGATTATACCTACGCCGCAGTCCCTGACCTATCTGTTGTCTCCAAGGAGGCAACCAAAGTTTGATGAGAATTTGCCATCGGAACCTGAATCGCCTACTCCTAAACTTACGAGTGCAACGCTTAAAAGACTCGAGGCTAAAAGATTGAGTGCGGGAACATATGGAACTACGAGCAAAACCTCTCCCAGTTCCAGCATTAGGACCCAAAGATTACCTTACTCATCAACTAATTCCTCGTCTATTGCTCGAGCTGCTTTGCGAAGCCCTCTGCCCAAAGTATCTCTTGAAAGGGGCTCTCCGTCATCTCAAAAAAAATCTCCGTTCGCTTCGCCTTCTTCACGTCGTTCTACTTTTGCTCCAAAAGCTGTGTCGCCTTTAAGACTTTCTCAACCATCCCAGACAAACGATACACCTTCCTTTTCCAACCTTGAGTCCACAAACTTTGCAGCACCATCTTTGCCGCCACCTTCTCATGCTCAAGAATCTGATGCCTTAGAAAGAGCTCTAGCTTACTTGGCAATCATAAAATCACATGTTGAAAAGCATGTATTTTCCCAGACAGAACAACAACGCCTACAAGCAGAAATGAAAGGTATTATGAATATATTGGGGACGCATAATACAAGGAGTGAGGAAGATATCTTAGAGGATTACAGCTCTAAGTTATTGGCATTGATGGCGCAGAAGATAAGCAAATAGAATGCACGCCCAAACCACTATTCCATGCGTCTCTATAAATAAGGGTTGTTGGTTACTCGTCGAAATCATCATCGACATCATCATCGTAGTCATCTTCATCTTCGTCCTCGTCAATTGAATCTTCCTCCAAATCTTCTTCGTCACTAAAGTCTTCAGTATCATCTGCTTCCAGAGCAGGTGACGGATTCTGGTTGGCGTGTTCAAGTTGTTTTTCATCTGTTGCAACATCACTCGAGTCGTTTTCATTGTCTGACTCGTATGATACAACTATGGCAGAGGGATCCACATCGTACTCATTATTTCCGTACTGTTCAAAAGATGTCAACTTTGTGAAACACCTAGGACATAACTCTGCTCCCTCGACATCATTTTCAATGTGGTTGAAGCGAGTTGCTATGCAAATGTAACAGAATATATGGCCACAATTTGTCACAAATGGATTTGTAACCTCCGTACTGGCAACTTTCGTACCAATCACTTCTCTTCCCTCACAACAAATGGCACATTGTGACTCGGGCAACTCTGAGTATTTCGACTTTAAGTTCATGACGGACGAGGCTCGGTTATTTGTCGTCCGAGCAACCAATCTCTTGAATGCTTTTTTGACCTTATTGAGTTGAAGTAGCGGCAATATAAAGACAAGAAACTCAGTCATAACGTTCCATACCAACTGCCGATTCTGAAATTCAAAATTGACATTATCACCATTGAACTTAAGCAAGTCGGCAACTATCGGAGTTGGTATCACGCCTAGAACCCGGTAAAGTAAAGTCGGAAATCTGCCATAAACAATGAATGCAACAAAATTGGCCAATTTCATGAGCTTGACGGTACTGTCAACGAATTTGAGCAAATTTGCCCTCCGGCTCACAACACTCGTCTTGATCTTTTCCCAGAGAGTTCTAGCATTAGCAAAAGATTCTGTCTCTGTCGCATATAAGAACGACTGGATTTTCTGGAAGAAATATTCACCGAATATGATACTTAGGAAAAGCAATTTGGTACGTTTGCCTATCACTTTCCCCGTTTGAGAATTAGTCAACTTCAAGTTTTGAAGCTTCAATCCGTAGGAGGATCCGCTTTTGGCCACAGTGAGTTTAAAAAGGAGCAATTTGAGCAAGAGCGACCATAATTCTGGCTGTTGACTATACGACCATGCTTTACCGGAGAGCGGTTGAAACGCTTCGGCAAGCTGTTGCTTGAGTAAGCCAAATAGTTCACCATCCAAAATATGGGCATCTAGTTGAGACACCCGGGGAGAAGGATATAGTGGATGCATGATTTTTAGTTGGGCATTGAAACTCCTCCTTAAGTATAAGCTTTATGCTTCTCCACAATTTCCTCCTCGGTAGTGTAGCTTCTCTGTATGCACTACTCGAAATTCGCAAGAATATTATGGGCCATTTCTCGCACCAAAACCGAAGAAGCTTGCGAAATAATAGAAGACATGGCAAGTTTCGTTTCTCCTGCAATCGTAAGGGTTGGGAAAATATTTGTCTTTCTAGCATAACTCAAAACGTAATTGAGAATACGAAGTAGGGACAAAGTCACTGCAGGGTTTCGATGCACCTTCAATTTTTGAAGCATACTAGTGATCGTTGAATCTCGAGCCATTAGTCTTGTGGCGACGGTATTCGTGGATACTAAAGACAAATAATTGTCCAACACCGCTTCCAAGTTTGAGACTTGTGTCATCATGAACCCACTCACCAAGCAATTTTGTGCTCTAGTAGAATCAAGCCAGTTAAAAGTGGGATCCTCTGATGCCCAGTGCAAGATTGAATCCATGGCATTGGAGTGCCAGTACGGATCGAGTAAAAGATTGAGATATGTGGTGACAACATCGTGTTTGAGGAGAACCTTCCGTACGCTGGCATCGCAGTATGCAAATTCACAAAGTATCGGAAGAACGAATTGCCTGAATGGAAGATTGAGCTTAGAGAGGTCTCTCAATAAGGGAACGGCTCCAAGTTTCACAATCTCCCATTCTTTATTATGATTCAAGTAACAGCAGTTGTAAAGTGATGGACATGCAATATTGACAACTTCTTTATAGTGCGGAGTAGTTGGGGTGTACTCTCGTAAAATCGTGACATAGAACTCGAGAATATCTGCTGAATACAACGGCTTTAGTAACTCAGACACACACGACATAGATCTAAAAAATTTTAGAAGGGCAAGTTGTCTAGGGAATGAAAGGGATGGATAAACCATTATTAGGAGCTTGAACAAATCTGGGTTGGAGATGTTAATCCTAACTCTAGGCTCTGCTTGACCAAAGAACTTCACAACTTCAAGAATCTTGTCGATAGTTTCTTCGATAAACGAACTTGAAATTGGGGATTTATCATTCTGTTTGTACTTTGTCAACCTGTTGAGCAAAACGACAAACCAAAAGACGATACCGTACTTTGAAAGAATTCTGCACATGTCCGACTTAAATCTTGTCAAATCTTTTGAAAGAATTTCATGAATGCAGTGGATTGCCACTAATGGGAAATCAGGAGAAAAATCAAAGTCTTCCTCCAAAAATCTTGATAGTATCTTCAAACCGCCCGAAGAAACAAACATTAGGAGCGCTTTCTCTGACTTTCGCAAAATTTTGACAAACTTAACGACTTGTAACCGAACAGGGAGACCAAATGAGAGCTTAGAGAACTGTGTTATCATAGGTATTCCACCCAAAAGGGAGAAGTTTTCGATTTGAGCAATATTGTTATCGAAAATCACATTAAGTGTTGCCAAGACATGAAACCATAGTCTATGTTGTTCTATTAGGTCCGAACTATTATCAAGTAATTCCATCATCGTTAAAACACCGTGATCTCGAATGAAAACGTCATGCAGACTTGGATATTTTTTGCTAAGTTGATGCATCCGGCCAGTAATTTTCACCAAGGATTTCGTCACCTCTTCATTTTCCAAGTGGGAACTCGTAACCCTATTGGCAAGTTTTGTGATGAGGAACTCCATCTTGCCCTGAATTTCCAACTCGTTTGTATCGAAGTTCTCGATGTCAAGCTCAAGAAATGGATCGTGTTCGTCAGTTTCTGGGCTAATTTGTATATGATTAGGGGCTAGTTTCAAGTTTAGAGATTGTTTTCCTACCTCAAATTCATTTGCCAGATTGTCAGAACCTTCTGAAAATTTGGATAATAGTTCCATTCTCGAAAAGTTTTTCTTCGGTATCTCTTTTGTTTCTGGTATTTCATCATTGCTAAGACGAAGCTCTGTTGGCAGGATAACTCTCGGCAATATCTGCCTATTAGATTTGAGGTCGACAAATTCTTTTTCCCAATTCTCGTCTTCGTTATGATCTGCTATCGCTTTCATCACTTTACTATGCACTGACGAGATGTTTTGCAGTGTGTCGGCTGAGGATTTGTCCGAAGATTTTTGTTGTATCCACCTATGCTTCAAGAGCATATGTGCGCTGATTCTGAGGTTCGGTTGTTTCTGGAAACATTCGAGCAAGAAATCTCGTGCTATAGGAGATAGACCAGCTGGGAGTGGCGGGTGCTCGTCAACACCAATTGCATGTAACGTGGCCATAGGATTCAAGTCGTGGTAAGGAGGATTCATAGTGAAGAGCTCAATGATAGTTGCTCCTAACGACCAGATATCTGAAGCTGTACAGATTCCATCGCCGCCTAGAACAGTTTCAGGAGCCATCCAGTTAGGGGTTCCCACCACCGTGGAATGCAGAGTCGTTACCTTTGTTGCAACACCAAAATCAGCAAGCTTGACTTTTCCAGACTCAGTGAGGAGTACGTTCGCCGCCTTGACGTCACGATGCACAACACCTTGCTCGTGCAAATAGCTAAGACCTTTCAATATTGGGTTGACGTAGGAAACAATCTCAGCTTCTGGAAGACCATGACCCATTCTTTTATAAAGCTGCCTCAAGGATCCCCCCGCACAGTACTCGAGAAAGACATTTAGAGACGTGGGCGTCTTGACAAAACCATGATACTTGACGATATTGGGATGCTTTAAGATCTTCAAAAGATCAATCTCGCCCATCAACGCTCCAAGATCATGGTCACGGTCCAAAGTGATCTGCTTGACTGCCACCACTTGGTTTGTCTTGAGGTTAATGCCCCGGTACACGTCAGCATAAGCACCTCTGCCAATTTTCTCAAAGAACTTGAAGTTATCAAGAGCATTTTTTGGTTTCATACCGGTGTGTTTTTCTACTCTTTGGGCTGGAGTAAAGGAGACCTTTACTGCGGATGCAGCATGCGGTGCTTTTTCGTTGGTTCTCTCTTGTCTTTTTTGTGCCGAATGTCGTTCATCTTGTGAGGAAGCTTCTTTGTGTCTCTCTTTTGTTTGCAAAGAGCTGCTGAAAAATGGAGATTCGTGAGCAGATATCGGTCTCTGAGGAAACCCCGATTTCGCTGACTGCAGCAGCTTAGGGAAGTGATCCACCTCCATGTCAAGAGACATTTGCATCTTCTTGAGGAACGGAGATTCGCTCTTCTGCAGATCCATATCAACCAAGTCGACGGAACGAGGATTGGAAACAGAAATTCCCGAAACATGGCTGAACTTGGAGAACGAAAGGTTTGCGGACGCGGTGGAACCTAAATTGAAATCATGATCAAATTCTAAATCATTGTTCTTTTCTTGAAACCGCTCTAGTATGGAAAGTTTGCTTTTGCTATCCGAGGAGTGAGAAGATGACATGGAGCATCAGGGATATTTTTTGTCTCGATCTTTTGACAGTTGATCTTTGCAGTTTTCGTAAGTAGTTGCTGGGAAAGATCTTTGCAATTGTAGGCGTCTATGTTGGTGCAGTCTTGATGTTATGGTGAGTTTGTATGTAGTTGAAGACATAACGCGCTCAAAAAGTAAGAGGGTAGATTCATGATACAACTGGACTCGCTTATTTTCCTTCTGATTCTCATTTTTTGTTAGATATTGACGTTTCAGGTGTAGTAGATTGAGCTTTCTAATGCCATTCTCGTAAGAGAATTAAATATGGAATTTTCTTTCATTATTTTTATGTCAATCTATAGACGTGCTAGAATGAAATCTATCGTGAAGAAGTTCAGAATAATTTAATTGACTGTCTACCGATGATCATCAGGGCATATTTAAATAGAAAAAAGTCAAGAAAGCAAACAAATTTGTCATTCTGGTTCTGCTGGGTATTCCGCCTTTGGTCCCATTCCTATGAAAAACCCGATAATCGAAGGTTATAGACACAGCCGATGGTGTCTTTTCTTATGGTAGTGATGCTTTTTCATTACCTACGATTGATAGCAGATGACACTTATTGGCGACTAGCCTCAAAGAAGAACTGACTTCAATAAATGTTAGCTTCATTTGCTTGAGTTACACAACTCTTTCATTACCCGGGTTTTTGTTTTGCATTCCGCTAGATTTCTGAGAAGGTGTTACCCCGGTCTATTGCATACTTCAATCGTTTTTAAAGTCGAAAACGTCTGGCAACCGCAGTATGTGTAGTTAGAAAAGTTGGGTTAACTCTTGGAATCGGTCTTTCTGCTTTCACTGCAGCAATTTAGAATTAGAGTATTTCTCTTACCTACGGAATGACTTTAATTTAGCTAACTTCGTGTACGAGAATGAATTTGGACGTTTCAGACAGAGCAGGCACTACGAGAGTATGGTAAAGGTCAATATAGTGAGAAACAGAGTATTGAGAATATATTTCAATTACTAAAGCTTTGGCTCTGCCAATTTCGTAAGCAACTTGCCAGGTGCCTTTGTGTCGGAGAAAAGAAGCCCCCAAGTCTTTGGAATCAATGTAAAGCCATCATTCTTTTTGCTCAAGTCCATCAAAGTGTATGTCGGAGGGTCGTATTTGATCTTTCCCTCACGAATCCACTTGCCTAGTTCCGCCATTGCCTTCGGATACTCCTTTTGGAAATCAAGTACAATGAAGCCCTTGACATTGAGTCGATTGGTGATAATTTGGCCCCAGTTGCCCAAAAGACCATTTTTTGGATTATTGTATCCTGCAATTGCCCCACAAGCAATTACTTGGCCAAACGGCTTGACAAATGTGAGCATGACGTCCAAAATTTTCCCCCCGACACCATCGAAAAACACGTCACAGAACTTGCCGTCTAAAGCCTTTTTCATGTCTTTTGCAAATGTCGGTGACTTATAATCAACACATTCGTCTGCACCAAGCAGCTTAACAAAGGCACATTTTTCTTGTCCGCCAGAAATGCCCACAACTTTGCACCCAATGATGTTCTTGGCGATCTGAACACACATGCTTCCTGTAGCACCCAGTGCTGCCGAAATTACAAGCGTGTCTGATTTCTTCAAATCGGCCACATTGAGAAGACCAAAGTATGCAGTGAGCCCAGTGGTTCCCAAAACGTCCAAGTACAACGGAAGCGGGAGCCTCTTGTCTGTGATTTTGCTGAATATAGATGCATCATTGACAAGCAGATACTCGGCCCACTGCACAGTTGCATTGACAATATCGCCTGGAACCAAGTTGGGGTTTTTCAGTTCCACCACCTGGGCCAATCCCACAGAACGCATGATCTGGCCCTGCTTAACAGGCTCCACGTACATACGGTCGGGCCGGATTCCTTTTTGGATCCAAGCTCTTTGCGTCGGGTCGTTGGAAAAATATATATTCCTCACCAAAGCCTGGCCTTTTTCTGGAACAGGCATCGGCTTGGTGACTAGCTTGAAAGTGGCATTTTCGCCTTCCCCAAATTCGACAGACGAAACAGGTGGATTGGCGAGAATAAAACAGCGGTTCGACATTTCACAACTGAGTTGAAATTGCTATTGGTTATGGTGCTGATTGAATTCCCTATATATATGCGCTACCCCACATTCCGCAGATGGCCCGCGGTCTAGATACTACATGGCTCCAACTAACATTGAACGCCTCAATGGACTGGACTTTTTTTCGCTGCTGGGATTGTCAATCTCTCTAACTTTTCTTTGTGATGGCTTTGGTCTTCTCGAGATGCCATCTTTGCTCATGCGCATGAGCCGGGGTCTCGGTCTATGAAATAAGCGGGGAAGAGGTTGAAGAACTGTACCATCAAATGCCGATGCTGGGCAAACTCCTGCAAACTCTTAGCCCATAATGTGCTTCAAATCTACAATAGGATCTACAACGTCGTTCTTCGTACTCATTTTATTGGTCATTAACGTAATTAAGCAATCTTGGTCACCAACTTACCCTTTGGCTTCTCGTCGGTGAACAACTTGTACCAAGTAGATGGAACCTTCTCCAATGGGTTCTCTTCCTTGCTGAGGTCCTCAACATGGGCACCTTCAGTGACAGAAATCTTGCCCTCCTTGATAGCACCAACAATGGCAGCGATACCTTGAGGGAACTTGGCAGTGAAGTCACTGACAATGAAACCTTGAACAGTCAATCTGTTAGTGACGATTTCTGGCCAAGAGGTGACGGCAAACTTGCTGCTGTCGTTGTAGCCAGAGATGGCACCACATGCAATGACACGGCCGTATCTCTTAATGTGCTTCAAGGCAAAACTCAACATGTCACCACCAACATTGTCGTAGTACACATCGACGTAGTCCTTGCCAATGTACTCGGACAACTTGGTCTTCCAGTCATCGTTCTTGTAGTTGACGCAGAAGTCGGCACCCAAGGACTCGACCCACTTGCACTTTTCGTCACTTCCGGCAATACCGATAACCTTGGAAGCCTTCAAAATGTGCTTGGCAATCTGCACAGCCATGGAACCGGTAGCACCGGAAGCAGCAGAGATAAGCACAGTTTGGCCCTCCTTGAGCTGGCCAACTTCAGACAAACCAAAGTAAGCAGTCAAGCCGGTCATACCCAAACTGGACAAGAAGACTGGCAATGGCAAACCAGAGGAGGTGTCAACCTTGTTGAAGATACGAGCCTCAGAGACGGCAATCTTGTCTTGCCAGCCGAGCAAGCCAGAGACAATATCGCCCTTTTGGAACTTGGCGGATTTCGACTCCAAAACTTCACCCAAACCAAGGGATCTGACAACATCACCCTTGACCATTGGAGCTTGGTAGGATCTGGAAGTGTCCTGGTTGGCAGCCATCCAGGTTCTTTGAGTAGGATCATTGGACAAGTACAAAACCTTAACCAATAATTCTCCATCCTTCAATTCAGGAGTAGAGTCGGATTTGTCCACCTTGAAGGTGGAGTCTGGCTCGCCGTAAGCCAAGTTAACTTTGCCGGAAGGAGGGTTTTCAAGAACAATCAGAACCATGATAAAAGTGTGTCAATTGTGTTTTGTGATGAGAAATCTAAACAATGTCTACGTGCTTGCTATCTTATATACTTCGGCCCTCGGATCCAAGTCGTCTATATGCAGCGTGGAATTACTAAGCATGTCGGCATCGGCAGTTAAACTGTGAAGCCGCATGAAAGCCAAAAAAGAAAGAAAAAGAAAACCGGCGAACAAACAGTCAATTGAAGCAAAATATTACAAATCAAGACAGCTAGTACATGTTTCAATGCCCACCACAACACGAAATGTCTTCATTTCTGCTGATTTGGTTGTTTTTTTTTTTTTTTTTTTGTCTTGCTTTTTTCTTATACCGCTGTCCTCTTCTCCTTTAACGAGCAAAGGCCGAACGAAAAGGTACCTGAATCCTGCAAGGCGGAAACATTACCCCGACTTCTCGAATGTTCGCAGTCGATGCGCCAGCTGCAACAATAGTTTTCTAATATGACCATACTGCGCCTGCTTGGAAACGGTGGTACCAAAATTTCCTGGCGCGTTTGCTTTCGCATTTCCTCTCTGTTTTTTGTCTTCTTTATTGTTCCGGTAGACGCTCATTCGCCGATGCATGCCGGTGAATGAATATTACATCAGGGGTTAGAAAAGCAATGGAGTGAGCAACTATAAATATGGTGTGGGCGAACTAGGTGGTATGTGAACTACTTGATCTAGATGGGAGTTGTGGGAGTTGTTGATGTTGTATTTTGTATTTGCTCTTGTTTTGTTGTTCTTGTTCTTTGTCGGGCCTTCAGTTTATGCGCTACGTGTTGTTTTGCCCATCTCATCTCTACACGAAGACTTGTACGCAGATACACTTTGCCATCTCTGCATTAGTTCCCGTCATGGCAAAATCAATCAACAATAAGCCAACTATATGGCAATGAATACCTCAAAACGTACCTGTCTATCTGAAGGATACGGGATTCTTTCGATATGGTGATTTCGTTCTCCGGGTATGAGCTAGTTCATACTAGTAAAAAGATGGCCCGCCCGAATCAAAATTTCTTGCAAGTGGCTCTCTTGAACTTTTGTTAACAACCAGTAGACTTTCTCAAATGTATGAGATACATTTCGTTCTGTCACGTTTCCTCCACTTGCTTGGTTCTACGGGAGTATGTTAGTACAGTATAATTCTACTCTATCCACCAACGATGGTGTCTCCAGAAACAAACATTGATTATACATTTACTCGCGCAGAGCAATCTCCTCCTTTTTCCAACTAAGCCAGTTTTCGTCGCCCGTCTTGCGGGGCTTGACAAGACGTGCGGTCAACAAGACCAACGACAAGATAATACAGATTCCGCCACATACGATCCATGCGTATCCCAAAAAGTAATTTTTTCCACCAATAGCTGACCGCTGTGAAAGGAAAATAAGTTTCTTGCCCTTGTAAGGCAAAACAGGGAAGTGTAAGCCGATAGACACTTCGTAGATTCCTTCCTCGATAGCTTGATTGTCGTTGCGCATGACCATTTTGTTGAAGTTGGGCAATCCCGACGTGAACATCCAGTTTTGGAACTCTTCCCACTTCAGAATGTCTGGGACATTGGTCGCATTGTATCCGTTGGGGAACTTCTTGATCCAGTTACGAGGAGGAGAGATATCACGGTAATCGTATTTCGTCTTCTTGAAGCGGTTGCCGTTGGACTTCCATGCAATGCCCTTTGTTGTCATTTCGTAGTCAGAGGAGCTTCCATTCACTGCCTGCAAAGTATTGGTGAACGTGTCATTGAAAAGGGAGTTGGCAATCAAGCCGCATGGGTAGTACTTTTTTCCGTTCTCGTCCAACGAGAGTGGCTCGCAGTTCAATCCAACCGTGTCCTTGATCTGGCTCACTGACGCTGCAGTACCTTTGAGCTGGTCCTCGGAGAAAGACTTGACGTACCTTCTATGGTTTTGGTGGAATTTTTCCAAGCGGTAAAAAAAGTAAAGCGGGCCCTTGATCTTGTGAGGCACATGGAACTGGATCCGACACACGTTTTTCTCGTCATCGTATGCCTGGGTCTCATCCACATCCAACTTCCACTGCGCAGTCGTCACATCGGCGTACTTGGTGTTTTTGAAGTGGTATGTGGTGTAATTTGCCGGGATCGGCGACCAGTGGTCCCGTGACGCCTCCACTTCGCACTGGGAGTAGTCGATCATCATGTCTTCGACTCGGTGAGAAGCCAACCACATGGCGCCTCCGAGCGGAATGAAAATGATTCCGATAAGCATAAGAATGGGTGTGACCGTTTTGAAAGAGAACACAGGGTTGACAGCCTTCAATCTCTGCTGCGAAAAACTGTTCTCCGGCGGCCTTCTGTTCTTCTTCTTGAGTTCTATCTCATCCTCTTCTTCTGACTCCGACTCGGATCCTCCGCCTGAACTGTAGTCGGCTTGGGCGCTGTCATCAAATGGCGATTCCATGGTTTCTCTGCTGTTGTGCCCCGTGGCATGACCCGGCGGAGCTTGCATTGTTTCTTCGGCAGACATCAACAAGTTGTCGCTGTCTTTTGTGATAAATGCAGAAGAGGAACTTCCGGGCCGCGGGCGCACGTGACTCGGCTTTTCTCCGGACCGGGTTTCACTTGACATACCACGCTACAGCGGTTTGAGAAAAAGTGACAGTGGTGGCGACACAGAGTTACATTTGCTCAAAGCGTCTTTTCTCTATTGCTTGTCTTCTATAGTTTATCTGTACTGATGCGACCAGCGCCTTTGTTCCCATGGAGATAACAGTTGAGGATGCGCGCATAAAACGCACGAAAAAAGAAAAGCATAAAACCGTTACCTGCCTATATTGCACCGTTGATTCTATGGCGGAGAGAAACCGGTAAAGTGTTTTGCATGTCTTGTTCGAAAACCAGTATCAGACGCGTTTCCGCCAATTTATCAACTTCGATGTTAGCTGTATCAGGATATTGTAGAATCGACTTTAACGGTATGCGAACCACGACGTTCGTTTTGATCTTGTCTTCGAACGAATAGTACTGGAACTTGAATTGAATTTCCTTTTCCTCAGTCTTCAATATGCTTAACGGATATTTGAGAGCTATTCTGTACATGTCCTCGTCAATCAATGTTAGCTTGTCCCATTTTTTGCGGAAGTTGATGAATGATTCAAAAATATTGGTAAATCCCGTCGCCTCCACCAAGTCCAGACAGTAGTACTCAAGTAGCTTGGGATTGTACAACACCTTGTTTTCCAGATTCAATAAGCGAAACATGATGCTCTCGGACGCCTCGGGTTTCGAAAAGTCAATCGTCACTCCAATCTCGGAATTAAACTCGAATTCATCAATGTGCTCAGAAATGCTCTTCACAAACTTTAAGCCCGCTGCAGCTTGAAGAAGTCGTGACTTATTCTTGAGAATGTCAATTTCTTTTGTGTTGAAGTGCTTAGTTTCATCAAGTTGATTTTCAGCTGCGGAAATCTCCTTCTGCAAACCTTGGATCTCATCATTACGCAAACGAATTTGATCTTCTAGATTGTGTAACTCCTCCTCCTTTTCACTTATCTTCTTTTTATGCTCTAAAAGTCGGTTATTCAACTCCGTAAGTTGCAACTTGATTCTCTTGATTTGGTTAGCGTCTAAATCTTGGAACGTTGATTGAATCTCTTTAAATTGCAACACCTCAAGGCGCAAGGCCTGAGATTTTCTGTGCATCTCATCATAAAGTCCATCGAGAATTGTAATATTATTGATGAGAATTGTTTTGTCCGATTGCAAGATTTCCAAGTTGCCCTGGAGCACTTCCAAAATGTTTTGTATTAGTTTGCTTCGCCACTGGTACCATATCAGCTTTGCCTGTTGCCGTGTGTACTCTTTCAAAAGGTGGAAGCGGGCTTTTAACATCATTTGGTCATAGAAAGAGGCGCGGTAATAAAGTTTGAATAACTCAGGGTTATCATTCAGTGTCTTTTCTTGAAGCTCGTCAAATAATTTCTTACCTTGCTGGATTTTTCCCGCTAGTTCTTTACAACTAAGCTCATAAACTTCCAAAAGAGGAAGTTGAATATTCGCACGGTAGTAGTCTTCCTTCAGCTTTTCCTCAGCAGACTCCGATATCGAGAGTGTTTGCCTTGTGGATAGGTCTATTCTAAATTCTAAATCGTCGTAGAATTTGATTCCAATTTCTTTCAAGAAATCTGTAAGTGTGAAGTGAGGGATTGGGGTATTCCAGCGCTCATTGTCGCTGTCATCAGATTGCATCGATACATCTGCTAGTGGGATTGTGGAAGTAACAACTTGTGTTTCCCAATGCGGTTTCTTCTGAAACTGTGCTGTTGTCGAATCAGCTTTCCTTTTCAATTCGGCTGTTTGTTCTGCATTTGGCCCATCCATATCGGGCGTGACCGTCTGGTATAGAAATTGTTCGTTTCGGTGGATCAGGATTCTCGGTGTGACGCTGGTATCAGCTGGATGAGTCATGGACGAAGGAGATTTGGGGTGGGAAACATCCTCAGAATTTGTGCCTTCGTTTGTTATTATTAAAGGTGATTGCTGGGTTAAATCATTCTCTTCACCTGTCCTTTTCTGTGTTGAGCTTCCGTTTGCTTCTGGTGAGTTCTTCACTTCAGATGAATCCATTGTAGATAAACGGTCATTGATTTCTGAGTTAATACGGTTCTCAACTTCTGCAGTCAGTATGCCATTACTAGCGTCATCATTAGTGGTATTAGCATTTCTTTGACCGGACTGTTTATTTGTAAAGGCATCTCCGTTTGGTTTTGAAGACTGTAGAGTGAAGTCTGCTTTGTCCATTGGCATCATAGGTTGTGTTAACTCCATGGGTTCATCTTCATCTCCTTCGGATAGGACAACGCTCGGGAAAATGGGACTGAGCACAGTAGGATCCAGAGGATGTGAAGGTTCTTTCGGTTTTTCATAAACTTTGGTGAGATCCATCGTGATCTCCTCCTGAGTAGCTTGTGGAGATTTTGTAATTTGATCTGGGTTCAGATCGAGATTGTTCGAGTGGGTACCGTTTTGCGTTTGAATGGCAGGAGCCTGAGCCTGTGGTATCTGAGTTTGGTTTGTCAAATCCATAGTTACTTCGTCTTCCTGGATGTCAGCGAGCGCGGGAGGATGAGTGACGGTGTTGGGCCCTTCATTTTGGTGTTCAGGATTTTGTGTGCTGGTTGCTTGTATATCCAGGGCCTGAGACGACTCCTGCAACAGTCCCTCAGCGCTATTGGTGGAGGGCAGAGTCGGGTTCGTGATGGGATATGCATTAACAGGCGTGGTCAAATCCATATCCTCCTCGTCTGGGTACACAGAGGAGCCATGGGAATTTTGTGTCTCTGGTTGAATGCTCGTTGGCGTGTTTTCTCTTAGGTTGGCTGATTCAGGCTCTTGTGTTTCATTGTGTGTATCTTGTCGCCCGTTCTCTTGTGGCAGTTGTATATCCAGGGAAATTTGTGGTGGGTCTTGCTCTGTGGATGTTTGCCTCTGAGTTCCGTCGGCCGCCTTGAATTTCAGAACCCCGTCAAGCTGATCGGGATCTACAATGGGCGCAATCTGGCCCGTGAGATCCATTGTCTCTTCCTCTGAATCATTAGGTTGTTGATCCGAAATGGCTTCCGCTATGCTGTCAGCGGCTTGTTCGAGCCTCAGAAAACTTTCGTCAAAGTCTTCGCTTTCTGAGTCGCCATCGCTCGAGTTGCCTTCGGCCGTGCTTCCTTGAGACACGGGGACGATATCGATTTGATGGAGCTTCACCTTTTCTGCGAAAGAGACCCGTCTATTTTGAAGCTTGAGCAGCGCATCCGAAGGGCTGTCATTGAGCGGGACCGATGTCGTGGAGGCATTGGTGTTTTTGTTTTTCAATATGCTTTTTGCTGGAGTTTTGCGTTCGGCCGTATCATCGTCTTCCAATGTCATTTTGGGATGAGTTTGTGAATACATGTGAGCGCGCTCTGTGTTTTGATTTTCGCATATGATTCTGGATCGAGAATCCCAACTGATGCATGAACATAAATCTACATTTTGCTTGATCTTCTCTTTAGGAGCATTGTATGCGTTTAAAGCTTTGATGCTGAATGTTTATGTAGTTTTTGGCCCAGTGCCAAAGATACCGTTCGCAGTTTTTCCTATATGTGCCAGAGAAATGCGTTTGTCTTATCACACAAACAATGAGAATGAAGATTATACATTTTTCACATCCATCAAACGTCGATCATGCTGGACTTCTTCAATCCATCATTTATTCATTCCATCATATTCATTCCATCATTTATTCTTTTTCATTCGATTCTACATTGATTCTAGTCAAGTCGATCTAGGCACCGGGCCCCACCTGCAGTACCCCTACTTATCTCTATTTATCTACATTGGCCAAGAGGATGCAAGAAACAGATTCAAAAGCGCAAGCGAAAGCAAGTTAAAGCAAAACAAACACAGGAACCGTGCCAGCAATCCGAGGGCTTTTTCGTCGAGTGGAGTTTCCCTTTTAGGCAAGCATCTCCGCTGGACCTCCCCCGGATTTTAAAAAAGTGCGAGTGCGCCCTCGGTTAAAGGGAATTTTATCATAAGCTCCACAAACATTTGCACCTTATATAATCTACAAACTGCACCTTCTCCACACACCTTGTGCAAGCAAAACAGCAAAGGCAAAAAGACTAAGCAGGCCATTTATATTCTATTCCCAAACTGAACCTCGACGCAATGGTTGCTGACACACTTATCTACCACCCCACACTTAACAAGCTCATTCGCTTCTTGGACAGCACCCCGAAAAGAGAAAAAGCCTTCCGGTTGGTGGCGTACTTGTCTCGGTTTTTGTCCTACTACTTACAAAGAACAGGCTACCCACGGCTGGTGGTGCAGCAGTTTTTGGATTTGAAGCAACATGCTACGTTCATCAGAAAAGGCTTGCGTTTCTTGAAGCCTTTGAACCACTTGCAGACGGCGTCGAAAGCATACGACAACAAGCTCCAAGACAGCGTTTTGCAAGGAACCACAGTGGTGAGAAACTTGGCCTACGCCGGTTACTTGTCCTTGGACACCATCACCTGGTTCAAGATGTTGGGCCTCGTGGACAAGAAGAAGCTTCCCAAAGTGGCCAAGTGGGCGTCGCAGTTTTGGCTTCTCGGCTTGGTTGCGGGCGTGGTCAATTCGCTCAGAACTTTGCGTCTCAACGCGGCCAGGTTGGCGTCCGCCGACGAGAAAACCGACACCAAGGCCATCTCGGACAAAATCTACCAGGCCAAGCGCAAGCTTGTTTGGGACCTCTTGGACTCGTTCATTTGCCTCAACACCCTTAACTTCTTGCACTTTACCGAGGGCGATGTTGGTTTTGCCGGGGTGATTACGTCGATTATGGGCTTGAGAGACTTGTGGGCTGCCACATGAGTATTTATTGTATGTACAATTTTAGGCCAAGCTACTAAGACGGGTGCGAACGTTTTTGCATGGGCCGTATTTTGTATTTTCGCCAGAGTGCGGGGATCCACACCCGTGCACCAGCACACAAATTTTGGCTCATCGCTCACCAGACTCTTGGATGATGCAAAAGTTGACTTTGGCACAAATGGACAAGTCCGACGCTATTGTGCACCATAGGCTCCATATCGGGAATATATCGGCCCAGCTCTATGCTAAAAGAGAGACTTTGCACGCTCGTTTGGAGAAGTATGGCACCATCACCAAACCCATTTCCTTCCACACCAAACCACTCAATGATTTTTATTTTGCCTTTGTGGAAATGGACATGACCGCCAAGGCGCTCGACAAATTGAAAACTGCGTTCAATGGTGTGTTGTTCATGGGCCGCAAGTTGACTGTGGCCACGGCCAAACCCGATTTCCAGGAAGAGTTCAAGCGCAGACAGGGCCCAACAAAGAAAGATGCCTCCAACCACGAGAACATTGCCCAGCGGCGTGCTCAAAGAATCACCGAGTCGCAGACCCAGTACCCATGCAACCGTGTAACAGGCGGCCCGCTTACAAGAACCGCGGTTCTCGGAGCCAACAACTCGAGCATGGGCTACCATCTTTCTCTGCATACTTTCAACAACATGAGCGGAAACACGAAGCACAAGAGCCCTTCGCATGACTTGGTGGGCTCCAAATCGTACGGCAGCACCTTGCATCCTCGCGGGCCCTTTTCCCAGCAGTATGCGAGAACCAGTGGGTTTGGCGAAGTTGTGCAAGGAAGAATCAGAAGAACACCAAGACCCACGGCGTATTTTGTGCGCAAGCAGCAGACTATGCGGATCCTCATCAATGGCGAGCTAAAACAAATCAAGTGTTACAAGACAAAGTTGTGGGGAGTCGAAAAAAACAAAACTGCTCGAGACTTAACCTATAGTTTCCACAATAACGAGTGGAGAAGTGGCGATGACCACGTTGTTGAGCGAGTGCATAAACGTACGGCAGCAACTGCTAATGCATCTTGTGGTGTAGATGGGGATCAGGCTGCAGAGTACGGGTCCCTGGCAACACATCCAGAGAAATTCGAAGCCGATGATGTACACTTTTCTCAAGAGAAGGCAAAGAATGCTGCCGTGTTGGCCAAGTTGCTTTCCAACAATGTCTTTGATAAGCCGTTGGAGATTGAAGAAGAGTCCGAGGAAGAAGATGTGACTTACGACAGCAAGGGAAGAAAGACCGCCAAGAGATTCGACTATGAGGCAGAAGGAGTGGTGAATTTTGATAATGACGAAGACGATGTCGACGCCATACCTTTAGAAGAGGCCAATTCTGTTCTTCAAAGCCTCAAAGCGCAAGAAAACTTTGCCCAAGAAGTGTACTATGACGAAGACGATGAAGGCAACGAGATTGACATGGATACGTTGGGAAAGCAGCTCACGACAGAGGCGATCAAAAAGAAGTATGACGAGGACCACGGATTTGAAGTTGTGGAAATTGCAGAGCAGAAGGCAGAATTACAAAATGAAGACAACGGCTCATCGTCCGAAGAAGACTTGATGCCGACATTTGCCCCAGCCAATACCAACACAGAAACTCATAATACACCGGCAGCACATAGTACCACGGAAACACTCCGGTCTTTGTTTAATCCAGCAGATGATGCTTCGTCAGGTTTCCAGTTGGCACTTGACGAGGAAGACATTGGCACCGAGAACTTGTTGGACGAAAAAGAACGACAGGCATTGCTTGAGCAAATCAAGTCAAAACAGGAACAGCACCAACAAGAAGTCAGCATTGCCGCGGGCAAAAGAAACAAGTACGGTTTGTTCTGGAGCCATTTCGACTCGCCGTTTTTGCAGACACAAGCACAGCTCAGCAAAATCGGCCACACGGGCGAACATATACGTTTACCTGGAGAAGAAGAAGACCAGGAAATCCGAGACGAAGGCCATGGCGAAGAAGATGCCTACGAGAGATGGTTTTGGTCCATGAGAGGCGAGATCGGCCGCGAGTGCAAGAGAAGAAAGAGAGACACGTTGAGAATGTTGAAGAAGAAAAAGGGCCCAACACGGGTGTAATTGCATTAATATAATAGAGCAGTATATTATTGTAGGTGGATTGGCGAAACAGTGACCTGACCATCACAACTGAATGGATGTAACCAGTAGTTATGAATAAGACTAGTTATGAATACGAGTAGTTATGAATAAGACTAGTTATGAATACGACTGGTAATATAACTAGTAGAGGAATATTCGCGACTAGCTCATTGACCATACTAGCGGAGATACTGGCCTTTTCGTGCAGTACAAAACCATAACCCTACTTGAGACCTATTTTGATCTCGGATCAGCGTCAACTTGCTTCCTTTCTGCTTTTTTCTTGAAGTTGCTATTTGAATCGCTCCAACTCCATGGCCACTAACGGAAAACAGTCATCCGCAGTGAAAAACACCTCCAATGAGAGCTCTGACAAGTTGCCCCAGCTCACATTGAAGAGCGTTCTTAGCGACGTTTACAATGGCGCTTACTTTATGGTGTTTGACCCACAAGCGTGCAAAGTGGCTGCGCCAATAGTTGTATCTGTGGCATCTATTCTTTGCAAGATCGTCATTTCCAAAGTCAATTATACCGAAATTGACTTTTCCACCTACATGCAGCAGATTGAGCTAGTCAATGCTGGAGCTCTTGACTACTCGCTTATTGAAGGTGACACGGGACCCATTGTGTACCCGGCTGGCTTCATTCAAGTGTACCAGTTGTTGTACTGGCTTACTGATGGCGGTGTCAACATCCAAATTGCCCAAAAGGCTTTTGGCTACCTTTTCGCCATCACTGTAGCATTTACATGTGCAGTGTACACTATGGTGGGTAACCTTCCTCCTTGGCCGTTGTATCTTCTTCTTTGCAGCAAGAGATTGGTGTCCATTTACGTTTTGCGTATGTTCAACGACTGTTTCACTACATTGGGTATGGTATGTGTCGTTTTATTGCTTCAAGTGGCGTCTTACTACGCAAATACATTGTCTGACGGCTCCATGCTCCTTCTTTGCGGAGTGGCCGCCGATGTTTTCAGCATGGCCATTTCTGTCAAGATGAATGCTTTGTTGTACTTGCCTGCGTTCATTATCGTCGTTTATTTTCTAGTTGGAGAACGCCTTTTGCGCCTTGCTGGCGTGTTATTGGTGATTCCGGCCGTGCAAGTTCTTATTGGGTGGAGATTTCTTTTGCCCTTGTTTTGGGATGAGGAGGCTCGCTACATCAGATGGACTTACCTCTCCCAGGCGTTCAACTTTGGCCGTAAGTTTTTGCACAAATGGACTGTCAACTGGAAGTTTGTTCCTGAAGAAATTTTCCTTTCGGACGAGTTTGCATTGGGATTATTGGCCGTGCATGTTATACTTTTGCTTGCGCTCATTTTGGTTCGTTTCCTCTCTCCCAAAATCATCAAGAAGCCCTTATCGAAACTTGTCAAGGATGCCATCTACTCCCCTTGCACGAAAACCACAGCACCAGGAAACTTGCTCTTGACCAAGGCTCTGGGACCACGCTTAATTCTCCTAATGTTTGCCACCACAAACTTAGTTGGTGTATTATGTGCGAGATCATTACACTATCAGTTTCTTTCCTGGTACTGTTGGCTGCTTCCATTTTTGCTTTATGTATCGGGCTCAAGTTTGCCTATTGCAGCTACAATTTTTGTCGCTCACGAGTCGTGCTGGAATGTTTATCCATCCACTCCGGAGAGTTCTAAAATGCTAGTTCTTCTTTTGGCCACAACCCTTTTGGCTGTTGTCATCAACAATGACATTTGGGGCAGTGCTACAGACGCAGATTCTGAAGAAAAAAAGACTAGATAAATTTTCATGCATTGGTGTTCGGCAATGCTCAAAGTCCATATATATAGTACAGAGTTTTTTCACAAGGACAGAGGGCTGAGAAAAACAACTCCTCTCGCGCTTGTAAATAATGGGACACCGTTCCCTGTTCGATCCTGTTGACAATCAATGACTAAAGGAAAGAAGCATGGGCAAATTAGTAAAACAGTAACTTGTAAACGAATTGAAAACCAAACCGCGGCCTAATTGGCTCCGAAGATTTGTGCAATGGTCTAATACTCTGCACATTTATTCCGCACCTTCGATCGGGTTGCCCCAGTTGAAACCGTTCATGTTCTCATTCAAGCCGTTGTCTCCACCATCCAAGAACAGCCGGAAGTCAAACTCAATATCGTCAATGCTCGAGTTACCACCCGAGCTAAAGAAATTATTTTCACCTTGACCATTTCCGCCAAGAATATCAACTGCCATCATCTTATCGCCATCAGCAAGTGAAGCATGGAAGTAATCTGCGCCCTCATCTGCACGTTCTTCAGAAAATTCTGCGTTATCTTCGGCTTTAAACAGATCCTTCTTCTTTGGTGGAAGCTTATCTTTCTTGGCCACTGGTTTCTCCTTCTTTGGAGACTCGCCGTTTTTACGTTTCTTCTTATTGGGCTCATTATCTGTGGCAGGCGTGAGCGGCGTCGTATACTCCTTTTTGAGAGTTCCCCGGCTGTCGTCACTGGCTTGAGGCGTCACACCATTGGTGCTAGGTTTGCGTCCACGCTTGGCCGCCACAGATTTTTTCACCTTTGCTGCAGTGATCACTGGCAGCGGCTTTGTATTCAGGCCAGGCGAAGCACCAGGTGATTTCTGCTCAATCAGTTGCAGCTCCGCGCTACCATTTCTTGCAATGTCAAGCCGTTTTTTGTTTTGTTTTTCCAACAACATCAACTGCATCTGGTAATCCTGGAGCGCATTCATGTTACGATTCTTCTGGGCGGGGTGCGCCATTCCCGGCGCCCCAGGTGCACCGCTTTGTTCCACCATCATGTGCTGACCGGGAATTTTCGCTCCGTACGGGGCAGCGCCTTGTTGCGGGAATGTCTGCATACCCATCTGCGCCGCTCGAACCTGAGCCTGGTTCATACGGCCGCCAGGCATGTTCATGTTCATGGGGCTGGCGTTTTCAGTGCGAACCGTACCCTGGCCAGCTGCGACAGCGGCAGCAGCCTGCTGACGGAAGTTGTTCATTTGAGTCTGAGCTTGTTGTTGAATTCGATTATGGAGTTGCTGCTGTGGCTGCTGTTGCGAATGCTGTTGTTGCTGTTGCGGTTGCTGTTGTGGCTGCGGCTGTTGTTGAGGTTGCTGCTGCTGCTGCTGTTGTTGTTGTTGCTGCTGAACGAAAATCTGCTGTTGCATCATAGTCATGGGTTGTTCCATTCCTACCGGTAATGGAACCTGTGGCAGCAGCAGACTGGCCTTCTGGGGCTGCGGAGGCATCTGCGGCGACTGGTGTGCGCCCTGATGTACTTGCGGCTGCTGGGGTGGCGTCTGTTGTTGTGGCTGCTGCGGAGTTTGTTGTGGGGGCAGCAGTTGCAGCTGCTGGTATTGCTTCATCATCATCTGCATCATGTAGCGCTGCTGGCGGGGATCCAACTGAGGGAACTGCTGCTGGCGAGGAACTTGGGGCACAGGAACAGGACCCAAGGGGGGCTGCACCATCACTGGGGCCTGGTTGAACTGGGCCATGGGTTGCACATGGCCTGCTGGAGGAGGCGCTAGCGAGTAGCTTTGCTGACCGTCCAAGCCTTGCAGCTCATTATGCTGCTTCTGCTTCATGTATTGCATTTTGGAAGTACTTGGCCGCCTGCGGCAGGGCGGTTCGCATCTGCTTCGCTTGAAAAACGTCCCAAAACACCAGCCACCACTCGTACAAGAATCCCTGCGGTGCGTCCATGGACATGGCAAGCTGGGGCAAATTGTGTTCTTCCATCATTTGCGTGACAGCTGCAGCAGGCGTGGGCGGCGTGTTGGACACCAGACCCACCATATGCGGAGATGCTTTCGCCGACAGCTCGCAGGAAACATGCGGAAGCTCTGCCTCGGTAGCGAATGCCTTGGCTGTAAGCGGCATGGTGTTTTTCACCAAGAAATCGTAAATGTAGGCATTCAACAACTGGCGTGGCGTTGCCGCGCTGGCATCGCACACACTGCGAGAGGCGTCTGGCACAGAGGTACCTGTGGTTATGGTATTTTCTGTCATGTTGGCCAGGTTGAGCTGGCTCGGGGTCTCCGAAGTTAGCGTGCCTGGCGTACGTTTGTTGTGCAAGTGAGGGGTGCTCTGATGGCTCATGCTGGGATAGCTGGGAGATATGGAAGAGCAGACCAGAACGGGGAGAAAAGTCAAAGTCTGGAAAATGACGTTCCTTATGGAGATCGAGATCTGACGGGATACGGAAAAATTTGCACGATCCGAAGAGGTCAATGAGATCCGACAGAGAGGAAACCAGAAGGTAGAGGGCTAGAAAAGCCTGAGCAGTGGAATCCGGATGGAAATAAGCAGAACGGAGTCGGATGGGAGACTGCGTAAATTAGAAACCAGGGTAGATTCAGAACCAGGGTCAGACGGACAAGGAAGATATCTAGCGGCAGGGAGCGAGGCCGATAGCCAGAAAGTAGTCGGATGAGACAGAAATTGAAAGATACCAGGAAACACAGTCAAGCGCCCGGGGTCGATAGTGTCTTTGGAGCACGCAAAAAAATATAGATAAGCCGCCAAAACAAGCCACGAAAAGTCGACTATGCCAGTGTGTTCACGGCAGCGTCTGGACGCAAAAGGCGCTAATGGGGACAGGGAGTAGAGAATAGAAACGCTCGGTCCGAATGTAAACGCTAAGGCTGCTCGAGGGATGCAAAGCGGTTTCTGGAGGAAAATAGCGCCAGGATTTCTCGGAGGAAACAGGGACTGAATTGGCCAGATCGGGGTCCAGGCGGAGGGAAGTAGAGGAGTCGGGCCAAAAGCTGTCTTCACGAAAGTCCTCTATCGGCGTACGAAGAGAAGTCTGACAGAAGTAGGGAAATCCTGGATGAAAAGATGAACAAGGTAGATTGCCCGAAACAGCTAGTGCGAAGCCCGAATCCTGCACACCCGCCCCGCTCGCCTAACTCTGGTCCTGCAGGAACAACACAATGGCAAGCCGTATGGGCCCTAGTGGCATGGAAAGACAAAACCCATTTCTGGCAGCGAGGCAAACTTTGGGAGCCGTCTTGACCGTTTCGTGGCGACTGGCGTTTCTGGCCCCGTCTGCCCGCCTCGCCGTTTTTTTTTGTCTGCTCGCCTTCTTGACCAGGAAGGGCGGGGCGCACAAATATGCAAGAGGCGCGCTATAATGAACGGGGCGCCACATTGTTTCTTCGATTGCATCGCTTGGAGCAGAAGTTTGTAGTTGGGAAATCGGCTCTACAACCGGGATGCTGGAGTTGGGGGGTCTGTTGCCACGTGACACGTATCTCTCCGATTTTCGGCCGCTAGCCTGCGCATGCGAGCATGCCGCACCCTGATGACAAGGGTGCAATGAAGGTGCAGGTGGCACCAACATCGGAGATCAAGACCGGAGATGATGAGGCTAGAAAAAAGGAACGGCAAGACTGGGAGCACCGACAAGTGGGGCAGGCAAGTGATAGAGTAGAAATAGAGGCATGAGGATAAGACATAAACAGATTGTCGTACGCATCGCTTCAACTTGAGAGCTGTTACTTGAGAGATCATCAGATCATTCGCCAGCGGCCGGTTTTCGAACGCGCCGAAGACTCAGGGCAGCGTGGGTCTGAGTCTGTAGATGTTGCAATCGCCTGAACTTGTATTTGCATCGCCTGGCTCTATTTTTTACACTGATTCCCGATTTATACTGATCATGTGCCTTCTGGCCCACTAGAGTCACCAAAGTGAAATGAAGTAAGTACTGCTACGTTATTTCCTCTTGAGGTTTCAAATAAAACGCTGTGGCCGCCGATGGAGGGCCTGGATACGGAAATCCAAGAAAACCCCTAAAATATCAAGAGTCTCATTGATCCTCGACTAGGCGAAACATGTGATAAAAATCCATAGATAATCAGAAAGCATTAAGAACAACCAGTCTGACGTTTTTTCAACCGTCAGCCACTGACAAAAGTGTATTTCAACCATCAGTTACTGTCGTTCATGAATTGTCTATCTAACGACAAAGTTTCCATCCCACATACCAAGCTGACATATGTATGCTCCGTCATTTGTTATCCTCTTTGATCATTCTCCTCCCGGTTCTACATGACATCATGAACTTATACATTGATACAGCCGTCACTACCTGTACATATAATACCAACCACACTGAGCGTCCAAAGGCCGTAGCCATCACTTGGCCCTGCGCTCGTGAAAACATAGTGTGTCCCACACAATAAACCGATAAGCATCTCCAGCAACAGAAAATCAAACAAACACAATTTTGGAAGGCGGTCCCCGCCCTCAGTCTCTTTTAGAAAATTTTTAGTCTCTTCTCCTCTTAGAAAAACATCCCTAGTACCCCATGGTACAAGCTATCCCCATACCGCAGCGTCGTTGGCCACGGATTTATTAGTGTCCCCCCATATGTTAGTGGAGTTGGACGAAAACGAGCTTCCCAAAATATCGTTAGAAGAATTGAACAACGGTGGGTACGCCGCAGACTGCGCGTATTCGTTGGCATAGATGCCAAAGGGATCGAACGTCGAAAGCCCCGTGCTTTTTTTCGTCTGCTCAGAGAACGCACCCTTTCCGTTTTGCAGGGAGAAAACTCCCCTGTCAGTAAAAACCTGTGGCCCAAAAAGGCCGCCCGAGCCGTTGACAACGGGCATATTTGGCTGGGTCTCGCCCAACGATAAGCCTAAACTGGCTCCGCTTGGGCTGACGCCAGTAACTGCAGATTGGCCAACTTGACCCACCTGGCCAACCTGGACAACACCAGGCTGGTTCATCTGGCTGCTGCTGTTGTCTATAACAGATCTGGGAGAGTTTCTGTAGCCGCCATAGTAATCTCCACCGTACACCAGCGGCTGTTGCTGTTGTTGTTGCAGCTGGTAAAAGTTATTATACTTGTTGTAGTACAGATGAGCATTTGTGTGGGTCTGCGTGTTTTGGCCCATGTTAGGTCTGTTGTTGCGGCGACCATAGTAAGACGCTGGCTGGTTTTGTACCTCGATCAAAGTTTTCTCGATAAGCTCAACTTGGCTGACAAAAGCCTCGAAAACTAGAGGACGAGTCGGATACTCTGTCATGATGCAAAAAACGAATAAGTGGGGGAAAAAAAATCAAGCTTAGTTCGAATGCAAACGGCCTTTGTGGAGGAACAAAAAGGCTTCAGGGTCAGGAAAAAAAGCTCTGAAAATTTCCTCGCGAATCTGCTTTTCATTTTCTCTACCTGTGAATGGCCCACGGGCTTTGGCGAACAATATGGTGGTGTACGGGTGTGACGTGACTTTACCTCAGGCTTGCTTTTGTTGTCTTCTCTAGCATAAGCCGGAACAATAATGTGCCGCGGCTGAGGGGCTTTCGTTGACCAGGGGCCAAATCGTCCCTTCCCGCCTTTTTCTTTTTCTGTTGTCTGTGTGTTCAAGGGTGGAAGAACAATTGGCCAAAGGTTATATGCAGGCAGACAACACATCATACGCCGAAGAATGCCTTTTTGATAAGAGCATCATGTAAGTTCGAAAAAGCCAATATTCTGTATTTGTTGTTGATTACTCAAAAGCACTTCGAAGAAGGTAAATGTATGCATTTGGATGTATTTCCGTATATCTCGATAGTATTTTAGTCTAGTATTTTATCTTCGCAACGCAAGGTCTATGCATGGAAAATGCTATGGTGATCATTATCTTGAGATTATTTGTAATATAGATCGGGACTTTAGTTTGTATCCCGATCGAAATATGCAACTCATTTTTTTTTGCGTGATTTACGTATGCTAAACCTGACTTCCAGCTTTCCTTCTCCAATGTGAAGACAAAACTATGTTACTTTCCAATATACGTTGCTGAGTTTGCGTAACGCCTAACATTGACATTCATTAAGCGAGATCTACTTAGCATAGTACTCGTTTCGCTACAATCAAACAGTAGCCTAATACAGTGGAAGTCATTTCATGTATTTTTAGTATCAAGGAATTTTACATTCTTCCAATCATTGTTTAGAATTCAGTAATTCGGCTATTTTGTTGACAGGTCAAAATCTTGAAACGTTTAGAATGCAATTTGCTCATGGTCTACAAGAGCACATCAAGTCCCGTGAGCATACTCTAGCATTTAACTTGGAGGTTCCACTTCCGCTGGAAAGAATCCTCCTCATACACATTGATACAGTCTAAGTAGTTCCTTTCACATATGTAACTCTCTCTCGAGCCAATTGTCTACCATACCATTAGTGGAAGTAAGCTTCACACACACCAACAGTGTATTTTCAGTATTTAACGTGCTATTGCCTCCTATCGCTTCTTCTTTTGCTTGATTTCGTCGTCCTTCAGCGGATGCAACTTCACATCCACAGGATAATCTGCCCTGTTTCCGCCAACGCCCTGAGACCAGTCATAACCCCTGGCATAGGCAAAGATGGTTCCTGAGCGGTTGAACGCCGTGGCAGTGATAGCAGAGCCCACGTTAGGGAAATTCTTCAACCGCTGCTTAGCATCCTTGTCCCAGAAACAAAACGTACCATCGGACCCCGCCGTGGAGAACGTTCCGTAGATTGGATGGAACAGGATGGCGTTCACTGGGTAAATGTGCGTTTCGCTGGCCACCAGCGTGCGTGTGGAGTTTGCTGGCGCTCCGGTGGGCAGCTTGCGGTGGCATCTGAACGAGAAACCACTTTTCTGCTGCTCGGCATCGTCAATGTACTGGATGGCGCAACGGCCCTCGACGGACGCAATGGCGAACCCGGTCCCCAGCGGATAACATGCGACTGTGCGTGTTTGGTACTTCAACGGACTCACAATGCTCTTGAAGACCTGCTGTGGGTTGGTCAAGTCGATAATGGCCACATGACGCTCTGCGCAGCCGACAACCATCAATTTCTGCGCCGTGTCCATGCAGTAGACACGCTCCGGCAAGTTGACTGTGGCCACGGGCTGCGGCGACCGCGTGTCCCAGTATTTCAATGTTTTGTCCCAGGACCCAGAAACAACCACTTCCGTCGCTGTGGGGCCAACCTGCACCGCCCGAACACAGCGCACGGGCGCGTCGTGTACACCAATCTGCTGGCTCTGCTGCGACGCCAAGTCAAACAACCGAACTTGTTTGTCTGCTCCACCGCTGCAGATACGGGCGCCGTCAACAGACCAGCGTGCAGAAAACACGGGCGCCTCATGCTGGAACAAAGCGCGGCCCTGGCTGAGCCCCGTGTTGGCGTCGATGTCGTAGACACGCACTTTGTGGTCCCAGCTGGCCACGGCCAAAAGTTCCAGTTGCGGCGAGAACGCCAAGTCGGACACAGAATCCTCGGGCCCGTTGGCGACAGTGATGTCGTTGATGAGCTCCTTGCCTGTTGCCGCCGACGTGGGCTGGCTCAATGTGGAGCCAAATGCGGACATGCTGATTCTTGCTGAAGAGAAGTTGTATGAAAGATGGTGATGATTTCCGAATGAGTGCGCTCTATGTGCCGGCCCCGACTGGCACTTGTGTCAAGAGCCTCTAAAAGTTGGGAGCTTCCTTTCAAAGCGTTTACATCAGTGAATGTTTGAAAGAGTCCGTGTCTAAAAATATTGCAGATAGAATTTTGTGGTGCTTTAAATGCGCCTTCGGTCTGTGGTTGGTCAGCCACTAGTTTGGCTCTTCGCACAAGGTTTAGACCTAATACACTCTAGAGAATTTAAAACAGAAGTATAAATAAGAAGCCAAGACTATTTTTTAGGTTAATCCATAGATTCTAAAAAAGAAAAAAAAAAAAAAAAAAGAAAAAGAAAAAGGAAAAGGAAAAAAAAAAAAGGAAAAAGGAAAACATATAAATGTGTAGGTGTCTATTCCGATAGTAGACCAGACATCACCGACACACAGGTATATTCTAAGAATAATATACATTGAAGCGGGCTTCAGAACTTGCACTGAATTTTTTTATTACGTTGATACGTTACTTTGATTGGTACGCTAATTTTGTTTCACATTTAGCTCTCTTGGTCTTGGTACCACAGAGAGATACACTTTTGAAAATATTGATGTAAAAAACTACTTCTTATGTATCATGGCCTTATCAGAGAGTTTACACCAATGCACAATGAGAATAGCTAAGCAGCTAAAACAGAATAGCCTTGCAGATGAAAGGCTTTACAAATATCAGAAAGATGGCTTGTATTTTGCATGGCGATGATTGTCTCTTCTGCATGGCCTTTCATATCTCCAAGTTCGGCACCGCTATAGAAGTCCAAGAGAACCATCCAGCAAAGCTAATGTTAAACGAGATTCAAGCAACGTTCACGTTTATTCAATAATGACCATAAAATGTTACAAACTTGCCATGGCTCCGAGAAAACCAGTTTATCTTCTCTCTCTCTATGTTTGGGAATGCCATTAAAAGTGAAGATTCTATTACGAATCACAGAAATTGTCTCAAACCCTTTAGAGCTCAAATACATATGAACACATGTTTCCTCCAACTACGGGTGCGAAATACATTCACTCAAAAGAGCTTGAGTTCCGAAAAAATCAAAAAAATAAAACGAAAGCCAATACATTGCATCCGTTTCAGTTCTATAAACCAATATTATCCTGGCTTATAGAGAAGGAGCAGTTACTTTCCATACTGATATTACTCCAGTACTTACCGGGGCACATGCAGGTCACTAAAAGTCATATACTCCACTGTGGGTTTAATTTAATTTCCTTAGGCGATTTCCCCTTCATTTTCTGGTCCTTCCCGCTCACTTTTCAGGGGACATATTGATTGTCTCACATATAAGAAATGCTGGCATCTGATCCAATTCGTCTTACCACAGTCCAATACTCGGAGACAGACGAAATTCCCATAGTGGGGGAAACCTGGAACTCACCAAAGTACGAGGACTTCACATTCATCGACTGGATTCGAGAATCTGGCGCCAAGCGACGAGATCAAAGCGCTTCGAAAAAATGGATTGTTTTAATGCTCATGGCCGTGCTACTGGGATACACCACAGCCTTTATTGATTTGGTTTCTGCTTCCCTTCACGATTTGAAAAAGGGACTTTGTCTATCCAAGTTGGAAAAATGGTCTCTCCTAAGTCCATATCTGACATGTCCGGCTGAAGATTGGTATGACTGGCTGGAGTTGATGATCAACCGCGATGGAAAAGTTTCCAATGCCATCATAAACTTTCCCATCTACTTGTTCTTTGTGCTACTTTTCGTGGGATGTGCAGCATACATCAAGGAGAAAAAGGCTCCGCTTCTCAGGCAATCGGGAATTCCCGAGATGAAGCTCATCATTGCGGGTTTGAATTACCATCTAGATGCGTTTTTGGGAGGGCTGTCCTTTCTCTTCAAAGTATCAGCTCTCATCTTTGTGGTTAGCTCTGGCCTTTGGCTCGGAAAAGAGGGCCCATTAGTACATGTTGCTAGTTGTGTTCTCTCAATCTGCCTCAAATATGTTTGTGGTCAGAAAGTGTCAGAGGGATTAAAACGGGAACTACTTGCGGCAGCAACGGCAACGGGTATTGCCGTGGCTTTTAATGCGCCAATTGGCGGTGTTTTGTTTGTGGTAGAGTTATTTCCGACGTTTTTCATCCCAACAAAAATCATGTGGAACTCCTTTGTATGTGCTACAGTGGCCTTGGTGGCTCTTTCAGGCTTCAAAGTATTTACAGACGGCCAAGACTTCCACGAGGAAGACCTTTTCCAAGTTCTGTTTGGTAATTTCAACTGGCTCTTCATGGAAAGCATTCCATTCATATTCCTAGGATTAGTGGGTGGGTTTTTTGGCTTCATTTTCACAAAGGCATACGTCGCTTTCTCAAGACCAGCTTACAAAAACCGCCTATGGCAATTCCTTTCCTCTACTTTCAAAGTGAGCGAATCCAAGGGTAAGTATGCTGAAATTTTTCTTTTAGCGCTTGCAACGGCCGTTTTAACATACTTGTCCCCCCTAACAAGAATGTCCTTGGGTGCTTTCCTCAAATTGCTTTATACAGATTGTCCTGCTGATCTGTCGGCATCAACAAATAACTCAACCAACTTCATTTGTCAGGGATCCTCTTTTTCCACAGTGTTAAGCCTTGCGTATGTTGTGGCACAAGGCTTTGTTTTATCAACCTACTCATACAGTGTCGGACTTCCGGGTGGTGTTCTTATGCCGTCTCTTGTCCTTGGAGGTGCAACAGGGAGGTTAGTGGGCATAATCTCCAAAGCTATTCAAAATGGCATAGAGTCTGAGAATTGGGCCACATGCACAGCAAAATCTTGCATCGTTTCTCCATCTTCTTATGCTGTTGTAGGCTCGGCTGCCTTCTTCACTGGAATCACCAAACTTTCTTTTTCTGTGGTGGTTATCATTTTTGAATTGACTGGTGCTGTGACTTATGTGTTGCCCATTATGGTTGCAGTTATGACATCTAAATTTTTCAATGACTGGCTTTGCGAGGAGAATGTGTATGATGCATGGCTCAATCATGAGTTCAATGTATCGGAATACGATTATATTCATGAGGTCAACGCTAACAAGGGAAATGGGCTATGTGAGTTTTCGTCAAAATCGGTGGGTTTCAAAGAAAAGCTTCCAGATGTGGCAGTATCAAAGGCAATGATGCCCTTGTCGAGAACAAAATGCCTTCACATTTTCCCCTCAGAGCCATATTCATTGACTGGGTTGTACGCCTTCATGTCTGACGATTCTCAGGAGGGATACCCATTAATAGCCAACGACAAGGAACCGGTCAGCTTGGGCTACGTTGCCAAAAGAGATTTGTATCAGCTGCTTCAACAAACTTTCGGTAATTTGCAGTCACCAACTGCACTTGTGTGTCTCCGAGTGAAAGTACCCGAAAATATGAGAGAAAAGCAGATGGAGTTTGAAGAGTCATTAATCAACGTCTACGCAGAGTTGCATGTGGTCCCTGTGGATGCACAAGATTCGGTCATAGTTGCTAAGGACACTACGCCTCTTGTAGAGGTGATTGAATTATTTGAGATCATGCATTTGAACTATCTCATTCTAATGGATGAGATCAACAACAGTTACATGTCTGGGTTTATTGACCGCTTCACCTTGGCTCAAGAATTGGACCTGGCGTTTGAAAACATCAACGATGACCTTGACTCTATCGCAGATGAATTTGGAATTCACGACGAAGATCTAGAGGACGATTATCGTCAACCAAGAAGGCGACATAATCGCGTGAAGTTGATCACGTAGATTATTTTGGCTAAAATTTCCCGATTCAGATTAATAAAACTGAAGTCCATGCTTAGGGCTAATCACTACCGTTCATTTACACAATCTATACTGACACTTTAGACTGAGCGCTTTATCGTTCAACGTAAAGCAAATATACAATAGAATACCAAAACCTTGTGGTTCTTCATTCAAAATAAAGGGAAAGATCTGCCATATGGCCCCTTAATTGTTCTCTTGAACTTGTTGGAATGACATTTCTCATTTATAGAAAATTCTCTACATGTATTGAATGCGTATGTATACTGGATATCATCGCACGAAATTCTTACATTTCTCCACATTAGAAATGAGATGTCCCGCCCGCCAGAAACTACTTTGGTTCTTTCCAGCAGAAAAGCTTTAAACAGTAATGCTGTTATTGGTATCGACACCCAGTTTTTAACTGTGAGTGACTTTCTAAAAGGCATCAAGCTTATCCCTGCCGGTATACATTTGTTCCATTACTCTGATTCTGTTGACGATGGCACCTCTGTTCGATTTGGCCGCTGGTTCGAGTGCAAAAGAAACGATATTATTTCCGTTGAGTTCAAGGATGATGCTTGTGTGTTTCGGTATCTAACTATGGTTCCTGAGAACTTGGGCGATTTGTATCAGCAAATGGTGGAATACCCCGAAGATCATAAGGCATGGAAAAGTTTGGTCAGCTTTGTTGACACCGAGGTAGTGGAAGAGTTTTGTCCACATGAATTGCCTGTCTCTACGTCCACGCCTCTGAGAGAAGAGAATATGGTCCTTGCCGATATTTTGATGGCGAAAAACCCGGAACAGAAAATAGACACTCAAGCTTCGGAAGAATTGCGATATACAATTATTCAGGGTACTGTGCCTGGCGAAACTCATGGGAAAGACTTGTCAGCCATTACGAGAGATGCTCTAGATAGGTCATGGTACTTGCTGCAGCTCTTTGGCCATGACTTGGAACTCCTACTTGGGGAACTTCAGTTATGTTTTGTTCACTTCATCGTTCTTGGCAACCTCTGCTCTTGCACACAATGGTCTAACCTTTTGAAGTTGGTGCTGATGTCGGCTTCCTTTTTGTACCAGAACCACACATTTGCTGATTCCTTTTTGCAAGTTCTTGTGGCCCAGCTTCTCAAAATCCCGCCAGAATATATCTCGCTGACACTGAACAATCTGATTGTGGATATTCCAGTGTATCTTCAAACCATGGAAAATCTTTATCATGTTTTCGGCCAGCTGAAAGCGTGGGAAACCTTGCGAAGAGTCAATGCCAAGTTGGGTTTCGATCTTCTGTTTGCACTGAAAGTGGACGACGACAATTTTGAAGTTTTCGACTTGGAAAAATACGACGAGAACGATGAAGATGCGCCGATGGTCGTCTTTTAGTGGGCTGGTGCTCTACAACGATATCCCAAAGAATTAAGCCTTTTATGTACAAGAATGTAATGCTAATATATTTTTTCACTCTCCCGCCAATTTTTTCTGTGACTCCTCCAATTTTTTGAGCTTTCTCTCCGTGCTTCTTTTCTTGGACAAGTTGAGCCGCTCAACAGCTTTCATCTTCGTTTCTCGATCCACAATTTCTCCGTGGTAAATGTCCTTGCCCAGCTGGAGCAACTGCGAATACTCCTCTCTATAAACGTCCTTTTCATCCATGGACATCAGCCGCCACTCAAGGCCAATCCTGCTCCGTGCGTCTGATTCGGGCAAGTGCTTGTACTTGGGATAAGATTTGGCCATGAAGTAATTCCATGCATGCGTGAATGTAACGTCGCCATTAGATATATCACGCTTCACCCGTGACACCCTCAGCCTCTTTTTCTCTCCCGTATACCTGCCTTCTTGTTTCAGCTGTTGCAAGAAAAGCTTGAGATCCAACTCATGCTTAAGCTCTGCCGCACTTTTCTTCTTCACCACTGGCTTCTCATTCAAATCCACCTTTGCTCCCCAGGAGTCCACAGCTTCTTGAATTTCATCAAACGAGGGCAACTTGGAGTCGGCAGAATGCCCAAATCTAGCCTCGAGTGCCTCGTTTAGCTGTGACTGTGTCCATCCTCTCGCACAATGGGTCTTTGGGACCAAAACCCAGCCAAACTTGGTGAACACTCCGTTGTAGAGCTCCGGATGTAGTTTCAGCCGAGAAACAGACGTTGTGCCAGTCACGTATCTGCGTGCAGATGCGAAAAAGACCTTGTGGGCCCACATGGAAAGATATGGACAAAAGGAAATGGGTCTGGCTAAGAAGTGGGTGTTTTTGCACGTGACTGAAAAGTCATCGCCAGATGGTTGTCTCACTTTTTTGTATGCACCACCATGGACCCTTCAAAGCTGGAAGTAGAAGCATCTTCTCAGATGGTAATCAGGATAGAATGAGCAGAACCAGGAAATTTAAATGGTCAGATCTAGAAAAAAGTGCTTTTCTCGCCCATAAAGAGCGGCAGAAGGGAAATCCAAGGGCTCTGGTGTCCAGATCCAGCGAGGTGTACCTGCAGGACCTGGCCCTCCTATCGGATAACTCCATGTAAATGCGACAATCAGACGACTTACGGAAGAAAGCAGCAGCGTTCCGAAATGCGGGAAACACATTAATTGTTGAAAAAGATCACATTAAAGTAGACTGTAGAAGCCAGAGAAGCGCATTCACACCATCCTAGCGTTGAACAGCCCCCGACATTTCCACAGTAATCAGGGCCTATCACGTCACATGACTTCTGATAACGGCGCAGGGTGCAGGTATCTCTTGGGTGGTTAATAATCTTGACAAAAAAACCCACTAACCTTGCAATCGCACAAGCAGTATTTTCCCAGCTCCGCGAGAATAGAGCACATTTCGTCTTTCCACAAGGGTATAGACCCTCCCGTTCCCGTTGCTTTCTTGTTTGAACGCTATTTTGGCTGGTCCTTCACTCGTCTCCTATCACTTTTTTGACCCCATCCACACTTGACTATGGAAGAACCCAGGTCTCCGCTTTTCCCAGCATCGTCTTTGGCCCCGGGGATCGAAGACAGTAACCAATACTTCATCCCGCAGCTCCCAGACAACCCCACTGTCCAGACGTCGTCGTTGCAGGTCTATGTTGTCACCACAGAAAAACACTTGTTTGTGCAAGGGTTCAACGCATCAGAGCAAGAGGGCCGGCCCCCTACTCTTTTGCGTGGATGTCTTGTCATACGCGTGGTCAAGCCGTCCAAAATCAGAAGCATCTCTCTTGTTTTCAAGGGTTCCGTGAGAACGGATTGGCCCGAGGGCATACCTCCAAAGAGAAATGTCTACGCAGATGGACATGACTTGGTGACCCACACCTGGCCTTTTTACCAGATGGAGACCCCGGTGCCTAAATGCGGGGCAGACATCTACGTTCCGTGTGGCAAGTCTGGCGTCCACGAGGATGTTTCGTCGCTCAATTTGGCCGAGTCAAACACTCCCCAATTAATGCCTATCGAGTCTGCCACCCTGTTTGCTGCGAATCTCGTGAAAAGAGCCACGTCGCCTCTTTCTGGCTCGTCGTCCAACCACTTGGCACCTACGGCTTCCGGTCTAACTTCCGTTTTGTCTGCTCTGTCGTATTCAGGCGCCGATGACGAACTGAAGCCGGGCCACTTTAGCCCCGGCTACTATGTTTATAATTTCGAGCACCCGCTTCCTGCTCTGACCCCCGAGACCATCAGCTTGAACTTTGGCCACGTGGCTTACTCGCTTGAAGCCAGCATAACACGAGTCGGCGCATTCAAGTCAAACTTGACGGCTAAAGTTCCGGTGGATGTGGTGCGAATTCCGTCCGACAACAGTGTCGAAGAGAACGAGCCCATCATCATTGAAAGAGAGTGGGAGGACCAGTTGCGGTATGAAATCGTCGTCGGAAGCAAGTCGGTCGTTCTAGATTCCTATCTCCCGTTGTCCTTCCGGTTTATTCCTCTCTTTGGCAAAGTGGCATTGCATCGTATCAGAGTGTACATGACAGAAAACTGCAACTACTACTGTAACAATAAGACCGTTCATCGTGCTGAGCCTGTGCGGAAGTTCTTGCTTCTTGAGCACAAAGCTAAGAAGAATAAGTCGTTAATCTCGAAAAGTGGTGGTTTAACCGATGGCCCGGCTCCTGAAGATGACGAAGTTCTCCCACGAGAAATGGAGTTCCAGATGTTTGTGCCTTCTACCATCAACAAAAAATACAACTACTGCATGCATCCCGACACTGCTTACGACGACATCCAATGTGACCACTGGATCAAAATATCATTGAGGATTTCGAAGCAGGATCCAGAGAACCCAGAGAAGCGCAAGCATTTTGAAATTCTGATCGATTCTCCCATCCATTTATGCTCCCCGTTGGCGGCCCATAACCACACTTTGTTGCCATCTTACGACATGGAGCCGGAGTTTCTTCCTGTTTACACTCCCACTTCCCCTCCTATGTCTCCAGAAGTGACAGCATTAGACTGCTCTCATAATGGAGGTTTAGGCAGACTGCTTCTTTCAGCTATATCTGGGATTTCTGGGCAACAGAACGGCAGTCCAGGGGCTCGTCTGGATATATCTCGCCCGCTAACTCCACTTGAGTTCCATCACATTCTGAGCCCCAACAACAACGATGTTCCCATTGAAAGAGATCCGAATATTCACTTAGAAGCCAATTTATACGAACCTCCGGACGAAGAAGTTCTTGAGAAATTGGGTTCGCCCCAGGCAAAACCTTTCTCTCCGCAGATCAAAGCGTTCTCCCCCATAGCTTCCCCGTTAATGAGTCCTGTCTTATCGAGACAGCCTACTATTAATCCTCCATCTTTTGAGCAGCCTGGTGTGTCTCAGGACGTTCTCCCACCAGCTTATGAGAGGGAAGACCCTGCCCACATCATAGCGTCAATTGCCTTAGATGACTCGCGTCACGGGTCAGATATGAAGAGTGTTCATTCGGGCAGCCATCTTTCTGGGCTTGGCGGAGAACCCAGTATAAAGGATATTCTCAGTAGACAGCTTGATCAGAGATCAAGAAACAGCCAAAGCGACCGGGAATCTCTTAGAAGTGCCCAGACATCACATGCGAGCGACAAAGACTCGATGAAAAGCCACCAGAATTCAAACAATGGCGACACCAGCTCTATCAGAAGTGCCCAAAACTCGAAGCACAGTCTTTCAGACGAAAACAGAAAGAAAAATGGAGAAACGCCCGATTCGATCGGAACCAATAATACAGTTGGCGGCCACACCCATGAGTCAACAAAGGAAAATTCCACCAGTTCTGCTGCGATGAAAAACAATGCAGTGAAAGATGTTTCAAATGATACTCTTTTGCCCGGCACAGCAATGCACCAAGATGATACGGAGATTGCGGACTTGGATATCACCGACGTTACACCGTTTGGACATGACATATCGCCTAGCATCATGAAACCAGCCAAATCTCGAAACTCTTCGATTTCTCTGTTCACGTCGCTGGCTGTAGGACTGGACGACATTCCGTTCGACCAAACATTCCCGCTTTTGTCGCTATCGAGTACCAGTATCTTGGATGGTTTAAGACAACTGTTTGACGATCCAATGCAGAAGTCTGGGTTTATGGGTACTCCTTCCATGACGGATTTGGTGGACTCGAACTTTTTCGGCAATGATGAACATCGCATCAACGGATCTCTTTCTCGTTTGCGGAATCCTCGCATTAAGAAGCATTATCAGGACCCACCGCAGATAGTTGAGCCTGGTGTGGCAATTGCTGGATCCAAAGACCGCCAAAAGAGTTTTGGAGTAATTCCGCTGTTTACGTTTGATACCAGTCATAGCCATAGTCCAAATCGAAGCTCGACCGAGAGCGATGTGACTATTGATGAAATATCTCAAAGTGGGAGAAAGGGCGATACGTTTATTGAGCCTCTAGATCTTCAGGAAGTGGCATCTAAGTAGTATCTACGAGAAACCATAAACATTTTTCTGTTTGTGTGGGTCCATTCAGTGACATTTGTCAACCTGGAGTCCTGAACACATTGTAGCAAACCGATCAGTTGATTTTCAAAGGTTCGGACGTTTTCGTGTCGACAACCTCTCCATTTCTCTCTTCAATCTGTCCGAGCCACTCAAACAAGACACCCAAGTCTCGGCTTCCCAAGTCTTCTCTCTCACATGCCTTGAGGTACCATTTCCTGCTGATGTCACCAAGGAACAAAAAGCGATTGTACTCTGCCGCGCAGTCTGTGGCCAAAACAAGATCTTTCTTTGTCAATTTTGTGATGAATCCGCCTTCGTACCCTGAATCTGCGGGCAAATTGTATTCTTTTGGATAGGCACCTGCAATAGGGCAATTGTCAACCGAGGCCCACGATTTTCCCGTAGACACAGCTACAAGCTTAGCGTACTGCTGCAAATTCAAGTTGAAAGTATTTGCCAACTGAAATGAGTCTGCCACTGCCAAGTTTGTCACTGCCAATAAATAGTTGTTGGCTAATTTCGCCGCGAGCCCAGATCCATGGCTTGGGCCGCAGGCGAAAATGTTTTTCCCCATTTTGTTCAAGAGAGACGTCAACGCAGGCGAAACATCCTCTATAGTTTCCCTGGAGAGCATGAATGAGAGACTGGCTTTCCTTGCGCCTGCCACTCCGCCGGAAACTGGTGTGTCGATGAAATCAAACGAAGGAATGGTACTCTTGACAAATTCGTGTACTTCACGTGAAGTGCTGATGTCTATGGTGGAAGAGTCCAAGAAGGTCATTGGCTGTAACAGCGGCTGTTTCTGGTAGCTCAGAACCAAGTCCTGAATGACCGCTTTGACATGCTTGCCTTCTGGCACCATGGTAATGATAAAGTCTAACTGCGAGTCGACATCAGTGACAAACAGAGAAAGGCTTTTCAAAGGCACCAACTGAGAGGCCTTTTCTGGCGTGGAATTTTTCTCCACAAAGGCGTCTGTTGCCAGCGGCACAGCGTCGTAAACATACAAGGTATCTTGTGGCTCCAATTGGTTGTATATATGTCTAGCCATGTGTTGGCCCATCTGGCCCAAGCCAATGAACCCGAAATTCTTGGACGCGGCAATAGAGCCTGAAAAGAAACGAACTGAACGAAGCATTTGGTTGCTGAAGCGGTATTTTTAGTAATGGTGAACGTTGATTTTTTCCAAGATTCTTGTCTCTATATATGCCCCAGATTCGTACCCCACATTTCGGAAAATGGCATTATCCGCGATAGCCACGGGAAGAATGAGGGGGAACCACATACTTTTTTTTTTTTGCACTGATTTCTTTTTCTTAGCTGAGACTGCTATTCTTGGCTTTCATGCCAGGCTAGCCAGAAGGTTTTCTGCTTGTATTCTGTAGTTTATGAATCTACTCCATTGAGCAATGCGCATTAATGAACATGATAATGCGACTACGGTGCGGCTTGCGCACCTACTTTCCAAAAGCGGAAAGTGGGTTTTGGTGTTGGATCGTTGAAATGGAGCATTGAAGAATATGACCTTAGGTTCAAAGTGCCGAAAAACATTACCTTGGGTTGAAAGTGCCGAAAAACAAATTACTTGAGGAGATCAAATATCTTGTTGCGTATGGTGTCGGAACATAGATGTTTTCGCGTGCGCAATGAAGACACAAACTATCCACCGTGATCGATTGATAAAAAATAAGTCCATTCATGAGACCCTCCAGTCTGCTCTCAGTCGTTGCTAATCCTCTCTAAAGGGCACGAACAGAAATCCTTTTTCTATCAGTGTTCTGTTGAGACGTAGACCTGTTCGGGTCAAAAGAGTTAGTCTCAGGCGATTCAAACGGCAGTAAATTCGGTGCCTTGTCTTCCATACGGCCTAGACGGTCAGACAATTCTCAGAATACTAAATGATGTCAACATTTGAACCATGAAGATCACTCAATAGAAATGGAACAAAATTCCAAACGGTCGCACAGAAGTTAATTAAAAGACTACTTTATTCCACACATTACACACACCAGCAAACGATGAGTTTGAATGAACTAGCCAAGAACGATGAGTTTAAATGAACTAGCCACAGAATCCATAGTTACAAATAGTGCTCTGAGAGCTCCCCTTCGCAACAATATAATCGTCCTATTTAAAGTGGTCATCATCTGGGTCTGATTCATTCGATTAGCTTGGAAAAAGTGAAGATTTCCTAGTTTCCCATCTTGCCCAGGCAACATACTCTAATGCTTAGTCATCTCCGTCATCTCCGTAACCTGCAAGATATATTAGCGATACGAGAAAATCGCACAGTATCGAAGTCTGATTCGTAACGGCCCGTTTCCGGAAAGAGCCTGCGTTTCCGCAAGACGTGCACACGGCGCCCGGAAACCTATTTCCGTGTCTCTACTTATATTCCATGTCTCCAGCCACTGGTATTCCATCCAATCTAGCATCTTAACAATAATGGCAGATCTTGCTCACAGCAGTCAGGTTCCTACAAAGACTTCGTACAACACCAAGAAACCGGGTCCAGCGTACTTCCCTCAAAAAGGGTCCAAGATCTATGCTGACCAGGATCTCTACACCAAAATCGCCAATGCTCCTAAAACTTTGGTGGAGTCTCACTTGTGCAAGCCTAGAAGCGGTTATGCGGTCAAGGTTCCGGCAAAATCGCTTATCCGCTTGACCACCCCCGAGGGACCTCAGGTTTGTGACTTGAACATCTGGAATCTCCACAACCCAAGAGAACGGTTCTGGGCTGCTAGAACCCGTCAATTGCACTCTGCTCACGTGTCCAAGTTTGACCGCTTGTGGTCTATCTTGCCCTTCTTGCGTCCCTTGGTCACCATCACCGCCGATACTTTGGGCGGAAGACACACAGAGTGGGGTGGACGGATTCACGACACTTTGGGAACACGTTGTGACCCATACGTGGAGAAGCTCATTTCGGGCGAGGAAAATGACTTCCACTGCCATTCAAATCTCGTGCGTGCTGTTTTGCCCCACGGCTTAACGGAGTTTGACGTGCATGATGTCTTGAATGTGTTCCAAGTGACGGGCCTCAATGAATACGACCAGTATTTCATGGAGGCTTCTCCATCTACTAAGGATGACTACTTTGAAATGTTTGCGGAGCAGGACTTGTTGATTGCCATTTCTGCTTGCCCAGGCGGAGATTTGTCCAACTGGGATTGGGGTGAAAAGGAGGGCGACGACAAGATGGTTGACAACTGCAGACCTTTGGGAATAGAGATTTACAAGTTGGATGATGAATCTGTCTTGGAAGGCTGGACCCCTCCGGAGTATGCGCCTTACAAGGGTAGACATGGATTGAAAGACCCAGTGCAAGAGTAAATACAACAAGAAGAACTGAATATACAATGAATCTAGAGGAAAGTTTGCGGAACTATAATATAAATGAATAACGGAGAGGGATCCAATATAGAACAGCTGTTAGAGGTCCTTGGTGAAAGACATGTCTCGACGCTGGATAATTGAACGCATCGAAGGTCAATGACAGTTGGATGTAGAGCTACAGATCAGGCGAAAACCATAAAGGCCATTACTGGCATTTTGGCAGGTTTAAATAGGAATATCTATACCCTAATGACGTTCAGAGCAATGAATTGGAAAATATGATCACCAATATCGAGTTTTCTAGTAGACTACATTTCACATTGATCGATGAAATCAAGATAACATCAGTTGACAAGCTTAAACTATTCAGAAATGGAATTTTGCACTTCACCCAAACGAAGAGCTGAGGTTTTCGAAGAATGGTGAAATTTAGATTGAACAACAGATGAAGATTCTGTAATGAACATCGCTGTCGCATTATAAATTAAATCAAAGCATAATTGTTCAAATGGATGATTCATCTATCGCTAGTATTTAACGGCCACTTTTCAAGTCTGGTCATACTTGGCGCTATATATACAAGCCTATGTAATACTGGATGCTGCCAGTTATGTTGTTCCGTCTATGGCTTCGCCGATCCATTCACTAAGCTCATCATCGGTAATGTAGCCTGCAATATTGCTTCCAGTGTACGTGATAGAATCACCACGGTTCAACACGAGTTGAAGGAACTCAAAGCTCTGTGTGATGTTTTCATTGGCTCCATGCAATGTAAAAGACTCAACAAGACCTTTCTTTGCAATGGTAAATTCCACTGTGAAATCTTTATGGTTGAACGTATGAATGAACGGCATAGTGTTCCCGTACTTCCAATCCCAGTCCATAAGTTCGTCCCTCACTTTAGCAATCTCTTCAGGCAACTCGTCGCCTTCTTCAACGTAAACCACCCGGCAATCTTTCTTAGAAAAACCTAGCACAAAGTCATCAAGTCCAAGAAGCTCTGTCTGGTCGAATTCTTCATCTTCGGGTTTATCCACTTTGTTACTTACGCCGTACTGCTCTTGAAATTGAGAAATGACACTTTCAATGAACGACTCTTGGTCAATCTCAAGATTGGTTACTGGCGATTTGACAGAGGAGACTGACTTCTCAGATGTCACATAGCCTATTTTCTCTTCGTCCCGGTGGAGAAGTTGCCGCAATATATCAAGCCGCAGATTAAGGAGCATAGTGCCATGATGATATGATCTGCCTTTGGAAAGCTTGTATGCGGATCCGGATACTTTCAAGTTGCCTTCTTTTGTAACGATGTCGCCTCTCTCAGTGACAGTGATTTGCTTTTGCACGGGAGCCACGGAATTGACTGCATCCTTCACCAAATGAGCAAATGTATGGCGGTCGAACTTGTCCTTGGTAGTCATGAATGAGTAATTGACGTTACCAGAGTCATGTACCACTGTGCCTCCTCCTGACCGGCGTCTAACCAACGGGATCTGGAGATTGTTCAAGAGAGGTAGATTCACTTCCTTCCATGGGTTCTGGTTCTTGCCAATGACAACGCAAGGTGAATTGACATAAAACACAAGCCTGTTGCAGTTGTTTTCTTGCTGAGGAAGAGGCATTTTGTTGTAGATGTAGTCTTCGATGGCTAGGTTGACGTATGGGTTTGAGAGCTTTGAAACGAAAACAACGGGTTCTCTGCTGTGACAAGCTTCTTCAAATCGGGACATGGGCACTGGTATACCCTCTTTCTTCTCGGTGTCAAGAGGTTCCTTCTGCTTTAAAGATCGGCTCAAAGGCCTGGAAACCTCCTCTTTCACCTCCATTCCTAAGCGTTCCCGATAAGCCCTGACATCGGGTGCGTCTTTGTAATCTTTGAAATCCCCCAAGTTGAAGAGCTCCTCGTCTATCGGAGAAAGATCATCTTGGAAAGGAACTTGGTGGATTCTTCTCGTCCTGATGAGAGGCAACACGGGTCTTCGTAGACACCTAAATAGCACTTTTGCGTCCATCTCACGAATATTGAAAGATTCCACCTGCACTTGTGCGCTCATCTCACTAAGTGAGTAGGCCGCCATCTCTAATCTGAAAGACAGGAAAGCTTCCAAACATGGACCGAGACTTGACGCTAGAAACACATCTTCTAAGCCGAAGTTACACATCGAACGCCCGCATTCAGGAACTTTTTGGCGAAAGATATTCCGTACAAGGAGCTCAGAGACCGTATCTCAGCTTAGTCCCGACAGAGGGAATAGAAGCACCAAAAGAGAAACAGGACGTGACCGACATTTCCAAGAATGCTGAACTAAAGCCGACAAAGGCCCGCAAGACCAACACCCGCAAGGAAATGAAAGTGTACATCAAGAAGACGTTGGCGAAGCAAGAAGCGATCGTGAAGAAAATGAAAAGCTACATGAAAAAACATCCGGGCAAGCATTTCGATCCAGAGCCCATGCTTTGCCAATACAACATCCCCCGCTATAAAGTCTACCAGCAGCTAAACCAGCTATGGCAGTCGTACATGCGAGATCTTCTTGTGGGAGACCAGAGAAACCCGAACTTGAACATGATTTTGCCGAAATTGGCCACGGCAGACTACAACGGATGTGAGTTGGAGGTAATTCATTCGAGAAACAGAAACTTGATTGGTCTCAAGGGCATTGTTTTGTACGATGCTCAGCATTCTTTCATCGTGGTGGTTCCTCAAAAGAGAGAATCCGAAACGGAACTTTCGGCGGCTCAGATCGTTGGTGGTATACGCATTTTGCCCAAGCGGGCAACTTTGTTTGGATTTTCTGTCGATACAGGTGAAGAAATCAGGCATTTCACCATTATGGGAACTCGCTTTGAGTTACGGGCTGTTGACCGTTCGGCGAAAAAATTCAAAAGCCACAGCGTGGAGGATATTTACTGATGCATTTTTATTCATCAAAGCATGTGGATCGTTTAACCAGCTAGCATTATTTACTGTTTGCATGCCAGAGACAATTAGACCCTTAACATTAAGTACTTATAGAATAGATTCCGTGTTAAAGCATGCAATTAGCATCTACTTTATATGTCATTGGATACGGCCTTATATGTGAATTGATGAATATAATGTGTCATTGGCGAATTGGTCGTGTCCTATTCTTTCACAATAACATGTTAAGACAAACCTTCCGTCGTAAAGTTCCAAACTCAAAAAAATAAAAATGAATATAGCAAAACTCCATTACATGATTTATTCAGTTCTTTATTCAAATGGGCAATTGCCTTGGCAGTGATTGGACTTCTTTTTGTGCTCAATGAAGTTTAGAATAGGCAATGACTCTAAACTTTCAGCTCAAGTGTCCAACCAAATTATGCTGTGTTAACTACTAAACCGACTATTTAGGTGACAAGAAGAATGTGAAGAAGAAGGCGTAGCCAATTTGTAATCGTAAGTGTTCAAGGTCATTCCACTCACAGTTTAGTATCTTGTCATGAAATAACACACAGATTTAACAAAAGAGCGTATTCTACCCTTATTGAACAACGATTGTAACAACTTTCCAGTTCTGCACTTTCCTACTTTTAGGTTACGATGAGGAAAGTGTATCATTAATATAAGCATGCAATATCCTAATAAAAAGTTTCCGTATTCACTCTCTTGCCCATGCATCCAAGTATACTGTATCCTCTTCGTCAACCTCGTCATTAATCACTGCGTAATGGTCAAAGACGCTAAACTGCTGGTGATTTTTCATTGTGTCAATGAAATTTTTTTGCAAGTCGTTCAACAAGTGCAGCTCGTTATATTGCCGGCCATAACCTGCGTCCAAGACACTCTGCCACGATACCTTGTATACGTCAGTGGTGTCTTTAACCAACTCCACTTTGTCCTCGAATATCAACACCTCGCACAACGATCGGATGTCGTTGATGGCCAAGTCGATGTTTGTAATTTTGTGCTCGGTTAGAAACTCCATGATGGACTCCAACGTGGCGAAGCCTGTATGTGTTGCAGGATATACACTCTGCAAGATATTGGTGTTGGGTGTAGGGTCTTGAAATGCTGCCGGAAAAGTCTTCAGCGCAATAAAACGCCAAACAACAGTCAAGAGCGAGTCTATGAATTCTGTATCGAGCTCACTATCGGTAAACCAAGGGCCTCCCGTGACATCGATGGAAGGCTGGAGATTGTAGAGCATGTAGATTTTCCGGGTCGGGTGTTTGACAGACTTGATCAGTTTGATGTATCGCTGGCCCTCCAACTGCTTCAAGCACCGCATCACCACGTGCTGATGCATGTTTGTCTTGGCTTTCAACGTCTTGGTCCATATTCCTTCTCTTCCTGAAGCTTCGATGTAGGAGTAGATCAACTGCTCGTCGTCATTCATGGAGGTGAGTTTCCTTGTTTCGGACGCCTGGATCACCTGAAACCGCAACTCCTCGCCAACTTTCACCAATTTCATCATCTTGCGGTTTATGAGACTCTGGGTCATGCCCAAAATCTTCACCAAGTCTTGCTCATTCATCAACTGCTGGAGCTCCTCCTGGCTGAAAAGCTTAGACGAAGGGGCCTCGCCCATTCGCTGGTATAGAAGATCCGATTTGTCATTTTGGTCCATGTTGGGTTCTACCTCCGATGGAGATGACTGGCGATGGTGTATTTTTTTCCGATGTGCGAAGTGCAATACAAAGACAAAAGCGACCCGCACCAGTACTTAATACTGTTGGAAACACCTTTCTTCCATGCTGTCAAATGCAGGCTCATCTGGCAGACCAGCGTTCAAAAAGAAAACTGTCAAGGGGAAAGGGAAAGCACGTGCCCGGGAGAGTATTTTCGCTCAAGATTCTGCCTTGGAAGACCTGGAAATAGATCAGAAACAAGACTCGACTGTGTTCGCGCGACCATCAGAGAAAAGAGCTGTGTCCAGTGGTGAGAAAAATGCCCCTGGCGCTGAAGGAAAGTCAAAGTCGGCCCGATGGGCTCAGTTTGCTAAGCTAGCGAGTCCAGAATTAGGATCCAGCTTCCAAGATGGTGAGCACAAACGAGAAAGAGAGTCATCGGACAACTCGATGGCTGAATCTTCAAATATTCCGACTGTTAATGCGCTGCTAAGTGATGCTGTGGTGTCTGGATTGGACTCTCCTTTGATTGCCAATGCTGGAATTGACGAGTCCCCGATGATTGTCGATGCTCTGGCCGCTGATGTTCAAGCTAAACCGGCAAGTGAAAACACCGCAGGACAGATTTATGTCGCTCCAAAAACGTTTCTGCTACGAGAATCCCACTTCAGGGATAAACCCATCCAACTAGAAAGAGAGTACGATGATTTGAGTGATGACGAGAAGCCTAAAGTCCAATATGAAGATGACGACCAGATGCAAGACGGCGAAACCTTCTTGCAGGATGCTCCAACTCGCTTTGATCTGGAAATGTATGAGAGTGAAATAATGTCTGTTGCCAGTGATGACCATCACACTGGGAGAAAGATTGTCGAGCCTCCTAGCGTGGCGGATCTTCTAAGCTCGCTTGGTCAAAGAGTCCAAGAACTACTGTTGAATTCGGAGTGTCGGAAAGTGGAAATCCAGGATTTGAAAGTGCATTTGGAAGGTGCTCGGGCCGCAAGAGAAAGAATACTAAGTCAGCTACGCTGTATTATGGAGAAGAGCACACAAGGCTAACCGTGGCAAATTTCCAATTCAAAAGCCTAGTCAGCTGCTTCAAACAATACTTACAATTCATGAAAACAAGCCGACTCGTGTTTGACTTGTATATAGATATGACAGGTGGAAAATGCATATGGGCCATGGCAATTGTCGTGCGCATGGCAAAGATCTTGTACCGCGCTAACGTCGACCAATTACCGCATTCGGTATGAGTCAGACCTGTCCTATATAATTGCCCATTTGTTTCCTCCTTACAGTTTTCCTAAATCTCCCCAAAAGACTTTCTCTTCTTGTTATGCTCAAAAGATTTTTCAGTCTGACCATCACAAAACCAGTTCCAGCAATGAGCACCTCCCCACGTCATTTAATTAGCATCTCTCACCTTTCTAAAGAGGAATTCAATAGCTTGGTCGAGAAGGCCGCAGCATTCAAAAAAATAGTCAAGGCTGGTGACTCTGAAACAATCAAAAAGAATCATGACAAGCTCTTGGGAAAATTGGTTGCGCTCTTGTTTTCCAAAAGATCGACCAGAACTAGAATTTCTACCGAAGGTGCTGCAGCGCATTTTGGTGCCCAGCCAATGTTCTTGGGCAAAGACGACATTCAGCTCGGTGTCAATGAGTCCATGTATGATACTACCCGCGTGATTTCGTCCATGACATCTTGTATTTTCGCTCGTGTGAACAAACACCAAGACATTCTGGACTTGTGCAAAGACTCGACGGTACCGATTATAAATTCGCTCTGCGATAAGTACCATCCATTGCAGGCTATTACTGATATCTTGAGTATCAAGGAAGCCTTTGGGAAGACAAAGGGGTTGAAGTTGGCATGGATAGGTGATGCGAATAATGTCATTAATGACTTGGCCATTGCAGCATTGAAAGCGGACATTTCCGTCTCCATTCTGACACCAAGCTCTGTTCAGGTTGACCCTTCTATTGTGAAGACAGCACAGGAAATCGTGGACGCCAGCAATGGTTCTCTTTCGTTCGAGTTGGTGAACGAACCAGCAAAGGCGTTGAAGGACGCCAATGTTGTGGTCACAGACACGTGGATCTCAATGGGAGAAGAGGATGCCGCTGCCAAGAAATTGAAGCAGTTCGCCGGCTACCAGATCACACAGAAAATGCTTGAAGAAGGTCAAGTAAGCTCCGAGTGGGTATTTATGCATTGTTTACCAAGACACAAAGAAGAAGTGGCAGATGAGGTATTTTACAGCGACAAGTCGATTGTGTTTGAAGAAGCCGAAAACAGACTTTACGCTGCTATGGCCGTCATTGAAGCTTTTGTGGTGAACAAGGGCGACTTGTTGAAGTGATGAGTATATGAGTATTTCCGCAATTAATGAATCTGATTTTTGCTACTTCAGTAGATCCCAGCACGGTTTGAATGAAATAAAACAAATTAAAAGTAAAGGTTGAAACAGTTTAGCTCGACCAGAAAATTAACTACAAGTGAAGAGGATCTTCTTTATTGCTGTTTATTGGTGTCATTGTTCGAATCTTCATTCAAGTAGCCTGCACCCAAGGTAAGTTTTCCAGATACCATTCAACTTTTCTTTCCACACATCATTTCAATGACAGATTCACAGGCTCCTTTGGCTGCTCCAGCAGAACATGTCCTTGATACGCTTTATGTCAATAATTTGAATGAGAAAGTGTCGTTAAACAAACTCAAGGCTGTGCTTAATCTGCTATTTGGGCGATATGGCAAAGTCATCCAGATAACAGCACACAGAAACTTGAAGATGAAGGGACAGGCATTTGTCACGTATGCTGACCCAAAAAGCTCCGACAAGGCCCTCCGAAAGCTACAAGGACGGCCTGTGTTCAAAAAACCTATTCGCATCACCTGGGCCAAGGCGTCCTCGGACGAATACAATCGGCTACTACAAAACTTCGATGCTATTGCCAAAAGACAAGAGTTGAAGAAAGAGAGAGAGAGGCTCCGCAAAGAAAAGGAGCAACAGAAACCACAGACACCGCAACCAGGGACTTCTCAAATGTCCAAATCTCAAATCAAGCAGTGGAAATCTCTTCCACCCAACAACATTCTTTTGCTTCAAAACTTGGCAGACCATCAACTCTCCAACGAAGTGTTGGACGCTATATTCTCAGTTTTCAATGGCTTTGAGCGTGTGCGTCTAATCAAGTTCAGAAAGTTGGCGTTTGTGGATTTCGATAGTGAAACCAACGCTACCGCTTGTCTAGAGAAGTTGGGCAGTTCAGACTCACTCGAAAATGCTCTTCTTACATATGCAAAGAAATAAAACTAAAACGTTCTTTAAACAATATAGTAGAATTAAAGCGCTCAAACGTAGAGAAATGAGCAAAGGCAAACTATAAACGACAATGTCTGGCGGACAGGTTTAGAATGGGATGTTGTGAGCAGACAAAATGTTCTTCAATCTGTTCACTTCATCGGCCAACTCTTTCTTGCCTTCCAACAACTCTTCAACCTTGGCCTCCAATTGGTTCATTCTTTCCATCTTTCTGGCTCTCGAACGACGTGCCGCTTCAGTGTTACGAGCACGCTTCAAGAGAACAGGATCTTCCGAGTGAACAGCAACGGGCTTCAATGGTTGGCTCCGTTGCTTCTTGGAGTACGACACACAGCCCAAGTGATCAACCTTGGCCTTCTTGGAGACTCTGTTAGCAGAGTCCACGGCAAGAGTGTCACGGATCACAGGCGTGGAGAGAGCTGGAGTAGAAGGGGTTTCAAGTTGCTTGACAGGCTGCTGAGGCTTTGAGCTCTTGACTGGAGCAAACTGGAAAGTGTCTTCAAACTCTTCAGCAAACAAGTTATGCAAGTCTTCGTCCTGTTCAGGGACAGAAGGAGCGCTTGCAGCATGTTCAGGAATAGGCTCATCCTTGAACAAAGAAACCCAATCGTCCTTGGAGTTGACCTTGGTTCCGTCCAAGGTGAAGTCCAATTCGTCAAACATTGGCGTGTTGCCCAAGAGTTGGTCATTGTCGTCCAAGTTGGTGGAGAAAACAGAGTCCAAGACTTCTGAGTGGACGATAATGGGCGAGCTGTCTTGGTTAACAGACAAGCTCGAGTCCTTCATGCCAGTGGTTGGCAAGTGACAGGACAATTCGTCAATAGTCTCCAACTTGACATGAGGAGAAGCGGTGGGAAGTTCAGACTCCAACATCGAGTCGTTGTAAATAATAGGAGCAGACATTTTTGGTTGTTTCAAGATAGTAGTGTAAATTAATGGAGGAAAAATAATGGTAGTCTTCAGTAAATAGTAAAGAGTAGTAGCAATTAATCAGCAGGTAAAAACCGGTAGGTGGGCACCATAGTGGGATGTAGAATTAATCAAGTATCATATTAGCATATTGGAGAACAAACTTTAGTTTGAAAGTTATTGGCTTGGATCTTGGATCTTAATAACTTGTTGTATTTTCTTTGATGATCAAAAAGAAAAAATGTAAACGTTAAACCTTAAAATATATTTAAGCACACATTGTAAAAATATCTTCGACTGTAAAATATGGGGAAAATAAAAATGGGAAAAACTGGTGTGGTAACGTTTGTTGATTAAGAGAAAAGAAAAATTAAAAGGTGCCGGGCGGATTGCGTAATATATATATTGCTCATAATACGAGCTGAAAATTTTTCGCTCCTCCTCCTTTGACGCCGGTAGCGGGCGTCCTGCACATGGTGCTTTTTTTCCGCCTCTGAATCCGTTTTTCGTCTTGATAGGTATTTGCACGCGGGTAAATTACAGTCCAGTTGCCTGTTTAGGCAGGTGAGTCAGTGCGGTGAAAAGTTCGTCAAGAATGTAAGGCTGTTTGTTAACAAGGGCAATGGCAATATGAACTTGTTCTTCTTGTCTACTCCCACAAACCATTGAAAATAAGCACATATAGCTTTCTTGAGACCTGTACCTTGTCTGCCTAGGTAGCATCATGCTACTTGGACTTGCGATCGGACCAATGGTGTTGAGAGTGATGTCAGCATGCAGGACGGCGGATTCCAGGTCCCCACATTGGCAAGATTCAATGGGCCGTATTGAAAATTGTGTTTTTAGTGGTGTAGGCCTTCATCATGATCTTAGTTACTTGGTATTATGTCTGGAGTTGCTAGTCACACTTGTGTGGGGAAACATGTGTCCTTTACTCTGAATTTTTCGTAAACTCCACCGGTTTCGGGCCCGCGCATATTCATGCAAGAGCACATTTATTAGGCTCTAGTGCTCCGATAAAGAGACAAAAAGCCGTGCTGGCAATGCATATGCCCCAACACTGACGCTTTCTCTTCAAAATTCCTGGCTCGGTACAGCCGCTTGGGCTTGAATCTGCTCCATACAAAAAAAGGCTACTTGTCTGCTCCGTTACTTCCGACACGACTGTACATTATCATTACTTTACGAACTGTAGCATTGAGACTTCATGATTAGCAAACATTCACAACGGCCGTGCCACCACCGCTCAAATCTGGACTACGCTGGTTCAATCGAGCGGCATTGCTTCATTTCGCTCCTTGACACTTTTCTGTTTTCCGTAAACCTCTTATTCGCTCTCACGTTCTTTGCCAAGTAAAGCTCGTAAACGCCGCGCATTGAGCACCAAGAAATGTAAACGGCTTTAACACCATCAACTGGCATATTGTCGCTCGTTTATGGTCTGAACCATTTGGGCATGCTCTTGTTAAGTTTTGTCTTCAATTTGGGCTTTTCGCCACTTGTTCCCTTTACGCTTTTTCCTGTGGCCAGTGTATCCTCTTCTAGTTCTCCACGGTGAGTTTCTAACATGACTGTAGAGAGTTGGCTGACATCTTTGGTGTTTACGCCCTGCACCAAATACGGACCTGGCTGATGCGAGGACGAAGGCTCCCAGATCAAAAGCACCTTTTCTTGTTGAAAGTCCGGATGCTTGTTCAAAGCGGTGCCGTTTTCTTGAAAGCCAAACCTGATTTCTCTAAAAGGCGGTGTGCCGTTTTTGATCCTGTAACTGTTAATGAATTTAGGATCAATGTAGCTATCGATTTTCTTCATAAGCTGGCCGAGTTTGGTGGCCGGATCTTCAATGTGCAATTGCACTAGAGACCTGTCGGGGAATCGAAGACGAATAGCGTAATGTGTTGGGCTCTTAGCCTCGTTCTTCTTCTTGGGCCTTGTCTGCATGGACTTGATGATGTTCAAGTATGTTTCTGCCTGTGCTGTAGTCATGTTGTAATCATCCTCGGGGTTCTCATACACTTCAAGTTTCTTATGCGGCACATAGACAGTGTCCTCGGTGTCATTACTCAAAACAAAGGATCTTGCATTTCTTTCAGAATTGCCATCTGATGCGCCTGGTGTCGTCTTCACTGGGTCTGTCTGCATCAAATCTTCACTTTTTGTATTAGCAGAGTTCGTCTCGTCTGGAACAATTGTGTTTGAGAGCGAATTAGATGGACCTTCTGAAGGCAGGCTCTTTTCTTTTGGATGATCTATTTGATCAGACTTGGGTTTCAGTACTGGCTCTGTTGTTACCGTTTTGTGCACAGAGGGCTCGGGTTCCTTTGCGTCCTTCTGCTCCTTTTCAAGCAATCTGGCCTGGCGCTTCTTCTCCTCCAATTGTGCTCGAAGCTTACTCTGCTCCTCTTGCAACTTTTTCTTGGCCGCGTGTTTGCTCTTGTCTTCCACCACCAATCTGATCATAGCGCTAGAAGAGGTGCCCAAAAGAGACTTGAGTGTCGTTTTGTCAAATTCATGACTGATATTATCGACTGCAGTCTGTAAGACGCTCAACAGCACATGCTTGCTGGCCAAATCGATCTCGAGATTGTTCAATGTGGCAAACTGCAAAACGAGCTCTGCGGCGGTTATAGATGGTGGCACTTTCATCATGCTTGTGATTTGCTTCAGCTCAATGGTCCCAACTATCTTCAAATTGACTTCGGTGTTTCCTTTCGAAACCGTGAGTGTGAGCTTGGCGTTGTTGACTAGGTTTGTATAGCGAATAGGCAAAAGGGCATCCAACTTCTTGCCACCAGAAGATAGCTCGCCAAACGACAGAGAGAGATTGAACTTTGCAAGACTGAGCTCAATTAGCTGGTTGACTGTATGTGTGTTAGGGCATTGGATTTTCTTGCTGACATTCTGATACAGAACATGGCACGTAAAGGACATTGTGGATTATGTTGCTTGATGGTGGATCTCTAAAGATATGTGGGACGCTGAATGCAGGTCTTGGACCATAGAAGGCAAACTAGAATGATCTTTCGTTCACTGCAGTAAATTTGGTGAGAAACTTTGCGACAGTGATTGATATGCTTGTTGCCCTTTGAATGTGCTTTTAATGCCAAATTCCGTGTGTTTCGTACTTACTTTTGCAAATTGCAAAAATTTGGCCAAACCGAACGTCGAATTTAAAGCGCACAAGACGGTAATTTCAAGTAATCCAAGGAGAAAAGTCAATGTTTCCATCCTTTTTGCAATTCGTTTCTCTAGTTTGAAGACCCTTTTCAAAGATTCTCCGCATGCAGATTTACAAGCCAAGATGTGACATCTCTACTAGAGTCATCAACGGCTGGCCGGGCGCACGTGACCCACCTACTATTGATAAAAAATCCAGAGGCGCACCCCTTTTGAACCAGAAATTACTCACCCCAGATAAACCAAAATGTGCTGCTGCTGCTGCGAATGTATGTCTGACATTTTCCTTGTGGTGCTATCTGTTCTTTTCCCACCACTTCCCGTGTGGATCCGCAGAGGCATCTGTTCAGCGGATTCTTTCATCAACATCTTGCTTTGTATTCTTGGCTACTTGCCTGGTTTGATCCACTCTTGGTACATTATTGCCAAGTATCCTCCATATACCCTCAACCAAGAACTGAGGGTCTACTACGTGTACCAGAACTCGTCTGATTTGGAAAGCCAGCGAACCCCCGCTCGCCACTCTGTCAGCGTGGAGCCTGCCCCTGTTTCCACGCCTAATTATGCGTCGACAGACAACAGGGCAGAAAGAGAGCCCCTTCTAATAAACGACGCTCCTCCAGCATACACAGAGTTGCCTACAAGCAAGTGATTTTTTTGTCAGAAGAACCCGCTATCTACATAGAATATGCATGTCAGGAATAATATCGCAACGAAACGAAATGCTCATATTTAATACTATATCTTTGAACCTTGTGCTCTGTCATCTTCAGCTTACCGTATTTTTCGTCTTAGACTATCATTACAATCAATTCGTACTTCTTCGTATGTTATCATGGAGGCGATAATGTCACGTGCGCACATCCGTCCTCGCTTATCTATCCATCAATATCATTCCACAAGCGGAAATAAACCACTACAGGCGATGAATCTTGTTTCCGCTTCAATTACGTCAATGGGGGACCCCAACTCGGAGAAATCTTCCGGTTCCAATCCAACATCTATAAAACTAACTGATTCCTTCAGAGACTGGTGGATTAGTTCTTCTTATCTCAGGAGTCCTACGCAAAAGGTTGCTCCGCCAAATGATTTAATTGCCGCTCGTGAACGGAACAGTACCATTGAGTACGAGTTGTTTCGTGCAATTCTATCGGAAAATGTCTACATCCATCCTCCCACGGAACACGGGTTGGAAAAAGCCGAAGAGCATAGTTCGCCTATACGAGGGCGTTTTCTAAATGTGGAGCTCAACAGAGAAGAGTCAGGCGACTTCATTCACGAGTTCGAGCTTAAAAATACTTCAGACCCGAGCCTTCCTCCACGCCACATTGTTTTCATTCATGGATACATGGCGGCAATGGGATACTTTGTGAAAAACTTGGAGGCTTTTGCCACACTGTATGGCAACATCACCATTCATGTGATAGACATGCCTGGGTTTGGGAACTCGGCAAGACCACGCTTTCCTTCGGACATCATCAAACTACCTCGCAACGTAACCCATGACCAGGAAATCAACCGTGTTATTCGGGCTGAATGTTGGTTTATTGACCGTTTTGAAGCGTGGCGCAAAGCTCGGGAAATTGAGCAGTTTGATCTTCTTGCTCATTCCATGGGCGCATACCTTTCAAGTTGCTACATCATGAAATACAACCTAAGGCCTGACGGTAAAAAAATCGTTCACAAGTTTATTATCATCAGCCCTATGGGAACCGAATCGAGTGAGGTGAGTTTGATCAATAACTCGAAGCTCCAGTACAATCACCACGAGGAGGGTGGCGATCCTTTGCGAGAAATCATCACTAGCCAGGATTTTGCGGAGGGTTCTCGAGAAGATGAAGTGACCAAGATATGGGAAATGTTGGGCAAGCCCAAGTTTCCTCGAAACGCATTGCTCAAAACGCTTTGGCAGTGGAACATTTCGCCATTCCAGGTCCTTCAATTACTTGGTCCTATGTACTCCAAAATTTTGTCGTACTGGTCTTTCCAAAGATTCAAGAACCTAAAAGCCAATGGAGTCGGGGAATTGGAGAACGGAAACAGTGACCTAATCTTGAAACTTCACGAGTACTCTTATTCTATATTTAATCAGTACCAAGGATCTGGAGAGTTGGCTATAACAATATTGATCAACCATGAAATTTTACCAAGATTGCCTTTATGCGATCGGGGTTTTGCTGAACATCTCCAGCGAACTGGAGTCCAAACTATGTGGATGTATGGAGATAAAGACTGGATGAACCAGAAGGGAGGCGAGTATTGCGTTGAAAAGCTCCACAAATTAGGAGATAAATCTGCGAAGCTCGAAGTCATAAAAAATGCTGGCCATCATGTGTACTTAGACAACCCTGCCGACTTTAATTCTGCAGCAATAGCATTTCTCGGGTTATAGGTAAACTATACGATCGACAGTGCCTCTTTCAAGATCTGCGCAGCATTATCGGGAGTCATTTGGGACAAAAGCTGTAGTAGGGATCTCTTTTCAATTAACCTTTTTATCGACTCAGAAACATTGTAAGCGCTTTGAATTATGGAATCGTCAATACCAGCCAATTTGGCGACGTTTAGGCCATACAGGTTCGAAACAACTCCGCTCACTAGTTTGTAAAGAAAAATCACTTCGGGCCATTCAGATTCCTTCCCCTCGTTTCTTTTCTTTTCAACAAATGCCATGTGGAAATTTTTGACGTCGTTGAATTCTGTTTCCAATGTACTGAGAGAGGGAAAATGTGTAATGAATAGAGTTAATGGCTTTTTCTTGTCTTCAATAATATATCTGAGTATAGCATAAGCCAACGAAATTCCATCACTCGTCCCTGTTCCTCTTCCAATTTCATCTAAGATAACCAAAGATTTAGGCGTATAATTTTGGATAATATTAGCAGACTCCAACATTTCGACCAAAAAGGTTGATTTACCACGGAGAATGTTATCAGAAGCTCCCATTCGAATGAAAATTGAGTCAAAGATGCCCATAGTTGCGCTAGAACACGGAAGGAGACAGCCTATTTGTGTCATGATCGCCAATAATGCAATTTGTTTCACATACGAAGATTTACCACCCATGTTAGGTCCAGTTATGATCAACACTCGGTTATCGTCTGTAGATAATTTAATGTCGTTTGGAACATATTGTCCATTGTTTTGGGGTAAGTTAAGGAGAATTGGGTGGACGCTGTTTTTCACAGACATTACTTGTTCATCAACCAATTTAGGTCTGATGAATGTGACATCTCCAACGTCTGCTGCTGATCTAGCTAAAGAAAGTAAACAGTCAAATGTTGCTAGGTTATCAACAATTCGGCGAAGATAAATATATTCTGAATCAACTTCGCTGAGAAAGAAATTAAAACATTCATCACACGCCATTAACAACATATCATTATGGTATTGAAGTTCCTTGTGCAATTTTGTAACTTCAGGTGTCCTGAATCGAGAAACAGTTTTCGTACCGCTTATTTTCACCCAGTCGGAAGGAAGAGCATCCACATTTTTGCCATTTCTAACTTCAATCAAGTGTGTTTCCTTAAAATTTGTGATGAAAGAAAGCTGAGGTCGCTTCAACACTTTTCTTATATTCTGCAATTCATCATCCAACTTACGTTCGACTCGGGCAATCTCATCTAGCTCCTTCGAAATTTTATGAAATTTATCCTGGCTGAGGTCAAAAAACTTCATCTTTTGTTCACTAAGATTCTGATCACTTAATGCTCCACTAGGATTAATCAGTTTTAGAAGTTCATCGACTGTGTGGTTCTCACTGAGAGAAAGCATATCTTCTAGTATCGAGATCAATAGAGGGCAGTCATGAACAGACTTAAACTCTTCTATTCCTTTAGAGCCAAAGCTTCTGAAAAGTTCTAAAATTTCGTGAAATGAACGAAGCATGTTATACAAGTCTTTCCTCGTAATCTTATTTGACATATAAGTTGCGGAATAATGAATCTTAATGAGCAGACGATCCAAATCAACGCCTGACTTCCCAATTTTCATCACTGCTTGCTTGAATGCATCTAATATATGTACAAATGCACCACTTTTTAACACATCCACAGCTTTAGCTCTTTGTTCGATTTCTTCTCTTTTCACGAGCGGTCTATTGATCCATTTGCGCAATGTACGAGAACCTTTTCTTGTGAAAGTATTGTCTAGAAGCCAGAGTAGGGTCCCTTTTTTAGTTGTTGGATCTTCATTAACTTCAAAAATGTCAAGCGCTTTTAATGTGGAGGCTGGCAAAACCATGTACATATGAGCATCAGTGAGACTACTGAAGTTGGAAGGTATCGTGAATATGTTGCTGAGCTTGAACTCAGAAAGATAGTCTATCAATTCGATAATGCACGCTTGAATACCCAAAGGGTAATTCAAGGTATAATGTTCTGTCAAGTAAGCATTGTGTCCGTCTGGATCCACTGAAGAGAAAAATTCGTGCATATCGCTTTTGATTTCAGTTTCACTTCTTTGGATTTTTTGAGTTATTGCCATGGCACTGTTTTTGAGCCTAAGGACTTTAGATGTTTCCGGGGAGATTTCTTCATCTTCCGTGATAACGATTACCTCACTGGGATTGAAGTACATGAGTCTCGTTTCTAGCTCGTCTCGAGATGGAGTATCAGAGAATACATCAAAAACAATATCTCCAGTTAGCGGCTGAACAGCAACAAGCGACGTTTGCTTCGAGAAGTTCAGCTCGTTTACGCATAAAACATATGTTTCTCCGTCCAAGGAATCGGCCACATTATTGCTTCTGCTGATTGTAGGGTCGCCAGTTAGAAGTTCATCGCCCATGTATGTTGCCTTTGTATAAACTCCAGTGAGTTTTCTTTCAAACAAACCCGATTTATTTGAGCTCTCCACAGATTTGATTGCAGCTGTCTCTGTCTGTTTGACAACACCAACTTTCAATCCATGGTTCAATAAACGTTGGAGATGAACATGGAGACGGTTGTCTGGAATCGAACAGTACGCAAACCGATCGTGCGTTCGCTCATCCAATTCTAAGTTCCCTGGAAGAAGCATGATGTTTAGAAGCTTGGACGCTGTCACGGCGTCGTTTCCAAAGAACTTGAATTTGTAGCCGACTTGGATCGCCAAGATCTTGTCGCCATGTTCCAGCTTAAGATCGATGAACTGTTTCTCGAGTGGGGTTAGCTTGGATTTCGCTGTGCTTGAAACCGGTTTCTTTGCATTCTCCGAAGGCTTTTTCAGCGGAATTGCTCGTGCTTTCTTGGGCACAATGGGTGAGGTATTGTTCGAGTGAGTAAAATGCTCAAGTTTCCGTTTTATGGCATTGTCTTTGGTTGGAGTGTCTGCATCAGCACCTGGATTAGGAGAAGGGGTTACTTTTGTTTTGACAGGGGTGAAAAAACTACTAATGGATTTCTGCCTCTTGGAAGATCCAGACATGAATGTGGCCTACCAAAGATTATTTGTGCTTCCATGTCAAAGCGCGAACCAATATGTGCAATATGAGGCTGGAAGCGTAAAAGCTTTCACAAAAAACGATGAGACAGAAAATACTACGGATAGATTACTGGAAATTAGAAAGCTCCAATTTTGAATTGACTTCTGGGTCTTTCACAGAATCCTTATGGCGCCCGTACAGAGAGCTAGATTCAATTGACTCACTGTTAACACATGCCTGTCTGAAATCGCACGGCGTTGCAGTGTAGATGTGTAAAATACTAGAACAGGAAGAGAAACAAACGGGAAAATACAAATGCAAATGCAAAAGGACAAAAAGTCAAAATAATAAAATAAAAAAAAAAAAAAAAAAAAATAAACAACAAGTGGAACGGACCTCAATTAGCTTTGATATTGTACGCATTTCTTATCAGTCTGAAACGGGAATGCAATGCATCAAGCATTTTACTACATGACTAATGTCGAGTGCATTAAATATGTAGATGTGTTAAAGAACAAACCAATGTATTAAAGGTAAAAATTCTATTGAAGGGGAAAGGCGCTCCATATTTTGCTAAATGCTGATGCAAGCTGCGTAATACGACTACGGCTTTCTAAAATAAGGACACCGGAGGATTCAGATTCTGTTGAGCTCAACTTTGCATCCTTCCACTTTTACAAGCTCTACCCACATGCCGCTTGATAGACCTGAGTCATTAAACACATATTGTAAGCGTAATTTCAGCCGAGCATCCTGTGCTATTTGAAAATATACTACAGTTAGTCATTTGATATGCTGTTACGAGACAATTCCCGTATCGTATAATTATAGCTCAGTGTACCTGACATGAGTAAGCTTCATTTGGCGCTTTATTCGCCAGACTCATCCCGCACCCTCGTAAAACTGATGCTGCTGAGGTTTCGTGAGATCAATGTGCTCTCGTCGCCTTTGTTCTCCCTCACCAAAACTCGGGTTGGAGGCGACCTGTATGTTTGGGCATGGCTAGCAGGGCCGTCGGGAGGAACTCCCACGGGCAGGACCACAACCGGACTTATGGATTCTTGCAGGCTGTGGCCATCGGCCATCCGACTGAGTTGGAAAGGTGGGCGCTTCATGCTTTCCGTGGCACTGCGTTGTCTCGAATGCTTGCGTGATAGGCTGCTGAGTGAATCCATAGTCAGAAGCGGAGAGTTGAAAACCGATGGCGTCGAGATGTTTCTCTTGAGCGAATGAGACTTTGGTTTCTGTGGAGAAAGGCCCGGCAGCAGTTTGAACAGCGACCCTCGCGACCGTACTGCTGCATCTGCAGCTGAGCGGGCCATGGACGAATGGGCAGACACGTCCACAGGTTTTTGGGATGATGACACAGACCATCGACGTAGGTTTTGCATCGGCATAGATGCTGTAGCGGTTGGCCTAGCAGAAGCAGGAACACCGCCTTTAGCAGCCTTGAATGTGGTCACCAAAGGCGACAGAGTGCCAGAGTCGCTTACTGACGATTTTCTGCTGGCTTCACGAGCCGATATACCTCCACTTCCAGCCTCCAGCGCCTCGTCGGCCTGACGAGCTTTATAGGTGCGATACAGTGGAGATATAGTTACGGATTTGAGTGATGGTGCAGCCATGGAAACGTCATTTTGATTGGGCGTTAAAGGAGCCACCATAGTGCCCTGGGTCAAGCTAGGAGTCCGAAGAGCCAGGAGAGAATGACCTTGGTTGAAAGGTAGGACAGTGTTGGCACGAGCCCTCTTTTCTTGCGCAACTTCTATGGGTGAATGGAGGTCGGGCACAGACGAGTTTGGAAGAGACCTCAGGTGCTGTCTACCGTTTTTCTCTTTTTCTGTTGTGTCAAACGACGCCTGCGATTCGTTGGCGGGCGTCATGGGATGCACTGGATTGATTGGGTTGAGAAGGATGCCTGTTTCTCCGCCTGCGGAAGATGAGTGAGACAAGTAAGTGGAGCCGTCGTTGGCCAAAGAAGATGAGGCCGAGCTGTGCACAGACCCTTTTCTGGAAAGGCCATTCACGTGATCAAAAACGTACATGGACAGAGACAAATCCCATGTGCTTGGATCACGCAAGGCAATTTCTTCATTGACAGCTTGGTCAATCCATTTTTCTCGAAGTACAGTATACTTCGCCCCCAACTCGAACGATGCGGCATAGTCCACGGCTTTCCAGCCCTTGAAATTAAGCATTTCTTCAAACGTTCTGATCTCCTCAAGGGCGATGCTTTTGAGTTCGGTGGCACTCTTGTCGGATGCAGATGGTGCTTCGCCGATTTTTCCACTGGCTATCGTTTTTGTAGGCAGCGATTCCAGATCGTCAGGTGAACTTAGGCTCTGCTTCAAACGGCTGCTGGCAACAAATTTGATGAGCTCTCGAAGGCACAGTAGATCACCGTAGGCGAAACATAGATGAAGACACGAGTCTCCGTTGGAGTCTTGCACTTTCCAATCGGCGCCATACTCTAACAAGAGTTTAAGTCCGTCGGCGAAACGGTACATGCAACAAAAGTGGAGCGGCGTTCGGAGCTTCGGGCCGCCGCGGAAGTTGATCCAAAAGTCTGATGAGAACTCCTGGAGAAGGAAATGAAGTGTTTGGGAATGGTGGTTCATCAAAGGCATGTGGAGTACGGTCAAGTTGTCAAACGTGAGAAGATCTATTTTGCTGACACCGTTGGCGCCGCTGCTCAGATGAAGCTTGTTCATGAGTGAAACCAAATGGAAGCACACCAAATACTTGCCGTGGAAAGATGCATAGTGGAGATTGCACCATCCTTGGTTATTAGGATCAATGTTAAGCAAGAGTTCAGGAAACTTGGACAAGAGTCGCTTGGTGATGGGCAAATTACCTTTGATGATTGCAGTTCTGAGTCTCTCTGGCGGGTCTTGCATGACTCAGAATGTACACGCAGCCTTGAATATATTGGTGCTACCAGTGGGAAAGCCGAAAGAGGTAAAAGTGAGGGAAGCTTAGTATACTTCACTCGCTCCATTACTGTATAATGGGTTTCTAGAAGACGCGCGCATTTAACCAAAGCATTCTTTAGCAAGAAGAAAAAGCCATGGGTTCCAGGGCAAAGCTTAGAAAGCATGTCATTTTTACAATGTGTGTTTGATGGTTCTTTTAATATAAATAGTACAAAAGGCGCTGGGCCAGGATATCAAAATAAGACTGATAGCGAAAGAAAGTATCATGCGAACAATGAAACAGTGCATGTCCCAGTGCTCTGAACGATAGAGAGAAATGGAATTAAATCTCTTTCAAGTATAGCGTTGTTATCGCTCATGAGAGGTTCGCTCACCAAAACCATCCCTTAGCCTTGTACTTGGCCAAGTCACTGGCTGGCACCACAGTGGTGACACAAACTGGTGCGCACGATCCTGATGGTGATGGAACAGGTACCAAAGTGGAGGCAGTGGCCTGTGTGGTTTCTTCACCAGGAGCTTTAGTTGACTCGGTGGGTGGGATGGCAGTTGAAGTAGTCAAGACAGTGGTCGTGCAAGATTCACAGGCTGGAGCAGATGGCAGAGGACCTGGAGCTGGAGCAGAAGATTCTGGGCCTGGAGCTGGAGCAGATGGCAGAGGACCTGGTGCTGGAGCAGAAGATTCAGGACCTGGAGCTGGAGCAGATGGCAGAGGACCTGGAGCTGGAGCAGATGGCAGAGGACCTGGAGCTGGAGCAGAAGATTCTGGGCCTGGAGCTGGAGCAGATGGCAGAGGACCTGGTGCTGGAGCAGAAGATTCTGGGCCTGGAGCTGGAGCAGAAGATTCTGGGCCTGGAGCTGGAGCAGATGGCAGAGGACCTGGTGCTGGAGCAGAAGATTCTGGGCCTGGTGCTGGAGCAGAGGATTCTGGGCCTGGTGCTGGAGCAGAGGATTCTGGGCCTGGTGCTGGAGCAGATAGCAGAGGACCTGGTGCTGGAGCAGAAGATTCTGGGCCTGGTGCTGGAGCAGATGGCAGAGGACCTGGGGCTGGTGCAGAAGATTCTGGGCCTGGAGCTGGAGCAGAAGATTCTGGGCCTGGAGCTGGAGCAGATGGCAGAGGACCTGGTGCTGGAGCAGAAGATTCTGGGCCTGGTGCTGGAGCAGAAGATTCTGGGCCTGGTGCTGGAGCAGAGGATTCTGGGCCTGGTGCTGGAGCAGAAGTCGACGACTCTGGTGGGCAGTACGTGCTTGTCTCAGTCTCTGGAGCAGTAGTTGTTGTTGTCACATCTGGGGTGCAAGAGACACCATTACATTCAGTTGATGGGACTTCAGAAGAAGCCGGTGGTGCCTCAGTTGAAGATGGTGGAACCTCGGTAGACGATGGTGGAACTTCAGAAGATGGAACCTCAGAAGTAGGTGGAACCTTAGAAGAACAAGATGGTGGAACTTCAGTTGAGGATGGTGGTGCCTCTGTTGAAGATGGTGGAACCTCGGTAGACGATGGTGGAATCTCAGTAGAAGATGGAACCTCAGAAGTAGGTGGAACCTTAGAAGAACATGGAGGAACTTCAGAGGAAGATGGAGGAACTTCAGAGGAAGATGGAGGGACCTCTGAAGAAGATGGTGGAACCTCAGAGGAAGATGGAGGGACCTCTGAAGAAGATGGTGGAACCTCAGAGGAAGATGGAGGGACCTCTGAAGAAGATGGAGGGACCTCGGAGGAAGATGGTGGAACCTCAGAGGAAGATGGAGGGACCTCGGAGGAAGATGGAGGGACCTCGGAGGAAGATGGTGGAACCTCAGAGGAAGATGGAGGGACCTCTGAAGAAGATGGAGGGACCTCGGAGGAAGATGGTGGAACCTCAGAGGAAGATGGAGGGACCTCTGAAGAAGATGGAGGGACCTCGGAGGAAGATGGTGGAACCTCAGAGGAAGATGGAGGGACCTCTGAAGAAGATGGAGGGACTTCAGAGGAAGATGGAGGAACTTCAGAGGAAGATGGAGGGACTTCAGAGGAAGATGGAGGGACCTCTGAAGAAGATGGTGGAACCTCGGAGGAAGATGGTGGGATTTCGGTGGAGGATGATGGAGCCTCAGAAGTTGGTGGAACCTCAGTTGAGGATGGAGGGACTTCAGAAGAAGTTGGTGGGATTTCGGTGGAGGATGATGGAGCCTCAGAAGTTGGTGGAACCTCAGTTGAGGATGGTGGAACTTCAGTAGAGGTTGGTGGAACTTCGGTGGAAGACTCAATCGAGGTGCTCGAAGTTGTACAGTCACAGTCCCAACAGAAGTTTGGCAAAATACAATTTTTGTCAATGATCTTCTCGAAAATGTCGAAGAAAGACTTTTTGGACAGCAAAGATGTGGTTGAGGCAGTCAGTGAGAAAAAGTCAGAAGTCGAAGGAGCAGAGCCAAGAGCACCGCCGGCGGAAGAAAAGCCCCAAGAGATCTTTTTGCCGAAGACCGAGGAGAAGGCTTCAAAACAGTTCAGAGGTTTTTCGATGATATCACAGTTGAGCTTCAAAGTCTTTGGCAAGCAGCACTTTCCACCCCACTTGATTGGCTTCACAACAATGGAACTAGACCACTTGGCCCAGTTTTCAATGAGAGAGTGGCCCTCTTCAATCAAGGCAAACTTATCCTGGGCGCAGCCAGTACCGGAAAAGTAAAGGTTGGAAACACTTTGTTGCAATTCACTCAAAACGTGGGCCTTTTCAGCCTCAAAGTTACAGGTGACTTTAAAGAGGCCTTCGCCAACAGCCTCAGCTTTGGAAACAGCAAAGTTGGCTAAGGGAGCCAAAGCACCAAAGGTTCTTTTTTCATTGTCTTCACGCTTTCCGCCTTCAACGGAGTAGATGTTCGTGCTTTCACACTGAGGCTTGTCCCAAGGGAACTTGAAGCCTTCGGTCAAATCGATAAAGGTTCTTTTGGCGACATACTGGGCCTGCACCAAGGCGATAATCCAAACCAAGACTACCGAGAGTCTAGTCAACGAAACTTGTTGCATAGCGAAGGACAAAGTTAGGAGATGTTAAAGTTTGGTTGGAGAGAAGAAAAGGTCATGGCGGCTAGAGCCCCGATTATATATGCGGTTGACCATGTCTCGATCGGGGTCAAGAAAAGACAGATGAAAACCTGCAACAGTACAAATGTCAACAAAAACACACATGCGCCAATTGGCGCTTGTGCACAAGCGCAGCCACATGTATTGTCCGAGGTGGAACTTGTGGTTTGAAGATTGCAAAATGGCAGTGGTTGGTGCGGCCGTGCAGGACGGTGATCGCTGGCCCAATCTCCCACCAGTCTTCGTTTTGAGCCGGGCCAAAGCCAAACAGTGGGCAATTGACAAGTTCCATGGTCCATTGCCTGTGCGAGAAGGCTACAGCTGGCAGTATTTTGGCGCAACCGCTGTCTTTCCCACACAATTGGTGGAGGTGGCTGTTTTGCCGGGGCGGCTTTGCGCAGGGCCTTTGCCGGTTAGGCATGGAGCCGCGTATTTTCGCCAGTGTGCAAACGGTAAAGCGAGGGAAAACTTGCGCCATGCGTGGGAATGCTCTTGTCGCGAACACCCATTTGCCTCGGCTATTTTTTATCTAGGACCCTAAAATGCACCCCTAAGATTCGGCCGGCTATAGTGGGCGCTAGAGCGACTAGGGTGCGCCCATTGACTGAGACAAGCAGAACCTACGCCAGCACAAAGTTTGTCGGCGGACGAAAAGGCCAAGGCACAGCCAGAAGACAGTGTCCGCGGCCACATCTGATGGCTTGCCCAATGCAAAGCTACGGCTGTGGGGGAAACAGAATCGGGAAGGTTATGAGATGCGAGAAACAGCAGCGGGCGGTTTGCGAATGGAAAACCTTCTGCGCCTGCACACCCGTGTGAGGATTGGATGTCGATGGCCGCCTACGCTAGAATTGCTAATGCAAGGTTATTTTTGCTTAATTTTGTTTTTTCACGAGCCGCGGGGATATGGCAAAGCCCGTCTGGGCCCACAAACGGCCGGGCGCATGGAGGCCCGTGACTTGTGGAGCGTGGGTGATGTAGGCTCGTAATGCAAAAGTGCGAGGCGAACGGCGCAAAGATCTCGTAGGCCCGTTTTGGGTGGCCCGGGAATATTTTTTGCAAAGTTTGCTTGTGCTGTTTTTGGCCCCGTATTTTGGAAATGCCCTCTTGTGGTGAAGCCGCCTTAACTTTAGCGGGCTCTAGGTGCCCTGGGCCGTATTGTCATGTGCCTTTGTTCGGCCCTGGCTAAACGCACGTAGAAGCATGCGCGCGCGCCTAATGTGCTCTTCTGGACTGTTCGTATTCGCTCTTGTTTGGCGCACCCGCACCAATGTGTTGGGCGGCCGCCTGCCTCACGTGCCCGTTTGCGCGATCCGAGATAATATTCACCGGGCTACATCCTCATAGCATACAACCATGTCCGGCGGCCTTCGATTGGTGGCGGTCAGTGACATACAGGGCAACTGGGATGCGCTAGATTTGATTGCAGGCCAACACAAAGCAGGCGCGATCATCCACACGGGCAACTTTGGTTTTTGGAATTCCGGAACCGTTGGCCGGGCTCTGGATGTGGGCTACTTGAAACAGATTGTGGCGTTTCTGGATGTCTTGCCGCAGAAGACCGTGCTTGCGCTCAACAACTTGTCCACCATAAACGGCTCCGCGGCGCACAAGTCGGGCGACAAGCCGGTTGAACTGCCAGACTTCAAAGATGAATTGGCAAAGGTGGAACTGCTATCGCACATGGACAAGTACATCAGCGGCGAGAAGACTCTTCCGTGCCCCGTCTACACCATAGTGGGTCCTTTGGACGACCCCGTGATTGTTGAAGAGGTGATGTGTGGGGCGGTCGACATCCCCAATCTCCACATTGTTTCGCATGATCAGGCCTACACTTTGAAAGTGCTGGAAAACGGGCCAGACGTTCAGCTTTACGGATTGGGCGGCAACCTCAAGGTGCACAGTCTCTTTGACAACGGATCTGTTGACGGCCGCTTGTGCGGGAAAGTCGGTGATTTGTGGATTACGTTGGCCCAGGTGGCACACTTATTCTTGAACCACCAGCTGTTGCAAGAGAATGGACCGTCCATCAAGATCTTCATGTCCCACTCGCCGGTGATCAAGACACCTTTACTCGAGCACTTGGCCATTATCACAGGGGCAGATTTCACCATCAGCCAAGGCTTGCATTTCAAGTATCCGGTTCTGGGCAACGGAATGAGTTTTGTCGACAGCATGGGCGGCTCTGCCGGCTACATTGAAAATTACAGGTCCAAGTTCTCGCGGCTACGGATGATTTTGGGCGAGCTTTGGCTCGTCATCAAGGATGACGTGAACCGGATACTTGCCGCAGACACCGAAATGAGAAATCTTATAGAGTTGGGGCTAAGTCTATTTGACAAAATCCCCGTCACCATCGGCGACTCGACAGAAAGCATAGTCAAATTGACACTCGGGACTGCGGAAGAAGAAAACGCCGACGACATGGAGGTGAGCAAGTTGAGCTTGAAGAAGATCAACGACATGTACTTTTCCGCATATTACAATCTCTGGCACTTCAATCTCTGCGACCACATGATTAATACCGGAATGCCAGATCGACAGGACATGGACATTGAGGAAATGTCCGACGAACGAGAAGAAGAGCCAACAGAGTTTAATGTGATGGTGTTCAGTCTAAGTCCCAAGGGAAACTTTCGGCTTGTGCATTGCAACAGCCAGGGATTCAACTTCCAAGTTCCCAAGGCAACCCCAGGCACGGAGACAGAGACTTCGGGCAACAGCTCTGACGAGGGCACCGTTCGTGCGCAAGAGTACTCGCCTGAATACGATGGAGAAGCCAAAACAGACCGCAGCGACGACATCCGAAGAACAAAGGAGCTTCTCAACAGCACATACAAGGACTACCGAGCCCGCGGAAGAGGGCGGGGCCGAGGTGCTCGCGGAGCAAGAGGCGGGAAAAGAGGACGGCCGGCCCGGTGACGCTTGCCCGCACAACGTTTCTACATATCAATACAATACAAGAATGGCGTGGGCCACTTAACGAAGAATGTTTATTGACTTGACGGCCGATGCCGAAGGTATGTGACGGACAGGAACCGTAGACATGGGGTAGACTCGGTCCATGGAAAGATGTGATGTGATGCATTAGTGGTGGCCCCCAATGAAGTCCTCCTTGACTCTGTAGAAAATGTAAAACCACATGGTGGCACCAAGGAACTTGGCGCCCCACTTGACCTTGGGGTCCACGTGAGGCTTGCTCACGGGCGCATGGCGAATGTACTTGGCAATGTGGTGGGCGGCCATTCTGGAGTTGTGAGCTTGAAGCTTGGTAGTTTTTTTTATCGCACTCGTGGTTGGTGGAGCTCGTGCTTGTGTGCAGGCCGCGAGCCTACTGTAGATTTGCAAGAACACCACCACCTCCGAGGCTAGCGGCCTATACAAGCAATTACAAAACAGGGCTGCTACAGCGGGGAAAATTGGCGGCTTTGCCGCTTCACTCGTAAAGCACATACGAGCGTTACTGAAATGCGCCTGCGACTAAACGGGACCGCCGTGGGGGCAAGTTGGCCGTTTCGGGAAGGCTTGTGTTCATGCATATAGGCTCTAGGGCCCATTGTACTATTAGTGGTGAATGTGCCGATTGGCTTGGCTACGCGAAATCTCACGACACGGGCTCCAACTGCTAGCCGGTTGTGTGAGCTCGCGTTTTAGGTGGCGGCAAGTTTCTTTGTCTGGACTCAGATTGCTGTGAGCAGATGTTGGAGACACCCTTCGTTTCCGGATCGAACCGTGGCCCAAGGCACTCTTGGTTCCCGTCGATATTTATTTGAATTTAGGTGCTCCATCGTATTTGCTACTACTGTTTACGGTCACTCTGAGAACAATTGCAGTTTTGCCTAAGTCTTGTAATTGTAGTCTACTATGAGCAATGGCTGCTCCCGGTAAGAGGGGTGTACTACACCGAGTCTTCGTCGTGTTACCAGTGGACCAATTGCGCCGTCAATGCAAGCGAATCCTCTTGTCTCGCGTTTATACGTTCGCGGACGCCAAGCGGACGTGTTATCTTGAATGGCGGAAAGGTTCGATTGACGTTTTGGGCCACGGATCGGCTACGTGCGTCACTCTCAATTGTCTGCTATAATTAGGCGGATATTTTTGGGCCAACAAGGCTAACGGTGGGCCAGATATCATCTTCGTCTGGCGATTTTATTTCTGCTTCTATTTTTTATTGGCCCTTGTATTTTTTTCTTCTGTGTGCAAACATTTGGGTGATACAATGGTCTCTCATCTTTCTCCAACTCTGAAAGCATTTAGTCAGGCTGGAAGGTAGTGGCGACTCTGTCTTCTTGAGGTGACGAATTGATGCCGTGCTGACCTAGAAAGGTGGAAGGATTGTAGAATAAGCAAAATCAACCTATTGGAAACATTTGACTGAAATAAAATCTTGACAGTAGAATAATCTCACCAACGGATTGCAGAAGTATGATGAAGTTACCATTCAATGTATCCTTGCTTTGATCTAGTGATCGTCATGAACAAAATTTCCATGACTAATTGATTCCAGCAATTCGTCAGGCCGGATCGGGAAAACGAACGATCTGCATAAGTTTTGAAACGCACATCATATGGAGCCATTCGCAATATGTGCAAATTACGGCAAGAGCGGGACAAAAGTGAAAAAAGCTTGGAAGGCTCAAAAAAAATATACAGTGTTTCACCTTCACTTCCAGAACTCAGCACAAGTGGTGAATGATTCACAAAACCCAGAGACGATACAGAAACGGCCGAAATGGCATCTTCGACTCTATCGAAAGTGACAGGCGCGCACGTGACCGCACTTACGACCACATTAAAAATAGCCTAAAGTGCTGGTTAAGTGTTTTTCCATGCTTGACAGAAGCATCAGTGTGCAGGACACCAGCCATGTATTTATGCGCACATCACACCTCCACATTTGTCTGCAAAGATATGACTGGTGGATCTGCCTGATCTGAGTTTTCAGCCAGCATCTATGCACATATACGGCAAATTAGCCAGCGCCAGAAGCCGCAATGGCTGTGTCAAAGCTGCCACCGGCAGGGGTAGATCATGTCTGGACCGATTTGGATAAACGTATTTAAACAGTTGCAATCGTTCCCCATAGATGTTTTTTTCATCACTACAAACAACAACTACATCCATCAATCTACTATGAAGTACTCTCTCACCGCATTGGCTTTGGCTGCCGGCTCTTTGGCTGCTACTATTACATCTGAGCCATGGACCACCTTGACACCTACTGCAACTTTCTCTGGTGCCAAGACTGACCACACTGCCAAGTTTGGTATCCAAATTGTCACCTTTTCGCTGACTTCTTCTTCCGCTCTGGCCACTCCTTCTGCTGAGAAGAGAGACGTTGTCAACCAGATTGGCGATGGCCAAGTGCAAAAGCAAACCTCCGAGACTCTTTCTTCTGTGCCTGCCACCACCACAGCCCCAGTTGTCAACCAAATTGGCGATGGCCAAATCCAACACCAGACCGTTTCTGTTGTCAACCAGATTGGCGATGGTCAAATCCAACACCAAACCGCTTCCGTGGTGAACCAAATCGGTGATGGCCAAATCCAACACCAAACTGCCTCTGCCGTGAACCAAATTGGTGACGGTCAAATTCAACACCAAACCACCACTGCCACCACTGCCACTGGAGCTGCCCAAATCAGCGACGGCCAAGTTCAGGCCTCTGCCACTGCTTCTCCAGACGGAGTCATCCCAGAAGCTTGTCTCACGTCGGACTCTTTGGTGATGGAGTTGAAGAACTCTGTCTTGACTGATGGACACGGCAGAATCGGTGCCATTGTTGCCAACAGACAATTCCAATTCGATGGTCCTCCACCACAAGCTGGTTCCATCTACGCTGCTGGCTGGTCCATCACTGACGACGGACTTTTGGCTTTGGGTGACTCTGACGTTTTCTACCAGTGCAAATCCGGTGACTTCTACAACTTGTACGATGAAAATGTTGCCAAGCAATGTGAAGCAGTTCATCTTAGTGTCATCGACTTGGTCAGCTGTTAAGCAGTTATTTTTGGGTTAAGGGTTTAATTTTTGTGTAATTAAAATATATTGTTTGAAAAGTAACATCTACTGTAGAGATTCACTTATCTTTCCTTGTTGAAGGGCTGCCATGCAATCGCCATTTATTTCTACCTTTGAAGTTTCTCTCCACTTCTTCCTATACTCTTCCCATCTACTTTAATGTTGCGTATTTGTATAATTTGCTATAATCGCTTTTGGTGTGTCTATCGTCTCAAAAATCCCTTCTGGCGCCGTGTACTCGAGTCCAGATGGTTGGTCATGGTATATGCAACACTAGTGTACAAGGAACTATCTCCACTCATCATGATAGAATCATCCATGTCACCATCATCGTAATGGAGTGTGACAGAGCTGAAGTTCGCAAATGGATCTTCATCTGAAGCATTGAACTTGGAGCTGTTTTCCACTGAAGTCTCTTCACTCTTCATATCTTCTTGTTGCGGCTTCTTGTCGGTCTTTTTCGTTCTTGTGAGAACTGGAATCATTGGGGGCTTTTGGTTTCGCAATAACGCCCATTGTGTGTTTTTAAAGAAAGCATGCGATTTAATGTCTGAAGCACCCATTTTAGAACCTAATCTTTTGGTTTCGTCCTTCACCAATAACTTTTTTATGAGATTTTTACAGGATGACGACACAGCATGAGTGTCTGCAAACCGAACATCCTTCTTCAAAACGTTGCTGAAAGTAGCCTTACGATCACGTCCTTTGAAGGGAGTGGTTCCATAGAGCATTTCGTAAATGAAAATACCCAAAGTCCACCAATCAACTGCACTCGTGTGACCTTTTCCTCTGATAACCTCTGGTGCAATATATTCTTCTGTTCCGACAAAAGAGTTCGTACGGAAGCCATCGATGCAAGCCTTTGTGTCAATAGTGGGGTTTGCCAGATGATTTGTTTTGCTGAATTGAATTTCGGGGTTTTTGGCATTTGCTGATTGCTTGGACAAGTCAAAGTCGCTAAGCATAATGTGTCCCAGCTGATGTAGCAAGATGTTTTCGGGCTTGAGGTCTCTATAAATGAAACCCATCAAGTGTAAGTATTCCAAAGCGGCAGTTACTTCTGCAGCGTAGAACCTTGCGTCATCTTCGCTAATAGTCTTGGATTCACGTGTCTGTAAAGCCCGAAAGAATTCGCCCCCCATGCAATACTCCATACAAAGGTAAAGAGAATCAGCCAGTTGGAATGAGTGATACAATGTCACAATAAAAGGGTGGTTGCTAGTGGCCAAAATTTCCTGTTCCGCCAACGCACGCTTAATTTTGTTCCGCTCAATCATCTCCTTCTTATTGAGTACCTTCATGGCATAAAGTCTGGACGATGCCTTTTCTCGCACTAAAAACACTTTTCCCACGTCTCCTTTGCCCAAAAGACGGATCTTCTCGAAGCAATCCGGACTCACTTGTACGTCCATGATCTTTGTCGCCAGGTGCGAATACATTCGACCCTGTGTACTTGTTCTAGGCCGTCCTTTCGTAAGGTTGAGTTCGCCAATATGCTCGTGGATATTAAACTCCTTGGTAGTTTCTTGCGTTTGGGATTTGTCATTGAGCAATAAATGAACTAGAGGCGCTGAAGCAACTCTTCGAAGAGTCTTCCTGAGGGGTGTAGGATTGCTGAGGTTGCCCATTTGGCCCTGCGAACGTCGGGACTGAGAGACATTCTCTTCACATTTGCTCTTGTCATTTTTTTGCTGAAGAGCTTCACTCTCTTCCTTAATAAGGTCCTGTAAGGAAGAACCTTTGTATTCGTTGTCCAGATGGGCTGACTCGTGCGAGTTGGCTTCGCTTGCGAAGATAATCGAGTCATTATGACGAAGGGATACAGCAATTTGATTTTTAGAGTTGGGCCGTCCTTCGTAGTGCTGTTTCTGAGCATCCATATGAGGGGGGAAGCCTTGATGAGCAAAGTAAGGGTTCTGTTGAACGACAGGACTCGTTTTCTCGGACTGCTGTTGCTCGGGTGCTTTGGCATAGGGGATCTGGTTTAAAGGCGTGGACACCAGTCGCTTCCGGCCCAACGAGAACATTCGTAGCATGCTGGGAGTGGCTTCCTGGCCTACAGGACGCCCATCGTTTGTGTTTTGGTCTCCGATTTGAGATTCGCTACCACTCGTATCTGTCTCATGATTAAGTTTTGGGCTAGATTTTAGCTCTTGTCTTGGCTCAAGTTTGTTTTCTTGCTTGATGTCAGGCAGAGCAGAAAACCTCAAGAACGACTTTAACTTGACGAGACCGGTGGGTTTTCTCGAATCCAGCTCTGTGTCTGGAGTTACCTCTGATGGAGTTTGAGGCTGAGACTGATCTTGATCGCTGTCATGGTCTTTGAAGAAAAACCTCGTCATTGAGATGGAGCGAGACCGAGAACCTGCCTTCTTCTCATCCACCGGCGTGGGAGGCTTCCAGATATTGTCATCGTCCATATCGGATGGTTTGGTTCCATTCAGATGGAGGAAAGATGGGTATAAGTTCACCATAACTTGTTTATGAAAGATAAAGCACGCACCGTACGAGGACGTGAGTGCAATGAAAGGTCAATGTGTTACACCACCCTATTGAAGAATCCCAGATGGGCCGGGGATGAATTCTGGAAATCTTGACACCTAAAAGGAGTAGGTGGACAGTAGGGTCGGAAACAGATGGGAATTTTCTGATCCAAAAGAAAAATGCAAAGGCAAATGAGCGTGGAGCCTGACTCACCAAACACAGGGAAATCTGCTTTTGTGTATGACTCTGATGCGGTCACTTACGTTGTTCCTGATAACGGCGATCTGATTTTCTACATGTTACACTTGGGCCATATATGCACACAGGACAATGCAGGAGGAGGAGACATAGCAAACACCAGTCAAAACAACAATCCGCAGCAGAGAAGCCAGAATTTCAGCACGGAATCCTTTTCCCTTGGCCTCTTTTGCCCGATCTTTCTCCCTCTTACTTGACATTTGTTTTGTCCACCGACTTTCTTCCTCCCGTAGTAATCGTGGCTCACGCTACTCCGCATCAACTTTCGCAGACTAGATGCACTCACCAAATTCACGCTTTCCTTTACACATCTCCGCCATAGATGGACATTGCCTCACTTGTGGATCCGCAGAACGTACATTATGAGGAGCTGTTGCTAAAGGACCCAGACAACGAGTCGCTTTGGCTTGACTACTTCGAGCTGGTCCAGGACGATTTCCGCAAGTCTCAGTTTGTTCTACATCGTGCTGTCACCCAGCTCCCAGCCTCCACGCTCTTGTGGAATGCCTATCTCCTGCTTCCTTGGACACCAACAGACAACGAAAAGCTTCTTTCCTTGTACGAGCTTGCCTTGCTGGTTTTAAACCCCACGCCTTCTCTATGGTTGAGATACCTCGCTCTCGCGATGGAGTCATCTCCAGCTGAAGCAGTTGACTTTTCCTTCAACAAAGCGCTCATGAGTCTAGACGAGCAGTACCACGGACCCATTTGGACAAAATACTTGGCCTTCGCCGACACTGTGAGAGGAAAACTCGGCGCTTCAATCTACAGACGCTTTTTCGCTGTTTGTGGTCGCTTCTCCGATGGACCAGACATCATGGCAGACGTGTGTATTCTCCAAATTGCCAGGTTTGGCGAAATCAGCTCCACGAAGAAACTCTTCAACCAGTTGTGGGAAAAGAAGTATAGTTTGTCCCACCTTCTAAGTCTGGTGGTGTTGGAGTACTGCAAGATTCTTAGGTGTGACAAAAATTTCGGCGACACAGAATATTTTGAATCTGTGGTTGATAAGGCTCTCTTGAGCTTTATGGATATGGGACCCGAATTCCACTTAGAACTAGCATCTTATTATGTTCTGCGAAAAGAGTTTGAAAAGGCCCATCATCAGTTTCAACTTGGCCTTAACTCAGCAGACTCTGTCAAACAAATGACATATTTATTCAGTGCATATGCTGATTTTCAGCACAAAGAGCTTACGCAGTCTGAACTTCCAGAGGAGCAACTAATGTTGCGATTGGATATATACGAAAAATTTCTCGACAACCTGTCCCGACTCGTGAATGATGTCCATCTCAAGAAAAACCCAAATAATGTGGACTATTGGCTAGATCGAGCACAATTGTATGAGCAAGCAAACGATAAAAATCAAATGCTTAGCACTTTGGTTAAGGCTATTACTAGCATTAACCCTTTGAAAACCACCTCTACCCGTGGCAAAAGTCTAGTGGATTTATGGAAAGTATATGCAAATGTCTACATTTGCCAGAACGATTTTGAGACAGCTAATATTATATTTTCAAAGGCCATAAAGTCGCAGTTTAAAACACCTGAAGAGCTTGCGGAAATATACATAACATGGACTGAGACACTATTGCAAAGTTACGACGATAGCGTTGCCTTGGAGAATTTAGAACGTGTTCTTTTCGCAGACCAGGATGATGTTGATTATGAGGATTCTTCCATATCGGTTCAGCGCAGATTGCATAAATGCACAAAGCTCTGGGAATTCTATTTTGACCTCTTGAAATCTATATTTCAAGATGATAATGACGAAAGTATTCTACAGAAATGGAGTAATGCTTTTGACCGGATGAAATCCCTTAGAATCATCTCCATCAGAGTGGTTCTCGATTTTGCAGATTTTTTACAAGAACAAAAATTATGGGAACGTTCCTTTTCAATTTACGAGACAGGCTTATCATGTTTCAATGCCCCTCAAGCAAAGTATGAGATATACAAGCGATACATCTCGAGAGTACTCTCATATGATAGGTCGAACAAGGAAAAGATACGGGATCTTTTTGATCATTGCATATCCCATCACGATATTCCTGGCTACCTTGCGAAATCGATTTATGAAATGTACTCTGAATTTGAAAAGCAAAACGGGTCAATTGTGAAGTCGAAAAATATCATACAGCAGGGCATATCTTACCTTACTTCATCATTTAATTCAAACACGAAGAGATACACAAAAACACAACTCAACCAAATTGCAGATGATAAGTTTGAGCTATACAAAAAACTACTTTCTTTGACGTCAGACTTGAAGGACGCAGAATTGCAAAGAGAAGTGTACTCCGAATCTATTCAGGACATCCATTTATCATTTTCTCATGTTATTGACCTCGGCATGGAATTCATCTCTTTTGAAGTCAAGAACAATGAGCTTCACAGAGTGCGTGCTTTATTTAAACATCTTGTTGGTCTCCGGAACCCTGAAAACCCCATCATGTCTACGGTGTGGCAACAATGGGAAACGTTTGAGGTACAGAACGGGAACGAAGCTTCTTTCAAGGATATGCTTCGACTCAGGCGGAGACTCATACAAGAGTCAACGGAGCGTGATACAGCTAGAGATGAATTGAATCCAATGGGCTTTGTCAAAAGCTTGAGCACAGGAAACGGAAGCGCAAATGCTAAATCTACAGAAGTCAGCGATCCCAATGCAATTGAATTGGATATGGATGTATAGTAAAAAGATGCGATGATGGAAAAATAGAAGATGCAATTACATCTTCTTGAATATCTCTTTCCACTTGTCGAGGAAAGATTCTAAATTGGTCAATTGGTCGCTGCTCTTGTTGAGTTTAATTGACTTGTTTCCCTTCACAAGTTCACTCGAGCTGTTCCAGTTAATATGGTAGAATTGAAAGATCGTGAGTAGAAAGCTCTGAAATATCTTCAGGAAGTTGCGCTTTTTACTCCTTGGTGAAGATGAGTATGTGACAAGCAACTGTAAATAAATTCCAATCAAACTAAGCGATGAAGATCTCGAATACACCGATGTCAAAATCGCATCGATACTATCGAAAGATTTAGTTCTCTCAGGTGAAACATCTGCACCATCAAGAGATTGTTTAGCAGATGCCAATGGCGTATATGATCCTTGAGCAATGCATGGGGTGGAAGGAGCACTTAAACTTAAAGGAAGCCTGTCGTTCAATTGCACGATGATTTCGAAAAAATGGAATGAACTGAGGTTCTCGAATTCTTTAAGATCAGTAAACTTCTTAAGAATTCGGTATGGGGTGCTCGAAGAGGACATTAGTGACAAGTTCTTCCAAGTGCTTAAGCTTGTGTTCAATTCCCCAAAAAATTCCGGGGTAAAAATGCATTTATCAAACATTTCGATCATGACGCAAATGCTTGTGAAAGTTTCATACTGTTGGAAAAGAATTAAGAACATAGGGATCACGAAAATTTCATGATATGTCTTAAGGCCCCCATCAGATAATGATTTGATGTAGAGCAAATGCTTAAAATTTTTCTCAAATTGATTAACATCAAAATCTGTGGTTTCCAATCCAGCAACTTCATTCAAGAAGTTCACATAAACAGGACGTTTTAATACCTGATCGATGACTTTACCAAATTCCGCATCTTTGGTTGCACGCATTTTGTCGGACAAAGATTGAAATTTAGTTTCGATGATTTTGAGTTTCTCCTCAACTTTTGCTGGATAGTCATTGCCCAAGTTCAAAGTTAAAATCCTCATGAAATATGCAAATCTTTGCTTTTCGGGGACCAGCGTTTCCCAATTTAAACGTCTCCATTTTTCTTTGCCCAGACTCAATTGCTTGCTAAACTCCTTTTTATCAACAGTTGAAGACAATAAGCGGGACCAGGCTTGTTGATTATTGATGTATCTTTCGGCGATTTTCCGTCTTGCATCGTTTTGTGACTTAGTGGCAGATTCATAACCTGCGAGAAACAGATGGAACTCCTTACTATGCTTCAGCTTATCATCAGCGTTTTTCGGAGGTAAATTGATTGGACGAGATTGATCAACAACCTCTAATTTTTCAGGAGACATTAGGCTGATGTCTTCAATGCTGCTCTGTGAACGGACATAACTTGGAAGCTTGTAAATCATCTGCTGCTCACGTGTAAGCTTGACCAACTTCGAGTATGATAGTGACCGCTGAGTATAGAACAGCGATATATTTTGTGAAATTTCAGAATCATCATCGTTATTATAGGTAGGCATGTCTGCAACATACAGCTGGTTGGGTGTATCGAGTGTAGAATCTTCAGGCATAGAAGGTAAGCCCGTATCAATGTGAAAACTGGTATTGAGCTTGCCCGGCAAAGGAGAAGGCTTCATGGACACTGGAGTATTTAAAGTGCCGTACTTATCGTTGTCCAAAGTCAAGTCATGATGTGAAAGAACAGATGTGGAAGAGCTTTTGTGATAGCGGTATATTTCAGCCTGGTTCTTGATGACAGGAACATTGAAAACCAAATCCAAATCGTTGGTCAAAATCTCGTCGTCATTGTCGTTGTCGTCGTAGACCTTCTTGCGTAGCTGCTGTCTTTCCTTTGATTCTTTTGAGCTGAAATATTTGCTTTTGGAGCGACCCAACAAAAACGACGACGAGGCAGTACGGGTTCGCATCAATGGGGGAAGTGGTTTCGCTTGTGCCTTTTGCTCTAAAACACTAGAAGTGGAGGCTGTCCGGAGCTTCGGAGCAAACTTGCGGTCTCCCATTGCAGCAGCGTCGTGCAGTTGGGACTTTGGTGTTTGCATGTCGCTTTTCAAAGTTATGGTGGAGATGGACGAGCACATGGGATCAAGGTCGCTAGTAACATCGACAGCACTGGAGTCAACTGAAAGTTGTTTAGGCGAGCTCACACCCACTTTGCTGGAGTATAAGGAGTTGTTGGTCATGGAACTCAAACGTGAATCAGGGCAGTCAAACTGAGATGATCCCAGCAGCGACATGTCGTCAGAATCTTTGGAGTTGTCGGAAGCTACGGAGATGCCGCTTCCCGGGCGCTTTGTCTGTTTTGAAGTCAAGTTGACCGAGCTCTGGCTGAGTTTCTGTAGGTAATACTCGCCAGGGCGTTTTGGTTCGGATAATGCACCTAGAGACGACATCAGGCCAACTCGGCGAACATGAGGATACTTTTTCTTTGCGGACGACTTGCTTCCTATGGAGATTTCAAAGAGGTTTTGGTCCGGCAAGTTTAACTGTGAGCTGTGATGGCGCATGCTGAAGCGAAAGAATTGAGTAATGGGATGTGGACTTGAAGCGGTGTTAAGCAGGAAATAACGACAAAGAAAGAAAAAAAAAAAATAATAAACGGTGGTATTCAAAGCGGGGGAGAAGCAGAGGACCGCTGACGGAGTGGCCTCAAAGTAGATTGATGAAAGCGAACGAACGGCTCGGAATACCAAAGGATGTTATTTTTTTTTCTGTCCCAAAGTTAAAAGAGAAGCGATTCTGTGGAATGAGGCGAAGAAAAACAAAGCACGAGATCAATCAAGAATGCACGATGCAGGTGGAATCCTGAAAAGGGTTCGGGCAACCTCAAAGCGGCCGGCTGTGTACAGGTGTGCGGTTCGTTCGGCTGAGCAACAGAAATTGTTCGGCCAGGAAAGTTGCTACGGTGCATTCTGAGATGCGAGACGCCCAGAAAATATTCCCTTTCATTATTATTACGATGATTGTTCGGTTTTTCCTGCTGGTTGTTCTTGCAGTGTTCTCTTGTTCTGTTAACAATAAATGCTAGATCGGCCAGCACAGAAGGAACTGGACCAAGATTTACGACACAAGATCATCCGTTGTAGCGTGGGGCCTTTTATGTCCCAGTTGCCGAGGCAAACAGAAAATGCGTAAATCCGGCCACACCTATAAATAGAAGACAAGTGGGACAGCTTCCATATGAAGGACGCCCCAATGCACAGGCGGATTATCTAAATCATGATATAAGCAATCGGAGCATTTAAGGAGACTAAAGCCCATGCGGGGCCGATCCATGTACGCAATTTGAGAGTTTAAAGTGGACTTCCAATTTCACCGTCGCGAGTTTAAATCTCGTTGACGAAGTGCGAATAGACGAGTAGATGAGCGTATTATTGCGAATCACCTTAATTTTAAATCAGGAAAGGACAACAGACGAGTTTCTTCAAAGCTTATTTGTCTGCATCAATAGATTTTCATGGCAAAATTTTACCAGCCTTTTGTTTCTCTACGATCAATGCAATCTAGCTAAACAATGACCATCAGTACTGTTCTATCTATGCACCATTAGAATTCTAAGTATAGTGTACTAGCCCAAACTTACTCTATGCCACATAATGGTATATGCTGGGAGTATCATTGTCTCTTTCCAAATACTCTTTTTCGATCAAGTCCTCAATCCGCTGCTTTATGAGAAGCGTCAGCGGCTGGAACTGGTTTTGCAATTGTTTAATAAGTTCCGCAATCAAGTCGTTGTGATTGATTGTCTGGCGCGATTTCATGATCCTCACGATGGCAGCGTTCACCAAATGCTTTCTTCTTTCCTCGATATTAGTCTTCACTTCGTCCGATTCTTCTTGCTTGATAGACTTCTTGCCAGATTCGGGCTTGGCGGATGATGAAGAGGACACCGTGAGTACCTTAACCTTATTTCCTGGCGCTTTAAACTTGTCATTCAATCTGAATTTATCTGTAGGATTGACGTCTTTAGACATTGGAATCTTGACTAAAAGCCGCAGACGAGGAGCAACTGCAATTGACTGGAGTTGTCGTTTCAAGTCCACCTCTGGAATATTTGTGAGCTCGAATATTTCCTCGTACGTTAACTCTCGTTTCTCATCAAATGCCAGCACTGGATTCCCATCTCCATCCGTCGACTGAGGCGCAAAAAGCATCATGATGACACCGGCATATGTGGATAGGTTGATTTCGTACGTCTTTGAAGGGTATGTGATGCGAAGGTCCATCAGACCGAACTTGGGACACCAAAATAACGTTTTGTTATCGTTCTTCTTACCTGTCTGCCAGAACTCTTCAAATGTTTTCATAGTCTCCCGGAATTGGCTGGGCCATATGAACCCCACTGTACCATTGACACTAGCAAAACTCTTGTAGTCCTTTGTCATGGAATTTGGCCAATCGGACACATGGCAAATTTTCAACTCGAGTTCGACTAAGTCCAGTTCGAGTGCAGACGTGTAGTTCTTCCATTCTCTTGTCAATTCGGTCGACTGGTTGACATCCTTCTTCATCCTGGTGATTTTTTCAAGAGATGCGCTTCCCAATTCTTCGGACAATTTTGAAATTGCAAGCTCTTCTAAATCTCCACCATAGCCTCCACCCGAAGAAGCAGATACGGATATCTTGGAGTTGAGAAACCGCTTGGCGAAATGCGCCGCATAATGTGCCTCAAAAGCATCCTTATCTTTTATGAACTTCAAGAAAGCAACTGCATTATGCAAAAACTCTTCCGTTTCATCCACACTAGCATTGGCATCTGTCGCCAATCTTTTGGAGCTATTAGCTTTCGAGAGCTGCTTGATTGAAGAGTCCATGAAAACGGAAAGAAGCTCTGGAGCATTTGTGAGTGGGGCAGCATTGGATGCCTTTTTCTGTGGTTGGTTTGAAGCATTCACGAAGTCTCTCATGGCTGAAAATATGGTATGCTCAATAGAAACATCGCCACTGAAAGCGTCTTTGACAAGCTGGAGGAGGTGTCTTTGATAATTCAAAACCGTGTCAACCCAGCGGATGGCAAAGGAAGAAGAAGAACTGCTGGATGATGATTTTTTGGAGCCATTTGGTGCAGAAACAGAGGCATGTTGCTCCAAAATGGTGTGAATAATATTTGGGAGTTCTGTACCTTGCAGAACAATAACGTCTCTGAGGCGCAATTTGAGAAGCTTCCGATCGGGATCAACCCGACCAACGAGCTCATAAAGAATATGTAGTTCTGCGGTATGATTGCGGACGTTGGAGGTACCAAACTGTTCGGATGAATTCGTTGTCTGGATCATGATTGGTTCTAGCCAATACAGAAGGCCTTGCTGGTCAATAGGATAGCACATGACGCGGTCGATCTTGTCCTTTATGAGAATATTGTTCATCAATGACACAAGCTTCAGATGCGTCGAATCCGATACAAATTGGTTCAATCGGTCTTCCTCTTCTTGCACGAACTGATAAACATCCTGCAAGTACTTGGAGCCCTGGCCATAGGCAAGATATTCATCGGCCAAATTCGAGAAGAAAACTTCAGAGTTATGCAAAAAGGCTGGCTCAAATAGCAGCAGGTACAACATATCGTCGGAGCCCGACAACTCCTGTGGTAAAGAGTTGGCCAAACCTATGTGTTCTTGCAGAAGAGTTTCAAACATGCTAATGACTTGAGAAATGTACAGCTTGGTAGTTATAACCTGGCCCTTTCTGCTCTTCCCAATCTCATTCAAGATGATAGTAATTAGCTTGTTGCCAATATCCGAGTTGTTGTAGCGCACAAAGTGTAAATCAAATAACACAATGCCAAGGTCGTAAATTAGCAAGCGCTTGTTTTCCTTGACATAGACACGGTTGAGATACATGAGCACGTCACTGATGAACTTCATCAGCTGGAGATGTTCTGCCCACTCACGCATAGTGAGTTGGAGAAATTCTTCATCATTTGAGGTTAGAGCGTCATCATAGACTTTCAAAATGGCTCTCCTCCGCGCTTCAAGATGCTCCCCAATCAACCGGGATACGTCATCATATAGCCGCCCGCCGTACTTTCGTAATACCAAAGTATACGCTTTGCGATAAAGCTGTTCATACAGTAAGTTGGAAACGTTTTTGTTTTGGATCTGCACTATGGCATTGGATAGCACCGACCATGCACTTTCGTAACTTAGAGAATCGTCTGTTTTTGAGTTCTGGCCCCCTAGCGACTTTCTGGGTGGCCGGATTTTCGAACGCCTGCTTCCGGCGGGGATCATGTTGGCTCAGTTGCAAAGGAAGGCAAGATGTAAGTCTAGGTGAGTTTGAACACCCGTACACCCCATATCAAGCCTATGGTTCTCTGGGGTTACTGATGAAAAATTACAAAGGTCGTGTTTACCAAAACGGAAAAAGTGAAACGGTTTTGACGATGGAGAGAAGGTTTTTTTTCTTCTTTTGAATTTTTGGCCCGAAGTTTGAGTCATAGAGATATGTGAATGGCCCATGGTTACAAAAAGCATCAGAAATGATATCGAGGCACGAAAATGTTTCGAATGAGAAAAAGGACTATGTAGCTTGGTAATAGAAAGTAATATGGTTATCATGCATTTTGTTTGATATGTAACCCATGCACGGAACAGTACACATTTATATTAAAACTCCAAGATTGCCTAAACGCGAAGAATGGAAGACAGGCAATGACTGCAAGAGACCGACTGAAGAAGTATGATTAGTACGAAAATATACAGGCCCAGGGCTTAACAATAGAAGCCATAATATCATCAGTTGCAAATTACCGAGTATGTAGTCCAGAACCTCCTTCAGTAATAACCAATTTTGTTATTGGTCCATATGCTTATCAAATTGAATTTGAGCAAGAATTCAAGAGCATACAACAAGAGCAGATAAACATAGAGAGCAAGTACATTTTCTGACAAGGCAGGAAAGACCCTGAATACTGTCAGCGTAAATACGATTTCGCCAGATTCCTGATATAATCTCCATAACTCATGACATCCAACAAGGACGTCTATTTGGCTGTCAGAATGGACTTACTCGGTGACATTCCATATAGCACAAAACTTTTCAGAGTCTTCACCTCAGCAGTTGTAAGAGCAAACTTTGCGATTTACTTCCATTATCTTCTCAATGCAAATCTGTATTTATCGCTTCGCTTGCTTACTTGCCTACTCAAAATGCGAAATCAGTCTTGTTCGCAAGGCTATCCCACAGAACCCTATGGCGCCTCATACAATATATGTACTGCCAATATAAGGGTATAAATGACCAGAGTAATGAAATGATACGCTACTTTCGAAATGCTCCTAAAAAAAGCCAAAAGTACCGCATCAGGAAATGGTACTATCGGCAATATGTATGCGCATATGCCTTTACAGTGCCACGTCCTCACACTTTAACATACGACATCCTGGTACAAATAGAGGATAGACAATGTGCTAGAACATGCGAATCAGTGCAGATTTCGTATCTTGGTTGACGACGTTGTTCCGATACCCCAGTTTGGCCGGTACCGGCGCACGTGACGCCAGCTTTAATAATTCTTCCCGAGTGATTGGCTGGGGGTGCGCGCCGGAACCGCGCCGATTCCGCTCGGGGCAAAATGTGTCACCGAAAAGTATATAACCCGACATCATAGCATTTTCTGCAAACCCATCGATGCCCGCATCTTCCCAACCCAAAACTTTGTACGACAAAGTGTTCGAGGACCACATCGTCCACAAGGACGAGTCCGGCTCCTATCTTCTTTATATTGACCGTCACTTGGTCCATGAAGTGACGTCTCCCCAGGCTTTTGAAGGCTTGAAAAACGCTGGCAGAAAAGTGAGACGGCCCGACTGTACTTTGGCTACTGTCGACCACAACATCCCCACGGTGTCGCGTGTCAACTTCAAGAACGTCGAAACGTTTGTGGAGCAAGAGGACTCCAAGTTGCAGGTGATGACTTTGGAGCAGAATGTCCGGGACTTTGGCGTCACCTACTTTGGCATGGAAGACTCTCGCCAAGGTATTGTGCATGTGATTGGCCCTGAGCAAGGTTTCACTCTTCCAGGCACGACTGTCGTCTGTGGCGACTCGCACACCTCGACCCACGGCGCCTTTGGGTCTTTGGCTTTTGGTATTGGTACTTCGGAGGTTGAGCATGTCTTGGCCACGCAAACTATCATCCAGGCCAAGTCGAAGAACATGAGAATCCGTGTGGAGGGCGACTTGGCCCCAGGCATCACACTGAAGGACTTGGTTTTGCATGTCATTGGTGTCATTGGCACTGCCGGTGGAACTGGGTCTGTCATTGAGTTTGCAGGCCTGGCCATCGAAGCGTTGTCCATGGAGGCAAGAATGTCCATCTGCAACATGGCCATTGAGGCTGGTGCCAGAGCCGGCATGATTCGCCCCGACGAAATCACCTTCAACTACCTCAAGGGCCGGCCATTGGCCCCCAAGGGCGCCGAGTGGGAAAAAGCCGTCAAGTACTGGTCCTCTTTGCGCTCCGACGAAGGCGCCCACTTCGACCACGACATTTTGATCCACGCTCAAGATATCGTTCCTACCATCACATGGGGCAACTCGCCCCAGGACGCTTTGCCCATCACGGCCCGTGTCCCAGATCCAGCGTCCGTGCAAGACCCAATCAAAAAGGCGGGCATGGAACGTGCGCTTGAATACCAGGGCTTGAAGCCCAACACACCTCTTCAGGAGATCACCATCGACAAGGCTTTCATCGGGCTGTGCACCAACCTGCGGATTGAAGATTTGCGCGAGGCAGCCAAGGTTGCCAAGGGCCACCGCAAGGCCGACAATGTCAAGTTGGTTTTGGTTGTTCCAGGATCGGGCTTGGTGAAGCAGCAAGCAGAAAAGGAAGGTCTTGATAAGGTGTTTGAAGCTGCAGGCTTTTCGTGGAGAGAGGCCGGCTGCTCCATGTGTTTGGGCATGAACCCAGACATTTTGGACCCAGAGGAGAGATGCGCTTCGACGTCCAACAGAAACTTCGAAGGCCGTCAAGGTGCTAAATCAAGAACGCACTTGATGTCTCCTGCCATGGCCGCTGCAGCTGCCATCAAGGGTCACTTCACCGATATTCGTGAGTGGAAGTACAATGCGGCTGACGAGCCTGCTGTTCAGATCGACTCCAACGAAGATCTTGAATTGCAAGAAGCCGTGTACGAGCACGAGAAGCAGCCATTGGAAGAGAGCGAGTCTTTAGCCCAGGATAGACTCAACGACATTCCTGCCACTGAGTCGCCTGCTGTTGGTGGAGCTGGCATGGAGAAGTTCACTGTCTTGACAGGTATCACTGCACCTTTGGATAAGGCCAACGTCGACACCGACGCTATCATTCCAAAGCAGTTCTTGAAAACCATCAAGCGTACCGGTTTGAAGAAGGGGTTGTTTTACGAGTTGCGTTTCACCAAGGATGCCGAAGGAAAAGACATTGAGACTGATTTCGCCTTGAACGTTCCTCCTTACCGCAATGCCGAGATTTTGTTGGTCACTGGTGACAACTTTGGCTGTGGTTCCTCGCGTGAACATGCTCCTTGGGCCTTGAAAGATTTCGGCATCAAGTGTATGATTGCGCCTTCGTTCGGTGACATTTTCTACAACAACTCGTGCAAGAACGGTTTGTTGCCCATCAGAATTCCTCAAGAGGTGATCCTCTCTAAATTATACCCTGTGGCTACTGCGGGCAAGAAGCTTACGGTGGACTTGCCTAAACAGGAGATCAGAAATGAAGATGGCGACGTTTTGGTGGAGCACTTTGATATCGAGCCATTTAGGAAACACTGTTTGGTTAACGGCTTGGATGACATTGGCTTGACCATGCAGAAAGAGAAATTTATCAGAAAATTCGAGGAGAGAAGAAGAGACGTCTTTTCCTTTTTGGAGGGTGGATCCAAGTTGATCAAACCCATCACAGGCTCTAAGAAGTCCAAGTACGGTCTTAAGACCCAGGAGTGGTAATATGGTAATTAATGCAAACTAGTGAATGATAACATCGTGTAGTTTAGTCTGTGACACTAGCATTCAAGATGCAGAAAAAAAAAGAAGATTATCAGGTGAAAGATTATAGAATTGCACTCAACTAGTACCTAGTTCATGCCGAAAAACTATTGCCTACTTAAATTGGTGTCCTTTTACTGTGCACACTAGCGGGACGGGTACCAACAGACATTTATATTTCTTCGTATTATTCAATGGCTGGTCAGAGCTAGAGGCAATGGTAAGCAAAAATATAGAAGAACGATTTTAGAGGCACTGCCGACAAAAATCAAATTTTTTAGGCGGTACATTCAGTTCTTATGTCTCACTAGTTTGACATCCAGTTTCCCTTCGATTTGTTCAATTAAACATAGCCCATTGACATTGATACAAGTATAGGCTCTCATCAATGCATTCCTACTAAGAAATCAAAGAAATTCATTATGTGTCTTTACATGACAGATACGATGATTATCTTATCTAGACCGTTACATACCAAGTCAAGGTTCTGCTTACCGCACCTCAAGAATTATCAAATAAAGCTATCGTTTTTACGCACGTATAAGAATTTCCAATTAAAACCTGTGACTAATCCTGGACCCTTGCTCTTCGATCAGAAAGAAGTGGCAAAGGAATATACATGATAATAGATGATAGTAGATGAAAACAGTAAATATCATTTCTACACTGCTTATCCAATCCATACTATTTCACTGGCGAGTTCTTATGTCTGATGCTAGGGATTACATTCATAAATGGTTCTAGCTATACTCCGGCCTACTTTTCCTTTTCCTTCTGACATGGCTACCTTTATAAACCTGCATGTTCGTGTGCATCATCAGTCCGTTATGTAGTTGCACTAGTCTCATTAATCTGTAAACTCACCTGTTCCTTGCCTCTCAATCTATTCACCATGAGACTGAACAGCCAAAGGCTCCTAGTGGCGGCCCGGAACTACTCCAAAAACAAAAGCGAAACGGACTTTTTGGCCGATGCCCTAGGCCTTTTGTCTCCGAAGAAAAGCAACAGAAACGTCCCCTCTTACAAGCCACTGATACTCAGAAATTTACAACGGGGTTCTGTCACAGAGCATTACAGCGAGATTGAAAAAGAGTTGTTGCCCCAATACAACACGCATGCCGTGGACCACTCGAACCAGTTGCATAACTTAATTCTGGATCTTCATGTGGCCAACGAATTGCCGAGCAAACGGCCACTGCAGAAAAATTTGATGAACCATGTGCGGTCTTTACAGAACGAAGATGAGCTTGTGGACTTGGCCAAACTTTCTTTTTACCAGAACCGCTTGACGCTTCCGCTCATGACCAGGTTTATTTTGAATAAGCACCTTCAGCAGCTCTCGCGGCTCCCATTCGATGTCAACAATCTAGACCAAAGCGCATTTGAGAAGAACGGCTGGACCGAGTTGAACTTTTCCGAGTTCAAAATTTTGCTTTTGAAAAAGTATCATGACTTGAACCAACCGCTTCTGATAGTGCGACTCTTGAGAGACGAGTTTGACCACAAGTTTTTGCCCCTCATTCGCCAGCAGAAGCTATCGCCGTTCTACGAAAGAATCGTGTGGAAATTCTATTTCGATTACATTCAAATGGGCCTGGAGGAATCCACCATCAAATCACTAGATAATGTCCGCACCTCATTTTTAATCTGGGAAGCTTCCACTGCCAACTGTTGCGAAATCGCAGGCTCGATTTTGCACCAACATGAGCTTAATAAGCTCCAGCGACTTTTCTTTGAGCTTTGTTCTTGCAATGCAGTCGAATCCATCGTTTCCACTCAGTTGGAAGCAGGCACGTCACCCTTCCTCTCTGCGCTCAAGAAAATCTCTGTCAAGTTCAAGCTCTACAATGTTGACGACTCTCTCTCTGAGAACGTTACCAAGAGAGCTCTAACATACTCGTTTATTCACTCTGTTGAGGATGTAATCTCGACGTACTTGCCCGAGTGGCGTGATGACGCTGCATTGGCTCGAATCATGTCTGAACTACGGTCGTATCGGTCTCAGATGGTCAGAGAAGGCGTGTCTGAACATATAGGTTCGGAAGTCTATGCCAATTAGTAGCTGATTGGTGAATATTTGACATGGAGCATGTGATTCGATTTGAGCCTCTACAACGTACTCATACTTTGATGCACATTGGTAGGCTTTGCAAAAACGTAGTGTTTGCTGGTAATTCGTTAATAAACGTTTTGCGGTTTGTTTGTTCACCCATTCATCTACGTGCTTGTGTTGTTACAATACCTAACTATTGTTCTTATTAATCGTTACGTCGATCACTGTCTTACAGTTCCTCTTTTAGTATTCCTAAAGGATTTGTGAGAACAATTTCCTCTGGTAATTTCCTAAATCAACTCAAGAAGAAAAATCATCTCGCTCCGCAAATACAACATAGACCCGATATACTCCTCTTCCTTCAAGGACGATTTGTCTGTACGGGCCAAATATAAGAAATTATGAATAAAAAGTAAAAATCAATGGTGTCAATCTAATCCCGGCCCGGTTCCGGCCTTGCGCATCTGATAAGGCCCCACCAAAGATTATTTTGGCCCACTTTTCTTTCCATGAAGGTTGTTTCCGACTCACAAGTGGTGCGCCATCTCCTTTCGGCACTCAACAAGGAGTCGATTCTAAATGAGTTTCATCCTACTCTATTAAAGGCGCTTGCCGAGTACGAAGAGAATCCCGATATTGCACCCGAACGCACGGTTCGTGTGTCCAATACCCCAGACTCCGATACCACCCACTTGTTTATGCCATGTATTGCACCACATAAAGTTGGGGTCAAGGTGATCTCGGGTGGCCCCACAAATGCCAAGAAAGGGTTGGGTTTCCAAGGTTGTGTGATGGTTCTAAACGAGTATACTGGTCAGCTTGAAGCTATCGTGGATGCGAAATCGCTCACAGCTTTCCGGACGGCTTTGGCCAGCAGTTTAGGCCTTGCTCGGGTCTTGAGCGACTCGACCAAGATGCTCCCAGAGTTGCTGGTCTTTGGATCTGGGCCCCAGGCTTTTTGGCACGTTTATCTCGCTGTGCAATTGTTTCAAGATCGTATCGAGCGGGTTAACGTTATCAGCAGATCAAGTGGTGCACTCTTGGCTCAAGAATTGAGCTCCCACATTCGTGTGCCCGTGGAGGCGATAAAACTAGAGGAAACAGAGAAGGTCAAGAAACATGTGCAAAACTCCTCCATTGTCTTTGGATGTACTCCATCACAAGAGGGAATTATTCGTAAGGAGTACCTCAACACTGATCCGGCTTTTACAAAGTTTGTGTCTGTCATTGGCTCTTACAAGCCGCACATGATCGAGCTCGACTTGCACTTTATTGAAAAGTACTATACAGAGCAAGACACGGCAGTCCTTGTGGATTCAAAAGACCACACGCTTGCCGAGGCGGGCGAATTGATCCAGGGCAAAATCAAAAAGAGCCAGTTGGTCAGCTTGACGGAATTGTATGACAGCGTCGTAAATCTCGAAAGGCTTTCCTCTGCGACTGGAGTTGTGTGGCAGAAATTGGTGGGGCTTCTGGTTATGGACATTGCCATGGCAAAGCTAGTCATGAACACAAAGGAAGGCACTGAGCTAGATTTTGTGTAGATTTTTATATCAAGATGAACTTTTGATGTGGGAGCTGGCTGTAGAATTACCTTATATTACCAGATAAGCAAAAGTTCAGCCATATAGAGCACTAGTTTTAATCGTAGAGGTTATTACCATATGGAAGCACAAGTTCTAATCATTGATGTTATTACCATATAGAAGCACAGAAGTTTCAATCTGCCTGAAAATATATATTAGTCAGGATCTGTCTACCATAAGTCTCTATAATGAAACACATTGTCCTGTGCCTATAATAGAAAGTTAGTTAAATTGGCACACTTGCACAGGCTACTATCACACACACAATTTCTGGTGACTCCTTCATACACTTGAATATCTATCAATTGCTATAAAAGCCCACAAAGGTCAAATAACCTTATCCATCAATATATATCCTGTTTGAGCGTTCTGGCTTCTGTATTAGGCTATTGTCCTGATAAGCCCACGTGATGCATGCCAGCACTATCTCCGACGCAACGCCAACCACTTTCTTTTCGTTTTCTTTTCCTTAGCCAATGCTGGAAAAAAATCAGCCCTTCTCTGTCTACAACAGAGCGCCCAGCCGCTGGACTTCGTACGTCTTCAACCATTTCACCTTGATTGGTGTCTTGGTCTTGTACATTTTGCTGTCGCATTTAGACGTTTCGTTCCACCAGGCTCCGACCAAGAAACAGAATGTCATTTTCATGGTCACAGACGGCATGGGCCCTGCCTCGTTGTCGCTTGCCCGTTCCTTCAGACAGCACAGAGATAACTTGCCTATCGGCGATATTTTGGCGCTTGACAAATTTCTTGTGGGTCTGTCCAGAACCCGTTCCAGTAGCAGTTTGGTGACAGACTCAGCTGCTGGCGCCACGGCTTTCAGTTGTGGCCTCAAATCTTACAATGGTGCCATTGGCGTTGACCCAAACAAAAACCCCTGCGGCACCATCTTGGAAGCCTTGAAGTTGCAAGGTTGGCACACTGGCTTAGTGGTGACGACACGAATCACCGACGCCACTCCAGCAGCCTTCAGTTCACACGTCGATTACCGTTTCCAAGAGGACCTTATTGCTGAACAACAGCTTGGCGGGTACCCCTTGGGCCGCATGGTGGACTTGATTTTGGGTGGAGGCAGATGCCACTTTTTGCCTCAATCCGCTGGAGGCTGTCGTGCAGACTCAAGAAACTTGGTGGAAGAGGCAAAGGAGGGCAACTGGTCGTATGTTGAGAACAGAGCAGACTTTGACGCTTTGGCCGGAGGTGAAAACGTCAGCTTGCCTCTTTTGGGTCTTTTAGCCCAGACAGACATCCCCTACGACATTGACAGAAACGCCAGTGAATATCCGTCTTTGGCCGAACAGGTGAAAACAGCATTGACCGCATTGAGCAAGGCCACCGAAAAATCTGACCACGGTTTCTTTTTGCTTATTGAAGGCTCCAGAATCGACCACGCGGGCCATCACAATGACCCAGCGGCGCAAGTGAGAGAAGTGTTGGCCTATGACGAAGCTTTCAAAGAAGTTCTTTCATTCATAGACAACTCTGATGTTGAAACTGTTGCCATCTCTACTTCTGACCACGAGACGGGAGGATTGGTTACCTCTAGACAAGTGTCGAAATCGTATCCGGATTACATTTGGTACCCTCAAGTTTTGTTGAACAGTACTCACTCTGGTGACTATTTGGCTAGCAAAATTGTATCTGCCAAACAGTCCAACATTTTTAAAGATGATGAAAGCTTTTCGGATTTTATTGCCAAGTCGATTTTCGAGCAAGATCTTGGAATCTACGACTACACGCAAAGAGAAATTTATACGGTTAAGAAATTGGCCAACATACAATCCGAGCTTATGTACTTTCTCAACAATATGGTTTCCATCCGCTCCAGAACGGGCTGGACTACGCACGGCCACTCAGCAGTTGATGTGAATATTTACGCGTACTCCAATTCCAAAAGAATTGACGAACTCCTTTACCAAAGGGACCCATATACGGGATTACTTGGAAATCACGAGAATATAGAGATTGGCTCGTTCATGGAGTCTGTTACCCATGTGGATTTGAAGAAAGTTACCGAATTGGTACGAAAAACTCACCATTCTCCTGGAGCAATGGCCGAGGCTCAAGTGGACAGCTTACATGTTGCAGCATTGGGAGAACAGCACTCTGGATGTATGCAAAAGAGTTAAAATTAGTATAGCTATATATACCCGACCCAATATAAATATAAAGCAATATATAATAAAAAGATGGCGAAAGATAATTAATGCATAGCTCTTTAAGAGCTCGTGGGAGGGGAAGAAGGATCTATATTTTTTCCTTTCCATTAGCCAAAGTGAATTTTGGCCACACTTAATCGTGATGCACAGTGTAGTCTTCTTTGCAAAGTTTGGCACGCAAACCAGCACCAAACCTGTAGAAACTGAAAGGAACTAAAATCATCGCCAAGGAAACAAACGCTAAAAGCCAACTAGCCCATTGAAGACCCAAACCTTTGTACATTTGGGTGACAAACAATGGGAATGCTGCACCACCGGCACTTCTCAAGAAAACTTTGGTGGCCAAAGCAGAGGCGGCATACTTGGCATAGGTGTCAATAATGTAGTTGTTCAACGAGTAATAAATCAAGACCATACCATATCCAAATGCAATACCGGACAGGGCTGGGCCGACCCAGAAAACATGCTTATACGAGGTTGCACCCAAAATGAAAAGAGCAATACATGGGAAAGGCGAGCCAATCATAGCACCCATAAGTCTGTCTTCTGGGGTTGGAGGTCTGATCTTGCAAAGACGGATGTATCTTTTTTCCAAGATGGGAGTCGTCAACACCGCAAAACCAGCACCGATAAGAATAGGCACGTACATCAATCCGATCTTGTCGTCTTTGAAGCCGTACAACTTGCTGAAGATATATGGGTATGCAAAGAAGAAAGCGTACAACAAGGCGTAGATAAGAGCGACGAATCCACAAACAAGATCCAACACAGGCTCTTGAACGATAAACTTAAGTGGTCTGACCAAGTTGTTGTTAACCAATTCTCCAAAACTCATAGGTGTAGCCTCTTGTTCAGTCATGATTTTATCATTACCAGTCTCCTTTCTCAAGCGCTTTGCTCTATTCTTCAAAATCACTGGAGCGTAGGTTTCTGGAATCGTGGCCATGAGAATCCACATGACACCAGCGAATGCCATGTTCATCCAAACCATCAAACTGTATCTTCCGCTATCAACACTGATGAAACCATTGACAATACCACCAAGGACAGGACCAGAGTAAGGGCAAAAAGAGAAAAATGCAATGGCCAAACCACGGGTTTCGTTATGGAGATCCACCAAACTAGCACCAACGTTGGTCAATGCAGAAGAAGCAAAGACACCAAGAAGGAAACGACACACCAAAACACCTCCGATGTTGGGAGACAATGCGACAGGAATGTTAAATATGGTGTACAAGAAGAAACTGATGAAGTAAACGGGTCTTCTACCAATTTGCTCTGACAATGGAGCCCAGAGCAATGGACCAACAAGGAAACCAATGACCATCAAAGAAACACAAAGAGTAGAGACTTCAGTGGAAACATGGTATTTTTCGTTGATGAGGCCAAGACCACCGGCCAAAGAAGAGGAACCGTAGGCAGCACTAATGACAGCCCACGAGTACACAAAAGTATACCACCACTTCCAGGCCATAGACCAGTTGTGGGGGTTTTCAGGATCGTTGAGTTGGAAGGTGACAAACTCGATTTCCGGATCTAGTTTTTCCAACTTCTCGCTGACTTCCTCTTCGGCCATGGAAGAGACAATGGTCTTGACTCTTCCCAAGGACGCCAAGGTTTGCACAGGCACCAAACCGGTTTCTGTTTCTAGCGTATACTCCTCAGGGAAAACGGGGTTCTTCACGGGAGGAGCGGTGATATCAGGCATGGGAGCCGAGCTTCCCACACCCAAGTCGTACAAGGAACGGGCCGTTTCCGTTCTTGTCTTGGTCAAACGCGCCGAGTTGGACACGGACTCGCCCACAGAGTATCGAGAGTTGATTCTGGAAACAATGGAGTCTTCTTCGGGCTTGGTGAATTCCTGGGGCACCAAGTCCATCGAGTTCAAGGACTCGGAATCAGATTGGTTGGGCATGACGGACAATTTTTTTGCTTAGTCGGGCCTTCTTTATTAGATGAGGGTAGAAAGGTAGATTAATGCTTTGTAAACTACTTGAGTTGAAGCCTCAGACGTATGGGGAAAAGGCAAAGGTAGAAGGACTGTGCGGAACTAAAAACACGCCTCCATATACTGCGAATGCGCCCTACTTATATCTCCAGTGGTGCTTCCATGGAAAGCCAATTGCTATCGTAGTCGCAGCCGTGCTTCGGATATGCCCCTGCACATATGCACGGAACAAGTTCCCGGCCGTTTAGCGTGGGTGATAAAAGCGCGGATTCTCATGACTCAGAAACCAGAGAGGCCAACTTCCGGATTGCTGGTGTGTTTGGGCTTCTCCATCTTAAGATTTGCGGTCTTGCATGTTTCGGTGTTGCGTTTGTAGGCAAGCAGTTGGTGCGCTTTCTTTTTTTATTTTTTTTTGTATTAAGGGATGATGCAGAGAGTGGTGTGGTGGCCTATACTGCAGAGGTACGGGTGCAGCTTTTCTTATTCCAGTCAGTTGTGCAAATGGCCCAAAAGGTGCACTTTGCTTGGCCTAGCGCCATTAAAAGAAATAAACGGGTCTACGTTTCCCGTGCTCCATTTACTTCTTTGCTTTGCTTTGCTTTGCTTCTTTTCCACATTCCGACTGGTAGATGTAGCCACCGTCCGGATGTTCGTGCGGCTGGTTTCTCCGGGTTCCGGTCCCGCCTTAAAAAAGCAGGTCACGTGCGCCACTGGGTACATCTGCACTGGGAGTATTTCGAAAGTTGATTTAAGCTTGTGCAAAAAGAAATACCCGCCTGGGGATGTGTTTTCAGGGGCGTAGCCTGAGATCAAGATGTGCCGGCTAAGGTCATTGTTTCTTCTTTTGGACACTTGAGATTGTTGGCGTTATGCGTTCTACAATTCCCGCATCGCGTAACGGCGGAAATGCATTATTCCTTTAGTGACCTTCCATACTGGTCCATGTGCACGCCAGGGCTTTCACGGCGCAGCTCATGAGGCGGAACAATCGAGTTGTTTTTTTTATTATTTATTGATGGGCACGTGACCTCACCGGGCCTATGCCATGCTGTTAGGGGCCCGTCCATGTTTTATGACTACAACAACGTCAATAGAGACGGTGAAGGCGTTACTGGAGCGCTGTTTTGTGTTTGCAAAGTTCTTTTTTCTCCAGAGCAGAAAGCGTGGAGAAGTTTTTTTCTGCGCTCCGGAACATGCGGGTGTGCATCAGAAATATAGGCGCATGCCCTCTAGCCCGTTTTGCCAGTGATAACGCCATCTGAAAACCGCATGAGGCTGTCGTATGTTATGTAGTAGCGTTTATCAACAGATGCAGAAATAAAGACTTTGCGATGGCTGGTGCTGATAAATGTGACTGATGAACGTGACTGATAACCGAGTCTACTAATAAAGACACTGGTGTCTGTTTCGACGGATCATCTCGCACGGATAATATGTGGGACACTTCATGCGGGTATATCGGCCAGTCGTATGCATATGCCAAGATAGCAGAAGCTTGAAGACACTAATTGGCAGGGCTCGGATGGAGAGGCTAATATAGACACCCAGTACTACAATGTGAAAGAAGTTCACAATGTGAAAGAAGTTCACCCACGGACACATGAACACTTTTCGGATTCAAGCGGGATGTTGACCAGTTAAAGTGTTGTTCTCGCAATACATTTCTGGATTGTTCCATCGATTCGCACAATAAGTTAGCTGGATGGAGTACGGTTTACTTTTACACGAAGTGATCAAGCTGGCCGTGTAATGACAGATTAGAAGGGATGAGGGTCAATTGAGGATATAGAGAAAGGTCTGAATAACAGAAGATATGTTCATTTAACATATGGTCTGAACAGAAGATATGTTAAATTATCACATGTAGCATAGTCAATTCTGTTCTACAATAGTATGAAGTAAACCTAAATTAAATGCAATAACATTATCTCTATAACCTAAGAATATATATAGCTAAGCCATGGTAGGTCCTGTTCATGAAAGTTAATTTCATGTTGCCTACAGTCATACATAGTCCCCTTCTCTCATTAGTAGTGTATTCATATATATGACCATCCACTTATCCCATGATGCAATGTACCGAGCCCTTATTCCTGCCTGTCCTGAAGCTTTTTGATCACCTCCACATTGTACATCTGCTTGTTGCAGCGTCTGCCCTCGAACGGGTTGCGGAGCGCCTCTTGCTTGCACTCCAAAAGGGCGCGCTTCAAGTTCTCGACCGACTGCGCGCTGAGCTGGAAGTGGAACGCAAGACGGCCGCCCATCACTTTCACATTGTGTTTCTCGCCCAACTGGGCCAATAAGGCATCGTCCATTTTGTTTTTCTTCAAGTCCACAAACACAAAGTTGGTGTCGACGGGCGACTCCAATGCAATGTCATGCTCAAGGCAGAAGTCTGCCACGCTGCGCGCCCAAAAATGGCCCTCAGCTATGCGCGCCATGTTCAAGTCGAGCGCCACGGACGCCATAAGGGCATTGATACCATTCTGCCGTATACCGCCGCCGCACTGTTTCTTGAAGTGGTTCGCCTTATCGATGAAGCGCTGGTCGCCCACAAGCACCGAGCCAATGGGCGCGCCCAACGACTTGGACAAGCAGATGGACACCAGGTCGAAGCACTCGCAGTAGGCGCGCAACGACTCGCCCAGCGCCACTGCCGCGTTCAAAAGGCGCGCGCCGTCCAAGTGGAGGCGGATGTGGTGCGCGCGAGCAAACTCGCTGATGCGGCGGATTTCGTCAAGCGGCATCACCATGCCATGCAAAGTGTTCTCCAAGCTGATGACGCGGGTCGGGGCGGCGTGGATGTCGCCGTCGTCGGGCGTGAAGTTCTCGATAATGTCGTCAAGAGTCAAGTAGTTGCCGTTGGCCGGCACAACCGGGTGCACCATAGCCTGCGACAAGGTGGCCAAGCCGCCCGCCTCGTGCAAGAAAACGTGCGCCCTGTAGTCGCAGAGAATGGAGTACGGAGGCTGCACCAAGTTGGCACGCAACGCAATCTGGTTGGACATGGTGCCCGAAACGCAAAAGAGCGCCGCCTCTTTGCCGGTGAGGTCGCACAACTTCTGCTCGAGCCGCAACGTTTCCTGGTCTTCTTTGTAGACCGAGTCGCCCACTGTGAGCGAGCCGGAAACAAGCCCTTGCACCACCGCGTCGTTCATGGCTTTCGTGGGCACCGTGAACGTATCGCTGCGGAACTCGTTGTGGGTGGGGAAGTTTTCGTTTTCGACCGTCATTTTGGATCAGCCGGATAAAGTATGCAAAGTCAGCAAATGCTCAGAAGCAAAATAGCAAGAGGGAGCAAGCAAAAAGGATCAATAGGCCGCGCGAAATAGGCCAGCGAAACAGACCAGATGCCGAAATGTAGTAATCACACAAAGAAATGACCACCTGGTGTAGATGTACTTTTATATATGCTCGCGATGACTAATATGCGCGCGTGCAGATGGGCCGCAAGTCTGATAACTGGAGCAATTGCACAAACATCGCTGCGGCCCCAGACTTTTACGTACCGTCTCTTCCCACTTCTTCTATTATCATGCTTAGGCACACAGTTGCAGCTTTTGTCAAAGAGAAAGGGCTGTAGAGCTGGACGGAAAACAAAAACACACCCGTGCCTCCGATGCCCGCCGTTGTTTGACACCTGCGGCATTCTGTCGCGGCACTTTTAATTGTAATCCCCTCATTTCTTTTGTTTGGTCTGCCTTCGCAATGTCTTAGATTTCTTTTTCCCCATCTTCGCTGCTTCAATTTTCCTCGCATGCTCCCATCTCCCTTCTGTTTCTTTTCTTTTCTGTTCGTCTCTTCTTTTTCTTTTTCTTTTTTCTCTCTTTTGCTCTTTCTCCTCTTGTGGCCCCTCATTTTCTCCTCCGACGAAAAATGCCGTATTCCTTCGCACAATAACCGTTTTTCCGTATACGTGCAGGGCCCTTTCAAAGAAAATACTCTTGGCCTAATCATACCACCCAAGCAAGAAGTTTGGTGGTTCTGGTCAAGAAATCTGGCCAAGAAATCTGCAAATATTTTATGGCACACAGAATGTGGGTGCGAAATGAAATCCAACCTTCATCTTCTAGTTAACGTGTTCTAGTGGCTTCATATTTTCCCGTAGTCTAAAATAATTTCGAGCACTCATGGATCTTTCTTACTATGGCCACGTATTCTACAGTTTCCTTTTTTCTTGCTCCGTACATTACTTATCACATGGGCACCTTTTCTTCATCGCCAACCTCTTCTCTGCCCGGCACAGACGCAAATGGAAGAAACTCGGACATCAACCCCAACGATGGTGCCTCTGGCCGCGCCAAGTCATTCCGCCACAACAGACTACCGCCTGAGATGTTGCGATTGTGACTATACGAAGTGGTCATGGGCCGGTCCAGCCAGATATTGTTCGACAATTGGGATGTGCTGGACGAGAGCAAAAGGCTGTTGAACAAATGATTATCATTAGGTAATGTCGTCAGTTGCAGCTGGGGCATGGCTAGATCCATATGGGCAGACGCAGGCAGGAGCGGAAGACCCAGAAATGGGCGCATCTGGTCGCGGAAACTGGCTTGGCTTGAGTTCTGCCAAAGCGTGTTCATAGACGGCTGCAAAAACCCGTTTTCTGGTGTAGGAGACCGCACGCTGTAGACTGGGTCCTCACAAGGAAAGCTCTGACGGATGTTCTGCGCATACTGTTGCATGGATGTGTGGGGAATCGACAGTCCAAGCTCCGGAAGTGGGATCTGAGGGTCATAATCAGACTGGAGGTATTGCATCTGTTGCGGAGTTGCTAGGTTGGCCGTGCTGTCGCCGTAACTTCTGTTCTCGGCATACAACCCATTGTCATTGTACATTCTCTGATCAATGAACGGTGTTGATTCCGCGAAGTTGTTATTCTCATAATTGGAGCCGGCATAAACTTGGGGTGCGCCAAAGGATACGTCTCCCATGTAATCATTTGTAGGCTGTGCCTGATCCATCTGATTTCCAAGGTACAGTGGAGCATACTGATCCAGTTGACCATTACCAGACGCCACCAACAGCGAAACTGATTGGGTTTGTGATGGGATTCCGGCAGCATTAATACTGGCTGATACCCCCACATTGTTCAAACTGTTGGTTGTAGCATTTGCGCTCTGGTCCTCGTACACATGGCCAAAATGACCGTACCAATTATCGAAGCTTCCGTCTGGTGAAGGCGAACTAGGTCCCGATCCGTCTCCGGTAAGGTAAGACTTCTTCTTGAACTTCGAAAGAGCATTGCTGAAACCGCCAAATTCGACGCTTGCAGTATACTCCGTGAGACAATTAGGTTCGTAACCGGGATCCTTATTGCTTCGAGCAATCTCGATACTGTTGTGGATAGTGACAAAACGTTGTATAGTAGCTCTGAATTCTGCTTTCCACGAATTCTCCAACGTGATCATATGCTCTAGTTCCTTGTTGATCTCCGGTTCCCAGTCAGGTCTTAGTTCGTAAATTTTTTGAAGCACACCCAAACCCAACTTCGTCAATAAGCCATCACGAGTGAAAATTTCCGCCGAGGATTGGGAAGCAGACGGTGTCTCCGTGTTAGCCAAGTTTGGCGGGGATACAAACTGATTAACGAGAGGTTGTAAACTTTGCACTAATGTGGAAAGATTCTTGCGCTCACTCGTTAAACCTTTAACGGACTCTTCAATGGAGTTTATTTCAGCCTTGATGTCATTTATCATAAAGTTCAATTCGGCGACCTGCTCATGGGTTTTGGATTTTTCTGTTTCGTTGGTATTGATCATGTGGTGGTGTTTTTTCTTGCAACTTTGCCACCTTGCTTTTCATTTCGGATATTTTACTGACATGCATGTTTCTGTGACTCTCGTAGGACTTCAATTGTTTGGTTAGTTTCAATTTCGTGAATGTGAGGGCATTTTTTTTCTTTTCCAAATCTTTCAAATCCAAATCTTTCTTTGCCCGGAGGTCGGAACCCTCGTTTAGCTCTCGTTTGAAGCATTCTATCGACTCCTTGAGTTGAGCTTCTTCTTCCTTTTGGTGGCAGGCGGCCTCCTTTGTTTCCTTTTTGACTCTGGCGAGCTCGTTCAAGTATAAGAAAAGGTTGCGGGAAAGCACTTTTTCATTGCTGATTTTGTCGACGTCTTCTGGTAGCAAGTCTAAGGAACAGTTACGTAAATCTTCATCAGAGACGTTGCATGGAAGTTCAAACTCTTTAGCAATAGGGAAAGGGAAGGAATCGATCTCCAACGACGAGTCTTTAGCCTTGAAGTTGGCAGGCAAAGTATGGATGAAAAGAGCGCTGGGATTGCGAACGAAAATTGCTGATGGCGTTTACAGCCAAGATTTGAATCACGTATAAAGTATCAGGAAGCAAATTGCTCAATCTTGCAGAGTTGGCGGCTAATGTGCCCGCGTCTTTGCCGTTCACCAAAAGCACGAAAAAGACATTCTCGTCTGGAGACGTTTCAATGTCCCAATGAATGGAGGCGTGATCAGAACCAAGCTGATCAACACAAACCACAGGAGTACGAGGGATATCAACGTTTAGTTGGCGAGCCAACTGATCCGCGGGTGTTTGGAAAAGCTGATAGCATCTGAAGAATAACCAACAGAGCGATGGAATTGCTGTTAGTAGCACTTCTATCATGGAGTTGAAAAAGCACTGGAGTGGAAGCGCCAGGAAAAGGAGTGATCCAGATGGCGTTAAACACTTGACAAGTTGCTGTGGCCAGGAAAAAAGGGTGCAAGTTGCTTTTTCCGATGTTTTTCTTTTTATTTTTCTTTGTTGGTTTTTCACGCGATAGAAACTGGGGAACCAACGGAAGAACATGAAAGGCCACACAAGATAGAAATGCCACAAAAATGTTCTTTCAAGCTGCTTCCATTATTGTAGTGAATTATTCTGTCAGGAAAGAGTCGAACGTTTCAGCAAAAAATTTAACCCAATGCGTTAATCTACATAGATGAAACACGCTTTTCAAGCAAAGAAACCGTTGACTCAGAAAATTCCTTTACCGATATTTAAAGCATGTGAGTGTTCGGACATGGATAAAACAGCCCTCCGTGAAAAATGCAACTCCATCCTGAACGACGTATACTAGAAAACGGCAGTTTTTGTATTTGTGTAACCAACGTGAAGCTTTGAAACATCTATAATGACATGTTTACTACAATGTGGCTCGGGTTCTCTGTTGCTTGAATTCTGTTCTAGAATTAGTATGTAAACTAGTGCATACTATATCATTGTGCTATTTGGAAACCGGCTTTGATTAGATGCCTGAGAATGCCAAAATTGTTTAGAATACTTGAGATCGGTCTAAGGTAGCTTTTAGCTAATGTTAACTCCAGACTGTCGATAATTGGTCGGATCATTGTTCAATCTTAAAAAAGTCAACTAGTTTTAGTTTGACAATTAGAACATGCGAAGAAAATATATCATTGTATTAAGCTATAACCTTTTGAACCAAACATAAACAACCGACAACCAGAGACCATCACAAACAAAGTCAGACAACAACAACATCAAAATCAAACAACATCAAAATCAACAACATCAAAATCAAAATCAAAATCACAGAGCACGTAGGCCATAATCTATCAGCGGCCTCCAAAGACAGCAAAAAGTGTCAAGAGCACATTGAAGATACCAAGAAGAAGAAATGGGCCAAAGACCCATGTGTCGCTCCAAGTTCCGCCAATCTTGGTGATAAGCAAAATCCCCACACCTCCACAGAGACTATAAATGCCACTGATGCTTCCTATGACCTGATGGTTGCGCATAGAGTCACGCTGGCCCACCTGGCTCAAAAGAGACATGCTTGAGATGATGGTGCCGATCTGCGACAAGCCGATGAGACTCACCCAAACGAAACAACTAACGCGGCGAGGGTCGTAGATTGCAGAAGTGCTTCCGAAAATACACAAGCAGAAAGAACCAACACTGCCGAAAATGGAAGCTGCTACCAAGGTGACACGGCTCCCCAAACGACGGATATCTGCCACGATGCCCCAAAGCGGAGAGGAAACCAACGCCACAACCTGTGCAACTCCAGTCAAAATGGCCAGGAAAATGTATCCATCGTAGCAGTCGCTCTGGTTCGGGATTTCGGTCACGTTTGGATGATCACCACAAGCACCAATGGCAGAGTAGTACTTGTAAACCACCAAAGGTATGAATACCGAAGTGGCCACAGTAGTTGAACGGGCGACAAACGCTCCCGCGTAGGCCAACTGGATTTGGTGGTCGTTGCGTGATGCCTGGACACCTTTTCTCAACAAGGCAAAGTAGCCCAACTGGCTAGGTTCTTCGTGTGAGCGGCTGCTTTCTCTCTTTTGCTTGACTGAATCGTATGCGGCGAAATAAACCACAATGCCAACAACAAACGCCACGCCTCCAAGGAGAAGATAGGACAAACGCAAGCTGTATTCACGCGAGAGGTCGAAATGGCCGCTCAAGCGCACGGGCAAGGTGAGGAAAACAGAAACGGAAAACACGGCGCCGAGACCGGTCGACACGCCGAGCAACGCGGAAAGGCGCCCGTTTTTTTCGCGCGAAGCCGCAGAACGCGGGGCGGTGTGTGCGTGTCCTGCGCCGTCGACGGGCCCAAGTAAGGGCGACAAAAAGGGCGGCCGCTCGCTCGACGGGCGCCAGAAAATCATGCGGCGCTAGTCAAAGTCTGAGTTATTGGCCTCGTGTAGCATCACTGTCATGATACTCATGGTTCTGGTCACATCCATGGCAAAAACAATGCGCTAGAACTAAAGGTCGGGGAAAATCCTCTATGCGCCCTTCTCGTAGCTCATAAGCGCTAACGCCAAGATACTGAAGCTGGTTAATTGGAGCAAATGTGGGCCTGATGGGAATCTGGGTCTTTTAAAAGCTCAGGCGTTGATGCGGTCGTTCAATGCGCCTAAAAGTGGCGCACATATAACTACAGTCAACTCATCCACAACACTCAAGGTTTCGATTGCAGAACTCATCTTCTCCTGAAGAGAGACTAAGCACATCGGTAAGATAGAAAGGCTGAGATGCTCAGTATGAAAACGATAAAGGTCACAGCAGTAAAATCTAGCAAAGTTATACGTAATAAGATTGTGGTCTCGGTACTGAGGATTCAAAAGATGAGGCATGAAGTAGAAGTGGTGTTGAGTAATTAAATGTGAAGGCGAATGTTTCTCGGGCCTGTACGATATACTTCGCGAACAAGTCCGTTCGGATTATCCTTTGCTGTGATGAGATTGCGAGTCGGTCACAGACTTGAAATCAATGTGTAAAGTAGTAAATGCAAATGTGCGGAAATGAAGATTTTTATAACTATGGAGCGTTATATGTAGAAGTAAAGTGTAAAAGTGAATACGTAATTTGTCGGGTCGCGAGCAGGAAATGTAAATACGTGACGCAGATGAGATAAGATAGGAGATGCGACATAACAGAACATGAATACACCAGACAGGATACCAAGCCGTTATCAAGGCTGGCTATGTCCTACCAAAATTTAGTAGTTCGTTAAAAAGGCCATCTTTTCAGGAATATATTAAACTAGTACACTAATACCGGTGGACGATACAAAAACCAATTAAGCCAACCTGGAATAGATGATTCAACAGTACGGATCATATTACATACCTTTACTTCAAAGCTAGGGTTCTAGATGCTTCTGGGAAGGTGTCTCATGACTGAACTTCTCTTTTTAATCAGTTATGTGGTCTTTTCAGCATAGAGAGTGGAAGTTTAATATTTGGACTCATTGGGTATTGGGCCGTTATGCTTGTTGGATATAATATGTTCCGCCCAATTCAGGGAAATCAGCAATCCTCCAAAGGCATTTTCGACAGTGGTGTCCTTGGTATAGAAATTGGCAATTGACGGTGAAGGGTATTTGCATACTTGGTATAGTTTTAGTCTTCTCATATGAGCCTCAATATCCTAACCGGGGTCGATAATTAGTTCCAAAACCTATAATAAAGTGTTGACTTAGTGCCAAAGGTGGGTAAACATTGTTACTCACCTTCCAGATACATCATTTACATTCACATTGCATAAGCAACTATTCGTGTTCATTCATTACTATTTAGCTCTCGCCGCTCATTTCAAGCCAGAGCCATTTTCGCCAGAGCTCGCCTGCTTCAGAAATGATGCGGTCCATATAATCATGTGTAAAGACCCCGTAAGCCATGGGTGTAGTGCCCTTTTCTTTATCTTTCTGCTCCTGGTACTGTTTGTACTTGTCACTCAAGCTGAAAGATTTGGCAGGAAGATGCGACAAGAAGGTGCGGATCTCGTGCTGGTCGAGCTCCACCAATGTGTTTTCCTTTGCCTTCAAAAGTGCAAGCGAAACAAAGAGAAGTTCAATGTGCGGATCGATGCGGGCAAAAGGAATCTGCTGATCCCGTTCATAACCCGTAGATGTAGCCCGCAGAGAAGATGATAAAACAGGCAGAGAATCTCCTGAAGAGCTGGAACTTTGGTTAGAGCACGAGTCGATGTGCAAGTCGTTGATCAAGTCCTTGAATGAGTCTTCTTTGATAAGGCGCTCCTCTTCAACATAGTCCACAGACCAAAAGCTGTCTGGACCAAGCTTATCTAACAACTCGGAAGAGATGTTGAGTTTATCTGCGTAATAATTGCGATCAGCTTCGGATTTCTTGCTCTGCATGCGCCAGCCCAACATGAGATCCCAAATGCGGCCACGGTCAACGCGGGACCATACTTTAGAGCCACAGTACTTGAGCCACCATATGAGCCATTCGTCATCGTTCAGCCCGAATTTGTTGAGAATCTGCTCCTCTTGGAAGTACAGGGAAAGCTCTGGGAGCAACTTCTGGAACACGTAGATGAAAAAGGACACGCGCTGTTCTATGGTTCCTCCGCTGACGGGGAGAGTCGATTTGTTGATTTTCACCGAGTTTCCTGGCTTGTCACGTTTGTTTGCCAGCTCGGGGGAATGTAAAAGCACCAAAGCCAAGCGCTCGTAAACCTCATGGAATCGCATGCCGGCTTCCTCTTGTACCATGGATTGCAAAAACTCGCTTAATCCAGGTGCGGAGTCAATGAAAGACTCGTAACCTTCAAAGACCGAACCGATGCAAGTGTGGGTGCTAGAAGTGACATCACGACCTAAAAGAACCCAATGGGTATTGGGGATCGGGGGAAACCATTCAGCCACGCCAAGAGCCATCCATGTGAGCGCTGGGTCGTACTTGATGATGCGGCCCCACTTGAGCACGAACTTGTGGACGGCTTTTTCCAAAATGTCAAACATTTGCAGTTCGGTCTGCGAAAGGGGCTCTTCGGCGGAACTGTAGGTGATTCTATGCAAGTAGCGCCGTAAGTCCTTGCGGATACGGCGCTGGAGCTGGGCGTCAGGGTCTTCGGACTCGCCGTCGGACGGAGGTCTCTCCTTTTCCACAGCGTCGGGCTGGAGGAATGGGTTTACGACAAATGGGTGGGAACGGAGCAAAATGGGCCAGATTTTGAAGCGGAGGAAAGGCGGCAAGCCCTTTTGGCGGGCTATAAGCGCCAAGCCGTGGTAATTTTTCTGGCTGAGGTAGCTTTGGCACTGGGCAAAAATCTCAGAGTTGTAGTGGAAAACAGCCGTCTGCTTCACGGTCCCGGACAGGCCAGCAGACGACTTTCGGCTGCTATTGGAAAGGCTCGCTTAGATCTGAAGACATGGTTACCGCTTGGGGTGCAAGGTTTCAATACATGGCGAAACTGCTGAGAAAAGAAGGAGAAATGGATGAAGAAATGGGGAAAAGGAATGCGACGGACGTTCACGAGTCAGTTGGAAGTATTTTTTTTTTTTTTCTTAAGTTTGTTCGCTGGCTTGCTTCTTGGCTAGTCTTTGCTTGTTCTTTGCTTTGTTGTTTTGTTGGCAACGAGAGTCGCTGCTCCGATGGTGGAAGCTGAAGAAGACTGGAGATCAGTGGCTTTTTTTTTTCTGCCCGCGCCAATTTTAAAAGTCTTTTTTGTGCATGCTCACGAACAGTCTTTCGAGCCTAAGACGAAAAGAGTTAAAGCGCTTGTGAGCACGCTTTCGCGCGGCTTTCCGCGGCGACTCGGCTCTGGCTTTTCCGAGCCAGATTCTTGCGAAGAAAAGGGGCACGGACTGCTGGGATTGGGCCAAATCCGTCTGTTGCGGCCTTTTCATTTCCAAAATTTTCTTGTGATTGCAAGTTCTAAACTCCGTCTTCCGTCGGTGGGCCGTCTCTGTGCGCAGGACCGTCCAAAGGGAGCCGAGAAAATACGAGGCATCGACAAACTAGGCAACGAGAGATGAAGTAACAAGAGATGAGATGGTAGGTAGAGATGTAGAGGTAAGAATACGGAAAATATAGAATACGGATAGAATACAGAAAATACGGATAGAATGCAGATAGAATACAGATAGAATACAGATAGAACACAGAAGGTACAGAAAATACAGAAAATACAGATAGACAAGAGAGTGCTCTTTGCTCGATAACCTGTTTGTAGCTCGAGATATACTTAACTGGGAGCTGCCTATTTAACGAAGGCCGTGCGAATCTTCCAGTGGTACCTTCTCAGCTTTGCGCTGTCTTGTGTCTTCATTTCATCTTGTATTTGTGTCTGCCTGTCTTGGTTTTCTTCGTCTTCGTTTGTCTTCGCCTTTGACTGTCTTCTGCTTCTATCTCCCCTCTCCTCTCTTCTATCTCCTCCCTTCTATCTCCTCTCTTCTATCTACCCTCCTCTTTTCTATCCTTATCCCTCATTTCCCTCTTCATTCTCATCTACTTCTATCTCGTCGTCTTATTCTCGTGTGTATCTTCTTGTTCCCTGTTTATCTACCACACACAAACATGCAATCTCCGCAAATTAAGTTATCATTGCTCTTGCCATTCAATGTCTCTTATCCCTGATACGTCTCCCCGCTTGAAGATGCATTATCGAACCATAACTTGGCATGGAACAATGGTCATGTCCATACAGTCTTGTCGCTCCTTTGAAGGATACAAGTGAAACATTCGATCCTTCAGTCATTCTGGCATTTCTTAACATCCAATCAGTCAAGACTCAAGTAATCATTCGGCCGTCCAATCAAATCAGCAAACCAATACACGCCCCGTGCATTTATTTCTTCCCCTTTTAGCCGTTCCTAATTATTGCTTCTTTCGGTTGATTCGCACAGTTCAGCGCCCGATTCCGTGCCGACAATTCGCACCCAAGGGTCTTCCTGCATGCATCCTATGGCCTAGCCCGGCCAAGCCGAACCTATATAAACCCTTTGGCTTTAGCCGATTGCTGCCTTTAATATTCTATTGTAGAAATGGTGCGGTTCTTTCTGTTTCACAAGTCGGCGGAAACGGAGATCCGTAATGGTATGTATCAGTGCAATGGCCTTTCTAGCGTTTGCATATTAATCAAAATTAGCCATTAGCGATGAGCCGTTGGGCCCGTACAACAAGGATCTCCAGGACTTGGCCAACCTTTCCTTCGACACAAAGGCGCTTTGTGTGATTGAAGAGGTGTTGCAAAAAAAACTCGTCAAGATTCTAGCGGCTGCAAATAACCCGAGACGCCTGTACTCGACCAAATCCGTCCGGCGCCACCCTGTGCCGCCAAAGAGGGCGCTGTCTTTCCATAACCAGCCGCTCAGTCTGGAGTCGAAAAACGAGCTTGTGGTGTTGAAGTGCTTGACGGTCATTGTGCACTTGTGCCAGTATGGCTCGAGCGACTTTGTCACTTGGCTCCGCAGAAATTACAGCCAAATCATCCAGCCATTGGGACGGCTTGCGTTCTTGCCGCAGTACGCCAACGCTATTTATCTGAAGGTGTCTCTTGTGGTGCGCTACTGTGAAAGCAAAACGGAGTTGGCCACCAGCAGGAAATCTGTCGATGAAATCCGCCGGGAAATCCGGCCAGGAATTGTCGGGCTCCCGGACTCTTCTCCAGTCCCTCGTGTGGCTGCCATTGTCACCCGAACGCACAGTCCCCACGAAATGCCAAGTATTCTTTCGATGATGGAGGAGAGCACGCTCCGGCTCTCCAGTAACAATCCGTTTGTGAAGCATGTATGAAGGTTTGGGCTGTTTCATCAATTTGGGCGAGCCGCTTTATAATTTCCCCGTCGGCTCGATTTAATGGTTTAGGTTAATAGGTTAGGTGAGTAAATTAATATGGTCTAATTGGGAAGTCTGGCTCCGACTGTTAGCAATGGTCTGTAAGACCTTTCTGGTTTTTGCTCTTTGGTCTTTGATCTATGTAGATCTATTTTGATCTCGATTTTTTATTTGTTTATTAAGCTCGTATGCTCCATCATTTAGCCTACTCATCAGCTTCTAGCCCTATCTTTCGAATGCGCATTGCCTAAAACCGTAGAATAACCCGATAAGGCCTTGTGTATTATGCGATCGAGCAGGTATTTAGTGCCATCTTTGACTCGTTGATAAATAGCCAAATATGCCAAATATGCCAAATACATAACTCCTATCTCGAACTAAATGCAGTGCGAGTTTATCCGGCTGAAACACTTTCTTGCTAAAAGTGCTTGCGCACCTCCCAAAATAGAACACTTTGGAAGAAACCAAGTCATAGAATACCCTCGTTCCCATTCATATACGGGAACTGAAGCTGATTTGTCAACAACCAAAGAATTTCCTCATCACTGGTTAATTCCCTCAAAAGAATATGTCTCAGCATGTTTACGAGTGTGAAGGCATTTTGTATTTCTTTTGTTTCTCTTTTGCCACGCTTAGCGCCGCAGTCTATTTCTTAAACGGTAACTTGAATTTCTTTTTTTCTAGAATGTGTGACATGCACGTGAGCTTAGCCGCACCCCATAGCCGCCCCTATTTATATATATAAGGGGGCAAACACTGAATTTCATTTCCGCCACTAGTATTTTTCCACCTCGCTTACAACACAATGCAAATCTTTGTTAAAACCTTGACCGGCAAGACCATCACATTGGAAGTCGAATCTTCCGACACTATCGACAACGTTAAGTCCAAGATCCAAGATAAGGAGGGAATTCCTCCAGACCAGCAAAGATTGATTTTTGCTGGTAAGCAATTGGAAGACGGCAGAACCTTGTCTGACTACAACATCCAAAAGGAGTCCACTTTGCACTTGGTTTTGAGATTGAGAGGTGGTATGCAAATCTTCGTTAAGACTTTGACCGGTAAGACCATCACTTTAGAGGTTGAGTCTTCTGACACCATTGACAATGTTAAGTCCAAGATCCAAGACAAGGAGGGAATCCCACCTGACCAGCAAAGATTGATCTTCGCTGGTAAGCAATTGGAAGATGGCAGAACTTTGTCCGACTACAACATCCAGAAGGAGTCCACCTTGCATTTGGTGTTGAGATTGAGAGGTGGTATGCAAATTTTTGTTAAGACTTTGACCGGTAAGACTATCACTTTAGAGGTTGAATCGTCCGACACCATTGACAACGTTAAGTCCAAGATCCAAGATAAGGAGGGAATTCCTCCAGACCAGCAAAGATTGATCTTCGCTGGTAAGCAATTGGAAGATGGCAGAACTTTGTCCGACTACAACATCCAAAAGGAGTCCACTTTGCACTTGGTTTTGAGATTGAGAGGTGGTATGCAAATTTTTGTTAAGACTTTGACCGGTAAGACTATCACTTTAGAGGTGGAGTCTTCTGACACCATTGACAACGTCAAATCTAAAATTCAAGACAAGGAGGGAATCCCACCTGACCAGCAAAGATTGATCTTCGCTGGTAAGCAATTGGAGGATGGCAGAACCTTGTCCGACTACAACATCCAAAAAGAATCTACTTTGCACTTGGTTTTGAGATTGAGAGGTGGTATGCAAATCTTTGTTAAGACTTTGACCGGTAAGACCATCACTTTAGAGGTTGAGTCTTCGGACACTATCGACAACGTCAAATCTAAAATTCAAGACAAGGAGGGAATCCCACCTGACCAGCAAAGATTGATCTTCGCTGGCAAGCAATTGGAAGATGGCAGAACTTTGTCCGACTACAACATTCAGAAGGAATCCACTTTGCACTTGGTGTTGAGATTGAGAGGTGGAAACTAAAAGTTTGGAGCTTATTTTATAGTGTATATTGAATTCATTTCATAGAATGGGCGATTAATTATCTGTAGCCAATCCCAACTCATAGAGTGCGACCGTCGATGTATTCTCTTTTTTCAAGTTGTCAATGAATTCGAGCACAAACTGTGTCTTATAGGACACCCCATGTCTTGATAAGAGTTCGATGAACATTTTGGAATTCCGAGCAAAGAGAACCAAATTTTTTTCTAAGCGATATTTTTCTCCGAAGTTGGTCAACTCTGTAAACATCTCCAGGATCAAATCCAATTGGGAAGTGGTAAGCTCAGTTTGATCATCAAGTATCGATTTTAATAGAATGCCCATGTGTTCATTGAAAGAAGCACAGGTTCTCCAAGTCAAAGAAACATCATCACTTTTTCTGAGATTTTTCATTTTGTCATGAGCAAGTTTGAGAATATCTGCGTTCAAGTGAGACGGCGAAAGCGATTCAAAGATATTGCCGATGTAAGATAGGTACAATTCTTCGATCTTGGCCTCTTTCTGTGCATCTGTCTTTCCGTTTTCCAAATCGCTCATCAGTAAAACATCCGCCTCTTCAAAATAGTCTCTGGTTAAAACCGTTTGCATAACATCAATGTATGTATCGACAGCTTCAACCTCAGAAGGATAACTGTGCACATACTGTCCCAAAGAAAGAACAGCTTTCATCTGATAAGCCTTGTTTCTTCTCCTAGCCTCTGTTTGCACTGTTTTTGTCACTTGCTCCAATATTTCTTTATGACCGTTCAAAAATACAGTTTTCTTGGTGGAAAACCCCACCAACGCCTTGAGAACTAAATCTTTTCCATCCCAGGACTTTCCCTTTGACAATTCTAGGAGAAGCGCCAATAGTTCCGTAGTTTGTGGGTCGGAGTCAATCTCTATAGTGGTTGCCATATCTGCAAGTGCTTTGGCAATGATTTTTCGGATATTATAGTTTGGCGATTGGCCATATATCTTGCACAATGTAGTGATTTCCTCGAAGTATACTTTGATGGCATTATTTCCACTCGAACTTTCAATCCACTCTCTGTCGAAAAAGCTTTTAACCAGCTCAAGAGGGTCATGTCTTCCAATAAATGCCAATGGCAAAAAAGCTCCAGCCACTGACTCAAATACGTCGGAGCCACAATATCTGCTAACTGCTTCTGAAGCCATTCCAACGAGAATTCTTTGATCATCGTCCTCGCTTTCAAAGTACATTGTTTTGAGGTGTGTTCCGTAATTCACAATTTCTGTAATCGAGCCAACTTTGCAACAATATCCAGCTGCTGTAGCATATGAGGAAGACACTGTTTGATTGCGATCATTGAGTTGACCAATGCACATTGTCAATAATTTATCTCCATAAGGCTTTACCTCTGCATAGTTTTTGGTGACGAGACTCACTATAACTTTGGCTCCACATACCTTTGATGGTAACCCGACAGACTTCTTTATACTTCTTTGGAGTTTCTGAATTACAATAGGCATGAGCTGGTCATCCACTAATCGCAAGATTTGTTCGATAGCATCCATGATAGGCGAATGGCCCAAACTCTGAAGTCTTCTAGCATCAACCTCCCCGCTATTAAGATTGAACTTATCAGCATTCAAAACGAGATAATTGAGTATTTCTGGCTCAAGGGTGGACATGAGCTCGATGAACGTTGCAAGAAGATTTGGGACATGTTTTATCACGGTTTTACCGCCCAGTTTGCAGAGATTCAAAAGTGTTTCCAAAGCAAAGTCTCGAACGTCCTCAGCGTCACTTAAAAGACCATCACTGCCCAAAAGAAAGGGAATCAAATCGTTCATAATTGCTGCAGCCTTTTCGGCGCTCATTGTACCATTTTTCTCATCAGCAGCTCTCATCAAAGCTCTTGCAAGAGCCTTGGCCAAGCTTGCACCTTCTTTCCGAACACTCTCTTTGATATCATCCATAGCCCTGAAAGTCATTTTCCAAATCTGTTCCAAATGAGAGTCAAGTTGTTTTAAAGATTGTGTTTGCAAAAGATCGTTCAATGCTGAAACACCTGCTTGTCTAACACGCCACTCTTTACTTCCCATGCTTTTCAACACTTCTTGGAGGATAAGGTCGAAATTCTCACGTAGAGTTTTCGAAGGGTCTTTGATTAAGATGTTCCAAATATCATTCATGGATTTCGAGACAGAAACATTCGGATCAAAACGATATCTGTATAAACGTGGGATAAGTCTCGCGCTCAACTTGTCATTTTTGGAAAACATTTCGTCCAAACTTGTCTTGGATAAAATCGATCCCAAGCCAAATGCCATTCCTTTTCTGGACGACCATAGAGCATTGGACCTGGCAAGGGACATGAACTTGTAAACCAAACTAGGATCTCCAACATCTGCAGCTAAACTTAAAACATCTTTGTAAGTTGATACAGACCCGTCGTCAGTTTTTAAAACGTCTTTGTCGAACAACTGAGTCTCAAGATCCACTGTGCCAGCCTTCAAAGAGTTGGATTCTTTTGCATCGGTGAAGCTTCTCAACAAGCTTTTGACCAACTCTTCCTTTAGTTCGTGGTCTCCGAGCTCATAAATGATATTCAATCCTCGAGATGCAGATTCTTGTATTAATTCGTCCCGATCCACCAAAAATTTCATGAACGCAACGTGAATTTCTTTACCCTTCTCCTTGATGAGAGACATATGGCCCAAGTACTGAACAAGGGAAAGAAGCCAGATACAGCCTGCCTTTCGAAGCGCTGGTTTTGTCTGTGCACAGCTTTCAAGTACGTGCTCGAGAACAAACGGAAGTCTATTAGTTTCCTTTGGTAACCATTCCACTGCTGCACCTTGAACATCAAGGTTTTGTTGCAAGACGGTCGCTTCCCATCCTCCGGCAAGAATAGCTAAAGCTTCGCCACTTGAGAACGTGAAATCGATTTGCTTGGAAATGTGGGTGTCATAGATGAGTTTCTCGATATCAGAAGCCTCGGAAATCTCCAGATCATAAGTCGAGGGAAGAGAGAGAGCTAATTTTGCCAACGTTGTCACAGAAAGCTCATGACATGTTTTGGCTTTACTCTGAACGACTTCGAGAATCTTTCCAACATCCTGTGCAATCGTTTCGTAAGCCACAAATTTTGGACCGAGAACCCCAAATATAGCCAACTGTGATACAGCATGAAGGCATGTGGTGTAATTTTTGGATTCCTTTATACCCTCGGCCAAGCTCTGAATAAAACTTTTCACCAGTTCTTGCTGTAAGACCTCGGTTCTTCCTCTAAGTAGCAAACGAGAAGTTAAGAATGAGGTGGCCAAGACTCGTGCCTCTTTCAATTGTTTGCTCTTGCCTTCTATTGTAAGACCCAGCAATATCGTCTTTAAGTAGTCGTCTTCCACTGATGTATTCGAGGCAACAATTCCAAAAACCTCGCATAAATCTTTCATCTCGGCCCTACTCATTGCACCTTCTTTGATAAGTGCAAACATTTTGTCAACTTGGGAAGTGAGATCTGCGATGATTGAAGTGGGGGACATTGACACGAGTAGCTTGAAAACAGACAAATATGTAGGGTTTGATGGGAACGCGTTACCAGAAGATGTCAGACGAAGAAATCCATCAAATGTGATTTCTAAGAATGTATGAAACGGGCAATTGATATTCTCACCTTCTGTCATTGGTACATCTTTCTGTGCCAATAATTGGATTTGCTCTGTTACGAGTTGGCGGACATTCTTATCAACTTCAAGGGCCTTATCTATTCTGGCAATCCAGTCCTCATCAGGCACGACCACTGTTTGTTTACCTTTAACAGACTGCATGACTAGTAAGTTGAGAATAAACCTGATTGCCTCACTGAGTTGCTCGCGAGCAAAAGAATCGTATGGGAACGATTCGAATTGCTCTTTAACTGTGATAACCATATCCTCAAAGGTAGGGAATTCAACCGACGAATTGAGACCTAGAAAGTCCCGGGAAGACTCACTTTGAAGATTGTTGGTCGATCTCATAAGATTGAAATAATAAGGGTGTAATCCCTTATTAGCCTCTTCCACCGTATCTGAATTGTTATGTTTTGATTTGCCTATGATACACAAAAACCGTGCATTTGCATCCTCAAACGGGAAAGTGTAGTTGACATACTTGATGGCAATGTACTTGCAAGAGGCTAAGTTAGGGGAGTTGTATGAATTTACCAAATAGCCTCTCAAGATATCTTTGAGTTCACTCTTGCAATCTGAAGCCAATTCTGGAAGATGGATAATCAAGCTGGAAAGTGCATCTTGAATAACGGGTCTCAACTCCAGGGTCTCCTCTTCTAAAGACAGAAACAAGAAGCGAAGGAATTCCAAATTGTTTCGCCAGATACCTGGGGTATTGCGCAAAATATCACCCAAAGCTTCATACTGGAGTTGTCTCAGACCAATGGCCGTACGATAATTCGCAACCTTAGTTGTATCTATTTGCGGCCAACCATCTGCAATGATGCTTTCCTTCAACTGTGCCGAAGTAGCAATATTGAAATCCAAAGGTACTTTCCCCAACTTGGTGACTCTTCTGATGAAAGCGACGGTGACTTGTCTTAGCTTTGCATAATCCGACAGCAACCCAATATTGGCTATGTTTCGGACGTTCGATTCGGAAAGAGCAAGTTCGCTCTTCGACAAGACAACTAGAATTTTCTCTTGCAACGTTGGCTTGGCTGGAGGGGTCTTGTCATCACCGACAAAAAGTGTAATCAATTGCTTGACAAATTTAGGGTCTTCAACATCGATGGATAACTTCTTGAACCAAGTATTCACTCTGTCGCTTATCGATGAAGATGAGTCTGCAGATGCTATAAGTAGAGGAAGCGCCAAGTATTTCTCGCTGAAGCCAACTTTCAAAAAATCAAGGATTTTCATTTTGGCCTTGTCCACATCCTGTCTTGTGTGATATGAGATGCCCGCATCTTTAGTAAAATACGCATTGTCTTCCACGCTTAAACCCGGACTAGCAACGGTTGTGCTGGTTGCATTCGGTTGAAGCATCAAAAACTTTGCAAACTGAGACGTAAGGAAAACTTCATCGTCAGGAGAGTCGTTGAAGCCATACACTTGCCGAGTGTTTTCGTGTTCTTGGACATCTGGGGCAGACCAATCGCTCAACAATTTCATCAAGATTGCAAACACTCTAGCCGAGACAGGACGGGGATACCTGCTGATATTTCTAATAACTTTGGGCACCAACAAAGCTTTCTCTTCCCTTCCTAGTCTTTCGACACCTTTGGACAAGAACAACAATGAGTAAAGGCGCACCTGGTACAGATCGGCGCCCAGAGGAACATTGGGATGCTGCACTTGGTTAAGCAATGCTTGAACAGGCAATTGAAGTTGTCTAGCGGCTGTGACCCGAGGAAATATGTTTTGGATCGTTTTGAACACTGCTTGCCGTACATCCGCATGAGGACTGGATAATTTCAATAGTAATGGAGCCAACAACTGCTGGAGATTCTGCTCCAATTGTTGGTCTGATTCCGCCAAGGCCAAACGGAGATCAACTTTGCTCACCAAATCCAATTCTTTAGCTGACATCTTTTAGTACTTCTTTCCGAAAGTATTCAGCTTTCTCTGTACAATTGGGTCAGACGGCAAATGTAGTGGCGTTTTAGTATGTGCGCGATACTGCCGAAGATAAAGACCATCGAGCGTATGCAGATTACACATATACGATGATTCTTATATCCGTGCCGTTAGGTTTTTTTAGCAGAAAAAAAGGTGATTAGAAGTTGTGCTCAAAGTTTGAAACTATAATGATAATATGCTTAGTGTAACGTACTTTAATATTTTGTATGACCCGTTCGGGCCTATTGGTTTTGGCAATGCTGATGATGCGAATTGGAGTCTTTGCCATTGAGTCTGCCACTGAGCTGACATGGCTAGAGCAAGACTGTAACTGCTATAATTACCAAGTTTTTGTTATGTATTATATTACGTGATTTATCTATGCATTCCCATTAATCCGTTGTTACGTGCTCTTGTATTCTCTCAAAATCACTGGAACAGACGAAGGAGGTAAGGAACCCAACTCTGTAACAACTTTGTTGATGTACTGGGGCGGAGTCAAGTCGTACATGATGTTTAAAATGTTGAGGTAAGGAATATCTTTCCAGTTGCTCAAGGGCTCGGCCAGAGCTTCTTGTTCTGAGTCCTTCTTGTCATTTTGATTCTGTTTGCGCGATCCTGACTGTTTCTTTTCTGATTGCTTCTTCTCTGACTCTTCTTGCAGTTTGATGAACTGTTCCAAAGCCAACGACTTCTTCACAGGAGGCAATTGGGAGTTTTTCACCAAATCCTCTGGATCCGCCAATTCATTGGTAGTTACAGAGTCCAATTGCACGCGGTCCGAAAACTTAATGGACTCGCAGCAGGTGATGACAGGAATGTTTCTTTTGTGGCACATCATGGCAACCATTGCACTGCCAACACGAGCATACAAGTAGCCGTTAGAAAGCATGGCATGGGCTCCCAAAAACGCATAGTCGACATCCTCCAAAATCGTAGACGACAACAGATTTATCATAACGTATTGCACGCTCAATCTTTCCTTCGTAATGGCAACAGGTGGCTCGTACTTGAGATTAGGGTTGGATTCGAGTTCCTCTGCGCTTGGTTGGATTTTTGCATTCACCAACTCGCTGAGCAACTTTTTACCTTCAAACAATGGCCGAGAGTCGACGATGACCAAGTTGAAGCTTTTGTTTTGTTCCAACACTGCGTGCTGAAGCAACTTCGACAACACCTCCGAATGTCCAAATGTCAAGACTGTACATCCGTTGTTGATATGTTGAGACGCATTCTCGATTATAAGCTGGTCAGATAAATCGATCTTGTCTCTGATAAAGTCGTCAATACGACTGCACAAGGTCGCTTTCGCTTCTGGCTCAGGCGTGTCGATAGAAATGTGGGAGATTTCCTGTTTCAACCACCGGATGGCATTTCCCATCGACGTTGACAATGGTCTAGAGCTTTTCAAGTATTCTATCTGGTGAGATAAATGGCCCGTCATGTGTCGCGTCAAGGTGGTATTTTCTGGGGTTTGATAGTCCGAAATCACGGCCTTGAACACCTTTAACATTTCTCTCAATCTGGCAGTCGAGCCCACAATCTTGTGGCTCGAGAAGTGTAAGCTCAAGGTCAAAATCGCAGGATGGACAATGTGAGAAACCGTTGGAGAGGACGCATTTCTTTGCTCTCTAGTTTCCAAGTGGCTGAACAAAGCAGGGATTTTTTTGTCCTCGTTCTTCACCACAGCCTGACTTAACTGTTTCTTCAAGTTTGTGTTTGTCGCTTGCAGTTTACGCTTCTCGATCTTTTGCTGTGCAAGCTGTTCTTGTTGTTCTGGCGTAATTCCTGCTGCTTCCTTCTGGGCAGCTCTTTTGGCGGCTTTTTCCTTTTTCTTCAACTCCTTCAACTCCTTGTTCGAAAGCTTTTTGCCTTCGGCACCCTCAGCCGGAGGGTCGGCTGGCTTTGCGGTTTTTTCTTCGCCCATTCTTTTCTTGTCTTACTTTTTACCAGTGCGCTTACAGTACAAATTTCTCATACAGTTTTTTAGTGAGTATCTGATGTTGCGTGTACACCTCAATACATAAATGTTTGATTCAACTTTCAGTCAACTCTCCGTAAACTCCTCTCTTCTTCGTAGTGTCATATAATCTGACCACCTTCTCCAAGTTTTGATCATCTACTTGCGAAAAGGCAAATCCTCTTTGCTTTTTGATTCTTTGCACCTGTCTCACTTTGCGAATAGCTTTCTCAAACTGCTCCATTCTTGGCCTGTAGTCTTGGATGTTATACTTTTGGATTTCCTGAACATAGTGGTAACTTTCAGGATTGTAGCTTCTCTTGAAAAACTTCCATGCAAAATCTCGGATCAAGCAGAGGATACTGACTCCAAAGACGGCGGCCCAGAATGTCAAACTTGGATATGTGTGCGCAATAACACCATGATATTCTTTGGATACATTTATCAGAGGAGCAACAACAGCATAGATGGGCAACCAGACAAGCCATAAAATGAATGATCCAGGAATAGCTAAAACTGTAAATTTGGTCCACAACGTCACCACGAACGCAGCTTTTCCTAAGGCAGTCAATGTACAAGTCAATTAACCCAAAGTTCTCCGAAGACTAATGTTTTGTTCGTCGACCATTATATAGGAACTACGAGCTGCAGGTCATGACCATCATACCCACGAAAATCAAATCCGAGTGGAAAAAAGCCATTGACGATCCATTCCCAGAAAGTAGTGACATTGAAAAATTTCCTTGGTTTGCCAAGCTGGTACAATTGTGGATATCTGTCCAAGAAACGAGCGCTGACAAACTGATCAAAAACACCCATTATAAATGGTGGGAACACGGTGAAAAGAACATTATAAAATGTCAATGTCCACGATTCAATAAGGGACTGGCCGGAGAAACCGTTTAAAAACACAAACCAAAACTGCGTCATGTACAAGGCAACATTCTTGTAGAAGGAGTACAAGATGGCGTTGGAAATACGCTGGTACGACCAAGAACCATGCACCAATAAGAGCTTCTTGAGATACTTGAACTGGCCGATAGAAACATCTGCACTTCTAGCTGCTTGCATACCTTCCATACCATTGATACCAACACCAACATGCGCAGCCTGAATCATAGAAACGTCATTTGCACCATCTCCAATGGCCAAGAGCAAAGATCTCTTCTTCTTTCTTTTAACCATTTTCACGACTAATGCTTTTTGCAACGGAGAAACACGGCAGCAAATGACGGCTTTACAGCGGGTTGCCAATGACAAAAAGAGGTCTTCTAAATCAGACTCGAGAGCAAATCCCAAGGAATGGCCGTCAATAATCAAGGCCAATGAGGAATCCAACACAGAAGCATCCATGTCATGCTGGTGCTCGCTGATTGCATCCAACTTTTCTTTCAAATTAAGTTTTGTATCGGCCTTGGTCTCCTCATTGATGATAAGAAGATTCATGTCTTCACTCAAAAGCTTGCACGACATTCCGATGTTGATTGCGGTTTCTTGTCTATCGCCAGTAAGAATCCAAATCTTGATTCCCGCATTCTGTAAAGTATGAATTGTTTCTGGGACGCCATCTTGTAATTTGTCTTCGATTGCAGTTGCACCCAAAAGAAACAAGTCTTTCTCAATCAATTCCGCAACTTCGTCAAGTTGCTCGCTTCTATTTTCAAGTGCAGTAGAAGCTTCGTAGTATTGCGTAGCCCATGCTTGATATTCCTCCTCTGGAACAATCCTTGATGCGATACATAATGTCCGCAAACCATCGGATGCAAAATCCTCCAAATGTCTAATGGTTGCGCTGACAAACGGCTGAGGCTCCAACTCTGAAAGACGCTTCAAGATCACAGTGTCTGCACCTTTGCAGAAAAGACGAATCATTCCATCCGGACATCTGAAGATTGCGGACATTCTTTTCCTAGTAGAGTTAAACTCACAGATGTTCAACAATTCATATTCAGCATCGGTGTCTGTGGCATTGGCATGTATCGTGACACTCTTTGGACGACGAATGGTGAATTTGTAACCCAAATCTGCAGCACCTTGAACTAACGCTCCTTCATCAGGAGAAGCTGCTTGGTACTTTATCGCTCCTGTGGCCTCGTTGACTTCGGGAATGACAGTGTGGCATGTACTGAGCAAAACAAAAAACTCGTTGATGATGGCAGACTGTTGCAGGAGATTGTCTCTTAAATGAGCCTGTAAATCGTTGAAGCTGTAGAAGCCAATTTCAATTCCATCAACCATTTGAGCTTGGCCATCTTCAGGGATTTCCTCAGCATAGCATTTACCTCCAATTGTGCAAGCTTTGAATTCCATGACATTTCTTGTGAGTGTACCTGTCTTGTCAGAGAAAATGTAGTCAATTTGACCCAATTCTTCGACCAAAGATGACGTTCTCACGCCGGTTGGGGTATCAGATTCGGCATAATACATGTCTAAGTCACTTCCAATCATGTATGCCTGGTAATATTTGATAATCTCCACAGTGACGAAAAGAGAAATCGGAACCAAGTTCGAGTACAAAATCCAGAACGTGAGGATGTCCTTGAAAAACAACTTGGCCATATTCGTACCTTCCAAGTACAAGTATGGCATGTGTTTCTTGTTGATTTGGATCTGGGCAACATTTCCGATGGAGGAAACAAGGGCCAATATGATCAAAATCGAAAACAATGCGATGATTTGCAAATTAATGATTCTCTCCACATCTGTTCTCTTGATTGGCGCAGCTGTAGCGTTACGCATCAACTTTGTCTCGTGACCGGTGAACACCACAATACCATGGATCCATTGGGTATTCCTTAGAGTTGCACCTCTTAAAAGCAATTGTTGAGGTGAAAGGGGGAGTTTAGAAGATGGTCCAAAATTATTCAAAGTTCCTTCATAAGTGTACAAGGACGAGTTTGGCTGTTCGGACATGATTTCTGTATGTGATAAATCAGACACCAATGAATGTGGGTCTACCAAATACGCAGTTTCCGACTTGGCTTGTTTGATCTTCAAATTCGTTTCACCATCTAAGTTTGCCGTTTCGATGTAACATAAACCTTCTGGTTCAGAAGAGCTTAAAAGAAGCAAATCTGCTGGAAAAGATTCTTCGTTGTTGACACGCACGATATCACCCACTTGAACCAGAATCCACTTTTTTGAGTGGAACTCGCCGGTCTCCGGGTCTAGAACTAGCACACTTGTGTTATTAAGTTCTTTATCAGCGTTCGCACGCTTGATATCTTCCATCACTTCTTTTGTCGCAGAAACAAGTAACACCACAGTCAATGTTCCGATAGTGGTGTATCTGTTCGTGGGTGAAACGTCGGGGACTTGCTGAATAATGGAGGTGAAAAGGAAAAACAAATTGGCATACTTGCTGAATTGTTCAAACAAGAATTTGGGTAAGAAGGTCGCAAAGTTATATTTAGTCGTAGAAATGTGGTTTCCATAGAAACCAAAAGACAGGTTTTTGGCCCGATCCATGACGTAAATATGCCGTGGACCCAATGCAGCGGTGGCGTCCTCAACATTTTTTCTCCGGAAAACGCCTTTTACTCTGTTAAAAATTTTCCGAATGTCAAAGTCTGACAGACCAGTATTGGTATCCTTCATATGGTCTGTATAGTCGTCGACCATTCCAATGTAAGCGCCCGAGGCATTTCCTTTGCGGCCCGCCTTTAGGTTTTGGAAAAAACCAGGCGCTTTCTCTTGTTGGGGCTCGTTCGATGTGCTCAAAAGAGGAACTTGACGATTCGAACCTTCATGGTGCAAGCCATGGGATGACCCCTGGCCATAGAACGAGTCATCTTCCAAATCCGAAAGCTCTAATGTGTCCGAGAAAGGATTTGCGTTGTTTTCGCCCGCTCTTGTCGATGATGTGGGATATGTGTAAGGACTATCGTAAACTGGATATCGCTCGCCAGGATGTTCGGTAGTTGGATATTCATTGAGATCCAAATCAATGAGATTGTTCTTGTCAGCGAACGGATTATTCAGATCCTGCGCCATTGTGATCTGTAAAGCCAAACTTTGGGGGCACAGACGACGCTTTTGAACTTTTCCAGTCGATCAGGAATAGGCTATGTTTTTCTGTTACAAATGCCGGTGTGCACACAAACTTTGTAATGAATTCTGTGGTACTTTGGAGTACGTGGCAAGATATGAAAAAAGAGGTATCTTAGTGGGTTTTGTATTTCTGTGTATGTTGGGAGATAAGAATCCTCGTCTATATTGGTGTTGTGGTTTGGCCGTGTTTAATGTATTAGTCGCACTGCGCCTTTAAGACTAAGGTCACGATAGGGCGGAGAAATTTATAGGGAAGGAGATACCACAAGCGGAGTGGTAAGGTGAAAGTGGTTGTTCTTGACCGGTGGGCTTTTTTGCTTCAACTTATTGGTATACGATGTTGAGTCTTCATTTGGTGTTTTTACCTTTGACTTTCTTCAGTACTAATTTGCCAATTTGATGGTCCTCAAAGGTATTTAATGACAGATCCTGGCAAGAAGGCGCAAAAATCGAAAAAAAAAAGTACACATTTTCAGCATTAAAATTAAAAGACTACATTTAAATGTTTTTTTACACTTAAGACTTCTCTTGTTGCTGTTGTGTAGTTATCTTCACATTGATGTTGGACTGTAGTCTGCTTTTCTGGCTCTTCTATCACTGAGTGACTCACGCGAAATTTCTACCTACTACTAGTCATGGCTGAACAGATCGCTAGAAACGCCAATCAAGCGTTTGGGATTCTCAAAACGCTTTCCAACGAAGAAAGATCCAGCGCATTAAAGGAGATCCACGATGCATTGAACGACGCAAAGGACGAAATCTTAGCTGCAAACAAAGTTGACATGGAAGCAGCAGAGAAGAACAGCTTATCATCGTCTTTGATTAAAAGACTAGATTTATCCAAGAACGGCAAGTACGAAGCCATGTTGCAAGGTATTCTTGACGTTGCTGCTTTGGCTGATCCAGTCGGAAAGACCACCTTGGCGAAAAAGTTGGACGAAGGCTTGAACTTGTACAGAGTTACTGCTCCACTTGGCGTTTTGCTCATAATCTTTGAAAGTCGTCCTGAAGTTATCGCCAACATTTCTGCACTTGCCATCAAATCAGGCAACTGTGCCATTTTGAAGGGAGGGAAAGAGTCTTACCAGACATTCAAGGCCATCAGCTCTGTCATTAACAAGACCCTCACAGAAAAGACCCAAGTTCCAGAATGTGCCATCCAGCTCATCCAGTCTCGTGAAGAAGTGGGTGACTTGTTGGCGCAAGACAAGTACATCGACTTGGTCATTCCAAGAGGAAGCAACGCCTTGGTCCGCAACATCAAGGAAAACACCAAAATCCCTGTTTTGGGCCATGCCGATGGTATCTGCTCCATTTATGTTGACAAGGATGCAGACTTGGACAAGGCCTGTCGTATTGTTGTGGACTCAAAGACAAACTACCCTGCGGGGTGCAATGCTGTTGAGCAATTGTTGATTCACAAAGATATTGTTTCTGACAGTGCCAAGTTGGAAAAGCTCTTGTCTAGCCTCACAGATGCCGAAGTAACGCTTCATGTTGTTGAGGAGATCCAAAACAGCTTGTCCGATAAAGTGAACCCCAAGTTTGTCGTTGCAGCTGACAAAGACTCATTTGACAAGGAGTTTTTGTCGTTTGACATTGCCGTCAAGCCTGTTTCTGACGTCAACGAAGCCATCTCGCATATCAACGAGCATTCATCAAAGCACACGGACTGTATTATTTCCGAGAACAAAGAGGCCGCAGATACCTTCTTGAAAGGTGTGGATTCTGCTGGGGTATATTGGAACTGTTCCACCAGATTTGCCGACGGCTTTAGATATGGATTTGGTACCGAAGTGGGCATCAGTACGAACAAGATCCATGCAAGAGGTCCTGTCGGGTTGGAAGGATTAATGAGTTACCAGTACCAGTTGAAGGGAAATGGCCATATTGCCTCAGAATACGTGGGTGCTGGTGGTTCAAAGGTGTTTGTTCACGAGGACATTGCATACTAAGCGAAATCACGGCCAACAATAATACGACATGCTTAGGTACTATGGATAGGTTGAACGTTAATTTTTTTACTGGTGAATGTAGGCCATGTTTCATTCATGGGTAATGAAGGATACAGACAAACTAGCGTAGCGTATGGATTCAGGAATAAATACAGCAAAATGCATATGCGTTTTATAGTACTATGGTATCATCAACTCAAGAACTCTTGAAAAGCCTCATAGTTTTTCGGTGGATGTTGAGGATATGCTTCAACGATACGATCAATGTTCTGCTCAGTCAACTCGAGCTGCGACCATTGTCTGAGCGAGAAAAAATCAGTCAAAGTCTTGATCCACTGCATTCTGGCATCGATGGTATCCAAATCATCTTCGGGCAATTTCTCCCGCAAGCGTGCTCTGATGCGGCCCAAGTTGTCGACGGCCTCATTCAAGTTTAGCCCCGCAAATTGTTTGGCGATATCATCTTTTATCATTTTCAGCAACCTGGGCGATTTCCCATTGGTACTGATCATGATTTGAAGCGCGTCTTGGTTGAACATCGAGCCAAAGTAAAAATCACACATGGGAGGTTTGTCGGCAATGTTCACAGGTATCCGTAGCCATTTGCATTGGTAGTACACTTTGGTTGATTGAGCAGGATCGTCGATACAGCAGCAGACACATGCAAACTGGTTGTTTTTCACCATATCGTCAATCATGCCGTACTGCTCTTCTCCAATATCTTGGTACTCCATCTTGTCCAAATGAGCATTCTCATACATTGTTAGGTCCAGTGGCGTATAGTCACGTTCCAAAAGCTTATACAACTTGCCTTCTTCACTAAGCGTCTTCAATTTGGGATGCACTTTCCCCCCCGTAACAACAGTCACTTTTGCATTTGCTCGAAGCATATGCTCAACTCTACTGAGCCCCACATCTCCACCACCAATCACAAGACAATGTTTGTCCTTTACTTGCCAGGCCAAAAGCAAAGATCCGGGCAGGCTCATCCTAGTCAAACAGTAGGAAATCTATCGATTCAAGCACAATCACACGACCGAACTTGGTTTGATCAGAATGAGTAATGGTAGGTACCCCACTATGCAGAAGATGACTGCGAATCTAGTGAGATCTACACTAATTAGAGACAATCACAGAGGTAACATACGTCAGATAATTATGATCTTTGGAGATGGGTTTTTCAAATGAACTTAAAAGAATATTCAGGTCAGCTGTATGAAAAGAATATTCAAGTCAACTATATGAAAAGAACTGTGTTACGTCAGCAAATGGGCGAAAGGGTTCCTACTACATAAAACTCGTTGATTAATCACACAAATTGATTGAGTATATTCGTTAGTTCGTAAGCCTTCATCAATTTGAAAAACCACACGAACAAATGTAGACGAACGTTTGTGAAGGTAATGTTAGGCCGACCATGTCTGACGATTCGAACCGCTCCGCAATTCACGATAAGCGTAAGTCAAAGTGTCTTTAGGTTGGCACTTGAGTGATTAATTATGCCCAGTGAATTGTTGAGTACATCTAGGCATCTTTATCTGTTTAGAGAAACGAATGCGTGAGAATTTGACTTTCGAGAGTTCAAAAGAGTCTTTGTTGAGCCAGTAAGTGGCCTGTCTTAGTAAAATGAATAGCAATAAATAAAAATCAGGAATAAGAGCACATCGTGAGACAAAAGTAAGATACAAACTTCAACTTCCGAAATCTATCGCCTCCTGTTAGAATATATATACAATTAATTAATGTTAGCAGGCAGGAATGTCTTTCTGAGCACCAAAGCTTGCAAGCGAAAAGGCTTAGTCTGTAATCGAAATTATTTTAGCGCAGTTAATTCATGCTGTCTGCTTGTCCTTCATCTTTCTTCGTACTTTGTTTAGAGTTAGGATTATGTGTAGACTGCACCTCTCCATATATGCCAATATGTCAAATGAGTCCATGTGCTCAGGCGTCATACAGTCTAGCCCGAAGAAAGAAAGAATGCTGGCACTAACCCGAACCCGTCTACAAATATGGAAAAGCACTAGACACGTGAGTCAATACGGCACCTTGCAGTATTTCCGTCACTTTCCGTTACAAGGACAGTTTATGTCTAACACGTTATCGTAATAAGGCGGGGCAATATTGCTTTTTTTTTTTTCTATTTTTTTTGCGTTCGAGATACAGTGCGCACCTCTCTCGAGGAAAAATAAGGTTAATACCTCCACACTTCACCACCGGAAATCCGATATTTGCCCATACGTTTCGTCCCGTTCCACCGTTTCCCGTGTTGTTTTAGAAACTACTGCTGTGACTTTGTTCCGTTAACACCGAATCTTCCCCGCTGTCCAGAGACCGATAATATCGTATGCCGACTTTCAACCGTTCTCAGCGCCGGGAGTCCATGGCCGAAAGAAGACCCAGTGTCACGTATACGCCGGAGGTGATTCCGCCGTTGACGGGATTGGAAAAACCAAACACCCACAGTTTACGGCTCGACCACTGCGACATTTTGATCTTGGGCACTGGTTTGGCAGAGTCCATTTTGGCGGCGGCGTTGGCGTGGCAAGGCGTGGAGGTGCTCCACGTGGACAAAAATAACTACTACGGCGATCTGTCGTCGACACTTACCATTGACCAGGTGAAGAAATGGTGCTTGGAGGTGAACCACGGCCGGGTCCGGCATTTTCTGGATGCGCAGATATATATCCCTGGAGGAAAGCACAATAACCAGTTCCGGAGCAGAGACTACGGCATTGACTTGAGTCCGCGCATCATGTTTGCCCAGCTGGACTTGTTGGCTCTTTTGATCAAGTCCAGGGTGTACAAGTACCTCGAGTTCCAAAGCTTGTCTAACTTCCACGTTTTCGAGAACGACAACTTCAAGAGCAAAATCTCCAACACCACCAAGGAGGAAATCTTCACCGACAACTCCTTGAGCTTGGCCACGAAAAGATCGTTGATGAAATTTTTGAAGTTTGTCTTGCAAGACAACAACGACGAAGCGAAAAAACAGCTCTTGCTTGACAATTCCAAGGTGCCCGTGGAAGAATTCTTGGCCAACAACTTTAATTTGAAGCTGCCACAGGTGGACGAGCTTATTTACTCTATCGGTCTTGCTAACAAAGAACACACACGTACCCCAGAGGCCATTGCCCGTATCAAAAGGTTCCTTGTTTCCTTCGACGTGTACGGCAATTTCCCTGTGATGGTGCTGAAGTTTGGCGGACCAGGCGAGATTTCCCAAGGCTTTTGCCGAAGCGCCGCTGTGGCTGGGGCTACTTACAAATTGGACACCAAGCTTGTAGACTATGACCCCCAAACAAAGGTGGCCAAGTTCAATGATGGTTCTGCAGTGAAGATTAATGAAAAAGTTGTGGTATCGCCCACCCAAATGCCCAAGTTTTTGTCTTCAAGCTACGCGGAATTGGAGGAAAAATTGCACCCGTTCAATGTGACTCGTCTCATCACCATTGTCAGAAGAGATTGCAAAGAATGGATGGCAGATGGCGAATCTTCTGCTGTGGTTGTTTTCCCACCAAATTCTTTGCCCACAAAAAACGAATACAGTATACAAGTGATTATTCAAAACGGTGGTTCTGGCGTATGTCCACCAGGGCAATCCATCTGGTATGCACACAGCTGTGACCAAAACACGGCCAAGGCAAAACAGGACTTGGAAAGTGCTTTGGAGAAGATGGAAAATGCTCTTTTGAGAGAAACGTCGACGGACCTAGGCAATGTGCTAGACGAGAATGATTTCGTCATGAACCAACAAGGTACTCCTATCTTGGTGAATTCGTTTAAGCTCGGCGAATCTTTACACGGCTTCGTGCCTAAGGAGAAATTGGATATCGTGTGTAAGTTTGGCTTTGTGCAAACCACGTACGTGAACCCCGATCTTTCCAATGTCTTGTCTGTTCCTTCAGCTTCCAACATTAGCAATATGACTGTGGCAGACTCGGAGGACGTTATTTTCCTGAACATGCCTTCTTCCGAGATCAGTTACGACGGCATTATTGGCGAGGTGAAGACTTTGTTTGAACGTATCACCGGAAGTGCCGAAGATTTCTTTGATGTGGACTTTGAAGATGACGACGATGACTATTCTCGTGTAGCAGCAGGGACTCTGACTGCAATTGACAGCGAGCTGGCAATTGATGATTCGGATTACGATCCTTCTCACCACGAGCCGTTTGGAGCAAACGAGATGGAGCTTTAGCCGATTACGGTCTCCAAAGTAACCTATACCTATTTATGTGAAGCAGAGTCTTCATTTTCGAACACAAAAAACTAAATATTTCTTTGGTTCATTAATACTGGTTTCTAATGTGCACATAGTTACTATTGCTTAATTAGTAGGCCGGCAGTAGACGAATATGGGCTACTGTGGGCATTACGGATTGGCATACCAATACATTTTGCAGCAAATAGAGATGAGTAAGATAACAGGCGTTCCATATTCCTTTGAATGTTCTTTTGCACTAGCTGTTCAGATGACAAGCATCAAGCAATGCGAAGTAATAAGGAAGAGAATTTACAAGAATATATACACAAATACACAATGAGTACACAAGCAAGCACAACACGAGTACACATCCACACAAACAAGCACAAAAGGACGAAAAGGAGCATCTTTCTTGGAATCTGTCGGTGGTGGAATGTTATGATGTAGCACACACGTGACACAGGGCACACGCCCTAACGGATCCCATGCCACATCGCCACCTGCACACACGGCCATGCGCTCTCTCGCGCTCTGAAAAAATTCTACCCACGGCCTTAAGTCTTTCTTTTTTCCCCACTGAGCAGTTACCTGTCGAAGAAGTCCATAGAAAAAATGTCTGACGTCGAAGAACAACAAATTGTCGAAGAAGTTGCCGTTGAGCAACAAGATGCTTCCATCTCCATCGAAGACGCTTTGAAGGTTGTCTTGAGAACCTCTTTGGTCCACGATGGTTTGGCCAGAGGTTTGAGAGAAGCTTCCAAGGCTTTGTCCAGAAAGGAGGCTCAATTGTGTGTCTTGTGTGACTCTGTTACCGAGGCTTCCATTGTCAAGTTGGTTGAGGCTTTGTGTAATGAGGGTGATGAGAAGATCCCATTGATCAAGGTTTCCGACGCCAAGTTGTTGGGTGAGTGGGCCGGTTTGTGCCAATTGGACAGAGAAGGTAACGCCAGAAAGGTTGTTGGCTGCTCTTGTGTTGTTGTCAAGAACTGGGGTGCTGACTCTGAGGAGAGAAACATCTTGTTGGAGCACTTCTCTCAACAATAAGCGGACAGCTTTGCTGGCCGTATAGCCGTACATATACTAATATAATATTGCTATGAATGTGCCGTAGTACCAGTGGGTTTCGAAGGGTGACCTTACCATTAAGCTTGATGCGTATGCTTGAGTGCTGTCGTATGGTCTTGCAACGGGACGGGCTAATGTTGCTTGGGTATTCAGCCATTAAGATCTTTCACGTCTCTAAATATCTTTCCATTCTTGAAAGTCTTCGGATTCCTGGCTTTCGCATAGAGACAGTATGAGAGGAAATGTAGATGGTGTTACCTGCGAATATGTGAATGTTAGATTCAATATTATCTCTCTTTTCGCAGTTCTTCATAACAAGGAGTCTAGTGTTACACAGCTAATGGGACGGTCATGCGATTTCGACCTTACCCATGTGGATGAATGTTACTGAACATTAGCCTAATATGGCTCACACGCACATAACCAACCATATATCATGATTATGAGTTACATAAATACATTCCGAACAACACTCATCCTTACTTGGTCATAAAATGCAACATCGGGTTGATGAGTTTGTGGCTCACTTTTCTGTTGGTCTAAGCACTGATGTAGACTGTATGCCAAGTCCATCTACATAAAACGCGAATGTGGATCATCTCAGCGCGATCTAAAACATAACACAGGACATGGACAATAAGCTAGAAAGAAGGGAAGCTCGAATAAGAGGATCAGGGTATGTTGATGTTTTCCATATTTGAGCATTTGTAACTAACATTCAGGGCCCGGGCAGTAAAAGTAGAGGAATTGAACATCACCTCTCCAGTGGGAGCCCAGAAGAGCAAATTATTGGATAGCCTAGAAAGTGCTTTGATCAAGCCCGAGGATGTGAATCTTCCCCGTCTACGCCACCAGGGGCCAAGCCAGGAAAAGTCTCTGGCATTGGAACGCTACAATGAAGCGAGAGAAAGTCGACGGAAACAGGCTTTCAGCTCGGACGACGAAGATGAGAAACCAGACACTCTTCCGTACGAGAGGGCAACGCCGGAGGTTTATAATACGCACAGTGGACACAATGAAGGAACTGAATACATCGAAAGCAGGGCGGATGAAGCGAGCCAGCACAACGAAGCAAATGAGTACAGTGAACAGCATGTGTCTGATCACTTTACTGAGCATCAATTGCAAGACGAAGAAGTGGAAGAGAATCTTACGAAGCGAGAAAATGCTGACAGCGTCGTTCCAGAACAACCGAAAAAAAGGAAAAGGGGCCGGCCCCGCAAAACGGAAACAGAGAAGAAGGAGAAAGTTGCGACCCGACGCTCCAGAAGAATTGTGGAGAACCCAACGCTCCGGAAAATACATGCCCAGGAACCTCTATTACATTCGTTGGGCCCCAAACCACTACGCACTGTCGGATTGACTCAATTTGGACATTTGGATGGCATTGCTAGTGAAATTACACTGTTGAGTAAAGGGAACAAGGGAAAGCAGAAACCCTTGATAATAGACGCTGAAAGGTTACATACAGCCAGCTCCAGAGACAGACGGTTCAATCTCACCACACTCGATGTGCTTCGACAGTTTGTTGATGAATATGCCCCGAAAGGAGCGAAAAATGAAATCGTCAACGAGGCAACAGTGCTCAACGAATTTAAAGCACACCTCATCTATCACATTGAGCATTTGATGGATTTACATGCCAGTATCCGAGACATTTCGAATGACATTGCCGATATTCAGCGGCGCAAAAATCAAGTGAGAAGAAACATGCTCGAGCTCAAACAAAAGCATGCAAATGTGGGCAGTGAGCTCACCAAAACTCGCAAGGAGTATAATGACAGTAAACAGGAGCACAGCGAATTTTCGTCCATGATTGAATCTTTGAGCAAGCTCAAAAATGCGGTGGCTGGTCCCCAAACCCAGATGGGAAATCTAAGCGATAAGGTAATGATGGATCTCGATGACGTCTCTCGGATTTACCATCCACAGCATGGCCTACAGATGCAACTACAGAGAATCAATGCCCGCTTGGCACAAATGACAAATCCTTAGGAGATGTTGTGTATGACTAATGTTGAACAATAGCTAGGCAACAACAAAAAAAAAGTAGCATTATTTGTTCGCAGGGAATTTCTAAGTGGTCCTCGAGACGGACCGTTCAAAGTTGACTCTTGTCGTTGTGGCTCTCGTCATGATGTGGCTGCGATAGCGTCGCTTACTCATCTCCAACTAAAGCCATGATCATTCTGTACAAGTAGAAGAAGAACATCAACAAGTGGAAACCCAACTTGAGGAAACTTTCCTTCTTGTGCTTGGACAAGGTTCTGAAGATCTCAGTGGCATCCAACAAGTGGTTCTTGTTGATAAACTTGTTGACATTGAACGCCAAAACAGGCAAGTTCAACAAAAACACAAACCAGTAGCCATTCACCAAAAAGAGAATGGTCAAGAATCCATGCAAGCCGGCCTCTGGAATGAACCATGGGTTCAATTTGTGGCACAATTCGATTGGGTTGATGTAGTCACTTTCCAAATCGGAATACATGATGGTGAAAAACACCTGTGAAAAAAGGTTGCAAGCATTGACAACAACGGCAAAAATAAATAACCTAAGTTGTTAGTATGCCCATTCCAATTATAGTCTAGTAATAAGCCATTCAAAACATACCAGCTCTCTCCTGTCATTGTCTTGTTCGATTGCTCTTGTTATCAGTGGAATTAAAAATTGTTCAAGAGGAGGATCCGCACCGTGCTAGACTGCCCGATATGGAAAACTGTCGCACTCGCTACAGGAACGGATCTTCATCAAATTTATTCCGCAGCGTTCTTTGACTGCATCAGACAACGCAAGACCCACTGCACTTACTTACTCCACTCTAGTCCACAGAACACCACCAAAGTCGATACTTTCTTTGTCGAAAAGTGTACCAAGGTCGGGGAAATCATACGGTCCGTACCGAATAAGATACTGCCATTGACCACTGCTCTCATCATAATATGCTCTTAGCACACTCAACTCATGCTTCCCGTTAGTGTAGGCGTAAAACACTGCTTGCACCCAGTTTCCAAGCCTAATCAATCTTCCTCGATGGTTATCCTCCTTAGCATTATACGTATAGACACCGACTTCTGTGTCTTCCTTCTTGTTCTTCCAATGGTTCTCACGAACTTCCTCATCTGGCGTAGTTTCAGCGGGATTCAATGATCTCCAAACCTCAACATACTCAGTACATACCGCAGTCGCAGGATTAACCATGGATCCAGTTTCCTTTCGATCTTCACTGCCATCAATTGGCCAAAATGTTCCGATATCAGGGGGCGCCTTGCATTCTTCAACACTTTTCCCAGTTTTGATGGCTTGAACAATCTCTTGAAGATTAACTTCCGAAGGAAACTGCACCTGGTTGGTTCCCTCAATGTCAATTTCAGTTCCCATGCTTACAAACTCGAAGATCTTGTCCATGGCGTCCAGGTCCAGGTCGTTTCCTTTTTCATACGGATAGTGCTCTTTAAAGATTCTCACATCTGTAGAAAAACACTTTGGGGTGCTGATGACTAAGGTATCTGTCAATTCGCCTGCTTGCTCTGACAGCCACTGGATGCTGATTCTCTTCGATAAGACCATAGAACTCGAAATACTGGAGACCTTCACAGGTGTGCGCGGGATTCCTTCCTAAATAGTAGAGACGCGGAATCTTTCTTAGTGAGCCTTTTTCACAGATTTGATTCTTTCCTCCATTTGTTCCCGTTTTCCACGGTTTATACTTCCTCCATCTAGTATTCGTAAGCGTGGAAAAAAACCAATCAAAATCGTTTCGTAGTTGAGCCGCTCGTTCAAAGATTTGAATTTACCATCAGCTCGCAACTTCTGAAAGAACTCTGCATCTCGAGCCTCCCATTCTTTCTGACTCTTATTCATGGCATCGTAGTGGATTGAAAAATTCTCAATGTCATCATGAGCCTCTAGTTGTATCGGGCTAGTAAAGACATCGCTTCCAGATTGCAATGCATACTCCAATTCCTGTGGGTTGAACACGTACGGATAGAATTCAAAATTAAACAGGTTCAAGCGCATATCAAGTATCTTCAACGTTTCTCTGCTTCCTGATAAGCTCCGTAAAATCATTTCAACTTTATCAATATTGTTGCTGAGTACATTCAAGCGCTTGAGTCTCGTGAGATTGGATAAGCCTTCGAGATTGCTCAATTTATTGAAATTGAGATTCAATTCCCGCACATTAGAAAATGTCTCTCCAAATGATGGTGGAATATTTGTAAGACCCACTGCAGAGAGATTCAAAATATTGAGATTTGCGAAAGCATTAGAATGTGGTCGTTTTTCCCAAACCAGCGGAGGTATTGAATTGCCCGACAAGTCCAAATTAATTACGTCTTCTGCATCCATAACAAGCCTTTCCGTTATGGAAGAATTAGCTTGACATTTGATAGACAACTCTTGCAAGAATTCAAGCTTGTTGGAGCCGTTGATACTTTCAAGATAATTACCATCGATCCTCAAAATTCTCAACGAAGGAAATGGTACCAAATCTAAGTCTTTCAATTTGTTAAACTTTAAAAGAAGTTTCTTCATGTGACGATGCTTCTCGCGACACAGAATTCGTTCTAGCTTATTTTCATTCAAGTTGAGAACACGTAAATTACGGCAAGTCTCAATTCCTGTCAATGAAGTGATCTTGTTTTCAGCCAAGTTCAACTCCTGGAGATTTGACAAACTGAAATTTGTGAAGTCAATGGTTCCAGACACGTTATTCTGCGACAAATTCAAAGAAATTACACTGGTCAAATTCTCCAACCCGGAAAGAGACTCGATATCATTGCTAGACAAATCAATCTTAGTTAAATGAATATTATGAGAAAGTCCCCTAAGACTGGAGAGCCCATTGAAGGAACAATTTAAGATCTGAAGATCGCGAAATTTCTCAAACGATGTGATGTTCAGAATGTCATTGCGAGACACATTCAATTCAAGCAAAGATTCCGGTAAACCACTAATAAACTTAACATGATTATCAGAAAGATTAATTTTCCTGATAGCTGGGAGATATCTTTCCAACCGTTCTACCCTTTCTAGGTTTTTACTTGACAAATCAATTGACGTGACTTTCTCCCACTCGCCTTCATCCATAGATCCAGTAATTAACGAAACTAGCATCTTGTTTGATTGAGTGAATGTCATATCGTTCAATTCAGATAAGTGCGTGACGTTGAAGCTATCCTTTGTTTCTAAAGAATATCCCAGTTCGTTAGGCACTTGAAACGAGACTTCTAGGTTTCTATCGGCTTTTTTGCTTTGACGATTATTCAGTTTCAATATACTGAGATCGTGAGATTTCTTGGCATCTGATAGTTCATTCTCATTTGAAGCTGTATCAAGGTCCTCAATGGAATCTAATGAGCCTGGGTAATCGTTTTCTTTATCATTTGAAACCCACTTATTTTGCTCGGAATCGAATATCATGTTTCCGTACTGCTTAGGAAAGCTGCCTGGCTTCACAATGCCTCCAACCAAATATTCACCCTTTCCCATACTTGAATTTTTCCTCTGCAGACCTCCCTTATTTATATCTCTGTTCACAAGTTTCAATTGTGATGCTGTTTTCCATTTGATGTTAGGAGGTTTAATAGAGTCAAATGTTCTGTCATAATCCATAGTCATATCTTCTATCGTATTATCCTTTTTTTCTTGACTACTGGAAAGAAATTGAACTGTAGCAGCAGATTTATCATTAAATGGAGATATTTTGGAGAACGGTTGCTCATCAATTAGCGGATTTCGATTCCTCACTTTTGGTGATTGGATCAGGTTGACTCCTTGTGCTCCACGATATTGCTCCAGATCATCAAGGTCAGAAAACTCATCAAAAGTGTAGGAGCTCTCCTTACTCCTATGTTTGCCATGATACTCTGTGGTTTGATCCATAGACTCTGAAAGATAAGATTTTTCATCTGGAGTGTACTCATTGCCAAACTCTGCATTTGCTCTGTCATTCTGGTTTTCGATGTGATCTGAGGAGATGCTTTCCTGGCCAAAATCAGTCAGAAAGGACGAATAATCGTCGAAAGAAGCACGACGCTGTTCCCCCGTAGCTTTTGGCGTCGATGTTGCATTAGAATGACCATTAGATAACGGCGAATGAAAATTAAGCGAACCTTCAGATTGTTTAGATATTAGGTTTCCAGACTTGTAGGCGTTCCGCTGGATTTGAGCGAACAAGCTATTGGCATTTTTGAGAAAGTCTTTATTTGTGTAGTCGCTTGATTGGGTAAAGTTTTTTATCTTTAACTTTGGGGGATCAAGTTGGCTAGGGACAGGCAAAGGTTCCCGTCTTGCACTGGTTGCATTAGAACGTACCTTCTCCACAAACTTTGTGAGAATAGCCTTGGTAAACGTATCATAATCGCTACCAAAAAGCTTGAGTGGCGAACCTTTAATCTGATAATCGTCAGGCTCGTCTTTTGCCTTTTCGAGCATATCCTCCAATTGATTAATTTGCTGCTGGGTCAAATGAACATCTGTGTCTTTTGATGCGACAGGAGTAGAGATATTTGAGGCCAGAGTGACAAGCGAATTGCCCGTTTTAGAGTTTTGCCTTGACGCAGCAGTAGTATGTTTGGAATCATCCAGAGCTTGGAAAATGTCTTGTAGGGGAGAGCCGTCATAGACTAGTTTGGATTTGTACTCCTCTGAAACACGTTTCCAGTCTGGGGTTGTCACCTTGTGGTTGGTTGAAGTGGGCGGATTGTGGACGAAGGTATTACTTTCTCCGTCAAGAAAGTCAAGAGCAGCCAGGTCAGGACGTGGGCTTAAATTTTGGCGCGAGAAGTTGCCTTCCCACTTTTCGTTCAACGCGGGTGGCATCCAGCTTGGAGTAGCATCATCCTGCGAGATATTGAGTCCTTTTACGGTGGATGTCTTAATTGGCGAGGTCTCTCGGCGCAACGAGTTTTGCAGGCGAGGATCTCCATTTCTACCCCGGTTCCCCATTGGAGGCTCCGAAGCCTTAGACACAGTTCCAGGCAGACTCCGAGGCGAAAAGGTCAGGTTGTGTGCTGATTCTCTTTCTAAAGAGGATAACGGCAGGGCCGACTCCTTAGAGGTTTGCGAAACGTCTTTCGCAACAGAAGCCCTGTCTGGCGACATTTCTATCGTTCTGGCCAAGCCTATGCGGTCCTTGGTCTGCGCGTTCGGGTGAGACTTGTGTTTGAATGTGTTTGGTACTGAAGGTCCCGCAATGCTGCTGGCGTCGGCGTGGAAATCAGCGTTGGGCATATATCGGAGCAATTTGTGGTACTTGTTGTCATGGGTTTCCTCGGCCACGTCGAGATCAAGTTGAGGCGTGGACGCCATCAGATACAGAACAGGCGATTCTTCAGTAGCGGGCCGGTTCAAGATGGGACTGGGACGGCTAAAACTGGAAAGGTCAGAAACAGCGGGCTTAGAAGCGCCAGGATCTTCAACAGCGGCAGCAATCGGATCTCCAATAGCGTTGCCAATGGGATCTTTCGCAGGTATGGAGTCTCCACCGCTCGAATCGGGCGAATGCGTATAACGTAGGCTCTCTTTTTTCGGCGCCGAGTGGAATGCCATGGGCTCGTCGGAGAGACGTGTATCCTGGAGAAAACGACTGAGATGTGCTGTGGTGGAAGACACACGCAGATTTTCGTCTGATCGGCGGGACATGGGTTTGTTTATGTTGTGTGTACAAGCGCATCTCTGTGGAGTCGCGAATAGGCAGAAGTATTAGTGCGGAATACTAATAGAGAAGAAAGGCGCAGAATCGATGCAGAAAAATTATAGCCACAACATTGCTATGTCGGTCAATATGGGACTAGTAGAACAAAAGTGGATCAAAATAATATTATGTGGATGTTTGAATAATATGACGTGGCTTCGACGAGCTTAGCGAAGAGACCAATTGTAAAGGTTATTTTCTGAAGGTATCCTCAGTGAAGGTATCGCCTCGTTGCAAGTGATTGGAAAGTAATAAAGTATGTTCCTGGTAGTCATAGATCCAACTTATGTCGCATGTGTAAGGCGATCGAAAATAATCTGGCATTTTATCTCAGTCATCCGTGGAGTAGACTCTCAAAATCGTAAACTAATCTCATCCACAATTGACAACTTTTTGAATGCCATTTGTTTAAAATTGGATTAGCATCTATCGTCTTAATGCTTAGGCAAGTACTTGAGGAATATGGTCGTAAGTTTTGATTCGGTTAAGTTCCATGATTATTAAATTTGCTAGACCGGTCCAAAATAGCCAATACGTACATTTTACGGAAGAGAGAGAAGGTTGGTTGATGTTTTGCTGTTGCTTCTTTGTGATAATTATGCTCTTAATTGTTGAAGTAGTTATTGCTACCGTGTGTGTTGGGTCAACATTCGCTGATATCGTTTTGTCATATTTTCTGATTAAAAATATCACCAAATGCTACCAGGAAGTTCCTCAACCATAACCATTCCAATCAAGACTAATTAGCAGGCACCAAAATCATTCAAGACAAATATTGGTAGTTCAAATACGAATTCCGAAGCTTAACATACAATCACAATGCATTAGAAGGCATTTCTCCGGCTTACTTAACTCCATTTACTTGATTGGTACAATACAAGAATTGAAACAACAAGGAAAGCTTTAGAACCTGGGAAATATTGCATTCACACATGTGAAAACTTTAGGTTTCTTGACTGGCTCTTTCTCTCACATTATTCTGGATAAGTCATCAGGTAATACTCAGATTACCAGAGTGTGGAGTAAAATACGTTTCGGCTCCATTGTTTCTCTGTAGAACTTTCCCGCTGACAAATCTATCACAGAACATGCGAATTGTCCATAATACCATTATGCGACCAAAGTGGCCAGAATCTGGGGCTGACTAATTCTACGAAAGAGCGCTAGAAAACGCCAGATATCTGTGTTTGAGTTGCAAATGTTCCAAAATAATTCCAGAGGCTTTGCAAAAAGGCTCTGCTCCAAATCTTGCCCATGCTCGAGATCCATGGTAGAAAAAATTGGCCAGGTAATGTATCATTTGTCAAGTGCAACAATGCTAGTTTCTAATAGTAGCAAGTATCATCAGTAATATATAACAGCTTCGTTTAGGTAGTATTCATATCTATATTGGCTCAGTCTATTCATACCTCAGTCTAGGCGCGACAAACCATCAAATACATCACTCCAAAAGTCTAATCAGCATACCGATATCTCCACACGGCACTTTTCCTATACACAGGAGTCGGCTCGATCCGAGTCCGAAACATTTTGCAAGTGGCTGAACACAGCCACTCGGACAGAAATAGCCGAAGTCAAGCCGAGCGAGGGTCCAAAACTGAACCCTGCAGGAGGTGCCGAACGGGTGGCTTCTAGCCACTTTGGCCGCGCCGCGCACGAAATATGTCTCGTTTGGGGCGCCACTTCTGGCTGGTTTTGGGCGCACGCCCTGAAATTGCCCAGACACTTTTAATTTGCAGGGCGCATTGACAGGGTTTTTTCCGCCTCGCCAGCGTTGGAGCGCCAACTACTTTTGCCGCTTTTTTTCTCCAGCTTCGCCCTTTCCTGGTGTACTTGTTTTTCTTTTTTTTTTTTTTTTTTTTCTCTCTGTTCAATTCTTTTGCCTTTCCCATCAATCTTGTTTGGTCCCGGTGTGCTGTTTCCGTTTTCAATAACTTGTTAATTGTTGCTCTTGTTCTTGCTTTTCTTTGCTTTTGCGTTTTGTCCGGCGTCCCGCTTTGCACTTTCAACGTGTCTTTTAATGATTGATACAAACTGCCCTTGAACATCAATCTTTCCATTATCTTCTCGTGCTTTTTCTATTACTAGCCGCTTTTGACAGCATTCCGCTCAATTCCAGCCAGCCGCTTTTCAATTCATCAACAGCATCCCCGCTTTTTCCGATAACTGCCTTCAACCACTATAAACATGTCTCTTTCTACTAACGAGGACCCGGAATCTTTGTCGTATTCGGTAGTGGATCCAACACTTGTCACCTCCACTGCGTCACATCAACACCAACAAGAACAAGAATTGCTTCTGAGCTTCACAGTTCCCGAACCTCCAATTTCCACCAAAGAACTGAGTCTGGCCACAGAAACGGCCGAGCATGAACTGCAAGGTACGCCGCATCCAGAAAAGCCCCGAACACTCTGGATGGGCGATCTCGATCCATGGCTCGATGAAAGTGCCATTGTCGACTTGTGGTGGCAGATTTTGCGCTCCAAAGTCAGCGTGAAATTGATCAAACCGAAATTCATCAAACCGGAGTCGGGATTCACCGGTCTATCCCATTCGGGTTACTGCTTCGTTGAGTTCCAACTGTATGAGGAGGCACAGCTGGCTTTGGCCCTCAATGGCCAGTTGTTGCCGGATATTGCTATGCCCTCGCAGAAACACTTTCCCAACAATCCAGACAACCAGAAAAAGTATTTCCGGCTCAACTGGGCTTCAGGGGCCACATTAACAGCTCCTCTCATCCATACGCCCGAGTACTCGCTTTTTGTTGGTGATCTTACTGCCTCTACAACTGAGGCGCACTTACTTCTGTTCTTCCAAAAATCCTTTCCCAATTCTATCCGTACTGTCCGAGTGATGACAGACCCTGTTTCAGGGAAAAGCAGATGTTTTGGCTTTGTTCGTTTTACAGAAGAGCTGGAGCGCCAAAGAGCGTTGCGTGAGATGAATGGCGCCTGGTTCGGTGGAAGACCCTTGCGTGTTGCTCTTGCCACACCTCGAAACACGGCATTGCTCAGAAAATCTCCCGATCAGAAGAACATGTACTCTGGTCTTTCCCCGGCAGTTCCTCAGAGTCCTGCTATGATACCCCAAGAGTTCATGTACATGGGCGGGCCACAGGGCTCAGGCGGCCCACCGGGCCCCATGAACTCTTCTTACGGCTACTTTCCGCCAATGATGGGCGACAAAAATGAGTTTGGTATGAATATGGCGGGCCATCCTTACCTGGACCCATCCAATACGACAGTGTTTGTTGGAGGACTCCGGTCTGAAGTCAGCGAGCAGACACTCTTCACCCTATTCAAGCCTTTCGGCACAATCCAACAGATCAAGATTCCACCAGGGAAGAACTGCGGTTTTCTAAAGTATTCTACTCGGGAAGAGGCCGAGGAAGCCATTCAGGCAATGGAAGGCTTTATCATTGGCGGAAATAGGGTCCGTTTGGGTTGGGGCCGCGTTTCGGCAAACAACAAAAAGTTTCACCAGCAGCGGCAGATGGCTCAGGTAGCCCAGATGCAAGCCGCTGCCGCCATGTCTATGGGAATGGACCCTGCTGCTGCGTTTGCTGCTGCTCGCTTTCCACCAGGCGCACAAGGCCCAGTGCCTTCCTCTTCTCAAGGTTTTGGCCCGATCCCTATTGGAATTCCCCAGATGGCACCCAATCTCCATGGAATGCGGCAGTTTGCTCCGCCCGATGGTATGACGCCGATGAGTGAAACAGGCAGCGAAGACACGTCATCGGATACACCAGGGCAGCCCATGTTCTGGCCTCCTCCTCCAGATGAAAATGAACGCTTCTATCAAGGTTATCCTGGGGGAGGTGTTGGCCAAGAGAATATGAGTGCAATGTTCGAAAAGCTCTCCTTGGAGAACAATGCGCTTCCGCTTCCTCACCCGCCTCTACCTGGTTACCAACAGGGTATATTTGTTCCATACGGTGGATACGTACCACCCAACTATTCTTTCGGTCCTCCGAATGAGGAAGACAAGGAAGAGGGGTCGGAACAACAAGAATCCGAGCATCAAGCGGCGGCACACCCAGATGGCGAAGACCAGGACGGCGACGAGAATGCCGAGGAGCACAACGAGGAACACGACGAGAAAAAAGATGAAGAAGAAAAAGACACTCAGGGTAATGACCACTGAGGTGCTACCCGAAGTATATACTAAAACTATCAGGACAAAAGTGTTTGTAGTTGTCGATAATATATATGGTGGAGTGATGAGTGAGGACGAAGGCTTGAGGTCTTAGACTCATGAATTATTGACGAGAAGGGGAACCGAAATGTTATCAGCAAATAGCATCAAATACGAAATATATGGACTTTCAATGCCCATGGAATAATGTGAATGCGCAAATCAGTGGAACCAAGTACACTGGAAAAATACACCATCGATATAGATAAATAACCTAGCATGGTATACCAATCAGTAGTGATAAAGAAAGAAACTAATTGGGCGATTTTATCAGTATTTGCGGAGGCGAAACCAACATGGAGTTGGTTCTCTTTGCCATACTCTTGCAATGAGTAACCTCAGCCACTAGGAAATACCTCAGCCACTAGGAAGGAAAACCTTATACCAATAAGATGAATTTGAATTGATGGAAAGGTTTTCTTAACTTAATTAACGTATTATTTGATTTACTGTAGAACACTCTATCGAACGGTATACCATCTCGATTAGATATCAAACCATAAGAGTACGAACTGAATACTCAGAATAGTTTTAAGAGATGAAATAGGAGAGAGAATGAAGAAGAGCATGCATCCTGAGGCAATAAATATGAATACGAGAGGTTTGATCTATTTGTGATATCTCATACTATTTTGTGTTTAGGAGCATGATATCTACAACAAAGTGAAGGCAAAAATCAAATCTACTTGTATACTACCCTTCGTGTAGCTCTCTCTACTTTTTCTTATCAAACATATCCATTCAAGCTGTTTCCGACCAGGATTATACACTAACTAAACCAATCATACGCATCGCGTAACATAAAAGAAATAAAACAAGTCAAAGAAGTTACGATCTCTCGCCTCTCAATCTTCTTGCCAACTGGATATCCTTCTTTTGGATGGTGACTCTCTTGGCGTGGATAGCACACAAGTTAGTGTCTTCAAACAAAGAAACCAAGTAAGCCTCAACAGCTTCTTGCAAAGCGCCAATAGCAGAGGACTGGAATCTCAAGTCGGACTTGAAGTCCTGGGCAATCTCTCTGACCAATCTTTGGAAAGGCAACTTTCTAATCAAAAGTTCGGTGGACTTTTGGAATCTTCTGATTTCTCTCAACGCCACAGTACCTGGCTTATATCTGTGTGGTTTCTTGACACCGCCGCTGACTGGAGCAGACTTTCTGGCGGCTTTAGAAGCCAACTGCTTTCTTGGAGCTTTACCTCCGGTGGATTTTCTTGCGGTCTGTTTAGTTCTAGCCATGATTACAAGAAAAGAAAAACTGGTTACAAGAGAGAAAAATTAATTTTGCGCCCCTAAAAAAATGTGCTCGGGGTTCCATTGCGCACAGGTGGCGAGCCTAACATAGTAAAAAACCGCATGACCATGTGCTCGTTTTCTGTGGAAAAAGCGTCCGCCCAGATTTCGACCTTTAGCGCCAATCATATTGCGCGCCGGTTTTTTGTTAGGGGAGTACAGGACTGCTGGTTGTGCAGGTCGATCAGGTGCGACTTGGCTTATCGGTGAGTAATTTGAAGGGACTGAGGAATGACAATTGGGAGGATATTGGGAGGATATTGGGAGGATATTGGGAGGATAATAAATAAATGGGATTTTATTGGGAGGATAACATGGCTGGGTTTGAATTGGTGGGACATTTTGAAGTGTATCATTATGTTTTTGTGAATGCAATTATGTGATTATTGTGCAAATTGGAAAATACTGTAAAAGCTGCGAAAGACAATGGATGGACATATTAAGATTGAAACTATATACATTTTGTAATACTTAATGCATATTCAAATAGACCACGGTGACTTTACTATGTGAATTTTTATTCCATCATGTAGTCGTTGCTTACCCCATCCAAACAGCTCTTGAGTATGTATGTCCATGTAACCAGCATTGTAGATACTTAACCAGATGCTAACATGTGCGATACGTAATTTTTATCATTTCAATTATAAGAGTCCTTTTGAGTTTATCCCTAAACTTCATTTTGGGCTTGTCTGACAATGTTTTGCGTTGAGAAAGATGTTAATTACTCTCTATTAACGTACCCAATATGAAAAGTCAGAAAAGAGAGATTCTTCACACATTATGTTCTCTAATCTCTTTCAACGTGCGTCCAATGAGCAAGCATCTCTTATCTTTTAAGCTACAAATACGGGAAGCTAATGGCAATCGGTTGAATAAAAACGTGTTAAATTGTCGAGCGAAAAGTTGATCAGAAAACCTCAAAGTGATTGCAAGGCCAGAATAGGCTATCTCATCTACGTCAGCTTCCAAACTAAGACCAGAACAGCCTTCAAAGTATACAACCTACCCGTACGCCGTAGTTCAAGCCTCGACTTTTCTTCAGTAGAATTATCTTCGTGTTACTTCAACCATCAAATCTAGGGTAGAATAGCGGAATATGTGTATCGACTCGAAATCTATACAATGCAATGGCGTCGGGCGCCGAAAAGCTAGCGGATAATGTACATGGGCTTAGTTTCTGTACCACAAACGGGTCACTCTGGTCTTCATCATCTTCTTCTGCAACTGGAAGACACCGTACATCAAAGCCTCGGCCGTTGGAGGACAGCCCGGAACATAAATATCAACGGGCACGACTCTGTCACACCCACGCACCACCGAGTACGAGTAATGGTAGTAGCCTCCACCATTGGCACAAGAGCCCATCGAAATGACCCATCTAGGGTCGGCCATCTGATCGTAAACCTGTCTCAACGCAGGAGCCATTTTGTTGGTCAAAGTGCCGGCAACAATCATGATATCGGACTGACGAGGCGACGCTCTGAAAATAATACCCAATCTGTCCTGGTCATATCTGGGAGTAGAAACATGCATCATCTCCACGGCGCAACAGGCCAAACCAAAAGTCACGGGCCAGAAAGAAGACTTTCTTGCCCACATGGCAATGGCATCCAACGACGTCAAGGCATAGTCGATGGGCGACGAAGCGGTTTTCTGCGACATCAATGGCAAGTCTGTTTCCATAGGTCTTGGGGTCAAGTCCTTGGCAGGAAGACCCACTTGCTTGGAGGCAAAACGGAGCGCCTGGAACGCGGCCGGTGTCTGGGATTTCACAACAGTTCTGGTCAATCCAAGCATGGCGGAAATGGGCAACTGAAGGAGAGTTTTGTGGATAGGACTTTTTGTGAGGTTTTTCGTACTGCAATCAGCACATATTGTAGCATGGTGATTGGACCGCCCAAGAGGCACGGGTGCAGGATCCGCGACCTCTGCCGGAATTGCGATCTACGCATCTGAACTGAAGAGAGAATATTATCTTGGAGCAAAGTTTGGGAAAATCACAGAGTAAAGTAGATTCACTCATTGTGATTTTTGTCTACAGCTTCTGGTTTTCTAACGACTGGAACTCTTCAATATGGTATGAAGTGTCTGACTTAAACTTACATCGGTTTGGACTGACATGGTTTGGACTGACATATTTGGACTGACATATTTGGACTGACATATTTGGACTGACATAGGTTGGTCTGACATAGGTTGGTCTGACTTATTGTATTTATGGGGCATGTGAGGATCGGGTTCACTTTCTGTAGCAGGGAGTGATCCTCAGATCTAAGAATTCGAGACCGTTCATAGACTGCAATTATCCAAGTTTGTCACATCAAACGACTATGAGTTAAAATGATCTTTAGGAACTCCTCAGATCGTATGGAGATCCACAGTTCAGTTATAATTGAAAAAATCACTTTGGTGTCGGTGTACAAATCTAATACTCGTGGCCTTATTCTGTCCTCGATACAGAACATGTAGTTGGGGTCATTTCTTTGGATTTTCCTGTCACACCCTCTGAAATTATCTTACGATGACTAATACTTGACTTTGGGTACGGATGCCCTTACTTTTAGTCAGAGATTTCATTCGTGATCCCGATGTGATAATATAGACCTAATCGTAGACTTAATGTGGTACTTGCCTCTTGCTTTTCCAAAACAATGCACAACAAATGTAAACTTTGTGAACCTCTAAGCAGAAGATGTTTGGCCTAATTAGCGATTGTTCATATGCACTTGGTAAATATTTCCAACAAGAATGTGCTTTCATTATAAACTCAAATTGTCTCAATTTCATTGAGCAGTACGAAACAAGGGTTTTCTTGACTATTTTGGCTAATGAAACATCTACATTACTGATTCAAAAGTGACGTTTCTTTTGAATTTATAAACCATGGCAAAGGCTCTCCATATAGCTTAACGCATCCAATCCAACTGTACTCTCTAGTTGGTATTAACTGACATTTCAAAAGTTAATGGCAGAGACACGAGCTTATACACAAAGTCATAGGAATAACACTGACTACCTGAGGTTTCTTGAGGATCTTTCGAAATCTCAAACCAGTAGCCGAGTTTAGCTTTTTTTGTTTCTACAACAAGAAACACAGACCAACGACATGAGGAAGATGTACAGCATGAATGCATCACTTATCAAAACTTCACAGTTCCCCACACACTTCACACCATGTGATGCAATGGATGCCATTATTCGATCGTGCTATCCAAATACTCTCTGATTTTAGCCATGACATCCTCCCGAACTTGCGGTGGCACCATTTTCTCAGCCTGAGGCCGGAGAGTTTCATAGAGTCGCTCAAAGTTGAGCGGCTCCGCATGCTGTTTTTCCAACTCGGCGCTGGCCGCTTGTGTGACACTGTCAAACCAGCCGGACTCATACAACCGGAGCTTTAGCTGTTTGGAGATGACATCGTAGTTCCCCAGCGAAACTAGATGGTCTTGTATTTGAGACTTGATGGCGCCTAGCTCGTCTGACATGGCGAAAGATGCAAATGTGACTGACCAAATGGATTGGAACAAAGAAAAGGGTTTGAGTTCAGACTTGACAAAACAATACAAGGCTGGAGGACTCGAGTATAACAATCAGGAGGAGATGTTTTGTTCCACTAGACTTTGAAATGTTCTGAATGTTCTGAATGCAGATCGCAGAAGAATGCGCTGAAAGTACAGGCTCTTTTCGATCAAGCCGTGTCGTTGATTAAAAGCTTGGTACATGAATGTTGCAGACCAAACGATCAGAATTTTTCAATTTCGGTCATAGTCACTTCGAAAACATTCTATTGTCATGCGTACCTGTTTACATCTTCGGTAGAAGGTTACAGCTAAAAGGACCTACTAAAAGGAACCTACTACGAATAACCTACTAAAATGAACTTACGTTGGCATTGCCCCTTTTTTCATAACTGGGGCGTTAAGGCTCGTTTCGGTCCTTTTTTCTAGGTCCTTTTTGAATACAGCTGATTGTTGGTTGGAACATTCTGTCTTTGGTTCGTATTCATTTATGTAGACTGTGCACTCTAGGCGCATATTGCTCCACTTAGTTTAGGAGCGCCGATTCTTGCTTTACTCCACTTGCGGTTTTCTATTCTTTGCTTTGCTTTTGGTTACAACACTCTCTGCTACTTTTGTTGAGCTCAATTGTTTCTGTCAAACCATCCTCCACCATTAAATCTCTTCTCACCACTTTCCGTGCCCAGAGGCCCTATTTTCGATATCTCCACATGAAACCTTCGCCTTACAAAGCCAAAGTCACCGACATTGAAGAGTTGCAGCAGGGAAAATGGATCCAGACTCGCAAAATCAACTATACGGATCCTGCTGGGAAGGCAAGAGTATGGGAAATGGCCGTTCGGACCACTCGGACTGAGACCACAGGTTTGGACGCTGTCAGCATTCTTGCCTTTCTTCAGAAGAACGATTCGAAGCACATTGTGTTGGTGAAACAGTTCCGTCCTCCCTGCGAGAAGGTCGTGGTGGAATTGCCTGCTGGACTCATAGATCCAAAAGAATCAGTAGAACTGACTGCAGTTCGGGAATTGCTTGAAGAAACAGGTTACCACGGAACGTTTGTTCGGCTGCTGCACACAGAAATGCCGTTGTTCAGTGACCCGGGCTTGACCAATGCCAACATGGCTTTGGCTACGGTGGAAATCGACGCCAAAGATCCGCGTAATTCCGATCCCCAGCCTCAGTTGGAGGATGGCGAGTTCATTGAAGTGTTTACCTTGCCTACGAAGGGGTTTTTGGCCGGCTTGATAGACGTTTGTTCGCGTGAGGGCAGTGTGGTGGATGCCAGATTGTATCATTTGGCTTTTGGTCTTGAGATGGCCGAAACGCTCTCTTGAACTCAGTAAAGAGATAGAAGGAACTTGGAAGAGGCTTTCATTCGCCTTGAACTTTCTTGCAAGGCAATCACATCACGATGTGTTTTATTGGGGACAAGGATGGAAAAGCCTTTTTCACGACCTTCAATCCTGTTGAAAGGCTAATGTAGACGAATAGCTTGAAATCTATCGGATGTTTGCAATATCAGGACGACATCGATCAATAAAACCTCTCTGGGAAACTAAATGTAGACGATAACTTCCATTGCAGAAACCTGAAAGAATATAGACACCTTTCAAACTTACTATTGGAGCAAGTCTGCATTATATCTATTCGTTATGCAAAACCATCTAGTTGATGCTACCACTTGCAAAAATGGTGTGACAACATACAACGATAATACATTTTTTGTTTGAATCCAATTTCAACTACTCAGCCATTTAGTGATCACCCAGTGAGTTAGAGAATTTTTAAAGATTGTTTTGGGAAGGATAGAATTCAACTTAAAAATGTAATCTTATTATTTGACAGTAGATGAATTGCTACATCTTGAAATTTAGCAGAGTTTTGATGAGGAATCTTGACAGACGCAGTATGCCATGGATTTCCCAAGTGTGGAGCTAGATGCTATGCCACACCTCTATTTAATACCAGTGGATTGATACCAGGAAAGGCACAGTAACTCAGAACGCCGTCGTGAATTTAAAATTCGAAGGATGAAGAAACCCTTTGCTAGAAATTTTATCAAGGAAAGAGTTTATTCGAAGGTTCTTTCATTTACATTATGACGAGACTTCACTCCCATTTCCAAGTTAATCTCGTCTCATTATATACTCATCAAAACGACCAACTTGACTATTCAGTGATTACGTACTCAATCCCTTTGCATATATACGATTGCCTTGTCGTCAACAAAAGCTTAAACTGGGTAACGAGTTGTTCCTCCATATGGACAAACATATGATGGACTGAACAATCGCCCTGCACCCCGCATTCGCAGTCTTAACGATAGTTGAAACTATAAGGAACTTGGAGTTTCATCTTGACGCAATTCTAGTCTGGTATCGAAGACCAGGATAGAGAAAGACAGAGACAGAGACAGAGACAGAGACAGAGACAGAGACAGAGACAGAGACAGAGACAGAGACAGAGACAGAGACAGAGACAGAGACAGAGACAGAGACAGAGACAGAGACAGAGACAGAGACAGAGACAGAGACAGAGACAGAGACAGAGACAGAGACAGAGACAGAGACAGAGACAGAGACAGAGACAGAGACAGAGACAGAGACAGAGACAGAGACAGAGACAGAGACAGAGACAGAGACAGAGACAGAGACAGAGACAGAGACAGAGACAGAGACAGAGACAGAGACAGAGACAGAGACAGAGACAGAGACAGAGACAGAGACAGAGACAGAGACAGAGACAGAGACAGAGACAGAGACAGAGACAGAGACAGAAAGACACATAAAAGAACCACCAGAACAACCAACAACCAACAACCAACAACCAACCCATCACTCCCCATGACTGACATCTGCGCGCTCTGTTTGGGCGGCTCCAGCGAAGTGCCGCCGTTCGGCACCGCCCACGACGCCCAGGACTTTGTTCGGCCGTGCACATGCTCGTTGGTGGTGCACCGGCGGTGTCTCTTGGACTGGTTCAATTCGTTGCCCGCGGCGCGGGTTTCCAGGGCAAGCCCGGCCGACGAAGACGGCCTTGCAATCCCTGCCGACGACGGCCTTGCAATCCCTGCCGACAACGACGGTCTCGCAAACGGTGCCGCCAACGCCGCCTTCCCGGACGCCACCGACGACACGTTTCGCAGCATCAGCAGCGCCTTTGGCGGCATCAATTTTTCCGGCAGCGTGCGGGTCAACATGGGCGTGGCGGCGCCGTCGGTGCTCGAGGCGCCCGGGTTCCTTCTGGCGCCGTGCCCGCAGTGCAAGCAGGCGCTCTATTTCCGCACGCGCGCGCTGGCGGCGCTCGGCATGGTTTCGTTGGCGCGCGCCGCCCTCACCGACACCGTCCAGTACTCGGGCGCGCTAGTGGCGCTTACGGGCGCGGCCAGCGGCGTCTTGGCCGTCGGGTACGCCGGGCTCGCGCGAGCAGGCGCATCGATGTTGGACGCGCTTGTGCCGGCGTCGCTCCTCGGCCCGCTTTTCTTGCGCCGCGCGCCGCGCGCGCGCCCGTTTGCTCTTTCGCCGCCCGCCTGGGACAACTACAAACAGCACCTCATTGTGCTCTTCCCCATCGTCATGTACCGCGCGCGCCTGGCGCTGAGTGTGGTGCGCTCGGACTGGCGCGACTCCGCCGCCTGTGCGCTCAGCGAGTTTTGGGTGTGCAACTATCTTTCGTCGGTGGGCGACCACAAACTTGCGCGAGCGGTGTGGGCCAACATGCGCGCGGCGTTTGGGGCGGCGGCCGCCGACCGGCGCAACTTGGCCCGCTTGTGCCATCCGGCGGCTTTGGCCCGCGCCCTAGTGGCCAACATCGACTGGTGGGACCCCAAGGTGTTGGTGGCGTCGATGGTGCCTGTGCGGTGGGCGTACCAGCTTTTCTTCCGGGCCACCTTCAACCGGTGGTACTTTGACCTTGCGGCGCGCGCGCGCCCGCGCGATATCGCCAACACCGTTTCGCCGCGCGACTTGACGGCGCTCCAGGACTTGAGTGCGCGCCGCGCCGCGCTCTGGGCGCAAATGGCCAAGGCGCACGGCCCGCTCGGGTTGTGGGCCAGTGTCAGGGCGGGCGGCGCCAGAGCCGGTTTCCGGTCCTTCTCCGCCTGGTGCGGCTTGGCCTGGCGCTTGGTCAAGACGCTGTTTTTGCTCGAGGCGCGCAAGTTCTCTGCCTGCTGCCGCAACGACTACTCGGCGGCGTTTTTCTACTCGCTGCTGGTGATTACGGCCGTGACCACGGCGGTGTGGCCGTTTCTCGCGGCGGACGTCGGGCGCGTGGTGGTGCATCTCCTAGCGCGGCGCTTTGGCGGCGTGCCGCGCGACCGCCTTGTGTTGGCGGCGAACTTGCTTGGAATGGTGGCGGTGGCGTTGGCGAAGGACGTGGCCAACTGCTACTTGAGCGCGCAAAAGGCGCGGCAGATCACCGACATGGCCATAGTGCGGCCGGCGGCGCGCGAGCCCGCCCTGGAAAGCCAGGCGGCCCGCCCTACGTTTCCCGGCGCATACAGAGAATAATACATATAGTAAATATACAGACAGCCGCAGCCGCACATGATCTGACTGATCGATAAATGACTTGATCTGACTTGGTCGATAAATGACTAGATCTGACTTGATCATGCTTGTTCTTACTTGATCTGACTTGATCTTGTCCATCAGTCATGGTGCGACTGGGCTCATTGACTCAGACGAGCTTCATTGACATCAACTCATTACACCACATCGCGTCTACTCCTCGTCGTAGTTCTCGTCCTCGTCGACTTTGCGCAATGGCGGTTCCACAGGCTCCACTTTCTCTTCCTCCTCTTCTTCGTCGTCCTTGCCGTTGGTGACAGGTTCTTGCGGCTTCACACTGGGAGTCACAGACCGAGCGGCAGGAGTGGAAGACGCCGCCTCGGCAGGAGCCGAAGCTGGTGGGGCTGGTGCAGCAGCTGGTGTGGTTGTTGACGCCGCCTCGGCAGGGGCAGGAACGCTGGCACTTTTCTCCACCGTAGGTTTCTTGGCTGGTGGTTCCTGTTTCTCGTCTAATTCACGTTTGAGCTCGGGCGTTTCTCGCGAGTAAGGCGTGTTCTGAGACGGGAGCGCCGTCAGGTTGGAAGGAACGCTTGGAGAGTTCGTATGGCTGCCTTGGGCCTGAGGCGTGTGCGAGGCAGACTGAACTGGAGCCGTTTGCGCAGCATGTTGCGCCGGAGCTGGAGCAGCTTGGGCCGGAGGCTGAAGAGGCTGAAGAGGCTGAGAGGGAACAGCCTGAGTTGCGGCCGGAGGCTGTGGGGCTGCCGCTGGAGCCTGAGCCGCCTGAGGCTGGAGCTGGCCCTGGTTTGGCTGGCCCTGGTTTGGCTGGCCCTGGTTTGGCTGGCCCTGGTTTGGGTGGCCCTGGTTTGGTTGCGGCGCATAACTCTGCTGGAGCTGGGGCGGCATGGCGTTGAGCGGCGGTTGTTGCGGCTGCGGCTGCGGCTGCGTGCTCTCCAACACCATTCCCTGCGGCAATCTGGGCTGCTGGCTCACTGGCGGCGGCTGGGGCGGATGCGTGTTGCCGTCCTGCTGGTACTTGACTAGCTGGTCCAAACGCGCCTTGATGTGCGGGTTGCCAGGGTCCAAGCGCTCGGCCTGGCGATAGGCGTCGAGGGCATCGGAGATTTGATTGTTGCACGTTTCGTACAAGGTACCCAAGTCGTACCAGACTTCACTGATGTACGGATTGAGGCGGATAGCCCGCGTGTATGCGTCGAGAGCGTCACGGTACTGCGAGATCTGGTAGTAGAGCACACCGATGGAACACCAGAAGGTTGGGTTGCGCAGGTCACGGTTGACAGCCTGCTGGAACGCTTCGTAGGCCGCATTGAAGTCGCCTCGGATCATGTGCACACGGCCGAGATAATACCACAGGTGGGCGTCCAGCGGGTCGATTTCGATGGACTGCGAGAGATACTTCAACGCCATGGCCAAGTCCTGCTGGAACGGAGCACTGGCGTTGCCGTTCTGGGCCTGGCTGTTTTGGTTCTGGCTGTTTTGGCTCTGGTTGTTCTGGTTCTGGACGACGCTCTGGTTGCCCGGCTCTGCCTGCGAGTACAAGCAGCCCAACTGCTGCAAGACCTTGGCGTGGTTGGGATTCACCTCAAGAACCTTCTCGTACGCCTCCTTGGCGCCCGTCCAGTTCTTTTGTTGCTCAAGCACCAGACCAATCTGGAACCACACGTCGGGCTGGGTGAGCGGATGCGGTGGGTTGGGCAAGATGTACTGGAAGCACTCCAACGCGCTCGCAAGCTTGCCCTGGTGCTTGTAGATGATTCCGAGACGGAAGTGGATCTCGTTGGACTTGTCAAAGTGCGGGTCCAAGTCCAACACACGCACAAACGCCTCTTCGGCGTACTCCAAGGAGCCGTATCTGTCGTAGAGAATGCCAATGCCGTGCCACAACTTGGGCACGTTCGGGTTGTCCAAGTAGTAGAGCGCCCGCTGGTATGCGGCGTAAGCCCTTTGCAAGTCGTCCATCATCAAGTAGCAGTGGCCCAAGAGCCCCCAGGTGTCGCCGTTTTCCGGGTTGAACGTCAAGGCCTGCTCATAGAGCTCTGCCGCTTTCAAAAAGTGGTCTCGCGACCGGTAGATGTTGGCCAAGCGCGTCAAGGCGTCTGGGTTGTTGGCGTTGTGGCGCAACGCCGCGTCGTACAGCAGAATGGCCTTTTCCAAGTCGCCGAGCGACTCGGCCAAAGAGCCAATGGCCAACCACGTGGCGGCGGTGGTTTCAAACAACACAGACAGCCGCTCGGACGCAAGCTGGCTGGGCATCTGGTTGGGCATCTGGCTGGGCATCTGCGTGGACATTTGGTTGGAGATCTGGCCGGACATTTGCGACGAGAGCTGGTTCTGCGCCTGTGCTTGCGCCATGGCCTGTGCTTGCGCCGGATGGGGCATCATGTGCATCTGCTGTTGGAGCGGAAGCGAAGGCGCATTGAGCGCCGTTTGCTTCATGGCCATTTGGACTGGCAAAGACATGGCGTGTCAGAAAGAAACGAGAAACGTTCGGCTGGAGGAATGTGGCAGCAATATGTGGCGGCTGCGCTGGGGAGGTTAATTCAGCAAGACAAGCAAAAGCAAAGCTCGACAAAAGACAAAGCGTGCGGGCGAAGAACGAAAAAAGGTGCGGGCGAAAATGTTAGGTGGAAGCCCGATACTTTTAGGCGCACCGCACCTGCGGCGGGCGCGAAAATACGACGGGCAGATGCCCGAAAAAGAAGAGGAAAAGGACGGGGGACGCGGATTATCTGGGCTTTTGGCGTGGATATGACTGGCTGCGTTGGCAAATGGGGTCTACAGTATTGTTGTCGATGGTCTGTTTGGGTGTAAAAATGGCGTGGCCGTGCCGTTCATTTTGCAGGCTCTCTCACATTAGTCTTGCCCAGCCACGTCAACATTTTACTCGGCATAAACTTCGCATTAATCGAACATGAGGCTAAATCGAAAATACAATGTAAACGAATAGTGTTTTGACACGAACTACATAGGCGACTGTCTAAGATGGCTATCTATGGGTTTTTAATTTAGTTGCTTGCTCTGCTTACGACATTATGCTGTGGACATCATGTCTCCACCCCATGTTGTTGTGCTTTTCACCCCATGTGTGGGATTTTTTTTATTTTATTTTGTTTTATTTTTTTTTTTTTTTTCTTCTCACCCCATCTTGCGGCCAACACCCCATGTTTTGCACACCCCATCCCGTTTAGGTACAGGGTTTCATCCTGACGCAAGCGTCTCCTGCACATGCCGCACCCTCGCTCAAGATCGAAAAAAGACAATTGGCACTGCGGACTGCAGACAGAACGGCTACAACGGCACATCATCCCTTGAAAGGAACCCCTAACTATTCTTGGGTTGCTTTGACGAAAACGTACGACTTTTTCTAGCCGCCGACGCTTTCATGGACAATGTGAAAAGGCGGGGCTGGTTTCTGCAGATGGCAAGGAAGGCTGAATGTCGCACACCGTTGTCATGCGGGATACTCGCTCGATAATGTCGCTAAATTAAGAAAAAAGCATGAGGGAAAAACAAAGCCTCGTGTCGCAATGTCGCTAAATCTAATTGCCAATGTCTCGATGCTCATTCTGCATGTCTTTTCATATGCAACTAACCAATGAGTTCCCAAAGGTGTATGCAGTATGAGAATGGAAGCGCTTCCTATCTTCAAATATTTGGCCAATCAGGTCCGTGTATTGCTGTAAGCTGCATATTCTAGTTTCAATGATGTCGTTGGAGACACGGCTGGGTATGTAAGATGCACCATTGTCGCGTGCAGATCCATCGAGAAATGAGATGCGTACAAGAAAGGTACATCGACAGAAAAGGAGCCTAAAAATGTTCTTTCAAGAAATCGTAAAAAATAGATGAGCAAAAATAGAACAGAAAAAATCACTTTAGTTCATGTAGAAAAGGTCTACATGGTGATAAGTATTTTGAGTCTACTGGCAATCCGGCAAAAATGACAGTTATCTAAGATTAAGAGTGTATTATTTCCCCGAATAGATTCTCATTCTTTCAATAAAAATAATCTAATACTAGCAACCAATTTAGGTGCTGAAGATATAGAGCTGATGGAACCAAGTAGTACCTATCTTTAACATATTCTTATTTTTTGTAGCGATCTTAAATGTGCATTCTACAGCGAAGCAGCATTATCTTCGTATCGAGGTAAAAGCTACTGAAGCAGGTATAACTCAACTGAGCGTTTAATATGAGATTGTATGATCTTTACATCCGACCTAGTTGTTTGGCGAAGAAAGCAAATGCCGGCTCCAGCCTGCGGATATGCTGACAATGTTCTGTTAGGTTTGACTGAAAACACTCCAGATGCTTCTCTTTTAAAAAATCAATGGTTCGATAATCGAAGTGAAGAACTGTATAAGTGTGTAATGAAGTCGAACTGACGAGTTTTTCTATTTTCGCTCTCTGAGAAAATAACCTTTCGAATTTTCAATTTCATCACTTCAATCGTGGACGATTCTTGGATCCTTATGGCGCCTCGTAATCAAGCTCGTCGAGTTCATGCTCGCCCACACGCTTGTATGTGACTCGTCCATAATACTCGTCAAACAACTGGTCGATATTTTCAAGCTCCACGCCTTTCGTCTCAGGATAAAAGTACGCCACGGTGAGGACGGAAAGAATGCAACTTGCCGCAGGAAACAAGTACGTAGCCCAGCCGATCGAATCCTCGAGTATAGGGGTGAGCTGGCCAACGACATAGTTAGCGAACCAGTTTGTGGCTGTCGAGAGCGACACACCTTTCGACCGGACAGCCAACGGGTACACCTCAGGCGGAATAAGGAAGCCAATGGGGCCCCAACTGTAGCCAAAGGAAGCGTTGTATACAATCACCAAAAAGGCCACAAGCAGCGGCGTAGACAGCGTGTCAAGATACATGACTAGCGCTATGAGGAGAAGACATGTTCCCATGGAAAGACCCCCACTGAGCAAAATGGGCTTTCTGCCCCAACGATCAACCAAAAACCATGGAGGAATCGTGCTCAACAAATACACAAAGGCATTGACACCCGTCATCAAGAGTGCATTGGAATTGTTGAAGCCTGCCTTCTCGAAAACCATTGGCGCGTAGTACGAGATGATGTTGATGCCATTGAACTGGGCAAACGCCAAGGCGGAACATGCAATGAACACCCGGAGCCTGTAATGGCGAAGCATGTGGCGCCAGGACCGCTCGCGTTTCGGGATCTTGACCCGCTCCTCCAAAATACTGTTTTTGATGAGGAAAAACTCCGTTTCCGGCTTATCGTGTTGCGGATGGTCAGCGTACAATAAGCAAAGAACGTGGAAGCCCTGTTGATCATTGTCTACGTCCAAGAGCCAGCGCGGACTCTCGACAATGAAAAAGCCGCCAACAAAAAGGATGGCCCCAAGTGCTACTTGGATAAACAATGGGAGCCGCCACGATAAGTTGGCCGTGAACAGATGGGGATTTTCTCGAGCGTCGCCGATGTTCTGGATAAAGTAGCAGAAATAATCCACCCACACACTCAAAAAGTAGCCGGCAATGTTTCCAGTGAACTCGCCACAGACGAGCTTTCCCCGCTCCTCGACCGGCAGAATCTCGCATTGGTACAGAGGAACCATGGTTGATAAGATACCGACGCCAAAACCACTGAAAACGCGGCCCACGCCGAAAACCCATAAGTTTGGTGCAAACAGCTGGAGCGAGCCGCCAAGAATGAAGATGGCCGTGCCTAGCAAGATGGATCTTTTGCGTCCCACCGCGTCCAGAAGCCGCGAAACCATAAGCGACGAGATCATGGCTCCAATCTCGAGAATCGAAATCACAAGTCCCACCTGTGTCGCCGATGGCTCGTGGAAATACTTGTTGAACGTTACAAACGTCAACACGCCCAGACAAACGCCCTGCTCGTAGCCGAAAAGCGACACGAAGAGAGACACAAATGCTGATGTAAAGTAGACAAGCTTCTGGCCCTTGAACCGGAGCCGCGACAAGTAGGTGCGGGCATCAAAGTCCACGTGCGAGTAGGAGTTGCCAAAGTTGTCTCTGCGCTCGTTTTGCGCCAGCTTCCGGAGCCGAGTGTGTTGGTTTTCCGATTCCCAATCGGCAAAGTCGTCATCGGATTCGGGATCGCCTAGAGTACGGCCACCGCCGTTATTCCGTGCGGTAAGCCGCACAGGGTCATTTTCCCCATCGCTGAAGCTCTCGGTGGATCCGTTCAGGGAAAAATCCGTGGTGCTTTTTAGCGGGCCAAAAGAAGATAAGAGTGTTTTGCCCGAAAGGTCAGAGGGCGCAAAGTGCGAGTGCCGCAGCGACGAAGGCAGTGAGGCTCTGTTTTCCGCACGTGCGGGCTTTTCGGGTTCCATTGTGGGAATTTTTGGAAAAACTTCCGGTCACAATTTCCAGCGTGTATGAAAAGCAAGTTGTTGATATGAGATTGTGGGGTCCATTACGTAATGTCGCGCACGACAATATGTCGAAGCGATAATGGGACAAAGGATAGAGGCAATAACAATAGAAAAACTGGAGACGCTAAAAATGGAAAGGGTAGTATTGAAAAATAAATGGCACTTTTTCCGCCATAGTCGTCCATTCCAAGGTTCCGATTTTGGTTCGGATTTTGGTCGGATTTTGTGTCACAGATTATCAGGGTCTGTCGCGTGCCGAAACACGGTTTATTTTTATTTTTTCAGGAACACAATTTGAGTAGACAGGAGATTTCCGTTTCTTCAGTTTTCCCATCTTTTGTATTTTAGATAAAGTGCAAGCCAATAAAATACGTTGCATCTTGTGGTCGTACGACAGTTAGGCGAAGAGAAAAATTATTAAAGCGTTATGAACCAAAAAAGAAATGGAAATACAGATTCTCTGAAAGCGCAAAAGGCACAATGAAAGTCGCAATCATAAATTAACAATAGAATCAATAGAATCGGAGATAGAATCTTGAATTCCTAGAATAGTGAAATAGAAGCAGATTGAAGATTATGAAGCAATTTTTAGAACAAGAAAGATCGTGCAAGAATGCCTCAGTGTAAAGATGAATTAATATTCATCAATCATCTTGAAGTATAGCTTAAAGTTGACAATGGGATGACACTATACAACATTCAACCACCACTGCCAAAGTTAGATGATACGAAAAACTAAAAATAGCAGCGTCATAGAAAGTTCAATCAGAAAAGTTTTGATCTTCTAAGTCGAAAATCGTCTTGATATCTGTGTATCGGTTCATTTCCAGATGTCTGCTCAATTTCAAAAGTTTAATGAGGGATGAAGGAGTACTGCTGTGATTCAGCTAGGGAACAAAAGGAAGAATAATTTTCATTAGTAAGAAACGACACTATATACATTAAGCGGTCTTTCTCTTGATGTAGCTCTCGATGTAGAAAGCAGCAAACAACGCCGTCAATGGAGTCAAGTATAAGACATTGATCACCAAAGGTAATGCTTGATCCGAAGATGGGATACAGTTGCGGAAAGAGGTATCCTTTGGATCGACATACCACACAAAAGCGTGAACAATGGCCAACAGGCCGCCAACAACAAACTGGGTTATTTGCATCGAGGTCAAGACACGCTTCACAATGAGCGGAACCCTGATACGCAAGCATGCCAATGTGAAGTAGAAGTACATCAACGAATGAATGAACGAGTTGAACACGACGAAAATCCAGATTGGCGGCGACTGGAAGCGGATTCCAGACCACATACACATCATGGCGCCCGCATGATGATAACTTTGCAAAAGACTCGAAGGACGGCCCTTCAACAAAATCACAATGGTGTCAATGACCTCGTAAAACTTGGACATGTAAAACCACCAGCCAATGAGCGTCAAGTTATGTTCTTTGGGAAGATGCTCAAACACACCACGTTCGGCATCACACACAGCATGAACAAACGTGCTCAAAGACGACACAGATGGGATTTCGTTGCGGATCTTCTCCATTGTGCGGCCAAAAGAGTTGAGCATGGCGAAAAACGTCCATACCGAGTAGACACAGAGGAAAATGTTGTGCAAGAGAACAAAGAGCTTGAACCATGGCTGCGTCGCGATCTTGAACGGCGCTGGCTTGAGTTTCTTCAACTGTTTCGGGTCCATCTTCTGCTCGTTCTTTTCCTTAAGTCCAGCCTTGCGCAATTGTCTCTTAATGACATATGGATTGACGAAATGAACAAAGGAGAAGTATACCACCGCAATTGTCAACGGAGTTCTCACCTTCATGGACACTTCAAAAACGTTGGTCAACCATTCCGATTGGAAAGGAGATGGGGGAAGCGGAGTTGTGCCCTTAGGAAGAGTCCAAAAGGCTGGATCTGGTAAACCCAACGAAAATGACATGGAAAAACAAGAATGAGGAAGAAGAAAAAGAAAGTAGAAGAAGAAGATCTAAGATCTATAAGATCAATTGAGAATTGGCCTAGTCGCAGCTAATTCGAGATTCGCTCCAAATTGGGCACAATGCAATCTGGTTGCGACTTAATTCCGAGGTAACCCAACACCACAAAAAAATGACATTTATTGGAAATTGATGTGAAGTCAAAGCCACGCACTCTCAGCATCGCTATAAATGGGTTTAGAGGCGAGAATATTTCGTCTTTTACGTTTTTTTGATTGCCTTTCGAAGCGTTTTCCAAGTTTTCGAGCTTACCCAACTTTTTCCTCGGGTCAACCTGGTGCGCCCCACAAAATTCTTGGCCGAAGAGCCGCATCGGCTCGGCTCATGACACTTCAACACCAATAACCACAAAAAATAAATTTCAAGAAAATTAAAACGAGAAAACCAAAAAATACAAATACAAAGAAGAAGATCAAACAGAAGATAGCAATTTCGCCCCGCTACAACTTCTCTCACTACGATTATTCTCCAGTAGCCATCTCGTGATATATTACCTTATATAGTCTTATGGTCGTACCCCACATTCTGTCATGCGCAGGCGAAGATCTGGCGTTGGCACTTTCTTGTTCTTGACAGGTTCATTGGTGATGCTTTTGAGCGGTCTTTTGTGGTTTTTGTTGGGCGATCTTGTGGGTGATCGATTGCGGTTCCCGCTGTTTTTTTTCGTAGGCGACGACTCCAGCGCCGTGTCGGAGTAAATGCTTTCGGTCTTCAACTCCTGCTTATTGATGATCAAAAACTGCTTTTCCCGAAGGAAATGCGTCATGATTTGGACAGCAACGCCCAAGTTTTTTTCGTCATAGGAGCTGAGAATAAGTTGGTGGAAGCACGGCTGTGCTTGCAAAAGGGTGAAGAAATCGATCTCAATGTCCAAAAGCAACTTCAAGGGAATCACTATTTTGTCACGGAACTCCTGGTTCTTGTGGCTGATCAACTCCTCGAATTTGCCGGGGCAATACGTCAACTGGAACTCGTATGACTGGGGGAAAAGCTGGGCCAACCGTTGAGCGCAAATTTTTGTATTCATTTCGCCACCTTTGATGGACACTAGGAAAGAGCTGTTATTCAGGAAGCTCTGTAATGAAGAGGGAAATGAAATGAAAGTCCCATGTTCTGCCTCGAGCTCATTAATGAACCGAAGATCGTACTTCATTTTCTTGATAAGCATGGAATAGTGACTTCTGTAGAGCTTAACGTCCACATTGTGGTATATTGCAGATATCCCGTTCAGAGGAGGGCATTTGTTCTGACAGCATTGAGATACAAGCTGGTCAATTTCGTGCTTCACGAACAAGATATTTTTCAGGTTCTTCATCGGGCATTTTATCAACACATTGTCTCGTCTCTTGAACAGATACAAGATCTTTCCCTCTGAAACTTTATCATTCGTCTTGTTTTTCGTTCCTGCCGAGCTCGAAAACTTGATGAAAACATTGTATCGCTTCATGATCGATTGGATAGTGGAGCCTCCGTTTCCAATTATACTTTTGTGGAACACCTCGGGAATATTGAAGTGCATTTCTGCTGGCATCTCCATTTCAATCAATTTCACTGCTTGGTTCAAAATCTCAAAAGAAGATAAGAGCTGTTTGTTTTTGTAACTAGTCTCGGCATCGACGCTTGTCTTGATGATGAAGTTCAAATCGTTCAAATGTTCGTATTTGATAGTGGGGATATGGTTGAGCTGGTTCAATATCTTTGCAATCTTGCCATTTTTCTTCCCACTTAAGAACTCTTTTTGCAGGTTGTTGAGTTCCATGCTAAACTCAATCAGAAGCTTCGCGTCTAGTTCACTCATCATCGACGTAAAGAAGGTTGTAGCGTTTGAGTTGGAAACAAATTCCCTTAGCAAACATCTCACCTCCGACCTTTCACCTATTATGTAAATGCCATTTTCGTTGTATGTGAGAACACACGTTTTCTTGTTGCTGATAAGATTGATGAAGTAGTACTCGAGTTCGGCAGATGCTAGGCCTTTACGAAACTTCAAGTTAAGACCATAAAAACTACCACTAAGGGTGCTAAGTTCTTCGATCGCGCTCGAAACCGTGTCCTTGCTGTTTCCTTGTACGATGACTTTGTTGTTTCCTGGTTCGCCAAAGCTTGGTATCTGAATATAAACGCCATGTTTGAGCATAATATTCGAAATGTCATTTTGATGGTAGACGCCTACCAAATCAAGTTTTTCTTTTGGGAACTCCACGGTCTGGGTATATAATTTTGCGTCGGAAGATTTTCTAGGATCCACGACATCAATGAGGTCACCAACATTGGCCATGGTGAGTTTCACCTCCGATGTTTTGTTTGACGTCATCCATATTTTCATGTCATCATTCGTTTCCAAAACTTCCGAGTGGAAAATCAGAGGCATGAGATAAGGCAAATATATGGTGACATTCAGCTGGCGAGTGATTTCGGCAAAGTTTGCCAAGCCAGGTCCACCAATAATAGGAATAAGTGAAAGCGGAACAGAAACACGGTCCACAAGGCAGTTTCTCAACAAGGTATCGATCAAGATTTTCGTTTCTGTTTCAGCCAAACAGGTGTTATCGGTGCTTCCGAGAATGAAAACAGAAGTGGTCGTAGACGTTTTCGGAGGAGCCTTGAAGTCTGTGTCCATGCTGCTGATGATGATCTCAACATTGCATCTTTTGGCAATTGCGTCGAGCCGATGGGCAAAGTTTGCCCCGATCTTTTCCACTTCCAGCGTTCTCAAAGGAATGCGCTTGAAATTGACGTGGTGGTAAGCCTTGAGGATTTCAGTTCTTGAGTTGTTGATGAATGTTTCATTTCCATTGATGCTGACGGTGATGAGCTGGCTAGCAAGCTGAGGCTCGATCAATTTGATGTGATTGCTTTCGCCCATTCCGTTATTGTTCAACATCATCAGCGTGGATCTTAAAGAAGCCAAGTTGTCGATGATTCTGGGGGCTTTTTGGCCCTTGCTTTCTGGATAGGGCATGAGTGTGTGTGAATAGGACTCTTGGTTCTGCCAGAGACCAGAGTTGGATTCGAAAAACCCCACCAGGGAGTTTATCAAGTATGAGTACTCTAAAGAGAGAATGACAAAGTTTTGGTCCATGCCGAAAGATAAGAAAGATGCGGATGCAAAATGTGTGAGTGTGAGTTTCTATATACTAGCAGGAGGTCTGCTCTTTGGGTCATTTATGTAAACATGCTGGAGAAGCCATTAGGTTTCCCGATTTGGCCAACAAGACAACAGAAGAGGGTGCTGGCCGAAAAGGGCAATGATCTGCAGCCGTGTGCAGGAGAGACATGTCTAAGTTTAATTACCAACATTACAATAATCATGGAAAGGACCACATGTTGAATAAATATGGTCCGCTATTTTTGCGCCTCACCCCGTTTACACTGGATAAAGCCACTGGAACACCACTGTAGAAAGATGTCACTTTGCACCAATTATGTGGAGTTCACTTTGCAATGCATAGTTCACTTACTGCCAGACGTATCGCGATACAGACGATGAATATACCAATTGATGCGAATCGAGAGGGCCGAATGTGATCAGTAAGTGTAGTGAAGGTCCATCTGTACGCTAAGCAAATCGCATTCGGTCGATCTGCATCTCCACCTTCGTATCTGCCTCTTCTGCCTCTTCTGCCCTCTTCTCATCTGCTTGACTCTACCTTTCTCCACATGTGCCTCTTTTTACACACGCTTCGTGTCCCACACGTAGACCATCTCGTCCCAGCCCGCGGTCGCCGCCCAGCCCGGCTCGCCCCAAAGACTGTAGTCGCAGCCCACCACAAACTCGCGGTGCGCCCGCATGACGCCGCGGCAGCCGCTGGCGCCCGCGCCCAAAAACCGCGCGCGCTCGTCCGCACGGTCCACCCACACGCGCGCCGTCATATCGTACGCCACCGACATGAGTTCTTGGGCGCTGTGCGGCGACCAGCTGACGCGGCGCACGGCAAACTCGTGGCCTAGAAGCTCGTTGAGCGGCGTGGGCCCGCGTGTGTGGTAGGCGGGCATGGGCTGTGCCAGGCTGGGCAGGTCGATCTGCGCCACCATGCGCAAGTCCCACACGCGCACCGCCTTGTCTGTTCCGGCGGACGCCACCACCGACGGGCGGTAGCGGTTCCAGTCGCACAGCAAGCACTCGAGGCCGCCGTGGGCGACAAAGTCTAGCACAAGCGGGCGCGGCTGGCGCAAGTCCCACGTCTGCAAGCGCGACGACCCCGAGCAGCTGAGAATGGTTTGCGGCGAGTGCGGCGAGAAGTGCGCGGCGTACACGCAGTTGGCGGTGTCGACGCCCGGCTTCGCGCCCGCCGCCAAGGGCGGAGCCACTTTGGTGCTGGCGTCTTCGCTGGCGCTCAACGTAAGCAACGACTCCTGCCGCGTGGGCGTCCACACCTTGATGGTGCCGTCCCACGACAGCGTGACAAACTTGCCCTTGTCGACGCCGCCCCAGCTGACGGAAAACACCTCGCGCGTGTGCTCCTTGTAGTTGCGCACGGGGAAACGGCCGGCGCCGAGGTCGAAGAGCTTGACCAGGCCGTCGCCGGCCGCCACGGCCACCTGGTTTTCGTGGGTCTCGCTCCAGGCCACGTCGAAAAGGCCGTCCTGCGTGTCGAACGCCGCCTCCTGGTGGATCTGGCCCGCGTTGTCGATGGCTAGCACGTAGAGCCGGCCGTTTCCAACGAGCCCGTAGTTGGCTGCGGTCGCCACCGCCAACTTGTTGTCGAAAAATGGCGAGTACCGCACGCCGTAGCCGTTGTAGCCTGTGGTTCGGAACGAGAGCATCTGACTAATGAATGTTTGTATTCCTTATTGCGCTTGGTCCGTATTCCGCTTGGATTGTCCGTATTCCGTATTCCTCTTGGATTGTCCGCTTCTCCGCTTGGATTGTCCGCTTGGATGCGCTGTCTAGATGGTGTTCAGTCGGCAATCGAAGAAGCGCTTTTGTCTGTCGCATTTTCTCGTGTGGAGGCACATTTTGTGGCTTCGGCGATAAGGCATACAACTGGGCCAGTGGGCATTTTTCTGTTTCCAAACTATTGTACTTCTTTTCATTATTTGTTTCTTTTCTCCTTCGAACTCTTGATACATATTCTTTTTACGTTTTCCTGAAGTTTCTTTTCATGCCTTGTTATCTCTCTCTTTCCTTCGATGGCTCAGCTTGCGAACACTATTGTTTCTTATCGTGCGAATACAATGAAGAAAAGATAAGAACAGAAATGAGAGATCCATGGAGTTCGTATGAAGTTGTTCAAAGGGCATCTCTTCGTATTTACGCCAAAACAACATCTAGTAGTCTTTCCAAAAACTGTGATTCGGCTTGACAAACGGCCACTGTCTTTTCTCAAACGTTTGGGTCTCTATATTAGCATTGTAATACATCCTTCAACGAAATTACCGGTGAAGAAAACATCTTTAGATAATGAGGGTTGAGACTTATTAGCTTCTCGGCATCATTCTTGGCTGATTCATGTTACGTAGAATACTCTCGTTGAGGGTAATTTTATGAATCTTAAGCTTAAGGTACGTAGACACATAAAGAAGCGATTAATATGGCATAGTGTAGCTTACAATCGATTTCAACTTATCAGCAGAATCGATAGATCCTGTGATATTTCGAAAGCTTAGAAACATAATAGCATCCAAGTAAATCTTCTAGTTATCATCCATGTATCATGGCCACAATAGAATTTTCACTGACATTTCTTTGTTTGTAAGTAGGCTACTTTCTACTACCTCGGCATAAAAGAGTGTATTACACTCCTCTATATCTCATGCACGAAATATAAGTGCTATAATATACTCTATTTAAACATCCAAAACCTGAGTGTCCAAAAACTTGATGACGTTGTGGTACTTTGGATCGATATCTGAAATGCTGAGAAGACCAAACGAAATGAAGTCACCAGCAATAAGCGCAGCCTTTTGCTGGGTGTACTTTAAGTAATCGAAATCATCATCTGTCGAAGTGATTGCTTCTTCTTCAATTGCATTCTCGCTGATGTTGACCGAGTCCAAGCCTGTGGTGATGCTATAAGTACTGTTAACACCTTGTTCTTCAGATCTCGAGCTCAAATCGTCAACATCACTTCTCTTTTCGTTAGGCCCATTCTGAATAAGCCCCCAAATCAGCCAGAAAATCTGTACTGTGGCTCGCCAGAAAATCACTTCATTGTAGAGCTTTTTGGCCTCGTACTCCATAATAGTCTTTTGATCACTGTTCGCATCAACAGGATTCTTGGTGATAAAGTTCGATGTCGGGAATTGAAAGTCGTACTCGATGTAAGACATGAGCAAGTTCATCTGTTCCTTTAACGACGGATATTTGTCATCATGAATGAAGTACGGCTTGTCTGCGTCGTGGTAATCAGACATCCATTCAGAGAAATGGTCTGCAATGTCGTACGCAGCAAAGTTGACACCAGAGTATTCAAAGTCAATCACAGCCAAGTCCCTGTCCCTTTTGTTACTCGTGCTGAGGTTATTTGCTTCTCCTTGAACCACATCCATGGGTTCAAAAGAACTTCTCAATAACAAATTTCCGTACTGAGTATCATTATGGCAAAAGCGGTAGTTCTCATACAACTTGTTCGTGTCGTATTTGGCAAAGAGCCATTCTCTGTATGAGAAGACCACTTCTTTGAACTTTGCCCATGGCATTAACAAAGCATCTTCCACGTCTTTCGGATCGTAGGAAGGCAAGATTTGAGTCTCCAATAAACGCATCCACTTCATGATTTGGATCCATGCAACAGGGAACTCTAATTGGCGGTCCTGTTCATCCAAATCGATTTTATAGTGGAGATCTTTCATTCTACGGCCCAACATTTGGGAAATCACAGGATTACGGATTTCATCTTTACCCATGGTGATAAAACCTTCCAAGAACTGCTCAAAGCGGCCGTTCTCAAAGATCCCCAAGAGCTTAGGACCGATTTTCTTGGCCGAAAGCTTGATGAGAATCTGCAACTCCGAGTCTCGATCAATAATCGAGTCGACGTTTTTGCCATACACTCGCAAAAGCAACGCAGGAAGCGACAATTGCTGCGATACATCCTTATACTCAATCTTATAAATGGAATTCGTGAGAGCGCCCGAGATTCTAGTCACCAGCATATTGCTCACCGTCAACTGGCGTTTGTGCCATTTGCTGATTCTCAACGCCTTGATGAGTCCAATAAGTTCCTGCTTGAAGAAATCCAACGGCAAAGAGTTATCAAGAACAACATTGATGCTCGGCACAGTCCGCTCCTGCAACAAGTCAATGGCGGTTGGCGTAATCACCAATCGGTTTAAGGAAGCAGAAGATAAAGAGCGGCGAGATCCGCTCAAAGAGGGTCTTCGGCTGGCCGAAGTTGATCTCGAGTTTGCGGTCGAGTTTCTCGTTCTGGAGCTGGATCTGGAACGGTGTCTGGATCCGTGGGCTGGGGTGATGTCCATTTTTTGGCTGTTTGGAAAGATATGGAAAACGCTCGTTTTCACATGCGATTAAGAACTGGTCTCGCGATAGTAGCGGCGGTACGGGTTTCTGCCTTGTTGGGGTAATCCGGAGATACAAGAAAGAAGCAAAGGAAGAAAGAAAAGAGAAAGTCAAAAACAAAGTCAAACAAATGGAATATGTCAATAGGAACAAAACGAAGAACGTCAAACAAAAGGGAAAGTCAACGAATGCGGTTGGTAAGAGATGAGATTGGCTACTTGTGAGATTGTTACTGTTTGCGGTTTCTCGATTTGTTCCACTTTGAAACAACTACATCTACTAATGGCGAAAGAATTGACAATGTAACCGAAAAATCACACAAACACAATGCTGGCCCAGTTTCTTAGCAAGGCCAACTGAGACAGCCTAACGGCATATTGCTATGTGCACTCCTCTCGAGACGATGCTAGTTCCTACACATTCTACACGATGGAAAAAAACCGATCCCAGCCAAATCAGGTATTTTTGTGTGAAAATGACATTTACTCAATTCGCCGCAGCTGCGGGCTGTATTGGATCTGCAGTGACTTTCCAGCTTTATCAAGGCAAAGTTGTCGAGCTCAAAACCTCACAAGAGGCAGCAGAAGAGAGAATCAAGGTGCTTGAAGCGCAGATCAAGGAAAAGACTGAGACTTTGGATGATCTCGCCCTGAAGTTCAAAAAGTCAAGTGCTGACTTGAGCGATTGGGGGCTGAAAGGGTCGGCCTTGGCTCTGGAAATCTCCAAGTTGAAGGAAGTTAATGCCAATTTGCAGTCTCAGATCAAGACTGTGACAGATGAAAAGGACACCTTGTCCTCCAAATCTGTCGCCGCGGAAAAGTCTGTAGCATCGTTGGAAAAGCAGCTCGAAGAGGCGAAGGAGCAAGTTCAAGAGGCTGAGAAAAACTACACTTTCAAACTCAACTCTCAAACGGCAAATATTATTGCGGAGAGAGACCTCAAGATTTCGGAGGCGGAAAATGCGTTGGACAAGGCAAACAAAACATGCGACGAGCTTTCCTTGCAAGTCGAAAACTTGAACTCCAAAGTGAGCGACTTAGAAAAGGCTTGTCAAGAAGCTACTGTTGAGAAGGAAAAGTTGGAGAAAGCTTTGGAAGATATTGCGGCAGAAAAAGATTTGTTGGAGAGATCGGGAGAAGAGGCAAGACGTGAATGCGACGAGTTGAAGTCTAAGTTGGACGAGAAAGATGCTTCGCTTGCCGACTCTCTTGCCAAAAGCGAAAAGGCCGAGGCTGAAATGAAAGCTCTTGCCGAGAACCACGATGCATTGACTACAGAACACGCACAAGAAAAGGCAAAGGTCCAAACTTTGGAATCTACCATTGAGGAGAAGACCAAATTGGTGGAGAATCTTGAGAGCGACTTGAGCAGCGCCAAACAAGAAGTGGCTTCTTTAAAGGAACAACAGGAAAGACAAGTTAAGGAGCTGAGTGCTGAATGTGAAAAGTTGCGTGAGCAGCTCGAAGAGATCCAGGAGGGCCACGCGCAACTCAAAAACGAAAATGTTGGTTTGAAGGAATCTCTTGGAAAGGCAGAGACTCAATACGAGTCAGAGAAACAAGAACAGGAAGAAAAGATTAAGACATTGGAGAAAGAACAGGAAGACAAGATTAATTCATTGGAGAAGGAACATGAAGACAAAATCAAGTCATTGGAGAAGGAACATGAGGAAAAAATCAAGCTACTTGAGGTAAAGAAGCAAGAACAAGAAGAACAGATTAAGGTACTTGAGCAATCGGTTGAAGATAAGGTTCAGTCTGTCCGTGAGGAGTACTCTAATCAAGTTGCAGAACTCAAGAAAGCTTCTGCTGCATTAGAGGAAGAGAAGAGTCATTTTGAGAAGCAATTGGCGGAGCAAAAGAGCACCGTTGCACAATTGAACGGAGAAAAGAAGGATGCTGAGCAAAAGTTTGCAGAGCAACAAGCTAAGCTTGACCAATTATCTGAGCAGAAGAAGATTCTTGAACAAGAAACAGAGAAGCTTCGCCAAGAGGGCCACGAGACTGCGTCGCAAATTAAGCGTTTGCAAGAAGAGTTATCGTTGGCGCAAGAAGAAAAGAAGAAACAAAACGAGGAGCTTCAGCAAGAGATGGATGAGTACAAGCAAAAAGCAGGCGAGGCCGAGAAAAAAGCAGGTGAGGCCGAGCAAAAATTAGAGCAGACTGCTAAAGAACTTGACGAGGCAAACCACAAGCTCAGCCAAAAGGTGGCGGACATTGAAAAAAGCAGCGAGTACCAGAGCCAGCTCGAAGCGAGACAAGAAGAGTTGGAGCAGGAGGTGGCCAAGGTGAAAGCGGAAAGAGACGAGATGCGGGGCCAGATGGAGAAAACAACGGCCGCCGAGGCGGAAAACGGCGAGTTACGGGAGAAATTGCAAGCGGTGGAAGCGGAAAACGAAAGCTTGACAAAGAAGGTTCAAAGTCAAGAAGCAGAGATGGAAGGTAAAAATAGCACCATTGCGGAACTTTCCCACAAGATGGAACAAGGCGCGGTGCAGGACGGGCCTTCCAATCCAGGCCCGGAGATTGTGCAAGCCAAAGACGACCGGATCCGTGAACTTGAAGAGAATGAGGCCAAGCTCAACAAAAGCATTGACACTCTCCGCAATGTGATTGATGCGCTCAAGGCCAGAAGTGGATAGTCTAATAGCATAAGATGAGAAAGGACGTAGAAGGCAGAGAGATGCATAGAGAAACAAAGAACAAAGAACAGAACAAGATAAGAACAAGATACAGACTAGATACAGACTAGATACAGACTAGATACAAGATAAAAAGATAAAAAGATGAAGAGATAAAAGATACAAAGATACAAAGAAACAAGATAGATACAAGATAGAACAAGATAGAACAAGATAGATACAAGATACAAGAGAGAGGATACAAATAGATACACTGATAGATAGCAGGTACAGAACAGAATGGAGGATATCAGACCGTGCAGTCAAGAAAATAAGTAGAAAATAAAGTGGCCAAGTCAGGCGGAGGCGAAGGTTCTGCACCACAGGCAAAGCAGAGCAACATATTGCGCTCTCACTTGGGCAAGTGACATTCTCTTTTGAGGCGCGCAGAAGTTTCTCCGGCTAAAACGGGCCGGCCAGACACAGCCCTCTGAAGAAACCAGTTGGGAACCAAAGGCACAGCTGAATGGGAAAGAGAAACCACCAAACCAGACCCGTGGCCGCATGCTCCACAACCTTTGCGCCATTGCCCGAAACTACGAGAATTCCATGTTCTGTGGATCTGGCATGGGAAATTGCTCTGTATTGTTCGAGCACATTCTGCAGGAGCAGGATGCACACTTTGGTGCCCTGACATATGGGACCCGTCCGACGGGAGATATTTATCTCTTTGCTAGGACTGTCGACTTCTTTCTGGATCTACTTTTCGGACCGCTGTTCCCGCACGACTGAACCTGCCCGTTTCCCCTTCCGTTTGTGGACTGCCGCCTTTGCCGTTGCTGTTTCTTTGTTCCCACTGGAGCCTCTCACAAGAAACCTACTACACCATCACCAACCACCCTACTTTTGGCCAGCCCCAACGTCCATAGCCGCCAATCCAAGCGCCACAACCCACACACCCCCGTTGCCCCACCCCGTCTTTCCTCTCTCGTTTCTCCTGCCCATGACGGCGTAAGCACATGGCCAAACTCCGCTCCCTCGCGCGCAAATCGCTTTCCGACTCGTGTGTTTCTCTGGCGTCCGAAACCACCGCCACGGGCTCGGTGCTGCAAAAGAAACCGGCCATGCGTGACCAGCCGCGTGACGGCGGCTCTGTGCCGCTCGAACGCCCGTCCACGCCGCAGCCCACGTGGGACGACCGCCTCATCAAGCAGAAACTCAAGCAGCTCAAGAAGTTGGAGTTGGCCTTGGGCAAGTTTGCAGCCAAGCACACAGGCCTCACCAAGGCCAACGTGTTGCGCACGTCGCTCCTCCCGTTTCTTCGCCTGCTGCCCGACCTCGCCCACTTTTTTCCTCGCGACGCCAAGATCTACGCCAGTTTCGCCAGCATCACCACCGCCATCTTGGGCGAGTGGTGGCGCCTGCTCTTGGCCGCGCTTGTTGCCCAGGGCTCCCAGGTGTCGGCGTCTGACCGCAGCGCCTACTTGGAGTGTATTCTGCGCATCTTGGCACGGCCCGAATGGCTTTCATGTGACGCCGATGCCCTTGAAACATATCGCTTAGGCTTGGTCGACACCTTGGACTTCTGTATTGCTAAGCTCCAGACAATGAAAGTCGTTCCCATCTTCATGAGCGCTTTTGTTGGCAAAGTGTTCGCATACGCTTTTTTCTATCTCCCAGAAGTGTGCAATGCCTTGCTTTTTCTTTTGAACGTGAAACAGGCAACCGTCGATGCTTTGGTGGCAGACTTGGCTTCTCCTCTGGCGCCTGACATTGCCAAGGCCAAAGCTGCGTTCCCTCTGGCCACAGTCCATTTGGTCAACTATAGAGGGCTAGTGTCGCTTGAAAAAGCAAAGCGCAACGCTATCAACTCCATCCCGCCTCCAAAGCACCCAGTCAAAGGCATCAGAGACCCGGGCGGTGCCTGGGTTCGCCGCTGGTGCAACAGCGACAGCGACATTTTCATCTCCTTCTTTCGCCATTACGTTACCATCGTTAATACCTGTATGGCGGGTCAGGATATCCCACTTTCGCTTTTCCCTGGATTTAACATAGTGGCTAGCCATGTGTTCCAGGTGTTTCGAGTTTCCATCAACCGCATTCTGACCAACATCAACAAACCAGGCACCTTGGCTACTGATGGCAAGAAAACTCTGTCTCAGAAAAACACAGACGACCGGTCGGTGCCCGTGCCAGGATTCCCATATAAAACAAATGACTCCAACTACACCAGCATAATCAAATTATTCAAGATCAGCCGTGATATTGATTACTCGTCCATCTCCTTTTCGGCCAGCTTGAATGCATACTTTGACTCGCTTCTAGCCAAGATAGCGCGGTCAATAAGCATTTTCGATTTCAACAAGAACGGTCTTTTGCTCAATCTTGTCTACGAGTTCTCGAACCATGTCATTGATACATCTAATATCAACTGGGAATTCTGGCTTGGTTGCTCTTATATGATGCTTTCTTCGACGCACCACGTTCAAGTGATTTCTCGAAACTTTGCTTTCTTGTTTAATGTGTGGGACAGAATCCCGAATGCGTTCTCCAACTGTGAATCCCCAGAATGTATTGCTCACCTAAAAGGTTGGTTGTTGAACCAGGATTTGAGTTACAAGCTGAACTTTTCCAATTGGCTCACTAGCACTGACTCTTGGCTTGAGTTTTTCACTCATTGGAGTCCTATCGTTCGCTCGCATTACTTTAGACTTTTAGTATGGCGAGTCATTGGCATTAACAACTATGAAAACTCTTATACACTTCAAACAACGAAAAGAGTGAAAGCAAAAGTCAACTTCATATATGATGGTATTCAAAGGATTGTCACGTCTCAGGACTCTTCTTCACCATTGGCAAATCTAGATTTTTCTGCGTGTCTGCCTATGACCAATCGGAAGTTCGGGACCATCCCAATGAACTCGAAAATCTCTTACATGGAGGATATTGTGGCACTCAATGCTTCTGCGATTCCTAAAGCAAGTGATTTACGTAAAACTCATCCTTATGAGATTTTTGATGAAGCAATTTACACCTGTACGTCTTTACCCAGCTCGCCTGCTCAGTACACAAATGGTGGAGCTGCAAGCCCGCTCTCGCCCAATAGCCCAAGAAATCACTCATTAATTGGTCTGTTGAGCAAAATCTTCAAGTTGCTCTCGACCGACGATAGTCTAGATAATAGTGCATTTGCCATGACTCCGCCAAACAAAATACATAGTGAGCGGAAGGAAAACACTCCTGTGTTGAAAAACAAAAGGAATTCCAAGTCACTAAGCTCCTTGGCTTCTGCATTCTCGGCAAAATCTAGGGGATCAGCGCCCAGCTTCATGTCATTCAAATCAACACCCAATTCCATCAATGATCTATCAACTGAATCATCCACAACGTCTGATTCGGATTCCTCCAGTTTACTCTCGGATTGTTTAGGCAGTTCGATCTCTTCCACACAGTCGCCCCCGTCTTCCGTCGACCATCAGCCGCCCGAGCTTTTTAAAGTGCCGCCTGAGATTTCCCGGCCTCTTTTCAAATTTGATATTGTGATTGATCACGAGACTACCTCTGAGAAGTACCAAATGATGCAAACGGCAAATTCGAGTCAATATTCCAGCCGGTTCTTCCCTGTAAAGAACCAAGAGAACCTTTCACTGTTGACGATGCCACGAGAACCAAAGGTACCGTCTGTATCCATTTATTTGAATTCTGACCTGTACAACAAGTTTTACATCACTAACGAGAACTTCAGCATGGACGACGATATGCTTTGTGAGGAAGATGTTGAGGATTTACAGAGGTTCACAAAAGAGTTTCTTAAAAACATGAGGTCTCCTAGCAGACTTGTTTCTCTAGGCAAGGCGTTGAATGAATGGAACGATGCAGTGGATGAATTTGAATATTACTTGTTCCACAAGGTCGAAGCAGATCAGGCTAGCTACTTACCATCCGAGGATGAGGAAGCGTCCGTTTTGGTGGACGAGCAATCATATTTTCTGCGGATCATTCCCTTCTTACCGATCGATAATCTTACGGAGGTCAAGCTTCTCAATGCTGCATGACATCTGTACAAACTAATACTTGTCATATACTATTACATCTTTCATTATTATTACATACTCATATTGGTTATACGTACTCATGGTAGTGATATATAAGGAACGGGATCGTCTCAAAGTCTCGAAGTGCTTAGTGACCACTCAACTAAGTGATGAGTACTTTTTCCCATCACTTTTGGACTCAACTTATAGTAAGTATCTGGCTTTGGGCAGATTACGTCATAAAAAAGTTGCTACTGAAGTTCCTTAGATGCACTAGTGAAGAATAACTTTATTCCTTAAAACTGCAAAAAAAGATGAAAATACTAAGAAAAGGAGGAAATGCCTCGGCCAAAACGAAACTCGGTTCAAAAAAATAAAAAAAAAAAAAACTATCTTCCTAGCTTCTGTCAACAAGAAGCATTATATTTTCGGGAACGATTCCTCCTCACATCATCAACAACGCTCCAACAAAGAAAGCCATAACACCGCCAGCAACAAATGTATCGTCTGCAGACGCCTTGCTGCTTGAACTTGGTTCCAGAGCACTGGTGGTGGCAGTTTGGGCTTCGGTATCAACAGAAACAGTAACATCCGAATTGGATCTCTTGCCGGTGTACATGGCATAGTCTGGATGTTTCAGCATCATTGTATAGTAATATGTGACATACTGGTTACTGGAGGTGGAGTCCGATTCCGAGTAGGTGTAAAAGACGGCTGTAGTGGCCAGTGGAATGCCCGAGACTATCTCTTGGATGGTTTCTTGCTTCTCTTCTGCTGCGGCTTGGCCAAGAGCAACATCGCCAGAATCGTAGTCAACCACTACATAACGGCCCTTCATGAAAATGTCTCCGAGCTGCATGGTTGTGATTGCCGGAGCCACATTGAGGACACAGCCTGGGTAAGAAGAATCAGGGGGAGAAATAAAGCTTTTTTCAGGAATTGGAAACTCCACTCCGCTGAAGTAAAAGGAAATATAATCTGTCAGCTGCAAGTACAGGCATGGCACCAGAACCAAATTGCGTCCTTGCGTGCCATTGAAGTGGTCTGTCAACGCATCGATATAGCTCTGCAGTAAATACGTGGGTCCATAGGAGAGGAGTGCTATGGACTGATTGGAATACAGGAAGTTAAAGCCTGCTATGCCGTCCAAAAGGAGTCCTGGGTTGATGTAGTCCAGTTTTGCAATGGGTGTGTCGTGAAGCAATTTGAATTTGTAGAGCGATCCATCATATGCACCGTGGTCGATAGCGCCAAAGAGGACCTGGGGTGCAGAATCGAAATAGGAAAGCGAAAATGCCTTGCTCTTGATGTAGCCAGACTCTTGCATCAATGACACAATGGAAAAGTTCTTGTTCGGACAATCATCCAGGTACCCTACGGGCCCTGGAAGAGCGAGGCCTAAGCGGAAACCATCGATATCAGATAAGACAAAGGGGTAGTCGTCGACTTCGAAGCCCCCAATGGAAATACGGTCGATGCCTATCTTTTTGGGTATGTAAAGGTCTTCTCCATTGAAGGGACATTGAGAAGTTTCCGAAAAAGCCTCCAGATCCAGAAGATTGAAAACCAGGCCTGAGCTACTCAAAGAGGGAGAAACATACAGTCTTGCTGCGTCTAGACGGATCTGGAAGGGAATTTCCGTAAGCGGAGATCCAATAGAAATGTTGTGGATGGGAGAAAGTTTTGCACCCAGACTGTTAGTAATGCCAATGTCCAACTGAGCGGCAACGCTTGCGACCAAGAAAAACAAAGAAGGTTTCATGAGCTTTCAAAGTAGGAATTCAGTTCCTACGGCCTGTTTTAAATTGTTTTGGACGATACAGAAAGCTAAGGGATGCAATAGATAACTCGGTGGAGTCATGCACAGCGGCTCTTCTGGTGTCACTGCTCGTAATTTATATTTGCCAAGACAAGTGCAAATGATTCCAGATATGACATGTTGAAGGGAGTTTGACCGATCAGAATGTACTCAATTGATGATTGCGTCTAAGCTTCTTTGTATTTGCACTTTTTTTTACTTTTTGGACGAGAGTATTAGTGCGGCTTGTTCAACCAAAGAAAAGGGTCTCAGGCAAAACGGTCTAAAAAAGAAACACTTCAGGCAGAAGAACAGTCTCTGACTTATTGCTTAAGCAGAGAAAGCGGCTATTTTTGGTCGTGTTCGCTGTTGAGAGATTTTTACTTCAATGCATGTGTCGCCAGTTAGATAACACCGCATACAGTAATCTGCGGAACATCAGAAAGCGAGTAGAAAACCACGAATGCCTTCAACATTCTTGCAGGGCAGGGTGTCAGGCAGGAATACCTTTAGGTAACAGAAAAGAAAAGATAAAAAAAGAAGATAAAAAAACAAGATACAAAAGAAGTTGCACTTGTAAAAGTTTCTCGATTGAAATCGCCCCCATGGAATTCCTGTAGCTTGTACTGAGGGGTCGAAAACGCCGATCCAAAATACGAAGTCTCTCCAAATTGGTTATGCATAGACGGGATGCATTGATAGGAGCGTCATAAGGATTCTCCCATCCTATGGGCTTCGTCTTTTATTGAAGGCTCGGTGGTATGACTGCGTACCCGTAATATATTTCAATCCAACTACCAGTTAAAGAGAGTAAGTAAATATGATAGAAGCGTTACAGGAAATGCTCTATGAAAAGCACTGGGAGTTTTGTCACCGAAGTTTTGTCACTGCCATTAGTAGAATCGGTACTTGCAGGATTTGGCCCTTTTGTTTTAGTGGCGTAATTTCCCGTGACCCAAGCAAGTGCTATTTCTTCTCTGTTCAGTACATGTTCGGTAAAAGAAACCGCTAGTACAATTTGGGCCGTACCAGCTGAACCTTGATTGCAAAGCTTCAATCTTCCTTGCTTGTTCATTCATGATGGTAGACACTAAGCGATTGGACTGCAGCGTCTCCTTTCCAATAATTGCAGTGTTAGATGCATGTTCACGTCTTGAATGTCACAGCAGATAGTCGTAGACGGACGCTCAAACTTCAACGATGGGATATGAAAAACTTCCAAGTAGATACAAAAAGCCATTTTAAGCGAGACACCTCTCCAGGCATACGAGGGGGATTCGTTTTCCAATTATTCAGTCTATTGCACGGTACTTGATTAAAACGACTGCTCCAGTTTGATCATTTTTGTGTCGACTACTTCCTCCTTGGGTGTACTGAGGTAACTCAGAAACACTAATGCCGTGATGACACAGGTAAGCGAACACGCAAGCCAAAAACCGAAAACACCAATGAAAAAGCTCGTGAAATAAAACTCGACGAGGTAGTAACGGAGCCCGCTCCATTTCACCACAAAATCAATCGAGGTATTCTTCGAGTCTATGAGAAGAACGTTGTACTTGTCCAATTGCACGGTCAGATTAGACGCTGACAAAATCGATAGAAGCTGGGAACCAGACATGTCCACGAGAGGGATTTCCTTCTTGACAAACTTGAAGATATCCACGAAAAGTGGCGGAACCCAATACCGCAAATGGTACGGGATCCACCAGTTTTTCTCCACATAGATGTACCGCAGATCACAGTTCACAATCACGTCGTCGGCAAAGGTCTGGTTGCCAAAGTTGAATTGGTACTCAATCAACTGGAACGATTTCTCCAAGCGGCACACGGCATTGAGGTTTAACCGAACCAGAAAAAGAAGATCCTGGTTCGCTTTTAGATATGGAATTGCCGGCAGAGGATCGATTGAAGCAGTTTTCCAGCCGTCTGTATTTTGAAGTAGTTTGGTAGGCGTTTGCATTCTTTCGGTGGGGACCAACATCTTGTAAAAGTTCAAGTAGGTGACTACAGAAACAGGAAGAAGAAACAAGAAAATGGCCAGGGCAAGAATTGCCAAGTAGACCACTTGTCGTGAAATTGCCAATGGCAACTGGATCACAATAGTAGACTTCATGGAATCTTGGAATATCTTGGACTTGTTTCTCTTTTCAGTTTCGTGCGTGTTTGATTCTTCGCGCCTACATGGGTGTCTTCATACAGTTCCTTATCTAGATAATGTATAGTTGCTCCACTGTCGAATGCAAATATGCCAGTCTGTAACAAATGGGACCTGGGCAACAGTGGAACGGGACCTGATCCGTGATAAAAATAAAGTCAGTAATAATGCAAGTGGAAGAATCGGACAACCTCCTTCCAGGTTGCCGGTTATCGCAGCTAAATCGATAATGGGAAGTCAGTAAAGCTGCAGCGGTCTGACCCAGCAGGCAAGCATCTGGGGCCATGACTGGTCAACATGGACGCAGCTAGTGATCGGGTGTGCGGGTTAGAGACATTAGAGTGAGGAAAAACCGTAAACAAAACAAGAGGCACCCGAAACAAAAAAAACAAGTAGTAACCCAAAAAGCAGTTGTCTCACACCCGGGTCACAGATCAAATAGTTCTCAAGGCATCCATGTCTCGAAAATTAGCACATGACGCAGACTTCAATCACCGTAGCTTCAAATGATGTAGCAATGAAAAGCAAGACGTGCCACAGCTCCGTTTCCCATAAATGTCAAAGTATTAATGGACGCAAACACCTTCCGAAGTCTTGAGACAGACATCAATGAATCTCGTCGCCATGACCAAATAAACCTTTCTCTAGTGGGTCGTGTGGCCACGGTGGTACTTCAAGCCGTTCAAGTTCTTGTAACGCTTGCCGCACACCTCACAACGGTATGGCTTATCCTTCTCCATGCCTGCGCCGTCGAGGTAGGGCGTGTTGGACTCGGGATCAATAATCGAAAATGTGCCGTCGTCATTCTCCTTGAGGGTCTGGTTCTGGTGGCCGTGCAAACGGTGGTACTTCAATCCATTCTGGTTCTTGTATGTCTTCTCGCACCCAATCACCGGACACTTGAATGGCTTGTACTCCTCGTTTTCCATGACGTAGAGATGGCGGGCCGGGTCGTCAATGTACATGGCATCGTCGTCGCGGGCCTGCGGCGTTGGTTTGCGCTGCTGCTGGCTTGGGCCAGGCGACGCCGGGCTCTGTACTGGCCCGTCGACATGACCCAAGGCCAGCGCCGGCAGAATGGTGCCGAGAGCGCCCTGGTGGATGGTTTGCTGCTGGAGATGGAAAGGGGGCACGTGCAACAGTCCTTGCGGGGGCGGCTGGCCGTGGTTGTTGAGGAAAACGTCGTTGGTGGAAACGGTCTCCAATACATTGTGGGCCGAGTTCAAGGCCGCTCTCTGCCGCTGTGCCGCAAGCATGTGGGCGGCAGGCTCGTGCGGCGGCGAGCTGGCAATGTGCGCTTCCTCATAGTGCCGAAGCAAGTCGTGCAACGTGGGGAGAAGCTGGCCGCAGCACAGGTAGTCCTTGCAGTAGTCGGCCTCTAAGTTGGGGAGGTAGCTGGTGGTGTTGGGCGGCGAGGCCGGGTGGCTCGGGGCCAGAAACCGCACCAGGCCGCGGCGTGGGTTGATGATGTTATACTGCGAAGGGTGGTTCTGGCCAAACATCATCACCTCGTCCTTGAGCCACAGGCCGATGGTGACGGAGCCCCACAGCACGCCGCCCATGCCCTGGGAGTGGGCTATGGACTCGCGCCGGAACCGCTGGTTGTTGAAGATCGACGGCTGTCGCTGCTGGTATGTGATGTCGATGGGTTGCGGCGGCGCAAGAAGATCCGGCTGCTCCTGTGCGCCCTGGCCGTCAAAGATGGTGGTGTTGAACATGGCCACGATTTTTCGGGAGGCGATAGAAAGGGGACGATTAGTGGTGGCTGAAAGATCTGGCTAGTAGATGGGCCGGTGGCGTGGGCTTGTGGCGTAGGCTTGTGGTGTAGTGGTGTGAGCACAAGACTTCCCAACTCGTTTGCTAAGTCTGCTTAGTAAGGTGCCGCTTTTTGTGGACGGCCGCAAAGTCGCTGGTGGCGTCGAGACTTTGAATGGACTTGGTGTGCCTAGGCAATATCACAGTGCCGCTGGCTAAAGTGGTTGCGTTAACGCTTGCGCTGATTGGTGAGAAAGTGGGAAACCAAAGATGCAACACTGGCTCTGAAGTGATGGAGGGGATGGAAGCCGGTGTGGAAAGAACAACTAAAGCTACGCCGAGAGGGAAATACGCCGACTTGTTCGGATACCTGAGAGCGAGCTAAGGTGGCCTAAGTTCGGGAGGCCATTTTCACATTTACACGGGCCGGTTTCTTTTTCGTTGGGCCGCGCACGCCCCCACGTCAAGGATGTGCGGGCCTGCTGCATGGTGCACGGGTGCGGAATTCCACTCCTTTGCCCATTTGGGGCTTTGGCAATTGGCGCCTTCAGCGGACTTGGCCGAGGCTCTTCATGACGGCATTAATTGGCGGAAGCCTTTTCTGCGGTGTTGGTGCACGGTCGTATCGAGACGTAAAAGGGGCGCCGGGGAAGCCCCCGAGTCACGTGACTCGAAAATAAGCGTTTGTGCGTTCTTCTTTCCGGTGCCCAAATTGAGCAAGTAAGCGTTCCGTCTGCGGCACATCCTACTTTGTTGTCCTTGCTGCTTTCGCTTCGTCTACAGAAAAGTGTCCTTTCTGGCTCAGGGGCTCCGTTCCAAGCAAATGTCGCTCGAATGTCGCCCGCGCAGATCTTGTTCCTGCAGGCCGGCTTGTGCCCTGCACCCATGTGCAGGAGCTGCCGCTTGCTCGTCGTATAGGCAGTCCATGCCATAGCTAAAGCGATGAAGGCAGTTTCCGGGCTCCTAATACTCGCAGCATAAGGCAGAAGCAAATGCCTTGTAATCGATTGTAATTGAAGGCAGCACGACTCGACGGTGGCCTGTGATTTCCACCATACGTCATAACGATTGTTTTGACTGTTTGGTCTTGCGTCCTGTAATCTGTTGGTGAGCCTACATGCATCTTCATGTTACATCTTGCGACATTGGCACATAAGAATAATTATACGAAGAACACATTACTAGATTACTGGAAGAAGAACATTACTAGATTACATGGACGAAGAACATTAGTAGAAGAACATTACTAGATTACATAGTAGAAGAACATTAGTAGAAGATACATTGATAGATCACATACTAAATCACACTAGATCACATTACTACATCACATACTAGATCACATTAAGACCGCATAACTGGAATATCACATTAAGACCAATTACTAGAGCTATCATGTATCTTCATCACATACTCCCATTGTATCTCCGCTATCACATTATCCCATTGTATCTCCACTGTCCATCTATTTGCATGTTCATTCAACGGTGATCTCGTGATGGGAAATTCGCATCTCTATCCCAGCCACACTGTTCGGTTCATACACTCCGGTAGGAGACCGTTTTTCTCAGTAATAGTCGATGTACATACATCTCTGTGCTATCGAGATTTTCGATCTCGGAGAATGAGATTAACAGAATCACTGTTCTGATTAGAATAGGTTCTACCATAATTACAGTAGGAGAGGCAAATAGCACATAATGCCAGAGTCGATAATAATTACTGTCGCAAGAAGTGAGCACACTAAAATCCACAAAATCCGCAAATCCACAAAATCCGCAAATCCACGAAAACCACGAAACCCACAAAATCCACGAAATCCACAAATCCACAGTACATTGAATCCACCAGGTAAATTCGCTGTACATTCCACTGCTTGACCTTCATCAATACCGGACACGAATCTCGATCACTAACACTAAATCCATGTTCATCAAACCACTATGCGTTAACATTGCTTTATTGACTCAAATTCTTGCCTCAACATTTGGTCGTCTTCCGTCATGTTTCCGTTGTTTTGGGCCGAAATGTGAAAAATGCCCTTTTCGGTATAAGAGCATATTGCTCGCTATGAATCACCGCCTGCATATGGGCCGTTTGGCCCGATCTCCGGGTTTGTATGTGTCCATTTTGCACCCAATTACACACTTTTAACCCGCCGAGCCCGGTGCTCTTTCTTGGTTTATAAACATCTTCATGTTTTTCCGTTCTTTCATCCGCAGTTTCTAAAATGGACATCTTGGGTCCGGATGTCATCCAACACCTAGCCCAGTGGCTTCCTCAGCAAGACCTTCTTCACTTGGCTCTCACAAACAAATCTTTCTACGGCTTGCTCCACCCCAAAATCTATGAGGTGGTGGTAGTAGACTCTTCCAGAACACAGTTTGACGACATTTTCTCGGACTCCTGTCATGAATGGTTTGTCTACCACGAATATCCATGTGAACCCACAGTTATCAGGACTCTTTACTCCATCACTCGTTTCTTCAAGAACTTGATTGAAAACCCACATTATGCCAGGTATGTCACCCAGTTTGTCGTGGAGGAGAACTTTCCCGACGTGCCTGAGCTTGAGCTAAACCAATATCTTCTGCAAATACTCCCCCACATGTCCAATATCAACGTGTTTAGTTGGTCTTCCCTCCATTATCCCATCGAAGCTCAGCTAATGTCATTGTTCCCCAACCCTGATAGACTCCAAACCCTATGGGGAAATTTCCGTTTTTCGGAGAGTGGGTTTCCCTGTGCACAATTTGAACGTCTCCACAATTTGGGAATATCCAATTTCAAAAAGGACAAGGTGTTGGAATCCATAGACATGTCCCTGTTTGCTTCTATTAAAACGTTAACGATATCGAAAAAAACTACCGGTCGTCGGAAATCATTCACTTCACAGCTCGAGACTTGCTGTCAAAGTTCTTTAAGCAGTACGATCGAACCCCTTCTGTTTTCAGAAAGGCCCACTTTCATCTCATCGCTTTTCAACTCTCCTTTAATTGAAAAGCTCTGTTTAACATCTCTACACTTAAAAGATATTTCTCTTACACGCCAAGATGCAGATTCTTTGCGAGAGAATATCAACCTCCAGACATTAGAACATTTGTCCTTGGATAATTGCGTCGAATGTCTATTTGAAAACAGCTCGTCTTTTCCAAACATAAATCCTTCAAGAAGAAGACATCCACCATCAGAGTTGTTCCTTGAAGTTCTATCCCCAGATCTTGTATCTTTAAAACTGTTGAATCTCAACCTATCGAACGAGCTTTGCTTTAATAGGGTCACAGTCAGAACTATCTCTCAACTCCATGGCTTACAGAAGCTCAGCATTCACATCAAAGTTTTCAAAACAGACGAGCAGGTCAATTTGGCACCAATCGTGAATGCTCTTCAAACGCATGCTCAGTCGCTAGTATACTTGAATCTTTGTTGTGATATAGTGGAGTCTTCCGTGTCTGTTTGTCCCAAGAAAAACTTTCGCTACGCCTTGAAATTGGTAATTGGGCTTTCTGCGCTTACCAAGTTGCAAGTTTTGAAGTTGCCCATATCATATAATCAAATAGCTGACTTCCCAAAACTATTGTCATCTTTGGAGAATTTGAAAATTTTGCAACTAGGAATAGCGCATCTGGATTGTATTCCTTCGAAAGCTGCATGTTTTGGATGTGATGAGTACGTTCTTGGTTCCGTGAATTCACTTATTAGTGACGATTATTTCAAATGCTCAACATCATTCTCAACAAGAATGGAAGTGAATAAGAACCAGCAATACCTTCAGTTCTCCAAAATATTTAGATCAATGTTTGAGAACCTCAAGTTCCTTCGCTTCGATTTACGAAACGAATCTCTTCTTTACGACGTCTCCGATAAGATGGGCATCACAGCTCAAAATTCATCATTACAAAAGTTCGACATGATTGTTAAAATGATTGTCTAGGTTTGATTTTAATAAAAAATATCCTATAAATTCTTTTTCCTTCCCTCTTCCATTGCTGCTTTGTACTTTTCCAACGCTCTACTTCTGGTTTCTTTATGCGAAACAATAGGAGCGGTATAGTTTGCGCATAGAGGATCTGATGTTTCCTTATGAAGCATTTTGGGACTGACATCCACTAGCTCTGGCACCCATTTCTTGATGAATTCTCCATCAGGGTCAAATCTTTCGGATTGAGTCCAAGGATTGAAAATTCGAAAGTACGGTTGAGGGTCCACACCGGTGCTAGAAGCAAATCCCCAACCGCCGTTATTGGAACAAAAGTCACTGTCTATCAATTTCGAAAGAAAGTACTGCTCGCCATTTCTCCAGTCGATGAGTAAGTTCTTTGACAAGAAGCTGGCAACGATAAGTCGGCCCCTATTATTGAGATATCCAGTCTCATTCAAGCATCGCATGCACGCATCGACAATTGGAAAGCCAGTGTTTCCCAGACACCATCTTTCAAAATGATCCTCGTCGTACTCCCAACTTAAATCGTCGTACTCTAAATGAAAAGGTTTGAACATGCATACATAGGGCCAGTAGCATATAATGTGCTTGTAAAAATCCCTCCAAGAAATTTGCCTTATCCACTCAAACACTCCAGATGTCTTGAGCGTATGCAAGTTTTTCATCTTTTTGTTTTGTCTGAGTTCTTGCAAAATGGTTCTTGTCGAAATAGTACCGGAGGAAATGTGTACGCTCATGTTCGAGACGGACTCAAGATCAAGAAAGTCTCTCTCGTCTTTATACTTATTGATTTCATCAGATTCAATGTATTCTGCAAGCTGCTCAAGAGCCCCATCTTCGCCAATCATTTTCCAATATTTATGGAACCGTTCTTTATCCACATCCACGTCTGGTATCTCTAGATCTTGCTGTGATACCGAGAGCTGTTTTTCAAGCTTTATAGGAGAGTCATATTCGAAATGCTCTTTTGAAAACAATTCCTGGTCCACATAGGCCATCCAAGCTCTAAACCAAGGCGAGAAAACAGCATATTGTGTTCCTTTTGATTTTGTCTTCAATGCTCCAGGAAGGACCACGCAGCTATTATGACACGGAGTGAAGGATATCTTTTCTTCTAAAAACTTGGTCATTGCTGTAGTAGCCAACCTCAATTCGTCAACCTCGTACTCTAGGTTGGAAAACAAGTGTGACACACCATACTTCTGGAGCAACTGGAGCACTTGAGGAATAATATCGGCACGTCTTTCTGCTTTTACGATGATTAGGTTAATGTTGAGCTTTGCAAGCTTCTCTTGCAACTGGTGTAAACTCAAGAATCGATAGTATTTCTGGAAGTCTCCAACATTATGTGCAAGTTCCATCTCTGGACAATGGACCCAAAAGCAGAGCATGGGAATGCCGTTCTTCAAAGCAAGCTTGTTTGCGTGGGAAAGCCCATTGTTATCTCTGACTCTTAAGTCTCTCATGAACCAATGGGCCACGGCTTTGCCTGGCTTTATGGATTCTCTTTTTGTCCGAGTCTCATCGAATGTGTTCAAAAAAATGTTGTACGGTTTATGTTCATCGTTCTTGTACTTCGTCGAAGCATCTTGGGCTGTTAATTGCTGTGGATAGTACTGGTTTGCGAATTTGCGGAGATTCCCCAATTTTTGCTTCTTCATCCTGCCCTGGCTTTATTTGAAAGTTCCTTCGATTAAAAAGATTAAATGAGTATGCGATAGCAATCTGTGGAAAATGGTGACGTCATATGTTGGCTTTCCTTCGCCGCAAGAAAAGGTTGAAGACGCATTTTATTCCTGGGGAGTATACATGGAAAAGATCATTGGATAGGCAGTTTCATCTCGGTGGTTTGTGGGAATTTATCATAAGGCCAGAACCTTATTTCCACTATTTCTTAATCTGCACCATTGTGCACACCCGAAATGGGGCGTTTCCTTGAAAGTACAATAATTACTCCATTTAAGGAAACCGTCAATGGTAACAATTTATCACAAGCAGAATTTACTGGAATTGGACCGTGGTCAATTGTAAGCTCTTTTCTTTCTTGGAAGCATTCGTATTCCAGCAAGCAAGCTAACGCAACTAGACATGAAGGGAAAATCTTTCGAATCTTTTCTGAATGCTAAAGAACGGCTTGCAAAGTAGATTCCGTTTGTCCAGACTTTTTGCTTAGTTTAATGACGATTATGTACTTCATTATTTTATTGGAATGTTGGAATGGTGATTTTTTGGAAATTCGATTAAATGCGAAATGTGCCACTTTTCACCAAATTATGAGAACATCAGTTGAAAGTCTGCGCTACAAAACAGTACATGCTGCACGTCTTTCAGTACTTAAAAATTCAATTTGACTTAAATTCAACTGCACATCCTAAGTTTCAATTTACTGTCTCAAAGTTCTTTTTTTTGTCATTTGATTATCCTGGTACACCAGTAGATCTCAAATGATGTAGGCTCTAGTCTCACTGCGGAAATGAGAGTAATGAAAAAGGGTAACTGACCTTCTTTATATAGCAAAGACCAACACCACCAAGTTCAAACGTACGTGGGCCAATTACGACTGTGGTTGAGGATCTACTACTGAAAACTCAAAGGCTACGGCACATCCACATTCAATTTCACCAGGACTTACATACACTTCCTCCATTTTGAAAAGGCATGAGAAAGGCATATCTTACTTCTTCTTACTTGTGGGCTATCATGTTTCTTCTTGAAACATAGCACAAATGTGTAACCCTGGTGTTTCATATCATGTTTCTGGGGAATTTGACAACCTATTGTCTAATGCATGTACTTACTTCACTGCCAAAAGTATCTCCAGTGATGACAGGAAACGGCAATGCAGATGCATTGGAGGTGCGTCAGCGAAGATATGTGAGTGATGACATCTTCTGTATTGTTAAGACGCCGTGCCATCGTAAGCATGAATTATGGAGAATTTAAGCTAGTGTGTATATACTACTGCTTTTCTCAATAAACTAGTGTGTATATTCCTCTGTTTGTTCTCAACACGATATGTGAAAGCCTTTGTACAGTAGTGTCAGCACTATGCACACCTTGGCTTCTTGCTGGTAAATCAGAGATCAATCCATGAGAGTTTCTAAGAGAGACATCAGTCAGAGTGGAATCTTCAATAGAGGCAGAGGTGTTGGACATTTGAGTGAGCAAGTGTATTGGATTGATATTTAGGGATGGGATGATCCTTAGAGAAGAATCCATCCTAGAGAAAAATGGTAATCTTATATACTTGAGTCTCTCAAGAAGAGACCTTTGTCCTATTATGAACGTAGGGAATCTGCTGCTGTCAATCCAGGACTGTCCATGGCATTGCCGTGGCTATGGCGTGACATCTTTTATGATAGCAGAGAAGTGCTCACGGCGTTGCCATGATATCGTTGATAATAACCAAATGCCGTTCGTACGGCTCCTTCGAAACCTATATATATCTTCGGGAACCTATATCCAGACATCTTCGGAAACCCATATCCGAACTTGCTAGAAATTTAGAAGTATGAGATTTTTGATAGTGTGCATATACCTCACTGTACTTCTCAACACAATGACCTTCTGCATATAGGAATTATAGGAATATGTCATCCTCGATAGACAATATGTCATGAATCTCGCAGATGCAACTGGTTTATGCCTTTGTGCGTATCTGCATTGCCGATTTTAGCTTACTTCTGCTATTGGATGATTTTGGATGATTATGCAACTTTTTTTCAGATATTGGAAAGTGATATTGTGCGCGCAGAATCATGTTGGAGATAGATAATTATATTCCACATTGACGATGATAAAAACCAATTCTTTAAGTCTGATAGGTTTAATAGAAAAGCAAAAATAACACAAACGAGCTCCTTCATGTAGGGATTCATTGACTTATGATGCTCTCCAATTTGTATGTGGTCAAGTCAAATTTGCAATCATGATAGGGACATGCGTAGACTTCTCATATAATGCAAAATCCTGACAGAACTTGTGGTTTGTATCTGAATAGACAAAGACAACTAAAGTGAAAGCGAACAGTGAGTATACTGCGATTTTCTCATCCTAAATCATCATTTATTTCCAACGAGCCATATCTAACGCTGACCCCCTGTATGATTAAGCGAGAGGCCAATTTTTCGAAATTATTCCTGGCCACATTAGCGGCCATCCGGCTGACTAAGTGCATTTAAAGTCTTGGTCGCAAATGAAACGGAAAACCTTTGCAATAAACCGAATACTAAAAGTACCTGCAGGGTACCTTACATGTTCCATGCGCTCAGAAGTAAGGGGTGCATAATGCTAAGGTCAGGGCCATGATAATACCTACATACAGGACAGTCATGATGGCACCAGTTGGATAAGCGTCTAAGCTCATTCTGTCAACCCTCATGTCTTCGGACAGCTGATAAATGAAGGTTGTCGCAGGAAAGATGCAATAAATGTACGTAAAAATTGCGGTTCCTTTTGCTCAGAAGTCAGGAACTGACGAGCACCCAGTATACACTACTACTTATCCAAGTAGACTACAAGTACTTCTTATCTGTTTTAAAAATAGATTCACCAGAAACTAGGTAGTTAGTAAGTATAGTAAGTATTCTTCCAAACTAATGAAGGAAAAAATATCCGTAAATGTGCGAAACTGATTCAAACAAGAATGACAATCAGGTAATGCCATACACACCAAGTACACCAAAATATTATGACAAGTGAATAGAAAAAAATCAATTGTGTGACTCAATTTCTAAAACAATTTGAATCCGAATTTGTAAATGGAAAGTGAGAGAAGAATTTTTTTAACATTGTTTCTTATAATTATTTGTAAGCAAATATCTGCAGAGAAAAGCTCTAAAAAGTGACATACTGTATGTCGGCAATAGGTGGCTTAGGTAGCCGTATCGAGATACTATCAGTAGTTGTGAGCCCATTGACATGGTAGCAGTAACTCGTTGTTTTATAGATACTTTGAATGGTTCTAACAAGTTCTGCTGCTTCATTGAAAATTCATAAAGAGGAATCACAAAGATCCTTTCGAGAACCCGATTGTGCAGTCCAATCTCTTCACCAGTCTCCCTTGAAATCCGACAAATAAGAGTTAGAAATACTTAGAATGACTCATTGAAGCCTCGAGCCTTGACTTGGCATGATAAAATTCCAAAATGTTCCAGTAATGCACTGTGGTCGCATTAATGTCTTTCAGGGACCTACATTCAATTTTCTGAAGCTCTCTCTGAACAAATTTTTCCAAAAAAAAAAAACGAAAGAACAATAGCCAGAGTATACACAGCCCTGTTCTAGAGCCCGTCAACACACTGAAGTTGAAGAAATTGCTTCATTAAACACCACCTGTTTACTGGATGATAACTTAGCAAGACAGATAAAACTAGCTTAACCAATTTTTATTTTTTCGTGTTAAAGAGGATAGTGGCTGTGCTTTAAGAATCTGGAGTTGTCGAACTTGTCTATCCTGGCCCATAATTTTATTAAAGCAATCTTTGGCTATTATTACTTCATTGGAAATTAGAATGGAATAACTAGAGAGAACAAAATTAATTCAACAGAAAAATTTTCCAATATTACTCAAGCTGTTTTAGGGTCGGCGATTCCGTATCAAGAGAGCTTATGCTTCCATATAACAGCAAAAAAACTCTAGGAGGGAATTGGGCTCCGATGAGGAAGGGTATAATAATAGATTCATATTCCCCATTCTTAGGGGCAACGCAAATTCTACTCCTATCTGCTGTGATGTATTTTTTTTTTTTTGGCTTCAAACTAAGTAAGGTTCACTGTAAATATGTCCTAGATATCATAGTAGTCACGTCGTCCAAGTCCTCGAAAGAATTGTCCAAAATTTATTCCGATTTTCGCTTGTTATGATTTTTGAACATGCAAAAATTCAAAGTAAGCAAATTATCAGAGTAATGATCAATCGTGACATCCAAAAAACCCTTAGAATCCAAGGACTCATTAGCTTGCCATTAGGTTCATTCAGTATTTGGAGAACAGCTTTATGGTTGTATCCCAAGTCAATTTCACATAATGTGCCATTGCATGAATTTTTCTTTTTTTGTTTTATGACGGGGTTTGTCTAATCTTAATGAATTATAGCTTCAGGACGGAGAAAAGGGAGACGACCTGACTTGACTCAAAGGGATTCACAACATAAGGATGTTATTTTAAATAATTTTATTTTGGAGTTTCTGGGAAAAAGGAGTGCTGAATTTTCTCATCATCATTCAAAGTACACTACACAAAAGAACGAATGGCAGCATAAAAAACCTAGCTCCTTATACATATTATTGACTGCCTGAAGTGTTCATTTCTTAAGAACTCTTCCACATTCCAATGAGTGCCACCTATTCAAATTTTTCTGGCTACTTCCTCGTGAAAAAGGGAATAAAAAAACGCAAGAAAATAGCAAACTGGATAATAATAGAACAGTTGGAGAGAATTAATAACATCTTCTATCAAAAATGATTTTAAAGGATTGTTCGAAGAAAAGCAAGACGTAACGAACTTCTAAGCCTGTTGAATGGCGAAGTTCCTTAAGCAAAAAATAACGTGAGGTCACTAATCATGCAAGAAGTAGCAAAGGAAATAATATTACCGTTACACAAATCTGCGGAGCCGAGAGCCTCTTCATTTTCATTCGCCGACAAAAACTACAATAAACAGCCAATTTTTTTTTACCTTCTATTCACCTTTAATCCCTCCCTCTGAAGCTGAAAATGTTTGGAAAAAAAAAAGCCAAAAGAAAGCTATACCATGAGGAATAACAGACAGATCCACTCAACATGCATAGCAAAAGACAGCTGAAGCGGGATTTACTCAATCCTTTACGAGAAAAATCGAGAGTTAACTAAATTTGATTTAAGGTGTGAAGCCTACATACATTGGACGTAACATACCATCCAATGCAAAGAAAGTGGTACGTACTAAGTTTCCAACATGGTAGGAAAAGAAGTGTGCTTCGTGTTTCTTTTGTTTTTTTTTTTTTTTTCCCCGGAGACGTACATGATTACTAAAGTGAAATTTTTATTTTCTCAATGAGCCGCGTAGAAGCCAAAATAGAAAATGTTTTTCAACGATATGAAATAGAGAGATCGGTTCTTATGTGATTACTGCTAGCCTTCCTCACTGTCATTATTAGTAATTGCCATTTCCACTAATACTCAAATAACGGAGTTAAAACAGGTCACGTGGATTAGAAACACCCTACATGTGGGTACTCCAATAGAATCGTAGAAAAGTGTGCATCAAATTTAACCGAGAAACACTACAGCTAGGCTATATCCTGCAACTGACTTTTACGAGGCTCACACCCATCCTAATTCGGAAGGTATCTCGTCAAACTCGGATTCGGTAAATACCAAGCGGAACATGAAGCTCCATACTAAACGTATAGCTCTTTAAGACAGCAGATTGATAATCAATTGTGTTTCAAAGGAATATTAATCTCTTTTTCCGAAACCGGTTCGTTTCCGCGCAAAAGGAGATGCGAAAATAAAAGAGAGATGAAAGGCAGATGATAAAACCGTTTCTGGTTGACATTGAGTGTCATTACTAAAATGGATTAATACTACGGGCCTACGTACATGTGAGATCTAGACAAAGAGTCTGTGGCTTATCTTCTCCAGCGGAACTAAAGTTGCGCTATTGTAAAGTGCTATGCATAGATTATAGACGCTATGCAGTTACAGTTTCCCGTTACGTACGCGTGCAGCTTACACCTTTTTTCTAGAAGCGTGCGACTTGGACGCAATCTGTTTCCTGTGTTCTCGTAACTGTAATTTGAAGTAAAAATTAGCATAGGTGAGTTTACGGCTATACCATAGTTTAAATCTGAGAGCAAGGGGAAGCTTTCATCCCACTACTTTTTAGTTTGCGCCACGCAGTAACCAGATGTTAAACGGATCTGTATCAACACTTGAAGTAACGGGTATACTAAACAGTAAACTACATGAGAGTAAAATCAAAATCAATGCTTCACGAACACCGTAAGCTGCGAGGGAAGTGCCACTTCAACTATTTTCTTGTTTCCATTACGCACAAAAGATGTATTATACATTTCGATATGCATGTTCTCGCTTCCACTTATGCAAGTGATTCCGATCTGGGCGAAATGTGTGATGGAAGTACACACATGTGAAGCGGATGCAATGCCAGGCATAGTGCCGAGACACCATGTAATGCTAGGCATAGCCCCGAGCAGCACTACGCAATGCAAGAAACATGTGTCAGCTTGAAAGCTACACATGCAAAGTCACAAAAAATAATGTTCAAGAAAGACAGTAGAAGAGCTGAAAAGAATTAATTTCGATGCTTTATAAAGTGGCTGCAATGACACATGTTCTAACTCAACCAGCATGTTGTTCAAAACTTACATTTATTCTTGCTTAGTGGCATTGGCCTCTGCAACTACTGTTATTGATGCTTGCCCTGACCAAAAGTTCTCCTTTCATGCTCAGGTTGTGAATTTCCCTCCAGCAAGCATCACGGTAGCAAATCCAACGTCCAATGGTGACGGAACTTGGGATGTGACAATTAATTTTATTGCAGAAGATTCAATGCCCTTGGACTCTTTGTCGGAATTGAAGATTTTGAGTTTGTCTAAGACTTATATGTTATACTCTAACAATCTCGAAGTTTCTGTGATAAACAATGCTGGTTCGTGGTCTCAAAGAGTTACTGTTACCCCTAGAGCAGTTGGACAATACAGTACTTGTATGCCGCAATTTACCATTCAGTACGACTGGTGTAGTGCTGGAGTTACTGATATGTCTTATTGCAATACTTGGAAGTATCAAAAGTCCTACGATTATATCACTGGATGTGACAACTACGATCCAAGCACTGGTTTCTCTCAGAAAGATGCACCTGACTACTGTTGGAATATTCCTGGAAAGTCTCTGGCCACTGTCAGCTCTTCTTCGAGCTCTAGTGTCGAGACTTCATCTGCTATCACTACACAAAGTTCATCTGTGGAGAGCTCATCTACTCAAAGCTCCTCTATTGAGACGTCCAAAACTTCTTCTGCTGTTGAATCCACGAGTGTCCCACCAAGCTCAGTGTCTCCCAGCTCTTCAACTGTCAGCTCTTCAGTTATAAGCTCTTCTACCCACATCTCTCATATCAGAAGCTCCTCTGTTCAAAGCTCTTCGGGCTCTTCTTCAATTGAAAGCACATCTAAAGTCAGTTCCGTCACCTCATCGACACTCACTTCGACTGTTCTGAGTAGCTTGAAGAGTTCTTCTACTGAAAGCACTTTGAGTGAAAGAACTTCCATCAGAAGCTCCTCAACCAAAGAGTCTTCTCTCACTAGTTCTTCTACTGAAATTTCGTCAGCAGAGAGTTCTGGTACAGTTTCAACGACTGAAACTTCTTCCAAGGTGAGCTCGACGAGCATTCCTCTGGTGAGCTCTTCCACAAGAAGTGAATCAACAGAAAGCTCAGTTTTGAGTTCTTCAACTGTTCCTAGTCTTTCTTCAAGTGAGTCTCTTTCATCTTCCTCTCTGGTTAGCTCTTCTGTTGAAACCTCTACCAGTCTGACTTTCGCTACCAACTCAACCAGCTCATACTATGTGCCTTCTACAAGTATTCCTGTCTCTCCAACTAAGGAAGTGCCATCTAGTACTAGCTCTTCTGCTTTGAGCACCTCTGTGAGAAGTTCTTCGGCATGGTACTCTTTGACTACATCCGTCTCTTTGACTACTTCTCCTGCTGTCCCCGCTAACACTTCTTCGATTAGCACATTTTCCAGCCCTGAAGAAGGTGTATCTACCACAACCGAGGTTTTGACAACCGTGGTGACTGTCACATCTTGCCATGACAACGCATGCACATTTATCAAGTCAACCGTAACCAAACCACAAGCCAAGACCGTCACTTCTTGCGATGAATCGTCTTTATCGACTACGGAATCAACATCGACTACTGAAGCAACATCTACCAAGAAGGCTTCGACTCCTGTACTTCAATCCACCACTCTTTGCAATGGTGATTGTGAAGTCTCTTCAGGCACCTTAGCAACCACCAGTACAGGAGTGGTATCTTCCTCACTGGGTGTCAGCACTACTTTCGGTACAATTAACTCTTCTATTGAGACCACCATTACCACTGTTCATGTCTCAGGTTCTGAATCCTCTTCAGTACCTCTGTCGATCACCCCTGTTCCACTCAATGGCGGAGTTCAAAATCTCCGTCTTTCTCCTTTCGGAGTACTTGCCGTTTTGCCGCTCCTTTTCTGATATGTCTATCTGGTTACTTTTTTTCCCATTCTTCTTCGAAATTGTTTTTTTCGGTTCACCTCATTCTTGGATTTTTACATTATTTTAGCTTCGTAAACTTGCGCGGCTTTTCTTGCCCACTTTTCGAATTTCTGGTGGCGGATGTACGGGTCTGCCATCGATGATACACATTTTTTACTACTCAAACTGTGCTTAATATAAGAAAAGAAAAAACAAAATGTTGTAGTGTTAGTAAGATCTGTAGAAATGGAATGGGAAGAATAGGAACACATAAAGTACTTTCTGTAGCTGAAAGTAGGCCTGCTCATATTCACCAAAGAAAGGACTTTGTCAAAGTCTAAGTCATATAGTTACACATTGTTTGATGCCTTGAGAAATTAGTAAAAACAGTAAATACGTCCCACTGTTTTGTCAATTTCCACGGACATCGGAAAAGCAAGTCCACTGTTCCGAATGGTTAGGAGACTTTAATAAGCGCAGCAAGAATAGGTGAACACAGCATGACAAAATTTGAAAGATCATCTGACTTTACTTAGAAGATAGAACACTGAACAATAAACAGAAATTCACAGTTTCATCAGTCATCCATTGTTAAATCAGTCACCTTTGTCACAGCGACTTTGCATAGCACTTGTATAGTGCCATTACCCATACCAAATTCACCCGAGTTTTCAAGGAAGATCTTCTCACGATTGTCCTGACAATAGCCCTCGTGCCGCAAAAAAAAAACAAAAATAACCGTCCCCTCACTAAAAACAAACCAAATAACCGTCGGTCGTAAAACACTTGGTTCCAATAGAAGAGGAAAAGATAGGCCACAGGTCAGGTTCTAGAAAGGGCGCACAATAGTTGGCGCGGTCTAAATGACAGCAAATGTATGCTTGCCTAAAATTTTCTCCTCCGAGTGCATTGCAGGTACCACATTCGCCTTAGGTGCCCGACTAGGCGCCTTTTTTAGCATTTACGGAAAAAAAAGCCCGCCTTGACGTAAAGCAATGTTCTTTAGGGGAGGTACTGATGTTCTTTAGGGAGGTACTGATGTTCTTTAGGGGAGGTACTGATGTTCTTTAGGGAGGTACTGATGTTCTTTTGGGGAGGTACTGATGTTCTTTTGGGAGGTACTGATGTTCTTTAGGGGAGGTACTGATGTTCTTTAGGGAGGTACTGATGTTCTTTAGGGGAGGTACTGATGTTCTTTAGGGAGGTACTGATGTTCTTTAGGGAGGTACTGATGTTCTTTATGGGAGGTACTGATGTTCTTTATGGGAGGTACTGATGTTCTTTAGGGAGGTACTGATGTTCTTTAGGGAGGTACTGATGTTCTTTAGGGAGGTACTGATGTTCTTTAGAGGAGTGTACTGATGTTCTTTAGGGAGGCTAGTCTGATGTGTCTTTAGGGTAGAGTACTGATGTTCTTTAGGGGAGGTACTGGATGTTCTTTTAGGGAAGGTACTGATGTTCTTTAGGGAGGTACTGATGTTCTTTAGGGAGGTACTGATGTTCTTTAGGGAGGTACTGATGTTCTTTAGGGAGGTACTGATGTTCTTTAGGGAGGTACTGATGTTCTTTAGGGAGGTACTGATGTTCTTTAGGGAGGTACTGATGTTCTTTAGGGAGGTACAGATGTTCTTTAGGGAGGTACTGATGTTCTTAGGGAGTACTTGCTGATGTTCTTTAG